CCCAAATACTAACCTTTCAGACCACTTGCGATTGCGGTATACTTGCACAGAACCTCCTTCCAATAGCTATCGAGTAAGTCTTGACGGTCGTCCGTACGAGAAGCTATACATTAAGATACCCGATAACCTAGCTACTTTTATTGCAAACCAAAGAGAATATACCTCTAAACTTTGCGTTTGGTATACCTGTCCACTTCTGGGTCATAGCTTGCACCCCAATGTCCTACGCAATTCCGATGTATCGTGAGATCGAATCCAGTGACTGGAGCTCCCTCGTGCGCTATCATGTTAACAGTATAAGGGAAACACTCTCCACACAGTGTTCTCAAAGCTCCAGTGATGACTGGGTTTTTGGTATCAAAGAGTACTTTACATACAAATACTTAGCGCCCCAAGTGTCCAAACAAATCACGTATGCGAACAAGGAAGCCAAGTTTGATGAAGACGACGCTTCTACCCGCTTGGCCTTTGCATTGGTCTCGTCATGGAAAGGTATCACCAAGGTGGAGATCCTCGATATTATCGGCACTATTGAAATTGTAACTGCATCGGAGAATGGTGGGTCTAGCGGGGTGGACGAGTTATTGACAGACTGTGAGAAGATGTATAAGGTGCGGTACTGGCTCTCAGAGCTACGGGCCTTGCGAGTCTACACACGGATGTTGGAAGGAAAGGAGGTATTTGGCTTGGATGTGACGAATAATTTGGAAAACTGTGTCTTGCGGAACGAAGGTCCAATAATCTGGTTGGCTATCTGCCAATTAGAGAAATTGGTGGAGTTGCAGCTCAGCTCGGAGAAGTTGAAGGAAGACGAACATTTTAAGGTGGAAACCATCCGGCAGTTTTGTTAAAGGATAACTTTGAAAGGAATAGATATTGAGCATCCATTAATAGCGCAATAGTGCGCCAGAGACATTTTCTTACGATTGCGTAGCGGGTAAGCTTGAGTCTGAATCTCCAACATTCCTTTGAAGCCATACGAATAGATTTTATGACTACCCACGACCACGAAGAGAAGTCCAGACTCGTATTTCTATCATACACTTACACAACATATATAAATAGATTTTTGGATGTATGTAATCGGTCTACAGGACGATATAGCGTTGTCTATAACCAGGAACATTAACCAAACTCCAGGAACCTCCATTTTACTCCTTCTTGGTCCCCACGATCTTACCGTTCGGCAATCTTCTGACCCCATCTGTCATCTTGTTCTTTCTCCTCTCCTTCGCATCTTCGTTAGCATTCATGGTGCTCTCCAACTCCACAATCTTAGCCTCTTGTGGCGTCATCCCTGTGGAATTCTCCTCGCGCGGCTGCAATTTCCAGCTTTGGTTCACCCTGCCGGCGGTGAAATTCCACACCCAGCGCGGAAACGTGCACCAGATAGTGTCTCTCCAGGATGGAGGCCCGATAGATTCTGGGTCTAGCAAGTATTGGGTCGAGCTATCTTCTGGGTCGAGCAAATACACGCTCCCATCGTACTTGATGATAAAGGTCTTGCCATCCGCCTCGCTACCGACCTTCCTATCTGAGAAGTCAGTCGGGATTCCGTTTGGCCACGCCGCCTGCTTGAGCTGCTGAATCATGGAGCGCATACGCTTCTGATCCTGCTGGCGGTTGATTTTGAGCGACATGTATTGGAACCCACCGAAGACTGCGTACAAGAGCACAAACACGAGCATGGTGCCAGGACGGAACTTACTGTACAAGTAACCGGTTGTGGTCTTCTTGGGGAATCCCTTGTCCAAGAAGTAGTTGTATCTCTCGCGTTGCTCCGCGTCTCTCAAGATGGAGCCCACCACGGAGAGACGCAGGTACCGCTGTTCGGCCTTCTTCTTGACCTTTTTATCGGCCTGGGTTTTGACTCTGATTTTATCCGGATGGATCTTGCGCGAGAGCTTCTTGTAGGCCTTGTTTATTTCATCCCACAGTGACTTCGGGCCTTTCTCAAGTCCTAACCATGAATAGAAGGTTGTTTCCGGACCCAAGTCGCGCTTGACAACGTCGTTCAACTCAAACAATTCGTAGTCTGTAACCGACCAGGCAGCTACAAGAGACGCCACAAGGGTAAACAAAAACGCAAGTTGCACCTTCATTATGTAGTTGAAAGAAGTCTCAGAAGGGGTTTTAACAGGCTGGAAGCAGCTGATTTTGAGCAACATAGAGGACACATAAAGTAAACGTAACTGTCTGAACGGTTTGGGCGCACACGACCGAGGCGTGCATTTCAGCATATGGGGCCAAACGTGTAACTAAAAAGTTTTGTTAGAAGAATCCCCATTTTGTTTTCCAGCCAACAATACCTGGTGGTATTGGAGCTTTCACATATCACGTAGAAACTTGCCTGGTGACTATTGTATATGTGACGAACAGCAAGACGTACTCTGCGTTTTGATAACCCACAAAGTTTATGTGCTAACGTTTACTCCGGTTAAAACCTTACAATGTTAATGCATTAATGGACCTATGGTCCTTGAAAACCAACCCTTCGGCCTATATGGCAGCAATACTCCTGCCAGAGAGGGGCGACAACTAGCCTATTAATTTCTTAGCGCAATGGGGAACCTTAAGCGTACGACAAGAAGCTGTAACCTAAGACTAGGATGGCTCTCAATCAGAGCTACTCATTTCCCCTGGCTTATTCCTCGACGTGATAATGAATTTATTCATGGCTGCCCGCTCAGTACGCATACAAGCCCTTATTTCATTCAGGGATCCATAGTTAACCCCGATTTCCTAAACTATTTCTGAAAGTTTATAGGCTATAAAAACGTGAACTGCTGCTGCGAATGTATTCTAGCTTATTCGAAAATCGGAACGTTCGGGCTAATCTTCGCCGATTGACCGGAGAAGCGCGCGCTTGTCCATAGTGCTACTCCCCTCTCTTGGATGCCCTGCGAACTGCTCGGACAATAGGTTGAACTGCGATCTTGGGGGATCTCGGAGAATCTCGGGGTCACCGCCACGACGATTCACCCGCGGTGCGGCGCTACAGCCTCCATGTGCCTGGATTGGGACTGTGGCTCTGGAAGCACGCACTAAAAATATTCGCCCTCAGTTTTTCGTGCCGGGCACTGGTATCAGTAGGTGCTCCGAAAAGTCTATGTCACATTGATAGCAGACAGCAACCCCCATATTAAGCTAGCATCTCACGATACCACAATGTTTTCCTTGAGATCTGTTTCTACCCATTCTGGCAAGTTCTTATTGAGAGGGTTGGCCACTCAGACCGCCAGATCCGCCTTCATCAGACCGGCTTTCCGCGCCACCCCAATGACCCCTGTTGCCCGTTCTGTTGCTTCTCGTGCTGCCGTCAGATCCTACTCTGTTATCTCTCCTGAATCTGTTGCAAAGCTCTACAACTTCGAGCAGATGCAGAAGGTTGTTACCGCTGCCTCTCCAGACGTTGTTTTGGTCGATGTCCGCGAGCCATCTGAGTTCGAGGCTGGCCACATCCCAGGTGCCGTCAACATCCCATACAAGAGTTCCCCTGGCGCCTTGGATTTGAGAGCCGAGGACTTCCAGGATCTCTTTAACTTTGATAAGCCAGCTAAGGACAAGGAGTTAATCTTCTATTGCCTTGGTGGTGTCAGATCCTCTGCCGCCGAAGAGTTGGCCAACACCTTTGGTTATGAAAACAGGGGCAACTATCTCGGCAGTTTTGAAGAATGGTCCAGGTTGGGTGGTGATGTCGTCGCCCCGCATCCAGTTGAGGCTGAAGAAACCAAGGCCAAGTTGTAAGCACACTGCTCCCCTCCCTCCCCTAATGTACTTATCCACAATCCCCGACAATTGGCCTTGCCTTTTGCCATCTGTTATAAATAATTAATATCTCTACAAGTAAACCCACCCACCCAGGAAATTTAAGTGGATTGTAAAGTAGTAAGATAGAGATATGGCGTATGGAGTTCTAGATGTCAAGATCACTCATAGAGGAGGTTCTGAGGGATACCGGGGCTTGTCCGATATACTGTGATTAAATGTGTGATCGTATCAATCCCTCTGGGATTCCTGTTTACTTACTTTTAGTGACCATGCTGGAGTTATTAGTTTCTTGTTCCTTTCATTTAATACTTGAGAGTTGGGTGAGCGCCAAAAGGTCTCGAAGTGGCGCACGCCGCTGTCTCGTGTTTGATGGCACGCTTAAATAGATGTCCTATCAACCATGACGTACTTAAAAACTAGGAATGTGGCTAAAATGGATGTAAATTGAAACAGAACGATATTGGATAAACCATTGCAAGCAAAGACCGAGACCCATGCTCTTAGCGCCAATATGTAACAAGCCTTACGAGCAGCGTTGCCGCCACCTGCTATATCCATAACAGTAGCCCTATGGGCAGCTGATTATACCAAAAATACCTAAAAATTATTTGGCCCACCACTTTGATTTCTTCGAGCAACCCCTCAAAAATCAAATATACTCCCCGCATTTAGCGTTTATAGAAACAGTCGGACATAAACCTCCAGGGGTAGAACCTGTGGCTGACCTCAGGCCCAAGGGGGGTCGCGATGCCCTTAGCTGCAGGATGAATAAAAAATTGCAGCACTCTATGCATAAAATATCGCATGAACCTCACTCTATGCAACTCCTCCTACAACTCTTCACACAACGATGGCGAAACCTAAGTCCAAAAAGTCCGTTAAGCCGCTGGTATATGAATCGGATCAATCTGACGAGGAGTTTGGTACCAGACGCCAAAACGACTCCGATTCTGATGACATTTCCAGCATCTCCTTTGGGACTTTGAACAAGGCGCAAAAGAAGATCCGCGATCAGGAGAAGAGCGAAAAGCCTAGCATACATAACTATGACAGTGACAGTGATGTCCAAGGCGGGTTTTTCGATGGAGAAGATAGTGACAGTGACAGTGACAGTGACGGTGCCCCTACCTCCACGTCCACCAAGAAGCACAAACACGCGCCAAAGGAGTCTTCATCTAAGAGACCGGTCAAAAAATACAGAGAAATCCCCGGCTTAGACATCTCCAAGTACAAAGAGAAGTCCGTAACCAATGATATCCGTTTCAACCCGGCGTTCGGTGCGGCTGACTTGTCTTATACCCGTGACAACTATCGTTTCCTCGACGAGTACCGTCAAGACGAGCTCAACCAGATGCAGACAATGCTTAAAGATCGTAAGTCGAAACATCTTTTGAAGCAATGGGAAAAGGAGGATATTCAGTTCAAGATTCAGTCATTGCAGTCGCGTGTGGACACATTGAAGAACAGAGACTTGAACGAACAGGTGCTCGCACAGCATAAGCGTGAACAGCGTGCAAAGGTCAAGAGTGGGGAACAGACCAACATGTTCTACTTAAAGGACAGTGAGAAGCGCAAGATGTTGACCAAGTTGAAGTTCGAAGGCATGAAGGGCTCCCAAAGAGAAAAGGTGATGGAGAGAAAAAGAAAGAGACGTTTGGGGAGAGAATTCCGGGAGTTGGAGTTCAACCAGAGGGGTTGAGCACACTTGTGTGTCTGTATATGTATATTAGTTGAGCTTTAATCATTGAAATATTTTTGCATGTGCGTATAAGGGTGAGGTTGAATTCTCGCGAAATTCAATTAGGTAAATAGGTGCCATTTAGAAGAAGCTTTTGGTGATTCAAATGGAAACGTTTTGAGCATTTTTCAAAAGGCCAACCTTGACAAACTTCGTAAGTATAGAGTACTTCAGCTAAAAACAAGTAGGAACGCTCTAGAACTGCAATATGATGCTCATTTTGAGTAAATGAGGACGGGAATTGGGTGGTGCCGCATAGAAGCATAGCATAAAGCCAGAAATGATTTAAACCCCGTGTAGAACATAATCGTGATATTATAGATATTGTATATGGTGGAACGAAAACCAGCGTGTGATAATCAAGAACCAAGATTATTGGTGTATCGAATAATTCTGGGGTTGTGGTTTCGCTCCTCCTCAGAAGTTTGCTATAGATTGAGAGACAAGACCTGTCTCGCTTTGAATGACGCTTAATGTTACCAATGCTTATGCTAGGATGCAACTCAAGCTATGATGAATGGTTAGCACCAAAAATCCATTAAATACATCCGGCCTAGTAGACTAATATGCATCATTATTATTTATATACAAGGTCTACAACGACAAATTCATTACCTCTTCACCCATTTCCAATACCGCAACGTCGTCGCCGAATTGTCCCATGACTTGAATTCCTAGTGGCATATCCTTACCCCCAACAGGCACACTTATGCACGGCAAGCCAGATAAGCTGCCCGGGACGGTCAACACATCGTTGATATAGCCATAGACCGGTGACTCTTTCAATTGCAATTCGTAGATGTGTAACTTGGGGGTTTCCTCCGATTGCGTGGGTGAGATGAGTACATCCACACCTTGAGGATTTCCCTCCACCGTAGCAAGAGCATTGTTCAAGCGGAAAACTTTGTTGAATTCGTCGGTTAGCTGCTTACGTAACTGCAAGGCCTTCAAAAAGTTGTTCTTGTACCCGTCGGATGAGAGGTTGTAGTTCCCCAAGAGAATACGCTGTTTCACTTCCGGGTTAAACTGGGCCGACCGGGTTTCGGCAAACATGGTTTTCTCGCTCCCCTCTTTCTCTATATCGGTTTCAGCGTCACGGTAGCCGTATCTAATCCCGTCATATTTAGCCAAGTTGGAAGCTGCCTCCGCAAGTGCTAGGGTATAGTACGTAGGCAAGCTCTGCTTCACTGCCGGGATCGACACCTGCTTGATGGTATAGCCCTTTTCGTGCAACTTAATCAACACGCTCGCCCACACATCTCTGATCTCAGGAACCAATTCTGCGATATTGAACTCGAGCGGAATTCCAATGACTAATTTTCCGCTTCTTTTGCCAACAAACGTCAGAATTGTTTCTCTCATATTATTATCAAGACAAGTCGGGTCTTTAGTGTCATATTTGTCCAAGACCATATAGACATCTCTAGCTGTAGCGACATTACTGGCCAACACACCTACCGTATCGAACGACTGGGCATATGGGATTACACCCCATCTGCTCACACGCCCGTACGATGGTTTAAGCCCCACAATACCACCGTGGGTAGCAGGATTTCTAACGGACCCACCAGTGTCGGTCCCCAAGGCGAAGTCGCAAATACCCGCAGCCACAGCAGCCGCAGAGCCACCGGATGAGCCACCAATGATGCGCTCCGGGTCCTGGGGGTTACGGGTGACGCCATAGTAGGAATGTGTAGTGGCAGCACCCATGCCAAATTCGTCCATATTCGTTTTCCCAACCACAGAAGCACCAGCTGCGTAGAGGAGGGACGTGACAGTGGCGTTATACGGTGAAACGTAACGCGACAAAGCGCGCGAAGAGCAGGTTGTGGGCTCCTCCGTCGTCGCTATGTTATCTTTAATCGCACAGAGCTTTCCTGCAAGAGGAGAAAGAACTTCAGCCGATGAAAGCTCCGAGTACTGGGCCTCTAGCTCCAGTGAAAGTTTTGTAGGATGGCGGTACGATGTAAAGATATTGAAGTTTACATGCGCAGAACGGAGAGTCTTCAAGCGGTTTACCGACAGCTGAAACTGCTTCGTGAGTTGTTTGTTTGTGGGCATTGCCGAGGAGAGATGTATATAAATCTTTGGACGCCGTTTCCTGGAACTGGACAAAAAAAATGTTGTGGTTCATGTTGAGCGTTCTCTAGGTGCGTCGGTTCAGGCACTCCCACGCACTGGCTCATGGAAGGTCTACGGAGTTGTCATTTAGACGGAAACTCCCAGACAACTGTCGTAGTATATTATATTATCTTTATTGCATAGAAAAAAAGGTGAAGTTTACCTTGGTGGGTCATACACAGGTATAACTCACAACCACGCTTTATACCTTTGTATTACAAATCAATTGATTACGATTATTGGATGGCTCGAAGATGGGATAAATGGTGACATCATACATAGACTCATTACAAATTTATAAACAATCAGCAAAAACAGAAACTCTGCGTAATTCGCCGTGTCTGCCGGCCTGGATCCAACTGGAATACCCAGTTCTAGTAATCATACACGGATATCAGATATAACCATCGGACATGAGTTAGCTTAACGACACATAAACCACTGGAGAATCCAAGATAACTTCCGTCCTAAAGTTGTGTTGAATGTCCCATGTGTACCTTAAGCGTGATGCTGTTTCTCACCCAAAAGAGTCTTCTTCTTTAAGTAGTGGTCAAACAAAATGTAAAAGCTTGGAACATACAATACCAACACCAATTGCATGAACAGCCTGAGGGTTCCATCCACGTACCTCAATTTCATAAAGATCAAACCCCACTCGGCTACCATTCCCAATGGTAAGGTGAGCAAAAACTCGTTTGCATAAAGAGTTTTGAGCCAGCTGTTATGGACAGATCCGCGCGACAACTTATAAGTGTAGAACGCAAAGCGACAGATGTTAGAGACAGACCACAGAACGATTAAAAGGCTGAACAATCCGTGCTTCACAATTTTAACATGGAGCACATCCCATACGAACCAACACTTATGAGCCTGGACAAATATGCAGAGGAGTCTGTTGCGCGAATTCGAAAGCCCGAGAATGGTGTTTATGGTCTGAATGGCGGCGGTAAAGGTGGTCACGTAGATGAAGAAATCGGCAATGCCGCCGGGTAAGAACTTACGGCCAACAAGGGGAAGGAGAAGGAGAGTACGGAAGAGCACACTGACCCATAGGAGAATCTCCACTATGTTGAAGATTTGCAAGTGGGCGCGGGCCTTGGTGCGACGAATCTGGACCGATGCTGGTTTTTTTGGATCGGTCATTGTGAAGGCAATAATGGCTTTGGAATAGAATGCCAATCGAGTACTTTTTGAGTTATGTTGGGTAGTATTTGTAGATGGAAGGAATTGCTTCGCTTCAACATGTGCAGTGGAAAAGAGCACATTGTCTTCGCATACGTAATAACGAAGTTTGAGGTGTACGTCTGTGTATCACGTGTAGGGCTTGGCTGAGGCTATGCCAGGACTGAGAGCCTGTTCTACAGAGTAGATTGAATTATTCCACAGAAAGATATTTTATTTTACTTATACAGAGATTTAATATCCTATGAATATTGATAATATTTGAAAGAGTTAAAACAGGTCAATTCTCATTAAATGGTTAAAAGTGACCCCAGTTGTCCAATAAAGGCTCATGTAAAGTATGCATTTATATCAGACAGGTGATGTGACTTGGTAGTTGCTTATATATCTTGAATCCAGTGTCAGCTAATGTTTCTGAAGTTCTCAGTTATACATCCAGGGCCTGTTCAAGACTCTAGTTGTTGTATTTAAAAAGTTGGACAATGCTTATATTGCCCAGATCATAGGTCTAATCAATCGTAAAGGGTGGGCTATTTCTATAGGAAGTGGTCTGCACAAGAGGAATTACAGGGCCCTATAAGAGCACCACGGAGGATTTATCCTTAGCACTTACTTTTATTTACAGAAAATAAGATAAAGGGTGTGTGCAGTGAACTATGTTGTATCTTAAACTCTTCAGCACTTTTTTGATAAGGCCGCACCAACGAACAATGATACGGCCATACCCCCTTGCAGCCACGATCACTTAAGCCAGTGGAAAGATTTCAGAACCTTTCCACCTCCTACAGCAGCCTTCAATTAGTTTCTTCCAACCATCACTTTTACAACTAAATAAACGCTCTTGATTAATACACACACTCATTTAATAACAAGCTGCACAACGTCCTCATCATGGACGATGTGGGACAACCCACACTTCTGTGGGGAGTGCTTAGCAGACGAACCCCAGACTAAGGCATATTTAAACCCATTCTTAAAGTCCTTGTGGATAGAGTCGCATACCTTCTCGATACTCGAGTCATGTCTGACAACCATCGGGTCATCCAACTTCGGCAAAATCCCCCTTCTCTTGGTGTACAACCGCGTTAAGTTCAAGTTCTTCCAAATGGCCTCAACCAAGTCTGTGATCCCCAAATCTAACTCACACGACATGACACACGTTTGTGGCTCTCTAGCCAAGCGGTCAGTCTCCTCGAGCGAGACAGCATCTACCTTGTTGTACACATACAAGCACTTGACGTAAGTGATGTGATCCTCGTTAATGATGTCAATGAAGTCATCAACTGTACACTCCGGATCGCGTACCAAGATATCCGCGTTGTGAATCTTGTAGTCTTTCAAGATGGCGTAACAGATCTTCTCCGACAAGTAGGTTGGCGGCGAGGTGGAGTTGAATTTGATCCCACCGGTCTTTTTCACCCGGAAGTGGATGTTTGGCTTACTGCAGTTCAATCTGATCCCCACAGACTCCAATTCAGCCTCCAAAATTTCACGTTGGTCGTTAGATTTGGTGGCATCCAACACCATCAAAATCAATTCCGCCGTCTTGGCTGTGGCCACTACCTGTCTCCCTCTACCCTTACCCTGGGAGGCACCTCTAATAATCCCGGGCAAATCGACGACTTGAATCTCTGCACCATGATACTCCAATACACCCGGTACCGAGGTCAAGGTTGTGAAAGCGTAGTTAGCAACTTCCGACTTGGTCTTGGTGATTTTCGAGAGGAATGACGACTTACCGACAGACGGGAAGCCAATCAATACCACTCTTGCATCACCCGACTTTTGTACCTCAAATCCCTGCCCCGTTGAGCCCCCGGAACCGGCCGCTGGCTCCAACAACTGGCGTCTGTATCGCGCGAGCTTACCCTTCAACAACCCAATATGGTACTCAGTGGCCTTGTTCTTCTGCGTGCGCGACAACTCAAGCTTAATTTGCTCAATCTTTTCGAGAATACCCATGATGTGTGAATGTGTGCTGACTGGTTTTCAAGGGGGTAGTACTGCTAATGACAATTCGTGTAAAAATAGCGGTCGCCCAACAGACATTAATTTTTTTCTCCGGTATGGATAGTGTGGCACGGGAAGGGACCATGAGTGGCGGTACAGCACCGCCTTCCCCAGCTTCTCTGGAGGGATCACCAGACGGCGGATGATGTCAGTCAGGGGTGACCATATCAAGACATGCACTTACTCTTCATCTGATCTCTAGCATTACACCAGAAAACCACAAATAACCGGTGCAATACGTATTAAGTATCAAAGCCGATCAAAGGCCGATAAAACGTCTCTCCACCGATTAGGATCAAACAGCACAAGATTCATCGCCCACCCCTGGTAGCTAAAAGATTACCAAAGATAATTTTCCTATTCATATATCATTCGGCCTTACTGACTTTTCGCCGGTCATTGAAACATCTCGCTGGATAAACATCTATCTTAGGGTCTTCGAAATACATTAACAGAGCTGTTCTGTGATTCAGTTTCCGTATCCTTTTCAGTGAAAGGTATCTTTTGCATTCTCAGCGCCAAGTTTGACCCAATCTCCCGTGTTCTTTTTTTCTCTGCCCAGAGATACCCACGACTTCCAAGTATTCCATTCTGGCATTCTTGAAGCTTGTCCTGACTCAGCCAATCGTACCTGACAGCCACCCATCCAGTCATACTTTCTAGTTCCCTAATGAGCTACAAAGACGACCCACCCTCCTACGACGAGGCTGCAGGCCCTATTCGTACCAGTCTTCATACAGGTACCTCTACAGCAGCTCCAGGAAACTACCAGCCGCCCCGCCACCGTCCTCGAACTCCACCAACGCTGGCTCAAACACTCCCAGACTTGTACAACCCTAACCCGGATCTTTTGTTCAGGTACCCTACCAAGTATTTCTGCCAAAAATGTAAAAATTACGGATATCGGTCCGACAAAGGCAACAAACCGTGTAAGGACTGCTGGAAGAAATTTCACCGCCCGATCACCTCATCGTCTTCGGGGGGACACTATAATCCCCCAGCCCAAAAACCGGCACCCGCCCCAAGGCCTCCACAGCACATATACGCCCCCACGTATGTTCCAGCCCCACCAGTAATTCAGTATGTCCCACAAGTCCATTATCAACCGGTATTCTACCCTCCACCGCCAAGACCCAGAGTAGTGAGGCCCGGAGATCCGTCAATCGGCGGAAGATTGTGCTGGCGTTGCAACGGGAGTGGCAGGGTCATGGGGATGTTTTTATTCGACGACGAAATATGCTACACGTGCAATGGTGTCGGGAGAGTCTTCTAAATATGAATGATTTATTTCCTTTGATATTACTTGAAATGACAATGTGACCAATGCTTTTATTTCTATCGACTGCTCCTATGGGAAAGTCCCTTAGGCGTGTTGTTACATCCCCCGGTTATGGAAAGCTTTAATGATTATCGATGATATTTTTACTATAAATGATTTCGGTTTACATAACCAACGAGTGTAAAGTCGCTGCTAAACTCACCGACCCATGCACGTAGCCTGGTTTATGAGAAAGCTAATGGAGTACGTGTGCCAAATTTCAATTTTTTTTTTGGAGGATATTCCTACTTAATAGCTATTTTCGCTTCTACGTCGTATTTTAGTTTGAGCAACCCGGTGCATTGTTACTGAGAGGATCTCAAACCAACATTCTATTACCGATGAGAGTTCTTTCCTTCCCGAGTGATAGTTCAATACTAACAAATGGGCCGGTAGATCGGACCCAGATTATGCGAATCAATCCTACTCGGTCAGTGTAGGTATGCGGGCACCGATATCGTGTTTGTGGGTGTTGACTTGCAAATCTCCTTGAATAAGCTTACTCAATGTGTGTTTATGGTTTATCAAGATTTTAGTAATATTCTCGGAAACAATTATTAATACTTCCGGTAGCAACACTTTCAGTTGACAGTTGTGCACATCCGTGTAGGTTGGTGTAGTATCACACACCAAGCGAAGAATAAATAGGACCCCTAAGAAATATAGCAGACTTTTAAATTTTTAAGAATGTACTTATATTTTGCTTTGTCCTAATGGTAAGATGTGTGAACATCGCATGTAAAAGCGGCCGAACGCGAATCAAGCGCTCTATCATTACATACCCTCGCGCTCAACCAGCCATAAAGCCTTCAGTATCAACACACCACCAACTAACCTACGATTCAATACGCATTATTTATATCCATAATCAACCTAGAGTCTTTTGAACGACCTTCCTCGCCAAGCCAACGCTTAAAAATCACTAATTCTTTTTGTTCGGGGTGGTACCCTTCCAGCCCCTCGAGTCGTTCTCCATGTATAGAAGCAGGCCATGGATTGCATGTGACGCTCCAAAATATGCGTACTGACAGCCGGTACAAAATCAATAGAATGTGAGACCACATGCAACCATAGACTACTTCTATGCAGGAATTTTATGATGTTCATTTACTTCTCCAAACGGTGAAACTCCAAAACAGTTACCGCAGGAGAAAGATATGTAAACTATATATTTATTTGAAACACTAATTACACATATACTGCCTAACAGTCCACAGCTCTTGCTCTATCCTCAGTATTGGGCCAAATAAATGATAGAAGCAAAACGTTAACAAACGATCCTGCATGCTTCTTGATTTACGCTTCGGTTGCTGCGTCTTAAATGCCAAAGAAGGTGCCAGGGCTTGTGGTTAGGAGCCGTACAGGCGAGATATTGTTACTTTCCCTGTTTGGGGTCTTCCTTTTGTGCTGGTGCAACCTCTTGGAATTTTTTTAGATATCTCATACTCATATATGGTTATACTTAACCGATTTCATTTCAGATAACCATTCCACTAATAAAATGTCCAACATGCAATCCGACTGGAATGGCGAGATGCCACTTGAAGAGTTCCACGCCATTGCGAAAGATGCCGCCCAGAACACGCCGAAAGAGGCTCCAACCCCACAGCGTATGTATACAACCACGGCCAATTGATGCTGACAGTGAGTTATGAGTATAAAAAACCATGAAATACTACGCATTATTACCGACGATGGGCACAATTGATTCACAAGCGCGATCGAAGAAGTGCAACTTAACGTTCTATCGGGACGTAAAGGGTCAAGATATACCCACTCCGTTGGTGTACCCAATCTTCCAGATCCATGCCACTGTATTGGTACACCCGAATAGTGTGGTATGGCTATTCGTTATATTCCTGGAAATACATCCCGTGTAATATTTCCTGTTGATGCCCTTGAAATTATTTTCCCTGTAAAACGTGAACCCGATTCTCTGCTGGTACCACTTATAACAAACAATTTGATAGGTCCTGATTCACTATTCCTGTCAGTTACTAATACATTCTAGCAATTGGTTCCCCTTCTCTCGACGTGAGATGTGGCCCAACCCTCCGTTACTGTGGTAGCATGGAAAACGGCACCAACAACTACAGAGGTTCTATCTTACTTGTTGTCAAAGGAGAAACTGCCCCTAGCATTACGTTTGCTCTCGGTGCCAGTCGCGATAATTCTTCCACTACCGATGGAGAGTTCCCGGCTACCAAGATCTACTCGGAAGAAGAGTTCAACTTCTACCGCTTCGAAATCTCCTTGGAGTTGCAAGAATACGAACAGCAGATCAGATACGCGGTCAATGGCGAGCATAGACCTCAGTACCAGTTCTACCTCCCATCTATTCACCAGTCCATGAATATTGTTTCTTACTCCTGTAACGGCTTCAGTTTGGGGACTCCCCCAGATAAATTCAAAGGCTCGTTATGGCACGATGTCTTGCGCAAGCACTCCAAGTTACCCTACCATGTCATGATCGGTGGCGGGGATCAGATCTATTCTGATTCGGTCAAGATTAAGTGTGAAACCTTGAAGGCCTGGACAGAGGAACATAACCCAATCAAGAAGCATCTGGCCGGCTCCTCCCCGGAGCTTGTGGCTGAACTCAAGCACTACTACCTTAACCACTACTTGGACTGGTTCGGAACGGGGTTCTGGGAGGGTCTCAACGGGACCACTTTGCAGACTTCCTTCACCCTCGCGATGTCCCTGATTCCTAGCATCAACATTTTTGATGATCACGACATCATCGATGGGTTTGGTAGCTATGCTGACAAGACCATGGTCAGTCCTGTGTTTAAAACCGTGGGTAATGTGGCTTACAAGTACTACATGCTCTTTCAGCACCACACTCACTTAGACGAGCCTGTCCACGGCTCTGCGGAACCGTCTTGGATCTTGGGTAAAGCCCCCGGACCGTTTATTGAACAGAAATCGCATTCCACCTACATGCGCTTGGGTAAGGAGATTGGGTTTTTGGGGCTTGATTGCCGTACAGAGCGTAAAAAGCACCAGATCGTACGTGAAGACACCTACACGCTTGTCTTCCAAAGACTCCAAAAAGAGGTTGAGGCTGCTGGGGGGGCCATCAAGCACTTTTTGGTATTGCTTGGTGTGCCAATTGCCTACCCCCGTTTAGTCTGGGTGGAAAAGATTCTCAATTCCAAGTTACTTTTTCCTCTTCGGAAGCTTTCGCAGAAGGGAATTGTCGCCAAGGGTCTTGTCAATGAGTTTGATGGTTCAGTCGAGCTTTTGGACGATTTAGAGGATCATTGGTGTTCTATGCACCACAAGCATGAACGTAACTGGTTTATTGCTCGTCTTCAAGAATTTGGAGCTGCCAATGGGATCAGAATTTCCATCTTGTCTGGCGATGTTCATTTGTGTTGCATTGGCCGTTTCAAAACCAAGTTACACCACCACTTAATGCAATCGGTAAAGTACGATGAGAGGAACAAGATGGTGTTGAATAACCCAGAGAACGACCCCCGTTTGATGTTTAATATCATTTCCTCCGCAATCGTCAATGGTCCACCACCAAACCCAATGGCCACGTTGTTGTTGAAGCGCACCAAGGTCCACAGGTACGATCACTCCACAGATGAAGATATAATTCCGTTATTTACCCATGATGTGAACGGTGAGAAGAGAGAAAATACTCTGTTCTTGAACAAGCGTAACTGGTGCGATATCGTGCCATTGGCTAATCACGATCAAAGACAGAAGGAGGTGAAGGAATTTAACGTTGATGGTGTCAAGTATCTCCGTTGTATTCCAGGACCAACAAAAGGTAACGTGGATTTAGATATCAACCGGAACCCCGATGCTAAGCAGAATGAGAATTTGCCAGCGTACCCGTTGACCGAAAGCTCTCTTATTGTCAACCTACATGTTGAGAAGGACCCGGAGGATTTGGAGTCGGAAACTTTTGACTACGAGTTAGTGGTTCCAGAATTACTTGAGAAACATAGCTTGGAAGAAGTAGGGGTCAAGGTATTGTAACACGATTGTATACTTTTTTTTTTTGACCAGCCGGGGTATGGGGTTAGTGCCAGTCTGTCAACACCAGCTAGCTTGCTGTACTATTTATTTATTTATTGTTATGTATTTATTTTGCTTTATTCTCTTTTTATCATATATTTATTCTGAAGCTCAATAATCAACGTTTTAGGGGTATTCAATCTGTACGGTTAAGAAATCTTAGCATAGGTTGATCTGCTATGTTTTCACTTCCCATAGAGTACTACCAGATTCATGCATATGACTGGTCACATCGAAAGCAAATGACAAATACAAGCTACTAAGCCCAGTACAGCGGCAAACAAGATATTACACTGCTAATCGATAGTTATCGTAACATCACTAGTTGTCGTCCATGTAGTGCAGAGATGAAGCTTCAGATATGAACCTTTGCACGCGACCTGGAAGTTTGCTTTACTCCGACTCTTAAATTATAGCTCGTTAAATTCATTTACAGCGATTTGCTATAGCGTAATAGATCAAAGGTTTGCAACATACACACTACACCAAGCATGCTGGCCATGATATAGGACAGGGACTGGGTCAACACTTGCTTTCACCCACCTCTCTCAATTTACTGTCCAGAAATTTCTTGGGGAATCCGCTGGTCTCTTCTAATTGTTTTTCTTATTAGAAGTAATCACAGAAGCTTTTTCGTCATTCCCCCACTCGTTGTCAGCAATAAATCCGGGTCTCGAGTAACTAATCAACCGTTTCTTCACAATCAAATTAATCTTATGCTGTAACGCTTCAAGATATCGGTACAAAAAGTATTCCGATTCGTTAATAGGATATTTCAACGGCGACAGTTTGCTGATCCAGAAATTAGGATCAATGTCCTCCCCGGGATCCTTTCTTAACCGTGGATTAAGCAGTAAGAGGGAGTGCCATTGATTGTACAGGTAGTGTCGTGGGGCTTCATCGGTCGACATGGTGATAAGAAGTTTTCGGACATGGTAAATGATTTTGACAAGGTCAAGTAAATCTTCAGTATTATCAAGTTCATCGTCAGCCTCGCTTCCATAGTCTGGACCCAAATCATCTATGAATTTCTGAACATTGGTGTTCACACGCTTAATATTTGTCATGGAACTCTTGTCTGTGTTATCGCTTGTAATGGTATCATTTCGCAACAACGTAGCTAGCTGATCATAAGCTACTTTGATTCCTTCATCCACACGTTCTTTATTTTGAAACATTTCTGGGTTCAGTCTCCCCACTTGCGTAGAAGGCAGTTTGACCAATCCAACTAATTGCAGTGGCCATCCAATCAATTCTTGGAAACGTTCAGTATATTTCCCAAACGAAGAAATAAGAGTGTCACTCATGTTAGAAATAAGCATTGTCATCAAAGGGACCGCACTGAGTGCCCAAACAACAAAGAACGGCCTTCCGGCGACGGTCGCGGGGGCGAAGTCCCCGTACCCGATGGTCAAAAGACACAAGAAGCAAAAGTAGACGCAATCAAAGATTGGCCAACCCTCAGTGCAGTGAAACACTACTGCTCCTAGCATCCAAAAACAAATGAAGGTCACTAGAGTGACGATTAACGAGATGTATTTCTGACTGCGGAGTTTCTGCACCCTGATGGTATTCATCATATCGAACATTTCCTCCTCGGTGCATTCAATCTCGTGATCCGCAAAGGCCCGGCGCCGCTCGCGTTCAATATGGTTCCAGATCATCGTTGGAAAGTGATCTGAAAGAATGATATCTCTAATGGTGGATATAATCAAGCCCAAAATCAATAGCCCAATCAATGCAAATACAAGTGTTAAACCCTTGGATGCATGTGTTTTCGGGGTAATATCGCCTAACCCAATGGTGAGGATGGTTACCGTACAGTAGTAAAGCGTTACACCATAGCTGTGGCTCATCAAGTGTGAGAGGAATGCGGAACCGATAGAAAGCCATGTGGAAAGAAGGAGGGTCTGGAACATAAGCGACCTTTGGTACGAGTCCAAGTTAAACCTAGCAGAGTACTTTCCTAGCAAGTAACCAATAAAGTTGACAGAGAGAACCAAGGAGGATGTCATATAGATTATCGCTGTAAGTACGCCATACCAGAAAGAATCAGTGGGAGAATACTTATTTTCACGAAAGGAAGTGACATGTGTGAGAAGCAAGATAACCATAAGGATGATGGAAGCTATAAACCAGCCAGAGATGGATACTATCTGAGCTCGTTTGTAGTCAAAGCGCTGTGAAAAGTTGAGCAAAAGGGAAAAGTTTGCAATGAAGCCTAAGGCTAGAGAAACTGCGTTAAGAGCGGTTACCCAGTGGTAATCTTTGATATCGGTATTGGACACAGAACTTCTGCGCCAGTTCAGGACCAAAGCAGCGATAGAGGTCATACTGGCCAATGGTCCCATACAGGCAGCGATGATAGGGAAGTATGTTGCAATAGTAAACCAGATAACAAAGTGTGGGTCTCCTGGTTTAATCGTGAGGTCTTTTAACGACATGTGGTTCACATTGAGGATCTTTCGGGGGATCTTGAAATCTTCGTCTTGAAATTGCTGGACTGCCAAAAGTTCCAGGAGAGCTTTCTGGAATTCCGCATTCTCAGACGGCGTAGATGAGATCATGATTTCACAGTCGAGGGGTTGTGCTGACATAATTTATTAGGAATAGACTGTGGATATAGTTGTGATTTCTGAAGGAGTAAAAGACCAGATGTAATGTTATCAATAACGAACTTCGGAAGCTTGTTGAGTATAATTCTAGAGAAGCAGCGGGGATACGTGTTTCAAGTATAGCTAATGTGACCCCGTCAGCCAGATGATGGGTGTATAGGATGATGAATATTATCGTGGTACATCAATCTGATGTATCTCTTAGCTGGAATCGCTGGTAGCAAAGACTTGGTGTACCTATTTGGCGAGTGTTTTCCGTTCCAGAGAAATAAGTGGCAAGTGAATTTATCGTTCGCGTAGATAAGCGCGCAGTCATGGAGCCGGGATTCGGAAGTCATTCTTTTTTTCTTTTTTCATCCTTCTGTATGCACAGAAGGAATTAAGCTTTGGCTCCATTCTTCCACCAAACATTTTCTTATCAGCAACCTTGCGCAGTGACTCTACAGGGAACGATCGATATATCAGTGTAAGCTAACCATTGGGCCACCTTTAAAGTTCGCTAGTCTGTGAAGATAAAAAGTCTAAGATGAAGTCATGTCTTTCTAGTGATCCTATACGCAAGGGGACATTATATACTGTCAGTCTGGGTACATGCATTTGTTGAAGCTCCGATTGTACTGTCATTTCCAGGGCTACTTGGGCGTTCGTTAGTTATTTACTTCGGGTCTGGCAGCATAGAACTATTACATAATGTGAGAATATAAGTATTCAGCAAGAACGTCAACTATCCAAAGTTAGTGGTCTGTAGCCTATATAAAAGATTTGAAAGGATCCGCCGGATAGAGTGAAGCTTAATGATACTTGAAAATATTCAACAAACTGCTATACTTTATTATCCAGTCATGTTTATCTTTACCCAGAATCCTTCTACAGTATATAATCATTTATAATAGGGAGTTGTAGCAACCCTCCTGCGCTGTTACACTGGACCCTGTTTTATCCAAGACATTGTAGTCTTCACGTGTGAAAAAATCACATGACTCTAGTGACTTGTGTGCTTGAAAAATTCCAGGGTCGTAGGTTAGTTTTCTCTAGCTAAATCACGATGGTCTCCAATTGGTGGACATCACTTTAAAATCAAAGAGCTAGTGAACGCAGCATTAATTAACTACCTTAACGTCCTTAAATGTTCTTATTTGGTATTTCCTATCGTGGTTTGATCGCCAGGGAGCCCTTCCCCAGGCTTGATTATCTTGCTACCCGGCTCCAATCCACCTTCTGCAGTCCCTCACGAGAAGAGATGGACAAGTCGCAAAAGTGGTTAGACGAGCTATCAGGACAGACCATCCCTCGCTCCATATTCAAGATCTCTTACAGCTGTTCCTCCGGCAAAGGTGGACAGAAGGTTAACAAGACCAGCTCCAAGGCTACCGTTTCTATGGCAAGGGAGGACTGGGATTCCGCGTACTGGATTCCAAAACCAGTGATGCAGCAGCTTCAAACAAAGGTATGTATCTTGTCATCTCTCTGCCACACAGATATACCTCAGATTGGTAAAAGCACCTGGCTAGCACTCCCTCGAGCCCATGGGGCCTAAAGGTCACATCTGAAGCAAATTTCTTTCATTTTGAAATATGCATTAAAGGGTCCCATTACTAATATATTAAGGGATTCCGGTACCAAACAGAAACGGGAAACGTTGTGATACAGTCTGACTCAACACGCTCGAGGTACCAGAACACCGACTTGTGCTTTGAAAAGCTCGCGGATGAGATCAGAGCTACGGTGTACTTTCCGAAGGAAACCACGGAGGAGACGGTGGAAAAATGGAACCAGATTAAAGAGTTTGCCAAGACCAAGCGGTTGGAGCAGAAGAAGCGGCATGGCCGGAAGAAAGCCGATCGCAAGAGCACATTCTGAAAGACTATATTCAGTTAGGTTTCGCTTATTTGGATATTACCGCCAAACATCGGCAATAAGCTATCCTCCTACTTAGCCTAGCTGTCAGCTGATACTTTGCAAAAGATATAAAAATTATCCGTGGTAGAACTCTTCCTGGTTTACAATATCTCCGCTGAGTATTGTAATCTTAGTGGAAACGTCCTAGAGATAAGTCAACCTAAAGAACTCGACTAATAAGGATGGATCAGAGAACAGAGTTCTATTTCGGATATTCTCTAACTTGAATGTTTTTCTGAATTCTGCCTGGCATCGTGAATTGGATTACGAACCCTGTCTAAACATATACATGTACCTGGGTTTTCATTAGATTATGCAACGCATATGTCTATACCTAGAGTTTAATGGCACACTATCCACAAAACCAAATAACTCCCTTTTCTGGAAATAAGTTGAATAATTGGATCTAACATGTATACATATATTTATTTCATTTCCAGTAATATAAATGCATTTTAAGCGTGGCTACCAGATCACAGTCATATAGAAGCTACTAAGAGGGCCACTCAATGTCAGTGTCATGCAACGTCATACGACGCCGAGACCTTCTAAAGACAAACTTACTAGCCTAATTTTGTCACGTAATCTATTATAGACAGAATAATTTCAGATAAACAGTCGATTGTTAATCTAAATTCATCATGCGAATGAAAAATGAAGTAAAAGCACAGGTGTCTATAGCCCGGTAATGGTCGTGCATCGCCATCTCGGTGCTTCCAGCATGAAAGTAAAATCAACACGGTTTAGCCTCTGCTGCTCCTCTACTTCTACTCATTCTATCAAAGATGTTCACAATTCCCCAGAATAGGTCGTTTGAAGATGCTTCTGCTGCCAAAACAGTACCACTTACTGTCAAGGCAACGACAGCTGCTTTACAGCTGCTGGTATCCCAAACTCCACACCCTCAGCCGGTCCCGGTGAAACCCCGCCGCCATTACAAGTTCGCTGAAACCAATGAAGAGATCCTCAAGAAGTACGAGCACCTCCCGCCGTCGCTTGAATTTCACATCCACGAGAACCACTACCGCTTTAGCACCCAAGAAGGCGGAAACATTCCCAAAAGTTCGCCTACCGTCAAAAAATTTATGGAAAACGTGCTAAACGAAGAAATCCCACCCGAACTTGTGGAGGTATTGCGCGACGGCGGAATTCAACTCTACGAGGGATGCATCATCTTACAAATTGCAGACTACCGGGAGCTTTCAGGGAAACTCAACATGCAAGCGCAGCCTGAACCGAAGACGTACCGTACGCTTTTGCGTCCCACACAGCTCTCACTCTATTTCGACTTGCTTTATCACACGGATTTCTCCATAACGCGGTTCTCGGACCAGCTTTCGCTCAACCTTGAGTCTGAGATTTTGACGTTGACAAAGCGCAATATCGACCTATCTGTTCCCTTGAATCCTTATAACTACGAGCACCTTAAGCCCGATGTGGCGCCTCCGCAGCTTGTGACCGACCCTGTGTCCGGTCAAAAACGATTGATCCATCCTCACCGTGAGGAAAAGGTTCCGTTCACGACGTTAAAGCCGCCAGGCGTATTCCACGACAAGGACATACAGCAGAGATCTAGCGAGTACGAGGACCTCATGTTGATCATGACGAACGACCAGCTGACTAACGCTGCTACGGGTCAGTTTGCACGTCTTCGCTACATCGAGCAGATCCGCCGCAAGATGAAGCTCGCACAGCAGCAAGCGGCAAACGCCGCAACAGTGCATGACGAACCCGACCACAACCTGTCTATCTCCACCGCAAGTGTAGTCTCGCTGAAGTCGTCAATGTCAAAGGAAAAGCCCAAACAAACCGCTAAAGAAAAGAAGGAGGCCAAAGCGGCTGCTGCACGAAAACCCGTTTCGGGCAAGACTCTACCAGGGCATTATGCCAGCAAGACTGTACCCGGGGGTATGGCATCCACTGCAGATGGCACCCCCACAGAGCCTCCAGCCAAGAAGAAGCGCGGGACGTACAAGAAGAAGCCGAAGGGCGAGGCAAAGGACGGAAAGGAGACACCCAAGAAGGCTTCCAAGACAACGAAAAAGTCCGAGGCAAAGCAAGAGTAAACGAGAAAATGAATGGGTATATATCGATTAGCATGTATATTTGGTATTCAAAGCAATGCCGCAGATGACAATGCATCCCGGTGGTGCATAATTGACCTGGATAGATATCATCTAGAATTAGATGATATCTGAAATAAACTGGTTTTTGAAACAGAGTCGGAGATTTATCATACTGGTTCTGCTCCCCCCCCTTTAATGATTTCTCCTGTGTTTATGGCATCATTAACGCGTAATATTTCACTTTGGAACAAAACTTGCTATAGTATGTACTCAAGTTAAATAAGACGCGATACTGTATATACGACTGTTATAAGTCTCAACTGTAATCTACCAAGGTTCGTATATGGTAAATGATTCGTATTTGTGATTGCTCTTAATATGTACATGTTTTATAGGCTCCAGTTACAAATTTAGTTATAAAAATATTGAAATATCCTGGGACTGTCAAGTGTTTTACTCTAATTTATAAACGGATAAAATAATGATGAGCTCTTGGAAAACAGTCTAAATGTGCCTAGTAGAACGAGCATCCGCCTATACGTTCTTGCTGTAAGGCCATGTATTCTGGGAAATTCATGGGTATTTACATGAAAATATCTAATATCAAAGAAATTGGCAATTGAACCTCCATTAAGATCTCAATTGAAATGGACAAACATCCCATGGATTGAGACAAAACGAGTGATACGTCGTTCATATAGGTCCGAGTGGAATCTTTCTGCCGTAAAATAAATCTTAGTCAGATAAGTGATATGTACAAATGGAGGAATATCCACGGTATGCTGCACGAAGCAGTCAGGATTTGTGGCCATAAAGCTCTTTGTAGAATGCTTATGCTAAGATCTCTATACATCACATTAAGGCATCACTGCAAGCAGATAAACAAGACCGGTGTTCCACAAGCACTCACTACCCGCTTTTCACTTCCTTATTCGTAACTCCCAAACGACATCAACCCGCCTCTCCCAGAATGTCTCGAAAAATAATCAAAATCAATACTCACAGCATTCCCCAACATCACCGCACGCTGGTCCAATGCCATAGGCCCTGAGAGTTGTGGATATACGTCTTCCATCCCCTGGAACGACGCTGGGTCAAACCGCAACACATATACGCCGGTGTCGGTAAACATCTCTCTCCCCAAGCCGACCCAATTTCTGTCTACGGCCCCCATCACACCGCCATTCTCGTCGTGCACAGGGAAATTGAAGCTCAAGAATCCGGAGTCAATGCTCCCGAACTGGTCATAGTTGTCCACCCCAGTTTTCTTGAACAAGTTGTACCGCCTTCTCCACAAGTGCCAGCTCTGGATACTCTCGCCGATCACCACTCCGTCAGTGTCGTCGCCTTGCACCCCTGGCAAAATCGCTTTGATGTGCGAGTTGATGAAACTGAACGGTCTGCGGATAGTGAAAATGTGGTTTTCGTTCACGTCAAACACGTCAACCAAGAATGGACGGTGTAAGCGCGTAACTTGGCGGAGGATCATCTTGCCGATACCAAAATCACGCTCACGCATCGACCCAAGTACGTTCCCCATAGCATCCATGATGCGGTAGTGGTTAGCCTGTTCAAACCCCAAAACCACATTCATCATTTCGATCTGGCGCTCGACCACAAGTGTTGGCTGCGAGAGAATGCTAGAGATAGTTTCTTGGGCAGTGAGAACTCCCTGCGGATTGGGAACAGCATAGGTTGGATAGTCATACTGCGGCTGGAACCGTGGTACCGCCGTTTTGGGTTCTGCCCATTCCACTCCTTGTTCTCGCATTTTCCTGGATCGTCTTGCAAGGACCGCTTTCACGTTGCGTCTGATGCGCGGGTCGGTGTAGGCTCTCACAGGCATCACGCCGGGTGTGTAAATAGTTCTAGCGAGCCTCGGTAATACCGTTCTAATCATCTTGGGATGTAAAGTTAATTGAGGAACGGCGAAAGAGGGTAGACGTCTTGGTAATCTCGAACAAAAATGTTAACCAGGCGTGGTGGCGGCGTCCTGCATGCTGTACCGTGAATTCCGTGCATTTACTACGTCTAGTTAGTGCGGATCTGGCGGTTGAATTTCGGTACATCCAAACCTCAGGCAACTTTCTCATCGACTGGATCTAATTCGTTGAGAATTTGTTAGCTATAAACATCCACTCTGTCCTAGCCATCTCACCCTACTAAAAAAACAGTTTCGTAAAACCATAGCAAGGCAAATAAACCCCCACCACACAGACTTGAAGTATATCTTAACCCTTGACTATGACCAGTAATACACCTTCTGAGAGTACCAAACATTCAAAACAAACATCTAATACTAATTCACACCACTTAACAGTGGATACCAACGGTAATCTTTTTCCAAGCATGGCACTTCTTACCCCAAAATCTTTAAAATCCAACTTCGTATCCTGCACATATCACGTGCAAAGTTTTTTGTCCACTGAAAAACGCCAATCGGTATTTGACTTGCACACCCACCAACCTTAACGCCATCTCTGGTTTTCCACGCCTAACCATGTCCGCTATTTTCAGAACTAGGGCGCTCCGGGCGCCGCAAATGCTCAGGTCCGTGCATGTGGTTCCTACGCTCAAAAACCAGCAGGCGCTAATGGACAATGGCCTCACGGGCTTGTACTCACCGACGGGCTTTAAGGTCGCGTGGACGGACTACCAGCAATTTTTGACCTTGAACCTCACTATGGCAACGGTTGGAACTGAATACGAGCTCAAGAAGCCGTTTGACATTGTGGTGATGTCCAGCATGAAAGCCCACGAGAGCACCGCCTTCCACTACGCGTCCCAAGCCCACAACAACCATTTGTTTTTCGAACAGTTGTGTGATTCCGCGTCTAACAGGTCCGCGCCGTCGCGTACGTTGCTTGCTAAGCTCGAAAGCTCCTTCGGCTCACTTGACGCCTTCAGAAACGAGTTTTTGTTGGCCGCAGACACCTTGATGGGCCAGGGCTGGGTCTTCCTTGTAGAAGACAAGTCCAAGCGGGTGAGAATCATGACCTGTAACAACGACGGAACCCCATACGCTGACGGCAGACACCACGAACACGACTTGAACGGGCCGATCGATGAGGCCGCCTACGAGTTTGTGACAAACACCAAGCAGGGCTTGCAGGCCGGTGATAGGCAGTTCAATTTGCCGCTTGTGTGTGTGAACGTCTGGGACCATGCGTACATCCAAGACTTTGGCGTCAACGGTAAGGCTGACTATTTGGAGGCGTTCTGGAAGGCACTCAACTGGGACGTGGTGAACGCTAGGTTGTACTCCTTTGAAAAATAGAGAGAGAGAATGCTTGTAAATACTATGAATTGATTGAAATATGTAGATAATACTTGCGTGTAGGAGTGTCACTATGCTTATGCACCTCATTACTTGGCTATTAATCGTGGTTTTATTGCGAACAATACATGTGTAGCATGCAGTTATTACCAGAGTTGAAGCATTAACATTTAAGTATAAAAGTGGTGCATATTGCTAGTAGAATTGTTATAGATGGCGGGTCTGTAGTGTATCGCGGGTGTTCTACCTCTAAGTATTGTGGTCTGTAAGGACTGGTTTAAGCTGCCTTATCCAGGTAACACATAAAATGAAAAATGGTGGCTCTATAAGTAAATCACAGGATAGTAGGCCAGTTTGAAATTAGCCCCCTTTGGCGCCGTCTGTTGCCATGAGTCTGATATTTTCAAGGGCAATAATAACCTTTCTTCGAAATTATACTCATAAGTCCTTTTGGATGTAAGACATAGTGAAACCTTCATAAGTACACTGCTCCGTTTCTAATTATCATTACGCATAAAAGACAGGTAATCCACGAACTAGTATCGTGCACAGCAGAACTTGTAATGGAAACCTATCATACGGATACGGTATTGAATTATAAACAATTGGTCCATAAAACAGAATATTCCGTCATAAACTCAAAGAGATGAACTTCCTGAAACTTATATGTGTTAATACAAGTTTGGTCGGAGATCGTGAAAGGTAATGCAAGGCCCATTTACAGACCTAGTTTTAATACATATGCTTTAAGTTCTAGTTTCAGGCGGTCATGATATACTGAACCATCCAATTTCAGTCCAAATTCCGAAATTCCTAATTCATTACCACAACCCCTAACCTCTCCTTTCTATTTTATTCTTATCAAACCTTCATCTCTATAATCCCTTTAGCAGCGCACAGCGAAACCTCCTGTCTCCATGCAGGATATTCGACATTTTGTCCACATGGTCTACCTGTCAGATCTTATCCCATCCCTCCACTCTATGCTATCTATTTACCTCTTAAAAGTGTGCTAGAGTGAGTGAATCAATTTCTTATCACTGATTGCCACGTCGCTAAATTGTGGCCCCTGACTTTCCCATCTTCCTCTTCCCCAATATGGCATCCACGACATCCTCAGTGTTGTGCCGGTCGACACAGAGTGAGCTCCTCGACGCTTTCCTCTCTGGGGGCCAAGCAAACGTGGCAGTTCTCCCACCAGCACTCATTATCCACGGACCGTCATCCACCGGTAAAACCTTCACACTACGTCACTTTCTCACCCTGTCGAGCTTCAAACACACTCTCGTCCAATGTGAAGAGTGTGTCACCCAACGGCTCTTACTCCAACGATGCCTCCGGTCTTACATTGCCGACAGCGGATCTACCCCACCTACTGATTTAGACACCTCTTGCGATAGCTTTTCGAGTTTTATGGTTTCACTCGAGCAGTTTTCCGTTCACGCTTCCTACACCCAGCCGCATTTGCTCGTGCTAGACCGGATTGACCGGTGCATGGAGCCCCCTACCGACCTATTTGCACAGTTCGGACGCCTATATGAGCAGTGTTCAGTCAATCTCTGTGTGGTCTTTGTCTACTCGTCTCCTGACCCCAGGACCCTTTTGACTAGCTCCATCCCGCACGTATACTTCCCCAGATACACCCAGGACGAAGTGGTGGAAATTCTCTCCACTAAGATGATTTGCCAGTTCCCCGGTGAATTCACAATTACTGATACCGCTGCTATGGACTTTTGGGTCAAGTATGTGAAGATTGTAGTGGACTCCATTGCCGCCTACACCGGCACAGACATCATCCTCATTCAGGAGATCCTCATGAAAATATGGACTCCCTTCATAGCCCCCCTTGTCTCTGGGCAGTTCAAAATCAACGAGTTTATCCGCTTGTTCAGGCATGGGCTGCACTTGTTTGGGGACTTTGCCATCGCCGATGACTTGTTGGAATCTCACCCGGGTCACCTGCTTCCCAGCAATATTCCGCTCCATTCCAAGTACATTCTTATTGCAGCATATCTTGCCTCTTTTAATGAATCGCGCTACGATTCTTTATTCTTCTCCAAGTTGAAGCATGCTAGAGCTGACCGCCGGTTCGGTGGCCGCAAGGTCAGAGGAAATTCAAAAGCCGCGGCGAGGATCAGCAACCGGATGCTTGCAGCCTCGCCGTTCGACTTGGAGCGCTTGCTCGCAATTCTCCATGCCATCTACCAGGAAAACTACGACGGTAAGCTAGTGGTAAGTTTCGACGATGAGGGCAAAGGGGAGACGGAAACATCGTTGGCATCCGGAGCGTTGGTGAATACTATCGATGTGGAATCACAAATCGCCACCTTGATATCCTTACGCTTGATTGTCAAGACGGGCAATGGGGTACACGGGGATTTACTTGCCGGAAAGGTCCGGCTTCGGTGCAACGTCGGCTGGAGCTTTATCGCAGGGTTGGCCAAAGATATTGGCATGGATGTCGAAGGGTATATTCTTGAATAGGAGACAGAGTAAGAACCTGTCTCTCGATAAATTGCGTATTATAACTGGTTGATATGTCTTATTGTAGTAAGGTCCATTCAATTCCATTTTTGTGGTGCCACAGACTTATGACTTCAAGAATGTTTGAAGTCACTGTTTCGGAATTCTTCACATTGATCGGTAAGCCTAGGGTTAATCTACGTTGGGTAATAGGTGCAGGCGTATAACTTTACACTATGAACGCACAAGAAAATTTATCGTCTTGAGGTTCTTTGGCTTGCCAGTTACATATATACTGCCTTGCATCCTTTTTGATCCAACTTGGCCCGAGTTTAAATCAAAAGTATGGCAATGTATGCCCAACTGGCCTTGAAAAGGCACACCGATATTTGTACATCGAGACGATCGTGTCTATGAGCTTTATGGCAATTCCCGTGGTAGCGACTCTACATGTAATTCTTTTCTATACACTCGATGTGTTACAAAATCGTAATTATACACTGGGGCGCGTCTCGCACAACCACCAAAAAATCTTAGAACAAACCGTCAATCTCACCCTCGGCATTGACCTCAACGTTCATGAACCCGCAGTGGGTTGGCAAACCTGGGATGGTTTGGATCTCGGCAGCCAAAGCGTACAAGTAACCAGCACCGATGGACGCTCTGACGTCCCTGATAGGAAAGGTGAAACCTGATGGAACACCCTTCAATGCAGCGTCGTGCGACAACGAGTATTGAGTCTTGGCGATACAGATCGGAAGGTTACCAAACCCTTGAGCGGTGTAGGTGGCAATCTTTTGCTGGGCAATTTCAGAGAACTCAACGGCACCAGCACCGTACATTTCCTTGGCAATGGTGGCGATTCTGTCCTCAACCGAGCCGGAAGTTTCGTACAAGAATTTAAAGTCCTTTGGCTGCTGGGAAGCGGCAATAACACCATTGGCCAAATCAACAGCACCCTTTCCACCTTCCTCCCAGTGATTAGACACAATAGCCGCGTCAGCACCGGCCTTCAAGGATTCCTCTCTGATAACCTCGTGTTCAGATGCAGAGTCGGAGGACATCTGGTTGATGGCAACCACAACCGGCAATCCATACTGCTTGGCGTTAGAAATATGCTTGGCCAAATTGGAGCAGCCGGCTCTCAACAACTCAACGTTCTCTTGGGTGTATTCAGCAGCCAACGGAGCACCAGCCTTGACCTCTGGGCCGCCACCATGGACCTTAAGGGCTCGGACAGTGGCAACAATGACGACAACATCTGGAACCAAACCAGAAGATCTGCACTTGATGTTGATGAAACGCTCACCACCCATGGTGAAATCGAAACCTGCTTCGGTAACCACGTATCCTTCGTGCTCCTTGGCCTCCTCTTCAGACAAGTCGAGGGAGGTACCAGCAAGCTTCAAGGCCATCTTGTCAGCAAGAATGGAGGAAGCACCGATGGAAATGTTGGCAAACGGACCGGCGTGGACAAAGACAGGAGTACCCTCCAAAGTTTGCATGATGTTTGGCTTGATGGCGTCCTTCAACAAGGCAGTCAAGGCACCGGCGCAGCCAATGTCCTCGCAGGTAACCGGAACACCGGCACGGGAAGAACCAATCACCATGCGGCCCAATCTGTCACGCATGTCTTCCAACGAGTTGGCCAACGCGAGGATAGCCATGCACTCAGAGGCGACGGAGATGTCAAAACCGGTAGAACGAGTCATACCCTTTTCTGTGGCAGCCTCACCAATGGTAACACCACGCAAAAATCTATCGTTACAGTCCACAACACGTCTCCAGGTGATGGTTTCTGGGTCGATATCCAATCTGACGAAACGGGAAATTTCCTCCTCGGTGAGGTCGTTTGGTTCGGTTTTGTTGATCCCCAACTTCTGGAGTCTGTTCAAGAAGCACTTTGCAAAGGTGCGGACACCTTTCTTAGCTGGCACGAGTCTCTTGTACAAGGCAGCGTCCTTTTGGGTGTTTTCATGAAAGATTCTGGTGTCGATGGCGGCGGCAAGCAAGTTATTGGCCATGGAGATGGCGTGGATATCACCGGTGACGTGCATGTTGAACTCATCCATCGGAATGACTTGGGAGTACCCACCACCGGCAGCACCACCCTTGATCCCGAAGGTAGGACCCATAGAAGGCTGTCTGACGTTGGCAAAAACATTCTTATGGAGGTGAGCACCAAGGGCTTGTGCAAGACCGACAGTGGTGGTGGACTTACCCTCACCAAGCGGAGTTGGAGTAATACCAGTTACCAAAATGTACTTACCGTTACGCTTGTTACCCAAACGGTCAAGAAGGTTGAGGTTGACCTTGGCCTTGTAAGCACCGAATGGCTCAAGTTCGGAGTCAAGGATACCGGCTTCGGACGCAACGTCAGTGATGTGTTTTGGTTCCTGGTCACGGGAGATTTCAAAATCAGACGGGACTGGGGTCTGGAGGTTCAACGGTAATGGGTTGGTAAACTTCTTTGGGTGCTTGGAAGCATCGTGCTGTCTCTTGGCAGCGATAACTACGTTTTCTAACAACATAGCGACAGTCATTGGACCAACCCCACCTGGAACTGGGGTAACCTGACTGGCAACCTTGACGGCGGATTCGAAATCAACGTCACCGACCATGCGGGAACCGGACTTCTTGGTGGCGTCTTCAACAAAGTTGGTACCAACATCGATGACGACACAGCCGGGCTTCAACCACGAGCCCTGGACAAAGCCTGCCTGGCCAATGGCAGAGACCACAACGTCAGCGGTGGACACGTACTGCGCAATGTTCTGGGTCTTGGAATGGAGCACGGTGACGGTAGCATTGGCCATCTGCAACAATCTGGCGACTGGAGCACCGACAATATCAGAGCGACCGAGCACAACGGCGTTAGCACCGTTCAACTCAACCTTGGCATGCGCAAGCAACTCCATGATCCCCTTAGGCGTGCATGGGAGGTAGAGTGGCTCACCGTTTCTGCGGTTCAACTCACCGACATTGAACGGACCAAATCCGTCAACGTCCTTCTCCTTAGAAACAGCTGCAGTAACTTTGTCCTCGGCAATGTGCGCTGGGAGGGGTAATTGCACGAGGATACCGTGGACGGCTGGTTCGGCATTGAGCTTGGAGATTCTAGAAAGTAATTCGTGCTGAGAGGTGGTTTCCGGGAGAGAAACAAGTTCACAAGAGATGTTAGCCTCCTTTGCAGCATTAAGCTTCATCTTCACATAGGTCGAGGAGTCCGGACGGGCACCCACCTGGATAATCACCAAGGATGGGTTGAATTCGGAAGAGACAGCCTGGATCGCATTGATCTCACTGTGGATACGGCCCCTGATGTCTTGGGCAATTTGCTTCCCGTCAATTAAAGAAGCCATAACGAAGGGTGTGATAATGGTTAAGTTAGCTGGTCGGCTAAAAGCGAGGGCCGGGGCCATGCCGATCTTATATACCTCGGCGGCTAAGGCCGTTTGGAATATCCGGCATTTAAATAAATTGGCCTGACTCTGGAAAAAAACCTTGAAGGGCACCGTGCAGGATAGAAGGGGGTAGCTCTAGTGTCTGGGAATCAGGCGGAGGTAGCCTAGTGAACGTTCATATCAAGAGTAAAGTTCAGGACTGGCCAGTTAAGAGAAGTGAGAAATCGGTAGTACAATGATAGCAAATGGTAACGTTAGTATTTGTAAAATGAAGGGGGTATGGTTGCGAGAGAAGTCGCCCAGTACAGGTCACGGGTTCAAGGCCAAAGAGAGATAAGAAAATTTCACGTGCGATCCCACCCCCGTACTGCACATCCAACATTTTAACAGGAACAAAGCGCGTGTCTGAGTCACTCTTGACTCGGGAAGGAGAATAGCCTAGAAGTTGACTCCGGAGTTCTGTAAGACTGCCACTTTATCGTATATCTTCCAGCCGTCTGTTCCTTTATTCAACGCTAAAAAGTAATTAAACACGTAGGTGTGCTACCTGAATTTTCACCGACTGAGATGTAGGTTTTAAATAGCCCTATGATCAATGACGAATTGAGGGGTAAAATAGCTGCATATTACAGCCTCCCGGATGACAGCACATTGGTATCTGTGAGCAGAGGTACAGCTGATCTGATATCTAAGAATCCAAAATATTCTATAAATTGAATTTAATTAACTGGTTTAACCTCCAATGGCCTATTGAGGATATCTAGCTCCATTATTCACGATTATTTGTTAGGACCAAAAGACGGCGCTATAAGTCATTGACTCTACACTAACAGAAAATATCCTAGAGGGAAATGAAACTTTAGAATTCGTTTTGAAGAGAATGCCTGAACATCTAGCTAGACTAGTTTACCTTCTCCGTGATCTCTAACCTTGGCTTATCATTTAGGTCGCCTGCTCCAGAGACCATCGACTTGTGCCATGCGATAGAGTGGCGCATGTTAGCACGTGGCACGTCACGTTCTCTGAGCGCCGCACTCCACCGGCCTTTTGTTTACATCTTCAGGAAAAAATACAGACGTGTTTGCGGGTTGTTCCAAGTCCAAGCACATAGACTTCACGCTTGCTGCACCAATAGCTGCTTAGATTCACTGCATCCCTATTTCTCCTAGACCCAGGTGTATCCAAGCCACTACTACTACAAGCACGACGCCAGATGAATAGCGTGCAATCCCCCTATGTACGTATCCAAAACGGGGCAGGTTTGCTGGAGCGATTTCAGGTGATTTTGAGGGATTGGGAATTCCATAGTCATGTATGAGAAGAATCAGGCAGCGTCATTCTGGATATGATAAATCATCCATGATTTTACGCCGTGTTAAGGTTTTCTGCCGATTCCAAACTATGAATGACATCTGTGGATCACCCCATCCTTGTATGATCCGGGAATTCTTATTCCACCTTCCCCTTCTCAACTACTTCTCTATCGCATACCTGTGCGTTATATCTTCTGCTTGATTTATACTAACACCTTTAGTCCAACACAGGTAGCAGTTCACTAAATTATGTAGCCACGCCGATCGTGGTTCACCTTACGGACACTCCCCACACATTGCTAGATCCATCGCTCGCGCCTGCCCCGACGGGGTTAGAGCGGCCAATTAAGTCGTATCCTCTCAGCGACATTCCCGACTTGCATATCCAACAGGCTCTTATCATCAAAGACCTACTCTACGTGCTTCTTGGTCACGAAGGCTACTACGTCCGGTACAGTGAAAAGTACTCACCCGGCTCCCCGACCTCGCGTTTGCTCGGCCCCGACTTCAAGATTGCCAAGCATTTAGATGTCAGTTTGAAGGACATCACCAAACGCGTCGCTCGGTGTGGAAAAATGTATGTCTCCATCTACAGTTTCCTCGAGCAGTATGACAAAGCAATTTTCGGTCAGGTAAACCAGCTGCTCTGTGCCCAGATTCGTGGATTCATCACCACGGTTTACCATCCACTAGTGGTGCAACTTGAGACCGAGTTCAACACCCGAGACTCCTCGTTGAATTTGATCAGAGTGGACCAGGTATGTCAGGAAGCAATTACGGTGCCTCTCTCCCACCTTTACGAGATTGTAACCATAATTCACCAGGAAAACCGTAACCGGCACCAAAAACGTGCTGGTAATGCCCACGGCGACTTGCTAGCGTCCATTAAACATGATCTACGTGACCTTAATTCGCTTGAGCTTCTCTCAGACACCACCCCGTCGTTGTATATCACAGGTCAAGCAACTCTTCGCATCGTCCAGGAGTGCCTTGATGCCAATCAGGCAGATGAGACTTCGTTTCGGTTCCTCACAGGGCTTTTTGACCAGGTAAGCAGCTCCTACTTACACATGCTCAACCAGTGGCTCGTGCATGGCACGGTGAACGACCCGTACGATGAGTTTCTTGTGAAGGAAGTGGATCCACCCGCAAACATCACCATCCGTAACAGTGACCGCTATTGGGAATCCAAATTTGTCATCCGCAAGGAACAGGACCAGGCAGGAAACGATATCATGATGAAACAGTTTGTGTCTAAGGCCGTTCAGTTAAAGATTCTCCGCGTTGGGAGATATTTGAACGTGATCAAATGCTGTGGCATTGATGTATGCAGTCTTGACGGAGGCTCGACGTCGAACATCCATATCGGCTCCATCTACTCCTCTAATGCTAGCAGTTTCATTATGGGTGCTATTTCTAGCACCGACTTCGATATCAGGTTGGAAAACGCATATCGTCGTGCAAACCGCCTCATCTTCAAGCTCTACTCCCAGGGGTATGACTTGCTCTCTCTGCTTCAATTCATGAAGCACTTCTGGTTTCTTCAGCAGCAAAAGGCAGTGCAATACGACGAGTTTTGTCAGAGTTCCTTGGCGGAGTTGAAGAAACCGGGAAATATGGCCTCGTTGAGTCGCCTAACTCGTCATTTCCAGCGCTACGTTACGGGTGTTCTGGAAATCCCTGATTCTATCCAGTCTGTCCTTCTCCAACTTACAAGGTTAAGCATGACCGCTGACAACTATTACACCCATTTGCTTGATATCCTAGCTATTAAACCCACCTTTGCGGAGATGGACTACCTGGGACATGCTGGAGACTCTTTCCGTTTCCTCTTAAAGAAGTCTCTTGAGTTCAAGAGTCACAGAGTAGACGACTCTATGATAAGCAATAGTCCAAGCGGGGGGGATAGCTCTGGTGCTGATAAGTATGCCATTTTCAACATGAATGTTGAAGTGACGTTGCCGTTTCCGTTGAACCTCCTCTTTAAGGAAGATATGCTTGCTTCTTTCAGTCTCATCTCTCGCAACTTGCTCATTGCCAAGTTTCTCGTCCACTTCCACGGGACAGTATGGCGAGAGATGAATCGGGGTGTATGGAGGTATCCGAAGCTTTCAGGGCCCGTGAAAAAGTGGATACTCCGTATGCGAGTGTTTCATTCAATGCTCCAGTCCTTTTTGGTTGAGTACAGCTACTACTTGAACCATGATGTGATGGAGCCAGAGTGGGCCCAGATGAATCGGAAGGTGATCAAAGCTTGTGTATATGCCGAGAACTACCAGGAGACGGTGCCTCTGGACGGTTTCTCTTTCAACTCTACCAGTGGCCAAGATGTGGACTTCCATAATACAGTCCAGGAGATCCAGTCATGTCTCAATGCAATCATGAAGGGGTCTTTCCTCGTCAACAAGGAACTCATTGAGTTGCTCCAGAATATCTTGATGATTATCCTCCAGTTTGACCAGTTTGCGCTCTCGTTGTCTAAAACTATTATCCACCTAGATGCCACCTTGTTTGAAAAGCACTACGGGCAGGATGGCTCTCGTTCATTTGAGCCGGTCAAGAACAAAGAGCGGGTGCAGAAAATGAATGTTTACTTGAATCGGTTGTGGGAGCTGTGGAATGATCAGATGGGAAATTATTTAGAAGGGCTTGAGTACTTAGGCACTCTGGAGAATGATTGCTTCTTGAAGTTGTTCCACCGTTTGAAGGTGGTTCAATAAGGGAAGGGAATGACTGAACCCCCAACTAGAACCGATGCCCTAGATCCAAAGCTGAGTACACTTTTCTGTGTTTATATTTGGTGCTAGCCTGCGTATATGTGTATATGTGCATATATAGTATCTCTGTGTATAGGTCATTCAACTACTTTTGATACCGATGCAGTTATTGATTCGTAGCCAGGGGGACTGGATAATGTATATATATCATAATAATACATATATATCATAATAATACAAATCAACTTTGTTATATATTTTTCCGCGTTGTATTTAATTTGAGATTTCATTTAGATTCTGGCTACGGAAGTGCTGTCCCATATTGTTTCAGAACGCAGTCATTAACCACCCATGATATTGCAAATTCCATGTGAGGTATATTGAGAAAAGTAATTATTGTCCGTTCATGGGATATGGTGATTGTTGCGATTGTTGGCTTAAGCTGACTAAGAGTACCTTTCATAAGTAAATCTAGTAGCTTAGGTAATCACTCCTATATGATAAATCGGGGCTTAATAAAACTAACAAGCATAAATCAAGCATTGTAAGCCCGCGGTAGAACTAATACTACACTTAACTAGTTTCAACGAACCACCAAAGCTAGCAGTGCTGGTTCACGGAAACCCAAGAGTCGTGCAGGGTCCAGACAGTTCCTAACAAAAATGCACTTGAAGTTTAGACCGAGCCTCTGCATACAGGTTATCTGCAGAGGCAAATTTGAGAATAATACAATTATCATCGCGATATAAGCTAAGACTCTCAACCCTCTCTCAGTTCAGTGACGAAATTTTTTATGACTGGCGACCTACTATTCACGGCTTCCACGACGCAAATCGCCCATATTGCGCAGGTGTTACAGTCCATCACCAGCGCCAAGACACAGGCGCTTCTCCAAATCACGAACGATGGCATCAACTTGGTAACAGAAAACAACCACATCTGCAAGATTCGTCTTTCGCTCGACAAGACACTTTTTAGCAGTTATAACCTCCAGCTACCCGGTGCACAAAGAGGGGAGAATGACAACGATATGACGCAGGTCAGTGACGACGAAGATGGGCGCAAAATCGAAATCGGAATCGATCTTAACTCTATCAGCGACTGTTTCAACATGGCCAACCAGAGTTTCAACGCTGCGTCACTTCTTCCGACAAACGGTGGGACTACGTTGGCACACCTGCACTTGTACGACATCCAGTGCATCATCTCCTACCGGCGCCACGGCGATCCATTGGTTATCGACTTCAAGGATGGCAAGATGAACGAGAAGGTGGAGTTTCTGACGTTTCACATCGATGAGACCTTGCAGCAGGATATGGTGTTGTGCATCGACCATCTGATGCTTGTGTACGAGTTGATGATCAAGTCAGACGTTTTCCATAACATCTTGAAGGATCTCAAAGATATAAACACGGAGGATTTGTTCATCTACGTCAGCAACATGAACAAGAAACGGCTGAATGAGAGTGACGTCAGCGGAAGGGTTACCACACGCAATAAGACGCGTATTCACAACGAGTTAAACTTTATCTCTCGCGGTGAGATTGGGTATTCTAAAATGATGTTTCCCCAGGAACGGTCTATTCTCGAGCAGTTGACGATATACAAGAATTATGACTCAGTCCCTGTGGACGACGAACTGCAGATGCAATCCGCCATCATCTCCCGGTACAACTACCCAATTTTGAGCAAGATCATCCGCCCGGTGCGGCTCTCACACAAGACCAAGATCATGAAGGATTCCCAGGGGTTAATGTCGTTCCACTTGTTAATCAACAACCACGAGCTTAACAACTACCAAGGGACGATTATTGAGTTCAATATCTTGGAGATGAACGTAGAAGAGATTGATCTCGAGCTTAACACGTTGCTTGAAGAGGACTCGCAGCCCCGGGAGGACGAGGACGAGCTTTCTGCTGATATACAGCCGATTCGCCGTATAATACAGCGCCCGTTCAGCACCGCAACCATTTTAGAGACGGAAAATGAAACTACGGAGCCGAGCGCTGCGCAGAGTAGCTACGAGGCCACCGCGCAAAACATCCAGGTGAACGACTCGACGATAGGATCAAAACGCAGGCACGAAGACGATGATGATCGTGAAAGGCAGCTCGAGAGTTATGGAGGGGCTGTTGAGGTTCCGTTGTTCTTTTAGGGGTAAGTACCAGTTCAAAGTCGGAGACGAGGATAAGGGTTTTTTTTTTGAGATGGTAAATAGTGCAAAACCCCGTGTATTTGTCAATTCTTAGGGCGTCGGTTGAGAATGGGTGAAGCGACCTACTAATAATGCTATAAAAAGTGCTTTTATATACTCATATGTCTTTCTTACGGACTCTGGAAGCGTCACATGAGGATTACGTTTAAATACGCCACTTGCTCGGTAGTCTCCTTTGCATACATCCTTGACATCAAAATTACAACCCCAATAATACGGACAAATTTTATAGTAATATACAGCGGGTAAGTTCTAAATATGACAGCCATTTGGTGCTATCAATGAAAGTTCTTAATCAAGGGCACTACCGTCTCTCGGCCTGTAGGTCAAGCCCTGCTCTTCCATGTCTTGCACCACCGATGGCGGCAACTTCCCGTTGACCTTAACGGCGTACATGCCTGGGATGAAGTTGTTAATTCTCAACCATTTTCCAACCCAGGAGTTGGCAGGATCACCTACAGCCACCAAACCCTCGAACGCCGGGGATGTGACGTCGGCGTAGCCCTCGTCCGCGATCTTCAAGATACTTTCGCAGTTGGGGCACCCGTTGTCGTTGAACTGCTGGGTGGTTTGGATAATTCCGCATAGCATGCATGCTCTTTCTGTTCTGCTGGACATGGCTTGATAAGATGTGCTGTAAAGTAGTGATTGGGTGTGTATAAATGCTTATAGTGAAATCCAGAGTCTGATAGCTGTTGTGTGAAAATTAAGCGGTGACAACACTACTGTGGCGCAGCGGTGGCGGTGTGGCGGAAAGGAAAAAAACGGTCTAAACCAGGATATGGTGCCGGATCAGTAGATGTTCAAACTCATATCACCTTTTTAGTACATTACCATACATATATCTAAAAGTTTCTTGAGGTTTATAATTAATTATCACTCATTCAGGTGAGCAATCCACGCTAGTAGTTTCCCGCTTGCTATTTGACCCAAATGTCTCCACCATTTCTATTCAATGGAATCGTTTTGTTGATTCATATCTCCTCCCCACTGTTTCGGTAAAAAAAACACCCTCCTATCCGAGCAAACTGCGCTTTCTCCCGCGCATGCGCACTTCATCTAGACGCCGCAAGGTCTCGGTGCACTTCTTGCCGCCGAGTTTGCCGCCCACCTCGGCATGACCTAATGCGTAGCCCTCCAAGACCCACGCGTTGTATTTCTCGCTAAACACCGGGTGCGTGCTGAGCAACGCCCGCTCCAAGACATACAAATCCACAGCCTTATCTTCTGGCAAACCGGAATAAGACCCTAACCCATAGTCAATCAACACCGGCTCCCAGTCCGTGTCATTCATATCTGTGTGTGGCTGCTCCAACAAAATGTTTGATGTGGTGAGATCACCGTGCACAATGTCGTGCATGTGCAACCGGCCAATCTCGCGCCCCACCTGTGTCAAAATGCGCGCGGTACCCGCATCAGTCGCGCTGCCCGGCGCGCTTACGCGCTCCAAGTACCACAACCAGTTTTTGAGTGACGACATCTCGCCATTCGCGAGTAGCTTGCCCACAAAGTGCATCCAGATGATGCCCTTTGGCGCGTCCACCGCAACTAACCGCGGCACGCGAATTCCGAGCTGCCCAAGCTTGTGCATAATCTTCGCCTCCGAGATTGTACGGTGTTTTGTGATCTGCGCATCGAGCTTCGGATGGCGGTATGGCTTGGACGGCCTGTATTTGATGATGTAGGTGGTATCGGTCTGCTCGCTCACTGGCAAGCATGGGTGGGTCGTAGTGGTGAACACAAGCGCCTCTGCGCCCTGCGACACCATCGTCAAGGGGATATTCGGAAGGTACGCCTGTGCCTGTGCGATAATGTGTGAAGCCATGGTATGGGTAATGCTAGTTAAATGGAACATGATGGCTGCAAAAGATTGAAAAAAAATTAGTATGTGGGCGTGTTACGCACGCTGGTATATACAGGATAGCTGATGAAACCCAGACGTTATCAAATGACTATCCGTAAATTGAATGTATTAACTTCACCCAGTTTAACGGTACTTGAGATGAATCAACAACTCTAGAATGCATCTGGATTGTACAGTTTTACAATTTAAAAACTATATATGTCCGACTTCTGTGGAATGCGCTTTTTTGGAGTCTGGATGTTGACATTAGATTAGCACATCCCATGACTTCACTACCTACAGGATATTCTACATGTGCTGGATAAATCGAACCATACCTTTACTTCTGACCCTGTGCCACTCTCCACCTCATTCCATCATATTATGTCTTCGGATAAGCGTAAGTATCCTCATAGCTCCTCTTTGTTCCATGCTAACGCCTTAGCCAATCGCCTCCTCCAACAGGTCCCTTTAATCGTATCCCCGTTCTACCACCCGCCGCAGCCGCTAAAGCTCAACTTTGACGTTAATTCAATCCCAACCAGCCTCGAATTTCCACTCCTGACGGGAACCGGTGCTCCCACCGTAGAAGAAGAGCTAGAACGATGGTGCGAGGAAATCAACAGGCGTAAACACAAAATAGCTGCGTTGAATGAACTAGAGCGGAGCGAATTTTTGCTGTGGAAAGACGCAAAGATGAAACGCTTTGCTCCGGGATACCTCGACAACGTTCTTATCCCCTCAGCAAAAGCTCAGTCAAAGGTGGAGGAGCCGGGAAAAGTGCTTGGATCACTGTCGTCCGAGCCAGAAGTCTTTAACGAACTCGACCGGGTGTTTGGAAATGTCAAGATTGCAGAGTAAAGGACTGTGGGATTGGAAATTTAGCATTGCGTATCTAATGTGTGACTCCGAGTTCTGAGAAAACGCCAGAGAAGATTAACGATGTGATGCTCCGGTTCTAGCACTTTATTCAGGCGTATGGAAGAATGCCTAAGCTCTTTTCGGGGTGATCAACAGGATTCCTATTTCCTCCGTAGAAAGCTTCTCCGATTTGATGCTAGTGCCATAAGCTCTAGTGAACAATACAGCTCGTACTAAATCAGACGCCTGGGAAAAAAATTGACATAAACGTCCTTGACGGGGCCCGCCTTAATTCTATGAGTAATATTAAGTTGGACAAAAAGTATCTAAAACTGCTCCAAAAACTCAATGTGTCCGGTGTGAGTATGAGAGGGCAAAGCAACCAGGGCTGAGCATCTTAACCAATTGAAAGAATGTCTACAAGTGAAATTGGTAAATCAATGCTTCAGGTTTGGGGCAAGAGGGAATCAGCTTTGGTAGAGATACGTTTAAGCGTGCTGTGTCGTGAAGGCATGCCCATCCCCTTATAGCTCTGAAAGAGATCTGATAATAATAACGCCAAATCTCGGGGACACAGAAAATGTGAACTGAAACACTCAGCCCTTTCATTTTAGTGACCGCAGATAGTTGACCACGCCCGAAGTATCGGGTTAAATCTCCAAGGTAACATTTGACCAAATCTAACAAAATCTGTACATGGGCGGCGATCTGCACAGGCCACAAACACGGGTTTCTTATACCTGTACACTGATTTTTCTTTCGTAACAGAAACTACTCTTACACCCCGTGTCTAGAAATTAACTACAACCATAAAAAAAATAGACCCATTTCTTAAATAAACCCATTTCTTAAATAATACCTCTTTTGCGCAGTTCATCTCCACACTAAGGTCGTGCACTTACCATAAACGATCAGTCATCGTTTTCCACATTTCTCCACTTCAGCTTATTAGCATTGACACACACTTCACACCTTCCTTAACTTTCTTCATACCCCTCCCCTCTCCCTCCCCCTTCATGTCGTTAGAAATCCTTACTGCTACTGGTAGTACGTCCCTCACCTTAGTCGCCAATCTCAAGGTCGCCATTGCGGCCAGTGCGTTCCAGCCTAAGCTCGAAGTGGCTGCCAACGAGACCGACACTGTTACCTTGCTCGACAAGAAGAGCGGCTTTACCTTGATTGAGGCCAACGCCATTGTCAAGTACCTCAGTAATGACTTCTCTGCCTCTACTGTCTACGAGGAAACAACCTTACATGCCGCCACTAAGCAGAGCTCCTTGACCGCTGAACTCTTGACTGTCGAGTTTTCCAAGGCCGAGCTTACCGCTGAGCAGATTATCTACTTTGCTGCCGCGTACCCAGTGTTGGCCAAGGCTCCTACTGCATGGTTTGCTGAATTTTCTGCTCTTCCGGCTGTTACAAAGGGTGTTAAAGCCGCTCTTGCTCTCACCACCGTGGAAAGAACCAAGAAGGAGAACACTGGCGCCATTAACGTGCAAGCTGGTGTCCAGGTTAACAAACAGGCCACAGAAATCATCCCAAAGGTTGGCGAACGTAACATTTTGATCACCTCTGCTTTGCCATACGTCAATAATGTGCCACATTTGGGTAACATTGTTGGTTCCGTCTTGTCTGCGGATATTTACTCCAGATATTGTAAGGCGAGAAACTACAACACTTTATATATGTGCGGTACAGATGAGTACGGTACGGCTACCGAAACCAAGGCCTTGGAGGAAAAGGTAACTCCGCGCGAGTTATGCGCAAAGTACCACAAGATCCACAAGGAGGTGTACGAGTGGTTCCAGATCGGCTTCGACTACTTCGGCAGAACCACCACCGACAAGCAGACCGAGATCGCCCAGGATATCTTTATGGGATTGTACGATAACGATTTCTTGGAGGAGCAGACCATGAAGCAGTTATACTGTCCGGTGCACAACGGGTTCTTGGCCGACCGTTATGTCGAAGGAATCTGTCCTAAGTGCTCGTACGAGGATGCCAGAGGTGACCAGTGTGACAAATGTGGGAACTTGCTCAACCCGTTCGAGTTGATCCAGCCAAGATGCAAGTTGGACGGTACCTCTCCAGAGATTAGAGAGTCCAAGCATATTTTCTTGTCGTTGGACAAGTTGGAACCTGAGTTGAAGGAATGGGTGCTCAAGGCATCTACTGAAGGCAACTGGTCGAAGAACTCCAAGACTATCACCAACTCGTGGTTGAAGGAGGGCTTGAACCCGAGATGTATTACCAGAGACCTCGTTTGGGGTACCCCGGTGCCGTTGAAGGGCGAGTTTGAGAACAAGGTGTTGTACGTGTGGTTCGATGCCACCATCGGGTACATCTCCATCACTGCAAACTATTCGGAAAACAACTGGGAAAAATGGTGGAAGAATCCGGAAAATGTGCAGTTGTACCAGTTTATGGGTAAGGATAATGTTCCATTCCATACCGTTGTTTTCCCGGCCTCCCAGATTGGGACCCGCGCCGAATGGACCATGTTACACCACTTGAACACCACCGAGTACCTTCAGTACGAAGGCGGCAAGTTCTCCAAGTCCAGAGGGGTTGGTGTCTTTGGGAACAATGCCCAGGATACCGGTATTTCCGCATCTGTCTGGAGATACTACCTCGCGTCCGTGAGACCAGAAACCTCCGACTCACAGTTCTCATGGGCCGAGTTCGTCGCCAAGAACAACAACGAGTTGTTGGCTAACTTAGGGAACTACGTCAACAGATTGGTCAAGTTTGTTAATGCCAAGTATAATGGGGTTTTGCCAGCCTTCGATGTCAAGAACTTGCCAAACTACGATGTCTTCCAGAAGGATATCAATGAGTTGTTGGCCCAGTACGTCACTGCTATGGAAGGTGTCCAGGAAAGACGTGGATTAGAAATCGCCATGGCCATCTCCTCCAGGGGTAACCAATTCTTGCAGGAAAACAAGTTGGACAACTCCTTGTACTCCGACCAGCCAGACAAGTCTGACGCTGTGATCATGGTGGGGATCAACTTGGTCTATATCTTGGGAGCAATCTTCTCTCCCTACATCCCAGAGACCTCCCGCCAGATTAATGACATCTTGAGAACCGAGGCCTTGCGCATCCCAGATGGTTTCATCTTGCCTATCCAAGGAGGCCACTGTATCGGTAAGGCCCAGTACTTGTTCAAGAGAATCGAAGAGAAGAAGATCGATGAGTGGAGAAGCTTGTATGGGGGTGCCCAGGTTAAATAGTGGGCGTTTGATTTACGTATTTACTTGTGACTGAGCGTAATGAATATATCGTTTGGTAAAGTGGTGGCTTTTGGAAGCTGGGTTTGTCCTATATCCGGTCTGCTTTTTTTTATTGTCGCAGTATTAACGTTTATACTGTTGAGCAACTTTGAAATTATCAATATCACAACTATGAAATCATCAATATCGCAACTATGAGGCGATTGCGGAATGGCAAAATCAAGCATTGTTCCACAGGTAAGCCCCCGTAGATAACTCAACAGGCCCGTCACCCGAGTGCCGTGTATATTGTACCTGAAGTACCGTATTCGGCGTAATAACCTAAATAGACAACGCTGCAAGAAAATTCTGTAGGTAAAGTAGAACAGACGAATACACATTTTAGGTAATAGCCCAATTGTATATTCTTTCCGGAGGGTCGGGAGCTCAAATACGGTACTATTGGTCCTCAACTTACTTTATGGTACGTTATTTATATAGCTAAACCCTGAATTCAGAACCTTCTTCTGTGAAGAGGATCGAAAGGTAGAAAAAATATTATGTTTGCTGCCTATTTTACCTAAGTTTTCAATTAATGTTAATAGTCCTACCTCATTACAAAACTTGCCATGCATCCTTCACTCCCCTCACGTGACCACTTACCTACATCACTTCTCCATATATCTTGCTTGGCGCTTCCTACTTCTGACCCATACTGGGACGTACTCAAATACATAATGGCTTCGGGTTGGAACACAATCGACTCTGACGCAGTATGTCCCTCCTTATTCATCACATAAGCTCCCACTAACCCCATAGTCTGTCTTCACTGATCTCTGTTCACTGTTGCACATCGAGGGCGTGCAGTTCGAAGACCTCTACTCCATCGACGAATGGAGTTTAAGAGCGTTAAACAGTCCCGTTTACGGAGTGGTCTTTCTCTTCAAGTACACTGACCTTGACAAAACGTCACAGCCCTTAGACGGAATCTACGACTTCGACAATAAAGACATTTTCTTTGCGCAGCAAACAATCCAGAACGCGTGCGCCACCCAGGCAGTGTTGAACGTTTTGTTGAACAAGACGGAGGACGTGGAAATTGGTGCGGACATGCGTGGCTTTAAGGAGTTTGTGGACGGCTTTGAGAGCGATTTGAAGGGCGAAACCATCGGCAATTCCGAGTTAATCAGACAGATCCACAACTCCTTCTCCTCGCCCAACCCCTTCTTTGACGACGATAGAAAGAGTGCACAGAGATCACATGACGATGATGGGCTTTTCCACTTTGTGGGCTACTTGCGCTTCCAGAACAAGATCTACGAGCTTGATGGCTTGAAGCAAGCCCCGATTTTGCACGATGCAGATTGTCCCTCAGACGACGCCTTCATGGCCAAGCTTCCAGAAATATTGCAAAGACGAATCAGCAAGTACCAAGCTACTGAATTGCGGTTCTCTCTTCTTGCAATTATCAAGGATAAACTCGAGATTTTGAAGGAGTTTGGCGCAGATGAGCACATGATCGCTCAGGAGCTCGAGAAGCGCCACCAGTGGCACAAGGAGAATGATTTGCGTAAAAAAGACTTTGTGGGGTTGTTGTGTGACGTGGTGAAGGGCATCGGTGCGCAGGCTTCGGAAGCGGAGTGGGCCCAAATCCTCGCTAATGGGAGGGTCAGAGGCACGGAGCGTAGTCGGATACAGCGCGCAAGAAAGTTTGACATTTAGGGCAAGCTTATCGCCATATCTGAGTGTTAGTTTGAGCTATATAGTGGGAAACTGAGGGACTAGATGTATCCATATTTGGACTATTAGCTGGTCTTTATAGAATTGGTATACTGCACGAAGCTTAATGTAGGCTGAAGGTAATATCTTAAGGTATTGATGTGGAAAACTGGTAACTAATATCTACTGCCGAATATTCTCAAACGGTAACTATAAACTCTCAAGCGACACACAGTAAGTGCATATTCGGTTCATCCCGTAGTATTTCTGGTGCTATTCAACCTCATATATACAAGTACACTATTTTTTTTTACTCCAAAGTGTTAAGAAATATAAAACAATTAAAATCTACGAGATTAGACATTGAAACAAAAAAATTAGCTATAGGCCATGTTTAAATACTGCTATTAAGATCAAAAGTTGGACAAATTGCCAGTGGCATTATCTTAAACGCAAACCACGTGATGCCCTCTTGATTGGGGTACCCTGTCTCACCCCAAACAAGCCCAACAACTGGTCGGTACTGAGCTTACTACCGAGCAACTGGAGCTGGCTCAGCTTGTCCCCATCAGTGACTGCTTTAGCAAGCGCACGTTTGATGTCTTGCAATTTGATAATCCGCTCTTCCACAGAATCCACCACCACCAACTCGTAGACATCTACGGGGCTAGTTTGGCCCAAGCGGTATACACGATCAATTGCCTGCTCCAGGACCTGGGGATTCCACCACGGGTCAAAGAGCACTACGCGGGAAGCACAGGTGAGGTTCAAGCCCAACGCCCCGCACTTCAACGAGCAGAGCAAAATTGTGGTACTTGGATCGTTTCGGAGTATTTCCAAAGCCTCATCTCGTTTAGCACGCAGCATTGCCCCGTCGTACCGCACGAACTTGAACTTTTTTCGTGCCAACACTGGCTCGAGCAAGTCCAACATGGAGGTGAACTGGGAGAAAACAATAGTCTTTCGCTTGGGATGCACCAGAAGGATCTCGAGGAGACGTTTTGTCTTGGCACTGTCTTGTTCCTTCGGAGGATTCGAGCTGGCAAAGCACTCAGCGCATAATCCTTCGGTGTTCATCGTGGCAGGGATTTCGGCACAGCACACGGTACACTCCTTTTCGGAAAACTTCAATTTTCCAAATAAGGCACTGAGATCGTCAGATTGTGGCACCGGAGACAAACCAGTTTCTTCCTCGGGGCTCTTACTCGTGCTAGTATCATCATTCATGACGCCTGTGGTTTCACCAATTACATCTTCGAATTTCTCCTCAATGGCGACATCCCCGGCTTTAACATTCTGGAGCAACTTCCAGTGGCACGCGATCTGGCGTAATCGCAACAAATACACCATATAGCAGATAACATCCACCTTATCACCAGAATCCACCACAATATCCCGTAAAATCCGGTCCACAATCCTCGTCTCAATTCGCCTGTACTGCGCCCTCTCTGCAGGTGAGAAATGCACTAACACACGCTGAACCGTCTTGGGAGGCAAACTGAACGCCTCTGTGTTCTGGAGGACAGCCTTTGTCCGTCTAAGCATGACAACCCTCAACTCATTCCGTAGGAGGTTGATGGCCCGCTCAGGCGCCCCTTTGACTATGGTCAGATGGATTTCAGTCTTCCACAAGTCACTGTCTGAGAATTTACTATACTTGAGGAAGATAAACAACGCCTGAAGGCCTTCCACGTTGTTCTGGATAGGCGTTCCGGTCAAGCACCAGCGGCGGTGCGACGCGAGCGCAAACGTTGCCTTGGCCGTCTTGGAGGCGCTGTTCTGTATAGTGTGAGCTTCATCAAGCACCACGCGCCACCAGCTGAGGATATACAACGCGGAATGGGTTTTTTCTCGTTCTGAGCGAACAGTATCGTAGGTGGTGATCACCACGTCATACTTGAGGAGTTCCTTGGGGTCTGCCGTGCGCCTTCGTCCATGGAACACCACAGAAGTGAGTCCTGGAGCTTTTTTGGTGATTTCCTGCAGCCACTGGCTCGCGAGGGCTAGGGGACAGACCACAAGCGTAGGCCTTATCGTGGAGCAACTTCGATCCCGGAGTATGTTATCCTTCTTGGCACCCAGGGGTTTATCGCTTGAAGGCATCAGGGGGTTCTTGAGCATTAATGCCAATATCTGGATGGTTTTTCCAAGTCCCATGTCATCACAGAGCAAGCCGCCTTTGCAAGAGATGTCCTCTTCCCTGGCGGTGAGGAACCGCAAGCCGTGAACCTGGTGGGGCAAGAGACTTACCTTCAACCCTGGGACAACTAAATCTTCGGCCGTAACCTTGCCATTCTGTGTCTCATCCCCTTCTTCCTCCAAGTTGAACATCAAATCGGAAGCCAACCTCTGCTCGCGGCTGAACTTATCTGGGTTGTCTAAGAATCCGGCCCCGGAAACTCTAGCATTGCGGGCAAAGGTGCTGCGCGCAAATCTACCCCAGTTGGCCTTAGAATGTTTTATGGAGGATGGGTTCTCAATCAGCTGGGGGTAACGTGTCAAAGCAGCTGGGTCGTACTTTTCTTTAGGGGAAGAGCCAGGTACAGGCTTGGTGAGTTTTCTGTGAGATGATAAGGAGGAATACTCCTTTTTGAACGGCGTTTCCAAGGAGACAGATCCGAGCTTATGGCTTAGGTCATCCATTTCCAAGGGGTTTGAAAATGTCATGTGATACAATACTTGGTACTACAGAGTGTAATATTAAATAGTGGCTTGAAGATCTTTTTTTTGCGTTATGGACAGCGTCTGCATATAATCCTCCTGTACATAAATATTTTATGACATCATGTATGTAGCCCTTCACGTGATGAAATTGTCTCGGCACCAGGAAAACTTTGCAATGGTCCAATCATGAATATATTCATTCGCAACGGATTAACGTGATTTATATAATTTAATTATTGGCTTCAACTCAAATTTTACGCGAATCAATGATTTTCTGTCTACCTAGTCTTAAAAATTATAATCGCCTGATGTTGATCGTCACCATTATGAATTTAGCATGTCTACTCCTGCATGTAGCACTGTGGAACAGAACACGAGTCAGAGGCACGGAGGCTGTAAGTGAAAAAAATACTGCGATACGTTTACACCCTTCCTCAACTCAAGCAAAGCTATTGACTACATCACGTTCTTGATATGATTTGGTTGTCAGAATTACAAAGTATGTAGCCATGAAAGTTTCATTCATGCCTATTACGTCGATTGCAGCACTAACCGCTTAGAATTCGGTGTCGCGTTCACTGCCGCCGGGGTGCTTTTCTTTATCTTTGGGGTGCTAACCTTTTTTGACGCTGCTTTATTGGCGCTTGGGAATATCTTATTTGTCATAGGGTTGATCTTGATCATCGGGCCGCAAAAGACTGTTGCGTTCTTCACTAGACCGCAGAAACGCAGGGGCACCATCTGCTTTGTCATTGGGATCATGCTCATTTTGTCCAAAAGATCCTTCATTGGTTTCTTTGTCGAATGTTTCGGGATTTTGGGATTGTTTGGCGACTTTTTCGCAGTTGTCGTTCAGTTCTTGCGATCCCTTCCGTACATTGGTGATGTCTTAAGCCATCCAGCTGTGGCACCATTTATCGACAGAATTGCCGGTGTTAACCACTTGCCTGTGTGAGCAGCATGACTGAAGGGGCTCCAACGAGGTTTGAGCTATAATGTGGTAAGAGGTCAAGTTCTGGGGATACGGTTTCGCTACGTTGGTGGTGACCTTTTATCGTCTATTGTACAATAATCCTACATATGTAATATATTCCAGAGTAATAAGTGGGGGTTTATTGTGTATATTAGCTGTTTCAGTCAGGAATGTCCTTTCAAAGGGGATTGTTCCCGATATTATCAGGATGTGTGTTTCCCCTCCTTCTATAGATAGGGCTGTATCGATTGAGAATGGATAACGCACTTCCACTTGGCACCTTACCTAGTTTAACTTTAATTTAAGTCTGCGACACTCGCCAATTAGAATTTATCGTAGCTTCTCCGACCACTTTCCATCTAAGGTTGACCCATTCTTTATCTGTCTGTAAATAGTATTCTATTTGTTGTATTCCTCGCGCCTGTCATCTATTATACCCATCTTGTTGGGCCTATAACTCTTCTTATACATATCTAACTGTCAATATAATTCTACTACAATCAATCATCAGTAGCAGCAAGAGTGTATCGCACCTTCCTTACCTCAATTATGTTTGTATGATGCTCTATCTTTCGCGATTATTGGACGTGTATCATCGAATATAGGTATGATTGATGATATAGTGTTGACTAAATCCTTGCTGACACTATATAGTGTTTCAAAACTTATATAAGCGATAAATCATGTCGTGGATTAAGCTCATTCTTTACTTTGAATACTACATATTGTGTTAATTTAGGCCTCGCTCATCGTGTAGATAGGGATAATGGTAAGGTTGAAATTAATACTGAGAATTTACAATATATCACATGACTCCATTCCTTTACGCCCCACTTCCATTCCTTATTACAGCGCTTATTCTATTAAAGAAAAAAAGAAGAACTAATATCTTCACAGAGCCTCCTACTACGTACTCGCTCTCACTACTTGCAGCGGAAACGCATTCGTCTTCGACAACACGACCACCCTATTTTGATGCGACATATACCCCTTGACCTTTCCTTTATAGATCAAATTCGCCAACAAACACTCCACCCTGTCGAGCGAATACACAAACTCCTCGTCTTTATCCCGCGACCTGTGCGTCTGCGAATACTCTAATGTTACCTGTAACGCCGAAACAGGAAGCTGGTGTTTGCCTGTGACCAGAAGCGTCCGCTTGAAAAGCTTCACAAGACAATATTCCCGCAAGTACTCCACCATCAAATACAAGCTCTTATCCAACAAAAACTGCTCGCAGCCTTCGACGGCCGCGTCGAACGATCGCAAATCGCCCGTCTGTACCGCCTGGAAAATCCCGCGGTACAACGCCGCGAGCTCGGGGAACCGTGCGTAAAGGTGCAGTGACGGCGTTACGCGCTTATTGAGGAACTTGATCGGAATCAAGTACACGAGAATGTGCTTTAACTGCTTGGTGCTGTTGGAGGTACAAAAACTCAACGCCCTTGTGAGCTTAGTCTCAGCCGCAGTCAAGTCGCCGTCGTACGAGGAGATTAGCCCTGAGTAATACAAGTACGGAATGGAATGCGACTTTGGTACGTCATCCACGGTGGGCAATTCCGTCACAAGGGAGAGGATAGCTTTTTCTACTGACTTGGCCAACTCAAAGTGGTTAAGCTTGATGTAGATCTTGAGTAATCGGCCGGCAAACACAAACACACCGAGCTTTTTCGAGCGCACTTCCACGAGGTTTCGGTCGTTCAAACAGAGCTTAAACGTCTTATTAACGGTGTCAGCTACCTTCTCAAGGTCCTTAGACGTGTCTTCTTCTGGCGACGAGGCTGCTCGCAAGCGGTACAATGAGTACAACTCGGTAGTCGTCTGATAGAGAGGTCTGAGGAGCCAGTTGTCCTCCCGTAATGCAATTCGGTTCATGCAATTCAGCACTTCAATTTGCAACGTAAAAGCTTGGACAAGGTCAACGGTGACTGCAATAGCCTTGCACAAGCGGATGTGGAGAGTTATGAGCTCCCGCCATGTCTCTTCTCGGATGCCACTGAGGTCGTGCTGGCTTGGCACCGGGAACTCTGCCTTGTACACCGTGCCAGGCGCATTGGAGATCGAGAGATAGAGCATCACATTTGCGGCATTGCGTGTCTTTAATGCTAACGCAAACTCGACGATGTATGCAGAAAGAGGGGAAGTCATTGTTGTGCAAAGTCAGATAAGATGTAAGTGAAGTCATAGTGTCAATTTTATCCGCAAAGAGAATGCATGTGGACGTGCGCATACCATTAACAGTCAGAGCAAGTTCCATTGTGATTATAGAATGGAAGCTGTCTACATTACTAGTCGAATATAGGTTATGCCTTTATGCCTTTATGCCTTTTCTATAATTATTACAGTGGATATGAGGTTAAATCCTAAAAAGCCGCAAGCTCCTTTTATTTTTTCCCGTACATAGTGGCTCTGAAGTTATATGGCTATGGTAGGGCTTCTCCGTCGGTGAGGGTTTGGATGGTTTTACAATAAATGACACTAGCAGAGAAAAGATTGATAAATTCTCAGTTGGAAGTCAAAAGTCAAGATCAGTAAATGTGCATCAATCGGAAACGAAGATTAAACCAGTACCAACAACAGTTTGGTACTGAAAATGCTGGTGTACTCTCTGGCACGCCCTTTCAGCGTAATGGTGGAATCATCTCCTATAACTTGTACCCAATAGCATGGTTCAATAAGATAAGCCCCAAGCTCATACCTCAGTGGGTAATACTCTTACATGGGGTTAATGCAAATCGTAGTCATCCATGTCACTGTCAGACGTAAGTGACATGTCGCTATCATCGCCTTTCTCTACCACTGGGAGCTTGTTCAAGAACGCCAACCCCCGCTTATACTCTTCCTCGTAGTATTTGAGCATCGACAGACCTGACGTCATCAACATCGAGCGTCCTTGTTTCGAAATATACTGGATCCACTCCGAAATCGTCATTCCTAATTCCTCCTCCGGCATGTTGGCGATGAAACTGGTTAGCGTCCCATCCATATCGTCATTCAACTCGTAGTGGGACGCGGAAACGTTGCCCAAATACTGTGAGACAGTACCCATGTCACTAACCAACTCAAATACCCTTTTCTCTTTCGATGGCACCCACACCTCAGTGTCGCGAATCACCGGCGTGCTGGATTCAATGAAATTGTGTTTGACATTTGGGGTGTGCGTGAGAACCAATTTTGAGTGGCTAGAGTCAGCTCGGGTGGACTCCAAGAGCATATAATCTTGGTGTGCAACCTTATTCCCATTGATCGCCACCAGTGATTTGATATCCTTCTTTTGTTCCTTTACCAGAGCAGCATCTTCGCGGGTAAGCGTTTCATGGCCCAGGGTGATCTCTTCTGAGATAGCAGTTCCTTCCAGAGCGGTTTCATTTTCGTGGGTGTGCATTGCATTCAGAACGCTAATGACTGTTTCAATTGCATCTTCAGAAATAGCCTTTTCCTTCGCATTCCCTTCATCAGATATAGCCTTGTTCTCTATATCTTCATAAATAGCCTTTTCTTCTATATTCATATTTTCTGGCACCAGCACCATCGCTTCCGACTTTCTCACAACAGTCATTTCAGTATCTTTTCTCTGCACTTTGCGTTCCTCATCATCGTTAATGAGCTCTGACTCCAGGGCTAGACGTGTAGAATGGAAGGAATCATCTCCTGAACTCATAGTTGCACCAACTGCATCCTCGGTTATACGTTTAGCAGATGGCGATGGCGACTGCGGAAATAATAACAGTGGTGAAGGTTCTAGAGTCAACTGGAGAGCAATTTTGGATTTCAGAATTCTCTCTGTGCCGACTGTCTTATGAGCTGTTTTCGCATGTGGAGTAGATTCTGCCAAAGCGTCCCTGTCTGACTTTTCACCCTCATCAGAGGAATAAATCATGCTGAACTTGATTGGAGAGCTGCCAGGCTTCCTTTGAGAGGTGTTTCCCACAGGATGGACCGGTGAAGGTGTATTTTGGTCTGCATCAAGAATCACACCCTTCGATGATTTAGCAATAGTATTTGGGACGGAAGCCATGGTTCTAACAGTGGTATCCACCAGTACGGTTGCATTAGCCTCCACTGGGGTGGCAGCTCTTAGTGGTTTAGCTGGCAGAGAGCTTTTCTTTGCCCCAACCTTTAGCGGCATAGCATTGGTTAGCTGGCTCTGTGACTTGAGCTTTGTCCCCAAGGATTCACGCTTATCAAAGAGATCGTCCTCGTCGTCGCTCGGGAAATCGAAGATAGACCGTGAGCTTCTGAGAGGGTCATCTCTGCGTGGCGATTTGGTTGCCTGGCGCAGCCTTTCAGGCTCCAACGAAACTGTCGCACGTAAGGATCGAAGCGATGTGTTTCTAGCGCGTCTGGCGGTCGGGATTTTTTCGCGGTTGTTTTCTCCTTCCAAATCAGAGCTGAGGCTGATAGCTGCGTCATGATCAGCTACGTCTTTGGGCTCCAGTGGCTCAACTTCAACTAGGCCATTATTGGGTTCTGCCTCGTCACTCGACTCAGAGAACGACACGTGTTTCGGGGATCCCAGTGGCTTTGGTTTTTCCGGACTGGAGTTGTGCATCTCGATAGATTCATTGAACTTTGTGTTTCTCTTCAACGTCACAGCTGGGGAAACGGGATCAGGAGACTTTGTCACTGCTCTTAACTTGCGCTTCTTCCGTGGCTCGATTGTGACTCCGCTGGTCCGTTTATCCGACTGTTGCATCTCCTGGTGCTTAAGCATCGCATAACACTCCACGCCGAGCCTGTCTTTGCGGTCCCAATGTTCCTTGAAGAGGTCGTCCTCTGGCTCGAACCCAGCTAGCGACACACCACAGTACATACACTGGCAGCAGTCGTCTTCTTTGTTCTCTGGGTTAAAGAAAAACCCAGCGTTGAGCATGTCCTCCTTAGTGTGGTGTTTTCCGCTCCAGCGACCAAACGTCTGTTCTCTAAGGGTGTAGCACGCCTTGCCGAACGGCTCCAGGAACATGGGCACCGCTGTCCAGTCTATCGTAGTTTTGGACTCGGCAAAGAGGTAGTAAGAGATGAGCTGCGCCCAGGCACATTCAGGATTGGTTTGCAAGTGTAGCGCCGCTGGGTTTTCCACGCCTCGCCATAGCGTCTCAGACCTTTTACACAGAAAGCATGTAGCTTTGTATAGACTGGCCTTGGTGGGGGTATAATAGAAGCCGCAAAGTGCCATCTAAAGAAAGTTAGTGGTTTATTCGGGTAGGGTAAGAGGGTTACTGACCTGTGTAGCGGTGGGATACAAGCCATCTTCGGGCCATGAGGTTGTCTCTTTGCTCCGGCCGATTGGGCGGTCTGTGAACGTTTCCTCGCGTCCGTTTCGGTAGAAAAGGCCGGGATTTTTGGGTGGCATGGCTGGATGAATTTGGGAGGTGATAGGAGCTGAGTTCTGTTTACTGTCTACTTAGGTTAGTTTTGTTTTCATTTAGCATGCGGCTATGAATGCGAGTCGCCTATGCAGGACGTAGAGCGTGGGGCGACGCAGAGCGTGGCGCGGCACAGCGCGTGATCGATGTGTGAGTCTAACCTGTATAGTATGCGATCAATACAACTAAATATCCCATTCCAATGGTGTCACTTTTATAAAATTGTGTCTATGTAATGCTTTCATGCCATGGATTTGCCAATTACACAGATCCTAGCCAAAGACGGTTATCTAAATGCATTGCTCGAAGCTGCCAGTTATTAGGTAATGGCGTGCTGATTTGCGTTATACTCGTATTGAACATTTCAGAGTCAGAATATGTCAAATTTTATAACTCCCAAACTAGTACTCCCCAAGCTTCTTCTCCACCCTCATGTCGCTTACAACCAATAATATCGCACCAGGAGGATTGGGGTAAGACGCGTGATTCCGAAATTATAGGGGCGTCATATTTTTCAATTATGTACTCCTTATGACGGGTTTAAAAAAAAGATTTCTCATCTCTCATACCACACTGGAATCTCTATGGCAGGTGGCACTCCTTTAAGCCCCTTTCAGCTTCATTTTTTCTCGTTTATTAAATTAAGAATCCGTCGCTACGCAACTATCCTACCCGCTTATTCGTCGTCACTGTCTTCCTCGGCCTCTTCCAACCACTTGAGGAATGGCTTAGCGGCCTTACGAACCTTCTTGGAAATGTCTTTCGCGACGTACTTCTTGGAGACCTTAGTACCCCAGTTCTGGATGACGTCTTCCTCGATCAACTCCAAGTCGTAGATGGTCATCAAGATCTTAGGCAAGGCTGGGATCAAAGCCTGGTTTTCAAGCCCCAAGTATCTCTCTAAGCCACCCAAGAACGCCTTCTGGTTGTCCTCATCGGCCATCAACTTATTCAACAAACCGGCATGTTGTTTGAGCTGAGTCACAATTTCGTTGTCGAACAAAGTCTGGGCCAAAACCTGAACGGTATCTGGGTTGCCGACAATGGACAACTCACTGGCCTTCTTGTAGATCTCGACATCAGATGGTAACTCAGCCTTGTCGAAAGACAACAACCACTCGCCAAACTCGTTGCAAGCAACAGCCTTAGAATCCAAGGAAACAGCTTCCAATTCCAAGGCTCTGGCACGGACAGCTTCTTCGGACATGTCTACCGCCCATTCATCGTCAGCGATATCGTGGGCCTCTGGCAAAGCACTGGCTTCGGCGTTGATCTTTCTGGTCAAAGCGTCATCATCGTAGTCCTCATCAACATCAGCAGCCTCAGCACCTTGAGTTCTGCCGGAGGCAAGATCGGAAATGGTGACACCACCACCAACCACATTGGCGGAAGCGGTGGCTGACTTCTTGCCCTTACCCGACTCAGGAGGGTTCTTGATGATGTACGAAGAAAGCTTGGCTCTAGGGTCAATGGATGTTCTCTGACCACAGGCCTTACAATCTTTGATCAAGGTGTCGTCCTTGGCGACAACAATCTCGGTTTCTGGGTTCTTACACGAGCCACAGAGCACGAATTTGGAAATGAAGCCATCCAAAAGGTCCTGTAACTTCGGCGCATCATGCTGACCATTGACCAAGTAGCGGTCGTTGGCCTCAGGCTTGGTCTGGGCACCCAATTCGTACCCCAAGTATTTGAGTACGTAGTTAGGTGGTCTAGCCAAGGCACGCGAAACTTCGGACAAGTTGACCACGGCGGTCTTGATACCGTTACCGCGCCCCTCAATCTTGGACTGGAGGGACGGCATCTTATAACGGTAGAACGGATCAGTGTTGTCACGGCAAATGTTAATGAACGACATTTTATGTAGTGCTATGAAAAGGGGAGTTATATCATTATGGAGGTTCCATTAGCTGTCTTGATTTATATGGCGGCGACTGCAAGTTTTTCATTTTAAAATCACGTGGTTGTGCACGTGCATGTACCCTAATACTAGGTGGACTGCATGAACCGGGGCTGAAATTTGCCACAGACGATTAGCTACGATCATAAATTGGTTTCTAGTAAATTGTGTATATTTAAATTTAGAGAATCAGATCCATGGCATCAAAGTGCTGTAACGCTCTCTGCTTCTGGAAAAGTACTTTTAATCAGGTGTTGAGAATAGAAATCTCAGGGTATATAGTGGCTCTGTGTTGGGGAGTCATAATGTATGAGCCTTAAGGCTTCACTCGACTGAGAACCATGGGACGCTTCGTGATAATGTCTATGGTAGCCCCACAGACTACACATCATAATCACCCATCTGCTGAATACCATATATTCATTTAATTATTATTCTTTTAATTATTATTCTTTTAATTATTATTCTTTTAACCATACCCCCTTTACATCCTTTCAACCATTTGCATCCCCCTCCATCTTTTCAAGCATCTACGTCTCCCTTCATTCACTCTTGGTCCCTGCCAGACATGTCTACCCTCTTCAAATTCCTCGATCAACGAACTAAAGTACAACCAGTCGTCGGGTTGGTTCAGACTGCTAGCGCTGCCTTCAATTTCTGTCTAGATATTATATTATGCAAAAATGATACGAAAGATACAAAACTTAGAATTCACCCTTGGTTAACAAAGAATGGTTGGTTAAAGCGTCATCCAAGACACCGGCGGCGGCGGCAACCAACCCCAAGAACGGCTTGGATGGATCCAAGACCTTAGAGATGTACTCTGGGTGGTACTGAGCGGCGACGTAGTATGGGTGGTCTCTGATTTCCAAAATCTCCATTCTCTCGTTGTTGTCGTCCTTACCGACAAAGAACATACCCTTTTCCTCGATCTGAGCAATCAACTTTGGGTTGACCTCATATCTATGTCTGTGTCTCTCCATGATTTCCTCGGCGCCACCGTAGAGCTGTCTCAATTTGGACCACTCGGTGTCCTTCTGGAAGAGAGTTGGTCTCATCCCCAATCTCATGGTACCACCCAACACCTTCTGGTCGATTTCTGGCATGTACACAACAGAGGCAATGTCTTCGCTGATCTCTGGATCAAACTCCATGGAACTGGTGTCCTTGATACCCACGACGTTTCTGACAAACTCGATAACAGCGATCTGCAACCCTAAACAGACACCCAAGTATGGAACTTTATGCTCTCTGGCCCACTTGGCAGCGGCGATCATCCCCTCGATACCTCTGGAGCCGAACCCACCTGGTACCAAAATACCGTCGGCAGTGCACACGTTGTGCCAGGCCTTGGAGAACTTTGGAGTTTCTTCGCCCTCCAAGTCGGTAGACTCGACCCAGACAATCTCCAATCTTCTCTTGACTCTCATCGCACAGTGCTCAAGCGCCTTGATGACAGACAAGTAGGAGTCCTTCAAATCGGTGTACTTACCGACCAAGGCAATGGTGACCTTTTCGTACGACTGGTCGTGGTTGGTGGTGACCTCGGTCCATCTCTGCAACAACTTCTCACCCTTGGCGACAGCAGCAGCCTCCAACTTGATGTCAGACAATCTTAATCTCTTGGTCATGTAGTCCATCATCTTGTGTTCATTTAACAATAATGGCACGTGGTAGGTGGAGTTGACGTCATGGACAGCCAAAACCTGCTCAGGACCAACGTGGCAGAACATTCCGATCTTCTCGACGGCAGAAGCATCCAAGAGTTCGGAACATCTACAGGCAATCATGTCTGGGGTCAACCCCAAGGATCTGAGGTCCTTAATGGCGGCCTGGGTAGGTTTGGTCTTCTGCTCGCCGTGGATGACTGGCACCAAGGAAACGTGGATCAAGGCAAAGTTCTCGGTTCCAACTCTGAACTGAAACTGTCTCAAGGCCTCGACAAACGGAGCAGACTCGATGTCACCAACAGTACCACCGAGCTCGACGATACAGATCTCTGGCTCCAAACCGGTTTCGTCAACTGGGACTCTAGCGACTCTCTCAATCCAGTCCTGAATGGCATTGGTCAAGTGCGGCACAACCTGGACGGTCTTACCCAAGTAGTCGCCCTTTCTTTCCTTCTCGATGACATGAGCGTACATCTTACCAGTGGTGATATTGTGGTCCTTAGTCAAGGCAACGTTGAGGTAACGTTCATAGTTACCCAAATCCAAATCAGTCTCACCACCGTCGTTCAAGACAAAGACTTCACCATGCTCCAATGGCGACATGGTACCGGCATCGATGTTCATATATGGATCGATCTTGATCGAGGTGACACGGTAACCCAAAGTTTTGAGTAATAAACCGGTAGAGGAGGCCAACACACCCTTACCAATACCGGAGATAACACCTAAAGATTAGTATTTGAGGCGAGCGAAACGGCAATAGCAGGGAAGCAGCGAGATCAATGTGATGCCAGAAGAAATGATACGAAGCACATCGGAAGCCAGTAATAAAGGCCATATCAGAGCCCAAAGGTCAAGCCAACCGTATCCAGGTCATGGAAAGTCAATCAGCATAAGCAAACAATACCGAACCAATGCAAAACAACCAGGTCATCGAAACGCCACCCATCACTATAACATGTAATAGTTACATACCACCAGAGACGACAACGTATTTCATTTTTATAGGAATTTATTATGGTAAGCTAACAGATAATCTATAAAGATGCCCGTTAAAGAATGGATATTCAGAAGCGGGAAGAAAGAAAAAAAGTTTTACGTCAATTGCAAACAACCACAACGCAGACATGATGCTTTTAAACTGCCAGGAAAAAATTTACTGAAAAAAAAATTCAAAAAGAAACGTGCAGCGCCGCATTACCCTATTCAGGAAAAAGAAACTGACGCGTCAAGACCAGATTAGGTTTAGTGTAAAGCTGTGCATAACACGATACATGTAAAGGTATAGGAGAGGCTTTCCCCGATATTGATTGTGAGTATCAGTAGTAGTAAGGAGACAAGAATGATACTCTTATTTTACTTTCGTGTTCTTTCATACTGTTTGGTGGGTTGTCAATTCAGATCCTGTGTTTACAATTGTTTTCCACCCACCCTTTTTCGACAGTATCACTAGATGCTCGCAAAGCTGGAATCTACGAAACTTCATCCCTTATCAGAAGTTGGTATAACCAAGATTTCTTGATGATCACCCAAATAAAGTACTTACTGGAGTGTGATACGATACCGTTGATTTAAAAAGTTCAAAAGCTTTAACCAAGGTTGCCCTGATCAGCTTTAGCTTGATTAATAAACTAAGTCTTAGCTTGTAAATGTGTATTTCGATAATAGCACTTCTCTTGAGAAAAAAACTCACTTGCACCTTCCATCTAACGATGTTTTCGGAAATGTGTACCCCGCTGCCAACCACGATGTTAAATTCGCATCCATGTATGCATTCAAGTGCTGGTCGATGTACTCAGTGGTTGGGTGGCCCTCCGGATCACAGGTCAAGGAAATATGCGATTCCTGTTGGTAGAGTCTGATATAGTCTATTTCTAGAGTGGCTGGGAAACGCAAGCTGGGCCAGTCGATGTAGTTCCATGAATATGACAACCCCAAGTTCATGATGATCGACATGGGCTCCTTCGAAATATACCGCCAGTCGATGTTTCCTTCCGGGTGCAAGGCGCTACCTTTAATAGTGGCACTCGGTACGTCTCCTACCCTAAAAGCCACAAAGGCATCTTCCGGCCTCCCCTTTGACTCGTACTCCATAGCATATGTCTGAAAATGTGTCTCGTTTGGTAATATTACATCTGGTGTCGACAAATCACGCACATGCTCAAACCACGTCTCGTTGAGAGAGGTCAAGATTGAAATGGCTTCCTGGTAGGGTGTCCCGACGTAATTGTTCATGGAGGTGAGGTTGGGATTATACATCTCGATAAAATCGTAATCGGGCAAGTACCAGATGTCAAAAGGAGCTACTTGCAAAGTCTGAGATACGCTGAACAATTTGTTCCCACGTATCTTGTTGGCCTCTAAAAGATCGATCTCGGGGGCACCTCTTCCTATTCCGTGGTTTGGATGATCCTCCTGTGGGCATACACAGCTTGCCAATTTTTGCCCCGGCAATTGAGACATTCCGTCTTCAGACGACTGGGAAGGAGTGATTCCCGCATCACATGCTTCGTAACTATACGGCCAAGCCCCCTCTGTAGAGGCGGTGTAGCCAGCTCGGGCCAAGTTCCCCAATGTCCACACACCAGGCCATAATCCACCAGCATTAGAGTAACCAGGGAGTTTTACCGACACTTCCAAGAGACCCTCCTGAAAACATAACTTATTCCAGCTTTGAAGCATGGCTGAGGCAAACAAAAATCCGTGAATATCATCTCTATAGTCTAGTCTTATCTTTAAGGATCCGTTGGATGTGGTGACCATTTCTGGAGTATACCATTCCAAATCATTGGTAGCGGCATAGTGAATATCCACCGCCTCAAAGAACTGGTCATCGTTGGGGTAAAATGTCCGTCCTTCTTTGTTGAACTCATCTGAGAATACCAACTTAAGGGGTTTCCCATCCTTGCCTGCTTTAGTATGATATTCCATAGGCGTATCAGGATCCACTAAACGTGTTCTGATGGCCGAAAGCTGAGGATAAACGTAATCACTGAGTACCGTTTGCTTTTCGACTCTGTAATTTTTTGCCAATCCTCGAGCCTTCATGCCGGTAGCATAAAAGGAAAGGGGAACAATAGAAAAAAAGGCGAGAAGTGCAAGAATAACTGAGAGCTTCCTGTAGTTGCAGTTGTGGTAAAGCTTGCGAAGATTGAGGTAGTCATACCAACGAACAAAGACTCTCGGTTTGCTGAAGTACGACATAGGGTCTTCACCCTTAGCAAGCAAGTTAGAGGGATGTATTCCAGGATGCTGCGCTACCGACAAAGGAGTCAATACTGGCGTCGGTGATACTACATGAACTATTGTTTCGCTCTTCAAAGAGGAGCAGTTGGAAGTATCCTCGAGTGGAGGTGGCCTTCGGCCAAGTAGCCTTCTCATTCCGCTAATTTTTCTGTAGTGTGCCACAAGATCCTGGGGCGGTGTTTCTTCCATGTACGGTTCTAGAATTCTCCAGGATTCCGGTAAGAACGAGAATCTGTTCCAGAAATTCTGTTGTCTCTGATGGGTTGCCTTCTTTCTGGAATATTCTTTGCGGAACCTTTCTTCCAATACTTCGAGTAACCGTGGATGGGTGTAGAAGTCTTCAGAATAGTCGTACGCTCCCGAAACGTAGAACCGGTGGTTATTGTACTTAATCGGCAGTACAGCCGGTGGTTGGCCCCGTTTTTCCATCACCAAGTACCGACCATCGGTGTAAGGCACGTGTGGAGCTGGTTCACTGCGAATATGTTGCTGGAAGTTTCCGTAGGATCCGACAAGTTTGAATGTGGAAGAAGGAATATTGTCTAGCTCGATCTCCAAGGGTCCCTCTATCTCTAGCTGTGAAACATTTAACCCAGTTTTCCTCTCAACTTCGGAAGTAAGGGTAGTTTTGGGGGAAACTAGAGTTGTGGTAGTTTCAATTTCGTTTGCTTCAGAAGATTTAGGAACCATGGTGAAATGTGAAGTAACTGGTGGCAGATAACTTGTGTTGGAATCTAGACCGTGACAATGAACTTGGGCTTTGCTTTTGTCATGGGTTGGAAGAGACATTATAGAACAATACTGGCCGAGATATAAGTATTATGAATTACGTGCTTGGGACGGTGTATTTATATATGGAACAGGATTACAAAATGGGCGCCCCTCGTGTTTATTTATTGTGTAGCTTCTTGGAAAGCAAAGTTCCAGTTTTGGAATGAATGGCTCAACCTTCCCCTTTTCGGTAACAGAATAATTTCTCGACTTGAGCCTCATATTTTGTTGAGCTTCTAATTTGAGGAGCTAATATAGTCCTTGAAAAGAAAGGTAATTTCCTAGCCAACCTGTCTGCACGGCTACGAAGGTAGTCCTCCACCTTCTGGTTCGTCGAAACCCGAATCGTGTATGATCAAATTTGTTGTAGGTTCACCTATATTTGGGGTGTAATATACGATGTATGAAAGTGCTTGTCAATATTCGCCCGGTGAGAGTTTCAGCTTGTGATCGGAACGATTGTATTGCTACCGTGTTCACCAAGATTTTTTTACCTTCTGATATCATAGGTTAGAAAGTTTGAAAAGTGTCTATAACTGTTTCCTCTTTAAATATGCGTGCAAATACTCCACTAATTAATATATGCACATGCACTTGTATCTCAAAACTGAACACCCATGTTTGCGTATCAGGCGCATTGATCTGGATCGAACCGGTTAGATAGCAGTATTGAGAGTCAAAAATAGCGTTCCAGATACTTATTAATTTTAGTGGCCATGGCTCCTTCTCCGGTCCATCGCCCTCTGTTAGAATTTACCATATATCACGGCAAAATTGCCTTGTACCAAATTTGGGAATCTCGGGTCGTGCGGCTGGGCCGGAAGGAAGACACCAAAACTTACACATCTGACATATCTCTAGCCACTTTGATTTTTCCACAATACTCGGCTGAGCTTATTTATAATGGGTAAGTACAAGATTTATCTGATTCTGTAGAGCATTGAACCCAAGCCCCAACCTTTATACGTCTCATACTGGTACTAACCCTGCAGCTGTCGCACTCTGGCTTGAACCAAAGAAGAACAGCGCCATGCACGACGTGCTCTCGGCGTTGATGGACTCCCTTCAATCCCTCTTTCCCGACGCCCCGGTGTTTGGACCCCACATCACCATAACATCCAATCTCGTTGTGAAAAACAAGACGGATGTGGAGACTGTTCTTCGCGCTGCAGCGGTCGCTATGGACACGTTAAAGCACCAACCATCGCCGGATTCCTCCTCAGAGCCAAACATAGGCGAGGGTCAGATATCGCGGTCGACCCATCTCATCACATTGGAAGGATTCAAGGTGGGGAAGCTGTTCCTCGACAAACTACATTTCTCGGTTCGAAAGACGGCCCAGCTCGTATCTTTCGCCCAGATAATACGCGAGTTGTACGTGCTGTACCCAGAGTTGGTGTTGCACAAAGTCCGGACCCAATCGGAACTGGACTTGGTAGTACTAGCGGGCAAGGAAGCAGCTCTGTGGGCTCTCAACGAGTTCCATCCACACCTCTCGCTTATCTACTCCTCTACGTACCCCGTGAACCAGGCTCTTTTGCGAACGGTAGAGACGCGAATCAAAGACGCGTTGGATATAGATGTCTTGGATGAGTTCGCTAAATTCAACATCGGCTGGAACGGTGGGATACTACGTGTCATGAGGTGTGAGGGTCCAGTTAACGAATGGGAGGATCTCGGCTCCATCGACATCCACGGGTGAGAAACTTAACCAGTGTTCACATACCAGTGGGCTAACGGATAATTAATGTTAGATGAATTATAGGTTGTATATGTGAGGACGCACCATCCTTTTCTATAACTCATGACGTGAAACAACACCCAACCCGGTGAATCCAAAATGGTAAGCACTCGGGGAGACTTCAGGTAGATTAGATATAATACAAGACGTGGCCTTCAAACTGATATCCATTACCCTGGATTAAATGAGGGAGGTGGCTTTGTTTTTCTTTACATATGTACACTACACTAAGGTGGATCTTTCCTCGACCAGGTCCATCGATTTTTATTCGATGCTTTACATAGAATGCTAGGATGCATTGTCGTCGAATCACACCTCAGTGGAAGGCTATCTGATGGCCACCATACATTAGCTGGGTGCTTTCAACGCTCGAAACTGATCCATAAATTTGGAGCTCATGTAGCATGGTGGTATTCGTGAAAGACGCTGTTTGTCAGTAAAGTAAACGGCCTCAATCACCAGCACTGTGTCAGACATATATCAGAGGGTTGAATTAGAGCCCAGTGTAGATGTGAAAAAAAAAAAAAAAAAAAAAAAAAAACCCCTACTAAAGCTATTAGCGTTAACCTAGACATTCCAACTTGTGTAATGAGTCGAGCTCACGGAGTCATAACGCATAGTTACCAACAATTGGAGTGCCTAGTGCTGGTAGACGTTTAAGATTATATTCTTGATTCTCTAAAATCGTATTTATCTCAAATTACGATTTATATTATATTTAAACGATATTGTTAAAAGAGCCATGTGGAATCGTCCATTGGATATTTTGGCTTCCTACCGCGATCGACAGCAATCAAATAATGCATGACATGCTTCACTACGTGTCTACCATCCTATTTATCCCAGTCCATTTATGCAATTGCCTTCCATTTAACCCTTAAATTCCCATACAATGCTGGATAACTCACCCCGAAACTTGGCCTTCACCAAAAAACACGACTCTCAGGATAAAATTTCCAGCTTGAGGCGGATCTCCACATCGCTCCATCTCCACGCCAAACACGCGGACCTCGATGACTACATCAACACGCTCACGGTGGAGGACTTCCCGCAGGTTCACTCTCAATACGACGAGGAATTTCTCAAGGGCGACAACCTTCTCCGAGTTTTTGAGGCCACCAGCGACTGCAATCACCGCTTGACCGTGAACCCCAAGATCAAGGATTTCTACGCAGATGTGTTGCAGTGCGCGCGGTTGAGAGAAAAGTACCAGGTGCTCTCCCGACAAGCAGATGACCAGAACCCTGCAAACTGGGGTAGCTGGACATCGTACCCGAGACCTGTGAAGGAGTACCTTTCGCTCCATCGCTTGGTTTGTTCCGACTGCGATGCGTTGATTGACTCTGATTCGGAGAATGAAGTTGCCGGCGATGTTACCGCTAAATCGACTCTCCAGGACACTGGTTCTCATTACAGTGGGTTTAATTTCTCCATAAAAGGGTTCTGCGAGGCCTTTGGAATAGACTTCACCACATGTTCGAGCCTATCCTTCCGCAACCTGGATAAAGGCTCTTCATATCCCGGTTTGAATGGAGATATTGCCTTCCCCTGCTTTGAAGAATATATTGACGACTTAAACCTCGTGATCGACACCAACAACAATTCTATTGGCCATAACCTCACCTCTACCCGGCTCAATTATCTTCTCTCAAAGCACGAATATTATACCCTAGAAAATGGACACTTGGAGGAAAAGTTAATCAAGTTGATTCCGCACCGCGACATGTACAACACTAAAAAAGTCAACAGCAACATCAATCTCATCAACTCTGTCAACCAGAAGTCACTCGTCGACTTTATCCGCGCCAAGTTGATCGAAGACCCGGAACGAGTGGTGTATCTTGATGAATTTGACAATGGCCCTGTAACCTTGAGGGAGTTGCTTCGTCCTTGGGGAGACCATGCTGAGATGCTAAACGTGGACGATTTTGTTGAACTCACGGGTTCAGATGGAATCACGTACTATGAGGGCACCCAGGACGTCCAGCGCATCCGCGAGACGTTTCTTAGTTATGATAACCACATCCACGGGGCATTTCTCGCAGAAATCGTCAAAGAAACCATCTTCCGCTTAGAAGTGTCAAATTATAAATACTACGAGTACAATGTGGAGTTGCACATTCAAGATTTTCAGGTGGAACCGGGGGTGAATATCTGGCAGAAAATGGCTGCCTGGATCTGTGACGAAAAGCTTTTCAGCGAGAATATCCGGTTCATCGTGCAGATCCCGCTCCACAAGTACCCGGAATTATGCAGCTTGGGCCGCGTAGCCTCATACGGTGAGTTCCTCCAACTCATTTTCCGGCCTTTGTTTGAGGTGACCCGGCGGCCGTACTTTGATATCAATCTCTTTTGTATGTTGACTAGGATTGTTTCCTTTGACCTTATGTTGAACATTCCTGAAACCGTGGGGGGCATCAATCCAGGTAAATTCACAAGCCAGCACAACCATATCCAGTACCCTGTTCCTGACGAATGGACTCTGTCGCAGAACCCACCGGCCTACTACATCCATTACCACTTCATGCTGAACCTAGCGGCGCTAAACCACTTCCGGGCTATATCTTTGCATGTTCCGTTGAACACGTTCAACCTCCTCTGCACCGATAACAACTCGTATGGTTCTTCCTGCTCTGGAATTTCGTGTCTCAGCTCTTTCCGGAACCCGAACCGCCGCAATCTCCAGACGACGGATTTGGTGGAAAACGGATGCGTGAGCTTTCTTTTAGCGAAACGCGTAGCGACTGACGGCTTGAAACTTCTCGAACACCCCACGCTCCAGTACTTATATTATATGAACCAAGTTGGCCTTCTCATGGCGCCAACCTCGGATATTTCCATTCACAAAGCGTTAAACGTGTCGGCCAGAAACCGTGGATTGTCGTACATGAACCATCCGTTCATCCAGTTATCCCAGATAGGACTCTTGGTCAGTATCAACGCGTCGAATCCGCTTCTCTCCTCATTGACCCGTGAGCCGGTGATGGAGGAATACTGTATAGCAGCGAATATCGTCAAGATGAACGATGTGGAGTTGTGCGAGTTGATGCGCAATTCAGTAATGAATTCGAACTACGAAGCATATTACAAGCGCAAGTGGATTGGGGTTGATATTGAGAAAAAGAATGAGTCCGAAAATCGGTACAAAGCGACTAAGACAAGGGGGAGTGAAGACTATCTCAGAGCGCTCCATAGAGGCTGTTTCATCGATAATGATAACGGGTTTTTGAGAACAAATGTACCCCAGATCAGAGTACGGTATAGACAGAATACGCTTAGGTATGAGTATGAGTTTATTCTCAAGGTGGCTAAAAAGTACTAAAAGGCATATAGTGAGTGCATCTTCTGATATCAATATACATTAATTCGGAGGAGGATGCAGGTATATGAAGACGGAGGATGAAGATCTGCAGGGGTCGAAAACGGCGTAAATAGAGGTCAGTGGTAAAATCACCCTGTGACGAAAGGATCCAAACTTTAAAACGTACGTGATAAGATTTACTGCCAAAGTTATCTGTAGATCGAAAAGTCAGATAAAGAATTGGACTTTCAGCCTTCAGGCGCTTGAGACTCCTTCCAGGGTTGAAACGGACGATACTAAATGCTTTGTAGTCTACGTGTATTATAAAATTCAATCTATTAGGTTGTATAATGTACAAGGAGTCTCCACGACGCTCAGACCAATCTTTCTTCGAATCTCAACTCGTTGTTGATTGGCAAGCCGACCAACAACTTGATCATGTTTTCGACCCCAACTCTCTGCTTGTTCAACCCGTTGATTGGATTGAAACCTGGTCTGGACAATGGAGCCTTCAACCAGTAACTCAAGAACGACAACACGGCATAGAAGTTTTCTTCCTTGGCCGCGCCAACCTTCTTATACGAAATTCTCTGGAAGAACTCGGCCATGACAACTAAATCGATGATCAACGGAGTAGCCAACAAGGAATCCTCACATACGTTGTGAATGCTGATTCTGTTGTGGCCACCCAACATCAACTCGGAGTAGTATTCGTCCATAGCCACCTTAGAATCACCCACGGCTGGGACGTACTTAATGACAATGCAGTGGTCGATCTTGTTACCAACCTTGTCATTGTACAAAATCTGGTTAGACTCGATGATGTCATCAACGACACAGGACTTGGAAATCTCCTTGGAGCGGAACTGCTTAGGCGCAGACAAGTTGTACCCGTCATTGTTCCCCAAGTGGTTGTACGAAGCAATTGAGACCGGTCTGATACCGGCATCAACCAAGAACTGGGCCAAGACAGACTTAATCTTGGTCTGACCGGACTTGAAATCGTCACCACCGATGAAAGAGCCGTACTGTTCAGCCAATTCAAGAACACCCGGAACAAAAGTGTTCTGTGGGGAACCGTTGATGTACGGAATGTTGTCCAAGATACAGGCAATGGCAAAGACAGAGGATGGAGAAACCTCGAAGTGGGATTCCTTAACGGCCTTCAAGACGTTTTCAGCGGTGTCGTTAACTCCTTCGATGATTTCGGCGTAACGTTCGGTATTGGCAGTCCACAAGACAATGACCTTGTCTAAGCCGTTCGCCTCCTTGAACTGCTTGATGTCAGCTCTGATTCTCTCTACATCCGCCCATTTGTTCTTGTCAGTGAGCTGGCCAGCAGCATCAACGTTCAAGACATTGTCAGCTCTCTCCTCTTGGTTGGCGGCGATAAAGTCTGGGTAGTACACCGATGGCATTGGCCTCATTTCCTTCATATAAGGCGCCAACCGCTGCTGCAAGTTAACGTCCAAGACCTTGGCTCTCTTCATGGAGTCGGCCAAATTGGCGCTGCTGATGTCCCAGCCGCCAATAACCAAGTCGTTAGGGTTGACCATTGGGAGAATGGAGTTGAACGGAGCGTAGACATCGTTGCCGGTGGCGTCGATCCCAATCTTGATGGTGGACGACTGGGTGACAGAGCCATAGTAGTTTGGCTTGATGGTACCTTCCTTGGTTTCGAAGGAAATGTCATGTTTGTTGGCCAAGGTGGCGGCAATCATGGTGGTACCGTTGTTACCACCCAACCCAACAAGCAACAACCCAGTCTTCTGAACCTTCAAATCAACCGTGAACTCGAACTCTTCGGAAACCGGCTTGACCTCATAGCGGCCGTTGGATGCATCGACAATCGAGTTTTCATAGGTGAACTTGGTCTTCAACGTGTCTTCTGACCATTGGCACTTGTCACTGGTAACGTGGACGGTAATTGGGCTGGAGTCGGTGGTCATTTTTTATAATGTGTGTGTATATACTGTGGAAAGATAAAAAATATTAAAAACAGAGGGAGAGAGAGAGGGTATTTATAGGAAAAGGTTTAGGGGTAAGTGGCGCTTGCCGAATTGCTGGGAATCAATGCAGTTTTGATCTTTTAGTCAAACCGCTCGGCGAAGTTTCGCGTAACATAAATAAACTTTCGACATTGTTGGGAGCGGCTGATTTTCGCCGGACAGACGCGGGCTTTAATGCACCCAGGCCTGCTTTTGTACGCGTGTTCTTGCGCGCATGTCGGCGGAAACGCAAAAGAGACTGTTTTGGGACATTATGTTATTCCTAGGGACCGATTCTGTGATCACCAAACAGTTGAGTACCGCTACGGTATGTATGCATACGTAACAATAATGCGATAACGCATAATTTCCATTGCCTTGAAACCAACACAAAAACAGGGACATAATGACGCATGACGTTACATTGCTATCTGTAGCTTTAGTTCGAACTGGTAGTGCTTACTTATAGTTTTAATCTGACCTAGGATAATAGCTTGCTTTGAGAATCTCAGCCTACAGTTAACACGTAACCATTGAGGATTACCGGGTTACTGCTTAAGTTGATTGTGTACGCGTTTAGACAAACACCAGACTGTGACCAAGGGTTAGTATATTTCTGTATCAAATAATTAATCCAATGAAGTTACAACACGGTGTGCCGCGATCAAACGATCGTAGCCTTAGCAACTGCAAATCGTCGGCCCAGCACGTTCCTTTGCCTGCACATGTGAAAGATTCCGCCGAGCTGCATCCGAGCGATCAAATTCCGCCGAGCCAGTATCCTGTACACCGCGACTAAGGGGGGAAATAAATGTAGAGCACGTTACCCAATTTGCCGGATATTGGCTATGACACGACCTAAAAATATTCGCGCTGAAAAAGTTAGAGCTAACTGGCCAAAGGCATAAACACAAGTCACAAGTACCAAAGATCACAATGAGCTTGGAATTGAAGAGAACTTTGCTGGCCAAACATGTGGTGAAAAGGCAAAAGCTTGGTGGTACTTCTGCTGTGCAGGCAGACCAGAAAGAAAAATTGGCGACTCTTAAAGCAGAGGTGAGCCAGGCCATCGACTATAAGTTCGCTACATTATATGCCCATTTGGCTGAAAAAGACTCTGTCAACATCCGAATTGGAAATAATGACAATATCTGCAAGCGATTGACCCAAATAACAAAATCAATCAACGAAAAATCACAGGCAGTATTGGTGAGCTCCTCGTTGGATGGATATCACAAGTTGCTTTCCATTGTGGAATTGTTCAAATTGAAGCTACTAAACGATGATAAGACAACACTGGGTCTCCCTAACGAGGCAAAGGTGGGTTGTCTTTCCTCCAGGCACTTTCACCAGTACAATAAAATCGATTATGTGACGGTCACCAGCGATTACAATCAACTATTGAAAGGTGCCAGATCTGGCGTTGATGCCCAGAGTGAAAAATCAATGAAGCAGATTCAAAAGGAACTATTGTGCACGATTAAAAAGACTTTCAAGCTCCCTCTCTTCCTAGTGGTGTTGAGGGTGGGTGATGGCTTGACACAGGATGCCGCGTTACTCGAAAGGGGCTGGAGCTATCAAAACGAGGAGTTGGTTATATAATGGGTAAAACGGTTGAAGCTAAATAGTCTTCATGAGGCATAGACAGTTATTGGCAGGAATGGATTTTATGATTATTTATAACGAGACAGAGGGTATTGAAGGTGAAGGAAAGAACTTGTATCCAACCTCGTTTTCCATAATAAATGTCGCATAGATCTGAGTGTGATATTTGTCCTGGGTTAACGCCTTAGAGTCTCGTAGAGAATTTCGCTGCGATAAAATACTTCGGGTTGTGCATAACTCAGGTATCCCAAGTTGGCGTACTTCGATATCCCTGTCACGTTCAGTTTTTTAACCCGTCTTACCTATCGTACTTCAACAACGTATAATTATTCTGATTGTTTCTTATTTATATCACATAATGAAAGTTGATCCAGGATGGGTTATCTTTTTGTGAATTGATATTATCTCGGTTAATCAATCACGAAATACTAAACTGGAACAATTCATCCATAATCTGTGTCCTATATGCACACTATTAAATTCCCACGTTAAAACATCATACTTTTGGAACCTACAAACAGGACATGCATATGATAATAAACAAGGCTGACTGGAAAATATAGATACAAGTTAGATACCTTACGTTTTGTCAAAAGACACGCTCGAACTCAAAGAGAAAAGCGGACCCTTGAGGGGAATGATTAGGATTATTCCTCCCTAATAGCTGTGATAAAGTGTACATCTCAGGATACTGGTTGTGAGTTAGCCACACTAAAATCTATAGCTTTTCAAACCTATACATCTGCACATGCCTTGTGGTTATATTAATCCTAATTTACACGTCTCGTGGCTTATTTCGTCACCAGATTGCCCTTCTTCACAACCTTCCTCTTATCCTGCTGGGCTGCCAGCACAAACTCACTGGCGTGCTTCCGCTTGTTGATTTTCTTCTTTTCACGAATAGTATTCTCGGCTTTTTCCATTTCCATTTCGGCTTCTCTCAAAGCAACGGAGGTGACCTTCATGGAGTTGGCGATGACCTTATTTTCAGACACTTCCTCATACTTTTCCATCTTCTTCCCAACTCTTTCCTCGATTGCCAAGACTCGTTCGATATCCTTTTCACTCACCAAACTGATGGACTCACCCTTTCTCCCAGCTCTTGCTGTTCTACCAACACGGTGGATGTAATCGTCCGGATCGGCTGGCAAGTCATAGTTCACAACGAGAGCAACCTGTGGGATGTCCAACCCTCTGGATGCAACGTCAGTGGCCACCAAAATCCGGGCTGCACCGGACTTGAATCGGTGGTAGGAGGAGGTTCTGTCGGCCTGCTTCAAATCGGAATTCAACGAAGTGACGTTCAATCCCAAACGGCTTAACGTTCTGGTAATCAACTCCGCGGTGTAGGTTCTATTGACAAAGATAATCGCACTCTTGTTCGTGTGTTCTTCCAAGGTCATTAAGCAGTGCAAGTAGTAAGCCTTAACATTGGAAGGGAGGAAGATGTAGCTAATAGACAAGGTGGATGGGATGGCAACCTTGTCGACGGTGTCAACTTCGTGAATAAAGAACTCCGGCTTGCCGGCAGCGACCGGCTTTTCCTTGATGGCCCTGATGGAGTCGGTCACGGTAGCGGTGAACAACATGTTCTGTCTCTGAGACGGCGGCGGTAAGGCGCTGAAACAGGTGTCCAAGTGGTCAGCGAAACTGTTGGTCAACAAACGGTCTGCCTCGTCGAGGACGAGGTATTTGACCCTTCTCAAACCTCTGATGACGTCTTCTCCGCTACTCAAGATGTGATCGGCCAATCTCCCCGGTGTGGCAATAACAAAGTGTGGACATTTGGCTAGCTCAAGGGTCTGTGCTGTCATGTCTTCACCACCGACGATAACAATCACTTTCAAGTTGGCGTTGGCACCCAAGGCCTGGAACTGCTCGGCGATCTGGTACGCCAACTCTCTGGTAGGGGTCAACACCAAGCCGAAAACCCCCGACGGGTTTTCTGACCATCTAGTCAACATGGGAGCCGCAAATGCAATGGTCTTACCGGAACCAGTCTGAGCCCCACCGATACAATCGTGACCGTTCAACACCTTAGGAATACAGGCTGCCTGGATGGCGGTAGGAGTGTAGATTTTCATGGCCGTTAAGGCTTCAACCAACCACTTGGCAACTCCGAGATCTTGAAACGTGACAGCCATGGTGATATGTGGGTTGTAGATAAACTGAGACAGACTGGTGAGAGCGCGGTTATCTGAAGTGTTGGAAGTACGCCTCCTGCATGAAATGGAAATAATTTTTCCGAGCCGCATTATCACGTGATCTCATGCTTTTTTTTCACTATCAGCCTTGGTGCTTAAAGGCGATCCATCAAACATACCCTGCCTCCTCAGAATACCCCCACGCAACTTGTGATGCTTATATCCAGAAACGCGGTCGGATTTTACCGATACTTCTCTGTGACGACGCTCAAAGCCGCGATTGAAATCCCCCAGAACTCGCCATCTGCCATCCAAAATCAGAACTGGCTTGACAGTCTCGGCGGCGATTCCAAACAGGACCCGCTTCTCGCGTCCAAAGCGAGTAAGCCAGCACTGACATACGTTGTGAAGCAGGGTAACGATCTTGCTACCACCGCGTACGCAGCTAGCGTGTACGGTATGGAAGATTTTCTGTTTAAAGTGTTGTCGCATGACAAGGAAGGATTCAACGATATTGCAATTCCTGTGTCTAACTACTTCGTGAGATCTTCGCCCTTCTCCCACTTGAATAATAGCAGTAAGCCGAAGGCTGACAATGCGCAGCCGTTTGCAGACTTGCGCCTCGTGACGTTAATGACGGGGCGTGGGGGGAACGGTGCTACGTCGTTTCTTCGGTCTTTTGGTAAGGCCAAGGGTCCCCCGGACGGCGGGGACGGTGGGGACGGTGGAGATGTATATGTACAAGCGGTAGATGGGTTACATTCCCTACACAAGTTGAGAAAGGCATACGGTGCAGAAGACGGGAGGCAGGGGCAGAAGGACCAGTTGGACGGGAAAAGAGGCGACGATGTGATTTTAACCGTTCCAGTAGGGACAATCATCAAGTGGATTCCGGACCCCAAGATTTTGAGACAATTGCAGCGGTCCCAAGCACAAGACCGAGAACATGGCGGCTCCTTCATCAATCTCAAGACTATCGGGGCGTACCCGCGTGACAAAACCTCCAAGTTCATCCAATTCTGGCGGCAGAGTTACCTTGACGGTGAGGGATGGTTATTCAAGGATCGAGATGCGGAGTATCACGAAAATAGGGAATACTTTAACGATCTCAGACGGAAGGTCTTTGAGTACGATCGAACTACCACCAAGGAGGAAATTGATGAAGATGTATTTCCGATGTTTGGCCTTGATTTGAACCAGCCGACTGAGAAGCCAATTCTCTTAATGAAGGGTGGCCGAGGCGGCATGGGTAACATGCACTTCTTGACCCGTGACATCAGAAACCCGCGCTTTTGTAAGCTGGGAAGAGCGTCCTTAAAGGAAAACTTTTTGTTTGAGTTGAAATTGTTGGCAGACATTGGGTTGGTGGGCTTACCAAACGCCGGAAAGTCCACATTGTTGGGCGCCATTTCCAGAGCCAGCCCAAGGGTCGGCCACTGGGAATTTACCACTTTGCAGCCGACCATTGGGACCATCAACTTGGGTATCGATAAGGACTCTTTCACTGTTGCTGATATCCCTGGTATCATCAGAGGTGCCAACCAGGGTAAGGGCATGGGTACCGACTTTTTGAGACACGTCGAGAGATCCGGAGGGTTGTGTTTTGTCATTTCCTTAGGGAATGACGATCCGATTGCAGATCTTGAAACCTTGGTCGAGGAAATGGGTGAGAAGCGAATGGAAGGCAAGCGTGTATTGGTAGTTGCAACCAAGGCTGATATCACTAAGACCAGAAAGAAATACGCGGTTTTGCAGCAATACGTAGAGGAAAAAGAATGGCGATGTGTGCCCACGTGTGCCATGAAGGGTGAAAATATCGAAACGGTGATAACCATGATGGCCCAGCTTGCAGGAAAGCTCAATGTGTAATTAGGGATGCTTGTATATAGCCAGACGAATAAAATATCTTATGGAACAGCATATTTAGGCCATGTTCAAGGCCAGTCTTACAGGTACGAACAGATTCTACACTGAAGGTTTTCTGTATAAGGCAGAGCAAGACTGTACACCCAATGCAAACTCAAGGCACAATAAGTTCTATCTTGGACTAGAGCGTAGAAGAGAGGTTTTTAGATTATTATTGGTACCGGTTGCTTGTATCTCTTACATGTGTATTAGCTCTCAGTGATCAGTTATTGCGTATCAGCCACTAACTGAAGGGTGTATGTTAACGATTATGTGTCACTAAGATACTCTTTAACGCCTGAAAGTACCGTGTATCATAGTTGTTTGCCACTGTTCGGTTTTTGTGGAGTTTTGACACTCTAGATCAGCCCGCTCCAACCGTATCCCATACATATTAATCCTTCGATGCAAATGCAGATGCAAATGCAGATGCGCTTTAACCCTCCTGCCATCCGCCTGATTGATTTCGCCGTCATGCCGTAGATATAAAGGGATGCTTCCCCTACTTTTACATAGTACCTGACATAATTGCAAAACTATACTTTTCCTAGATATATCGTGCGATGATAATTATCAACTCTTAGGACCAGTCATAGGTATAGCCTCAATTAAAGGCAGTCTTGGTGCTGAGAATTGCAGTACATGATGCTCAAACATTTGAAACTCACCTCTAAATACTCATTGTCGCGTTTTGTCCACGGCACAGACATTAACTTGGACTTTATTGACGATACATATAAGCAGACAATAGGATATAGGAGGTTGCAAAGAATTAGCCCTTGTTTTATGGTTACTCGCTGGATCTGTTTTGCATCCAGTTATTTCACCCGGCGGAGATTACATAGCCGTAGTTGCCAAGAAGAAAAAGACACTTTTATGCGCAACTAGTTATTTGCTGTCTTGGCATACACTAACGTGGTTGCTGTAGGCTGAACAATGGGACTAAACGGCCAGTACATGATGCCTGAGATCGTTCGTGGGTCACTCATTATTCTTATCCTCATCTGTATTTTTGACTAAGTATTCAAGCCTCTTTGGGATTTCTAAGTAACCCTAGAGTCATTCACAATCAGGCCACGCCAGTACAATTCAACCCCATGCATTTGATCCTAAAGGTACTTTGAACTATTTTGCGTTTTGACGCAGGGTTCCAAAAGAAGCAAGAAAAAATGAATTATCACACTGGTCGTGCCTAAACGGGGCACTCTCCTCGCTGACGACGGAGACATATCGGATCACCGATACCCACTTCTCCACAAACTGGGAAATTTTCTTAAACACATCACATATACTAGATAGTAACTCCTGCGCAATACTGGTTTTACATCCACCAAATCACGAGGGTGTTAAAAAAGGAAGGTTTCAGAAAAGGAAGACCCAGTCTAAGGCAAGCTCCCGAATGTTCAATACCGTGGAATATATAAACTATTTGTGACATTGATAACTTTCTTCAGTTATAGAGCCTCTAAGCTGGCCGAGCCTTCTTTTTTGTCATAGTCTTTGAGGCAGACCTCTCTCAGTTACAGTCTCGGCCAAAACGGGCTACCTTTGCGCTCACCGCGGAATCCTGATTGTATAAATCTGCTCGTTTCACGGAAAATAATAAAGCTTACACTGATTATATCATTTTACCGTCTTTGATAAGCTCCTTTACAGCCCAATAGATGCCAAAGCTCTGGCTTAATGGGACAAGTGGTGCTGTACTGAGATTTTCGTATCGTCTGAGCAACGCCCTAAAAATTCCACTAGTCCAAGATCGACCTTAAATGTTTTGGAAGTACATACCGAAGTAGAGCGTATCCCACGTTAATACGCAATACTCTCGCCCTGAGCATCCCAAGTTGCATATCTTCCATACTCGGGCCGCATATAATTATTCATCTCGGACTCGTAAAACGTAAATCTCTGATTTTTGCCTAGTTGAAGTAGATCTTAATGCCGTTGAAGCTCTGAAAACGGTCAGAATGCTAGTGATGCTCATTTTCTCGCCACCAATGGTAACAATATAATAACGCACTTTATCCCACCATCTTGTCATCATTTTTTTCTCTTTACACACTTTATCTACACAACTTCAATCCAGCAGACATGAGAATTTCCGTTTTATCTACCTTTGTTTTAGCCCTCACCCCTGCGTTGGCTCTCACCATTCCCACCGAAGTCGCCGGTGATGGTTTTACCGTTACCATTGACTTTACCACCACAACCATGGATACCTTCGGCGATATGAAGTAATTACTAGCCTTCACTATCAAGCTGTCTTGGAACCCTGCAGACTTTTATGGCCTAAAGTATCTTCAGTCACTTTAGTGACGAGGCATTTTCATCTAAAATATCTTATACCTATATGTACTACATGCTCAAATCTAGACCTTACTAGTTTTGTAGAGAGTATCCCGGGTTCATAATACAGGTTCCTGTTGTTGTTTTCAGTCATCCGTAAGTTTCAGAGGTTTAGGGACGAAATAATAGCCTGGAGAGTAATTCCGCGGAAATATCCTAAAAAAGCACATTATTTGGTATTTATCTACCTACGAGTCAGATGTGTATACTCGGTCGTGTATTAATTCTAAACCTCTGCTATTTCTAAATACCGCCTGACTTCGTCTAGCACAGCCTCCTTCTCTACCGTAAGCAAGCTCCTTCCATCATTGGCAGTCGGCGTCACCGGTGGATAATCCTCATCCTCATACACAGACGAGCAGTCCAGCTGCGCGCTTGTGTCCAAACCAGGCTCTTCCTCTCTTGGAAGATCTACACCGCACGTTTCTGAAACCGGATTCTCGGTTTTTGCGGTCCCGAATGTCTCCATCATTTTATGCAAAAGCACCTTGGAGTTCATGTTCTCTCTCTCCAATTCAGAGACCCTGAACTCTAGTTGATTGAGTTTGGAGTTCATGCTGCGCAATATCTCTTCGAAATGCGATGAGTCCGGAAGACTTGCTATGGACAGATTACCGCGCCTCTCTGCCTTCCGACCATACACTATGCTTTTTCCCTCCAGCTCCTGATCTGGATCAGAGCCGATAGACTCAGTTTCTGAAATGGAGTAGATGGATCTCGCGGAAAAGTCCGGCTGTGACGTGTGGGCGTAATATGGAGCTTTTACATCACCGAACACCGCGCGCAGGGTGCTCTTTGGCGAGGTCTGGGGCTGGTTTATGGCGTCCTGGGAAAACGACTTGAACGTGCTCTTCATGGTATTGGAAAAAGAGTTGAGCAACGACGGGACGGGATTCGTGGAAATCGGCGAATGTGCCACAGTATGTGAAGTTCTTTTTGGAGAAACCGATCGGGACTTGAGCTCCACTTCCGCTCTCGGTTTAGAAAATTCATCGAGCGCATCGCTGGTGAAGTAACTGGCGCTCAACGCATTCAAGTCGTGCATCAACAGCATGTGATCGGACTCGTATTCGGTGAAGATATCCTTAGACAACAAAAACTTGTATATCTGTTCCTGGTTGAAGAAGCCAAGAAGGATTTCTCTGTTGCGCAAGAGAAGCACAGTGCTGACCCTGAAAATGGTAGTCTTGAACCCCTCTAAAATCATCAAATCCACCACCTTGATCAAGAGCTCAAACTCACAAGTGATGCCAAAAAACGAGAGGAACCACTGACTCAAAAAGAGCTTGAAGTCTACCTCCATGACTTCCAAGTGGGCCAGCAAATCCTGAGGAAGCGCGCGGCGAGCAATCTCTGTGAACTGAGTAAACCACTCATTGATACCAGACATTTGTGGATCAAAGATGCTGCGGAGTGACTTGTTTATCTCCATGACCTTGCACAAAGACACAAACAAAATGCGCTCATTCTCCAGGTCACACATTGCCGTTTCGGAGGTGTAGTCCCTATGAGACAACACGTACATCAAGACCCCCACCAAAAATGCCAACCCTTGGCAGTAACCTAATTCGAGGTCGTATAACGAGTACGCGTTCAAGATCCTCAAGAGCTTAACCTGGTTCGCTTCCGACTGGAAGAAGGGCACCTTCGGAAACGTGCGATTCACGTCAAGGAGTATCTGCTTGTAAGATGGTGACCGCTCAAAGTCTGTGCACGTCAAGGATGACGACAGGGCATGCGGTGCGGTGTAATAAATTGACTCATATAACTTGAGGAAGGTGACGTCGTTCAGCCGGCCGAACGAGTCACATCCCCCGGTCAAGATCCCCCAAATACGCGCCCGCAACTGCTGCGTCGGAATGCCGATGGAGTAGATCATGAACTTGGTATAATTAGGCATGGTGTTGATGCTGTTGGAGAAGTTGGTTACAAACACCAACCAGAACTGCTTTTCCAAGTCGCTGCACACAGCAGATGTGTCTCTGGGGTCTGCATTTGGGCTATGTATGACCTCTAGGAGCTTTTCCAAGTCTGCCATGGTGAACTGGTCTTCGAGGGAGGAGCGGATAAACGGCGACACGCGCTCCAAGTGCTCATACATGAGAAGCGTGCCATTTGCTGGGCCGTCAAGCTCGCTGCTGAGATGAACCATCAGGGAAGTCTGGCATAACGACTGTTCCACCTCGAGCAAGCTCTCCCAGTCGATCACGTGGGAATCTGAAGACATGGGAAATATTGAAAACCGGATATTGTAGAAATTTGGATGGAACGGAAGGGTGTAGTTGTCTAATTTAGATGGGCTCTATATTGTAATGCTGTTAAAATAGGGACTGCTCTTATTGTATACCCTTGTATCTTTAATTTCTTTGTAGAGGATTTCAAAGCCTCCACTTGTGAGCTAATCAATCAGCAGAAAGCTACGAAGATATCAAAGGAAAGCGTTTCAGATAAAAGCGTCTGAAAACCGCCCTGTGGTTCTTTTAGTGATCTCCTGCGTGTAACTAACTTTTGTCTGGTCTGTTTTGGGGAAAACGCACACGTAGGCGGTGCGGCATGGCTGGCTTCTTTTGGTGGTGTTTCACCGTGAAGCAGTCGAATTGCTAGGTGGTAGCGTCATTATGCATGTACACGCTGTACCACGCCCACCCACCAATCTCGTAACTTCCCCCCTCAAAAAAATATACGGGCATAATATAAAATATGTGGTACATATAGCACAGAATTAATTCACCAGGGTTCCTTAGCCTCATGGCCGTTGATTGTGCGGATGAGTGTTGTCAACATGGGTGGGCGGGGCTGCGCTTCTTGCCATACAATGCAGCGTGAATCTGCGTGTTTACTGGGCAGAAATCTGGATCTGGTTTTGTTCTCCGCATTTATCAAGCCATAAGAGGTGAAATCCATATGTGCATGAGACCCTGGAAGCAGATACCGCGCTTGAACGCGATTGAAGAACTGCCCTTCCAATTAGCTAGAAACTTGCCGGATAGCATACGCGCAACCATTAAAACTCCACACAAAGGAAACACCTTGGGAGACAAGAGCCCATGATTCACACTGTACGTAATTGTTATTCGGTGAGGGTTAGCGTGTTCAAAAATGGAATTAGCACCACTTTGTTAAGGCCGGTTGTTTGGCGCGAAGCTTTAATGGTTACGCGTATGCAAGGCTGCTTGCCTGCATATTTCGTTGTCAACCACGATACTGCATGATGTGTCAATTAGCGCTAAAGACAACAGCTAGGATTATGTCGATGAAAGCGACAATGCCCAAATTTAGTCGTTGTACAAAAGGTGTTGGTCGGAATTAAATCGTGTATCATAGAATTCGTCTCCTCAAGCTTAAAGCGGGTAATATATCCAAAAGAGTAATTTTCCGCCATTGGAAATGGGTTCAACCATCACGCGAAATGGAGCCTGAGGTGTCTGCCACCTGGCTCGGGCATAAGCTCGTTCCAGCAACCATGGAGATGGTTTCTCTCTATCCATGATATAAAGCTGGTTGATTAGACCGCGTCTTATCAGAAGTATATCACTATGTTAGAAGCGCTCTAATTAAGACCTTATGTACTGGTCAAAAGTCTAACCCCATGCGCCACACCATTAAGTTTACGTCACAGACTGGTCTTATGGTATGGATCTGGAGACCCAGGTGTGGTTTGGTAGAATCCCAACTATTCTTGTGGAATTTATTGCCCAATCGAGATTGTATATGCCGTGTGATGAGGCGAACAGGCCTTTTGCTAACCACAATCATGCGCAAAGTCAATAATTTTCAACCCCCTATTATCTGTGGTTTCAAGAACCAGTGAGTAACAAAAGCGCCCTTTTCAACAATAGCGGTTATAGGAGTTTTCAGAAATATGTAAATTACATGGCGTAACCCCACACAATTGCAAGGAGCTTGAAATGCGTAATTCTGGAGAAAGTACGAAAACCTCCAGTATACTGGTGAAAATCAGAAAACATAGAAATATGTGTATAGTAATAAACATATTGGTTAAACATGCCGTCTAGTTATGAATCATATCACAACTTTTCTGACTGACTGTATAACAGTTATACCTATATGATACTATAGTAGGGCATAGCTGCATGGCGCCTGCTAGGGTTGGCCGTGCTTCCAACTAGGTACACAAAATTTTGGGACTGGCAGCCCATAATACACTCTGACGGATTTGTTTATCATAAAAAAATGTTCGTTGGATAAAGTACCAGGCATTCAACGCCCAGATATTCCACCAACTTAATTTGATGATTGCTAGCTCTCATTGTATATGTTTTGAGCTGCAATTTTACTATACCTCGGTTTTACCTTTTATGGCTTCATGAGACCAATTAGTTCACTTAATACTCTCATGAGGCAGCCTACCTGATTCATGTCATATTCTTTGAGAGTGGCTGTAATATTTTAACATCCTCTACAAAAAGAATTTTGATAGCTTTACTGAACATATATGCAGTGCAGAGCACGGAATAAAATACACTGGGAGCCCATACTCCCTTCGGGGCATTTAGTACCCCTTCTTCTTCTGCTTGGTGATATGCGCTTGGGTGACAACCTGCTTGTCGCGCAACGACATCTTGACCTTGCCTTGGACCTCCTTCTTGTGGATCAACATGACAAAGTTCTTAGCACGTTCCTTCTCTCTGTTCGTCGTCGAGTGCGGAGCGTCACGCTTACCCTTTCTGGAACCGTACTTCTCTCTGTCCTCTCTACCATCCTTGGCGGCGGCGATTCTCTCCTCGCGTAACTGCTTGAACTTGGAAGCACCCACAAGAGTCTTAGCATCGACAGAATCTTCGTTGGTCTGGGACTTACCCAAGACCTTCTCGAGACCAGCCTCAACCTTCAATTCTTCCAACTTGGCAAAGTCTGCTGGAGTCAAGATAGTGCTAGACAACATCTCAATCATGGCTTTTTCTTGGTTGAGCTTGGCCTGGAGCTTCGCAGCCTCCGCCTCGGCTCTGAGCTTCTTGCGCGATGGCTGGCCCTCGATTTCCTCGTCAGACAACTCGAGGTCGGACGCCTCATCCTTTCTGGCACGCTTAGCCCTCCTAAGACGCTTGGCCTCCTCTCTGGCGGCCTTCCTCTCTTCTGGGGTCTTCTCAGTCTTGTCTTCGTCGTCGGAAATGTCGTACTCCTTGTCGGACTCAATCTTAACCCAGTCACCTTCCACATCACTACCGTTATCTTCCTCATCGACTTCCCAGTTCTCGTCTGCATCCTCGTCATGGGTGATCCCCTTTTCGAGTTGCTCAAGTTTCCACTTGGCCAACAACTCCAACCCTGGAATACCCGTGACAGTATGGGACTCCACACCGAACTGAAGAGAGCCAGTGTTCTCCAAAATGGCCGCGGCGCTGTTCCCACCGTTGGCCTGCAACTCCATGGAGGCAATCTTACCACGGTCCTTCCTCAACAACATCTCTGGAGCAATCTCACGGTAGAGCGAGATCAAGGATCTGGCAGCCGTCATCACCGGCTTGGCCTTGGAGCCCTTGTACTCGGTCAAATCTTGTAACAAAGTAGAGTCGATCGCCAATGGGGCTCTGGAAAGGATTTCTCTGATAGTGTTGAGACCGGCGGCCGCAACTTCAGCAGCCACACCATCGGAAACAAACTCGTCGGCAACCTTCTTCACAACCATGGCCACTGACTCTGGCGGAACCAAGTCATGGGATGCCTGTGCAGCCGCAGCCATGATCTGGGTGACGTCTCTCTGCTTCGGCGTAAGGTACTTTAAAAAGAAGGAATAGATCCCCAAGACAGTGAGCTTGTGGGTACCGATCAAGCGCGAGATCAAGTTCATGAACAAAATCTTCTGCTCGAGGTCAAAACGATTGGCTGACTTTCCGGAAAGATGGTTGTCGAACATTGCCTCCGCGAAGCCCTGGGGGTCGCGCAACAAGTGGATGGCAGAAAAGTTCAAGTACGTGGCAGAGTGTTTGGCGTTGTTCTTCTTCTTCATCGTCTTGACCGCTGTCTCGAGTTTCTTACCTCTCTTGGAGGTTTTTTTGTTGATGGACATCTTATGCCTCAACGCAGCCATATCGAAATGGTCATCATCTTCAGAATCGTCCTCGAAGTTCGCCTCTCTCTCCTTATCGGCACCAAGGAAAAATTTGCAACCGGCAATAGCCACCTTCACATCTGGGTGTAACGCAGCCTGGGTCATCAACTCGACAGTACGTGAGTCATCCCAGATCCCACGCCTCCACAACTCTCTGGTTAATTTGGTCGCCCACAACCCCTGGCTATCCTTCTGCTCAAGTAAGTTAAACAACAAGGCCTGGGTGGATCGGTTGAGCTTCTGGTGCTTGGCACCGGTGTTGACCGACTTCAACAAGGTGATCATGTTGGAGTAAACCTGGTGTCTCAAGGCCTTCGCGTGCATTCCGACGGATGCCGCGTCACCCGAGTAGGCGGTTAACAACGGAAAAATGGTCTGGATCAATGACTCAGCCGTGATAATTTCCTTGTTTCTCAACATGACAAGGCACTGGATGATCTTCTCACGCAACTCCGGCGTAAGGTCTCTGTGGTTGTTGGTAAGGATAGCCTTCAATTCGTCAGGGAACTTGGCAGTCTCCTTAGGGTAACACGAGCACACCGCAGACATGAACCCGATCAAGTCACCGAAGTCGTCACCTTCGTGTGCGGAAGGATTCAACAAGAAGATGTCTCTCAAGGACTCATAGTGGGCATACTGTTGCATGAACTCCTCGTGGTAGGACTCAGGGTCACGACGCACGACATTCTGCAACAAAATGATGTTAGTCGGCAAGATAGCAGCTCTCCGTTTTTTACCCATTGTATAGTGCGTAAAAGATGAGAGGGGGAAGCGTGGAGTAGGGCGAATAGTTTTATATCTGTGAAAAATTGCACGCTGCGCGAAAAATTTAGGAAAATAAAATATTCTTCGCAAAAAAGAAATTCAGAGATGAGCCACGTGTGAAGGCACGTGATTGAAAAGCCGAATGTAACTTAGTGTTACGTTCCACCAGTTTGATTTATAAAGTAATATACATGTTAGATTTATACAAGGAAGCTGGTTGGATAAAAGGTATATAATTAATAGTCAGCTGTTCTTTAGGCAGATATTGGGCATATCATAACCTCAAGAAGTATATACTGTATGTAGCTGACTTGGGCAAGCTGTAAGCCCTTTGGAGATATGCCAGATGCTTTGTAAAGTGTATTTCGGGTGAACTTCGAAAGGTTCTGGTTTCTCATTGTTGACGTAATAGATCCTTCAGATAATTAATTCTCTTCCGTATAGTACAGGTAAATTATAGGTGTGGTATTAGTAAATCATAAATGGAATGACGCAATTTAATTTTGACAACTTTTTCTAGCAGCAAACAGTATTTTGTTTACAGCACCTGGATGACTGCCTAGGGTTAATTTTGACGTAGTAGCACTTCCGAGGTATTCATCTGGTCTGATCCTCTTGTCAGTGGCAACAAAAAAGGAAATACGGGCCGAGCAGGGAATTGAACCCTGGGCCACTCACACCCAAAGCGAGTATCATACCACTAGACCACACGGCCGTACCATGCGGTGTGCCAGAGTTAGGGAAGCCATCTCTGAGGTAAGTAACGCGTGTGGCTACCAGGATTGGCTGGTGGTTATCAGAATTAGCTCCCTAGCACGAGTGAAACTATATGACGATCTAAAAAGACTAAACTAACAATGATAACCCAAGTGAAATTGAAATGCTGGGACTATTTAGGCGAAACTAAAACACCGGTGGTGATACAAGCCCAAAGGGCTATATAAGGAGGTGGTTTCCTGCTGATAGGATATGTGTTTAGCTTAGAAGTATCTATTTTTGTGAAAGAATGTGATTGTACCCAGTGAATTATTCCGATAATATCTTTTAAATCGATGAGTGACTACGATCCCCCGACTGGAATCACAACAGGCCCAGGAGCCCTGACACAGTGTCGGGGTTATAGATCGAGCCTCACGGATGTCTAGACCATAAAAATGAATCAGCACGCAGGTCCTATCCTGGAGACTATTTGTAATTGTCATGTCAGTTTAAGGCAGGGTATAGAAGGATCACAGGAACTAATGATATATCTAGTAATTAATATAATAAGAATAGCTATGTTTACCTAATCAATATGATAAGAGTAGCTGTGTTTACCTAATTAATGTACATTTATGTATTTATTTATATTAACAGATAGAAATATTTATTTATAACCTATGTTTCGCTAGTTTGAAACATAAGGTAAATATTAATTAATCCCCCACCATTCGTAACTCTACAGGAAGCTTTTTGCTCATACGCGTAGCATACTTGATCAGACTAGAACTGGGATACACTATTTGTAAATTTACTATTCCTTGCCAGTGAGAATACTCGCGTGCATAGCCTACAATTTTTTGATGGTATTGGCTAATTGGAGATTACTGTTATTTAAACGTCGGTGTCTTCCTCGATTTGGATCTTGAAGTCGCCAGCTGGAGCATCAGCCTTGGTATCAACCTTGGTATCAACCTTGGTGTCAGCCTTGGTATCAGCCTTGGTATCAGCCTTGGTATCAACCTTGGTATCAACCTTGGTGTCAGCCTTGGCATCAACCTTAGCATCAGCCTTGATGTCGGCTTGCGTCTTTTCCTTATCGCCTTCAGCAATAACATTAGCAACCTTTTCATCCTTATTGACCTTTTCTTCCTCCTTTTCATCAGCTTCTGCACTCTCTTCGAGTGTTGCCTCCAAAGAATCGACGGCAACCTTGGATCCCTCCTTTTCTTGGGTAGTTTCCCCTTGAGACTTGGCAGAGTCGGCTTCCATCTTCTGCGCCGTTTCCTCCAAGCTTTCGGCTCCAAGCTTGGCTTCAGTGTTGTTTTCAACCTTTTCAGCTTCAGCAGCAAGCTCATCGGCCTCTTTCTGAGCCTGCTCGGGGAGCTTTTCGTCCTTATGCCCGTCGGCATTGGAAAGGTCCAAGTGCTTGTCGAACTCCTTGACTTCGGCGTTATCAGCCGCCTCCTGCAACTTCTTGGTCTCGGCTTCCTTCTCTGACTCAAAGTTATCGGGTCTTTGCGGGCTCGTCATGTCGGCAAACGCGCTGAAAGACAGTTTGGTGTTCTGCTTGACGAAGTCGACCGCTTTGGCGGTTCTTGCAGGGTCGTTGATATGGAAAAGAGAGAGCAAAGTCAAGATTAGCACAAAGCTAAGAACCATTAACAAAGGTTTGGTTCTTCTGATAAACATGGTGGGTGTTGGTGGTGGATTAGGAAAAGTATCTCTCATTTACGTGTCGCGTTTCTTTTTAGTTGCGCGCGAAAAGTCACCCTCGTAGCGGGCATCTAACGCGCCAGGGGGTTGAAACTTAAACCAGGTTTGAGCAACGTCGTTTTTGTAATGTATACCTCGTATTTATGCTTCAAAATTTTTAGTAGAAACTATTTATACCAGTTTATAAAATGATTAACTCCAAGGAAGGAATAGAGCCCAGGCTTGTCATTACTTATGCTTGTCTAGGCTCCAAACTATACCGCTCTTTGGTCACGCGACCAACCTTGTTTAGCAACACTATCTGCTACTACAGAATAACTCTAAACTCTCAGAAATGCCACTTTTGTGCTTCAAATGTGTGTTTATCAAAAACAGACGTGTATTTGTATGTGATCAGGTCTGCTAAACTAGGAGGCACTCAGCTTTTATGTCAGCACTGACCGGGGGGTATATCCTTAATTACCTCCTGGAAGTATGGACAGCAATCCTGTAACTGAGGCATGGGAAAGATACACGGAACAAGGCTCTATAACGCGTACATTATATCTGGTTTTATACGGAAAATACTGTGGTTGGCTTGTGCTAATTACTACATATAGAGTTATCTATTTAATTTTTAGGCACAAGGCTATTATCTCAACATTAAAAGGAAAATGTGAATATGAATTGGGTTTGTAAATCTCTGCAACATCTGCAAAATCGATGAACTGTAGCCTGAGAACATCCTTTATAAGGCTCTGGCGCCTTTTTAAGCGGATATTTAATTGAAATATTTCACCAATCGATGTATTTACATGAAATCTATAAAGATAATATACGCAACTAAGCTCTGAGACAACCATATGGTAATTCATAGCGACGCATACAACACTAATTATCCGAGCCTGACACTCAGTTACATCAGTCACGGAGATATATATAACGCTAATGATTAGTTTTCGCTATTCGCTGAGGAACACCGGTTGAGGCTACTGTATAAATCTTATACAGTGAAGACTCGGATAGACATGTGTTACCTGTGATAACACATAAAATTGCTACAATTAAGCACGTCAAAAAAAGCCACGCGGCATTAGTTTTCGTTTTCATATATGCAAACTCTGCTATTTATTTATTTAGCCAACGGTTGGCTCCCTTCCTTGGCTTTTCTCCACCCGAGACGGCCACCAGTGTCCTTGACGTACCCGATAGGCATCAAGGAGTCTAGCACAACATTCTGCGCCAAGGAAAACAAGTTTGAGCACATCCAGTAGATAGTGAGCGCAGCAGGCGCCTGGGAAGCCATAGTCATGAGGAAGATAACTGAGAGCCGCGACACATTCATGAGGGCGTCCACGGCAGTAGGTCTCAAGGAGCGGATTTTGGAACCGGTTCCAGCTTGTGCAGACATCTTCAACATCTGGAGTGACTTAGCATTCCACTCGATGTTGAGCAACGCAAGGGATCCCAAGAGAATGGGGGTGACCCCCATGGAATCAATCGCAGAGAGGTCTTGCATCCAGAATACACCCTCGTGGAAAAGAGTCGGGTCGATGAGCTGCTGATTCTGAGACGTCTGCAAGGACAAGTAGGATTGCCAACCAGAAAGATGGCGAATGGTAGCGGACATAAGGATCCACAAGGGGATCTGGAACACCGGAAGCAACGCGTTCTTCCATAACTGGCATCCGTGTGTACGGAAGAGCGCCTTCTGGCGCGCACGGCGCTCCTTGACCACGAGGAGTGTGATATGGTCCGAGGTCATGCCCGTGACATCACTGGGAATTGCATCACCCTTGAGCGCCGCGAACTCGCGCTTGCTGCGCGCGACCAGCTCCGCAAGGTTGAGCTTGAGAATCGGGAGCATCGCCGCGATCACTGGCCTGAGCTCGTTCTGTTTCTGAAGCCGTCTCCGCTGCCAGATTGCAAGTGGTAGTGTCCACATCGCACGGAGCGAAAATGTCGCGAGCGGAATGAGCCCCCACCACGGGAGCCCCGATGCTGTGTGCACGCTCTGGAGGAGCGCCGTGGAAGACTCCACGAGTGCCGTGGGGTCAAGCGAGAAGTGGCGTCGCAAGGGGAATATCGTGCACACACGGATACCTAATTGGGAGCTGAACACACTGCTCCGGAGGGTTACGTTCATGTTTGTGGGATATTTATATTTGATATGTGGAGAGGGAGGTGACAGTGGACGAAAAATCTTGCAGAGAGTTAAATGCAGGTGGTCGATGGGGGTGATAAACGTAGTTTTGAATGTAATAGAATAACATAGACGATTCCAAGCTATACTAAATATAAAACTTTATAGGTTAGATTTATTTTTATATTATTACATGCTTATCCATACTGGGAATTGGAAAACTTCAGAGCCCTGACGTTGTTCAATGAAGGATGATGGACTGTCAGGTAATAAAGTGCTCGTGGGCATATAAAGTGTGCAGTAACGCAAAATCATCAACCAGGTATCAGTTCTGGATGAAGACGTATTTCTATATTTATATTTAGTCCTAAATTTTAATCAGGATGGTTATTGTTCTGGTAATATTCTATTTATACCGATATAAATCAAAGGTCGCAAGCTGATAGGCCTCTGCAGAACAGCATTGACAAAAGATTGATCAGCCACCTGGTTTCTTTGTCATTATTTTGCCTAAACCAGACTGGTGAATAAAGCAAGACCTTACTATCATGCTATTTCCGTGATTACACTATCCCTTCACCTATTGAACTCTGTTTTACCCATTATAAGCCCATTCACCCCTCTTATAGTACGTCCCCATCTCCAGTCTAATCTACGTGCAGGACCAAAGCTGAACCGGAAAATCGCCGAATCACAAGTGACATACAGGTGAAACTACAATTACTACAAGACTGTGAAACTCGCCTCCCTTGCCTACTCCCCAGTGATTTAGCCTTTTAATCCATAAATTGCAGCTATCTTTGGGAGGTATACCAGCGTTGCAGCTACAAGAGTCAACCATTACACATTCATCTACCAGCAACCACCTCGATACACCACCTACCTGTAGCTCACGCCCCAATCCCCTCATATCTACGCAACCCTATAGTAGTAATGGAGTCCACGATATCTTTCAACTTTGCGGGCCCAGCTATCCAGTCTGTTGACCTCGGCCTCCCCAAAACTGCCTCTGTGGCGGATGAGCCGATGCTCAGCGTCAGGTCCCTCAGCTACGCTTACCCGCCGTCGACTTACAAACAGATAGTGCAAAAACGTGCGAAACTCAACGAGCTTGCCGCACGCGTGGCCGCGCACAGCCCGGATGATGAGTGCATTTCACGCTATATTCTTCTCACAGCCGAGTACGGCTTGCGCGTGCCGACAGACTCGCGCGTTGTGCAGACCGCGACTCCCAAACGTAGCATTCTCCAACGCGCAGAGTCGGGTGAGCTTTTTCCCGTGAAAGCCCCCGTGCTCAAACCCACTCCTGTGGCTACCCTTAAGCTGGAGACTGATTCCGAAACCAAATGGCCATGCGAGTGCGGCCGAAACTATAGCACGCGTGACGCGCGCAAAAAGCATCAGGTTGCACCCGGCCGTTGTGCCGCGCGCCATGGTGACTACGCCACCCTATTGCCCCTGCATGTCACTGCCGACGCTATTGTCGCTGTGGACGCTGCCAGTACGCCCTCGCCCCTGGCGTTGTTCCGGTTGCCATGTGAGTGTGGCCGAAAGTACAGCACACGCGATGCGCGCAAGAAGCATCAACTCGCGCCGGGACGCTGTACTGCGCGCTACGGTGATGCAGCGACAATTCCCAACATGGGGCCCACCAACCTTGAGCCGTTGGCGGGATCCACGACGTCGGAGATCCTTACAGAAGAACTGGCAAATCGTGTGGGATGCGAGTGTGGTAAGTTCTACAGCACGCGTGATGCGCGCAAGAAACATCAACTCGCACCAGGGCGCTGTACCGCACGCTACGGTGACGCGGCGAAAATTCCTAACATGGGACCCACTAACCTTGAGCCACCAGCTGCACCCATAGTACTGGAGGTTCTTGCGGAAGAGCTGCCCAATCGTGTGGGATGCGAGTGCGGTAAGTTCTATAGCACGCGTGACGCGCGAAAGAAGCATCAGCTCGCTCCGGGACGCTGTACGGCGCGTCACGGTGCACTCGCAACGATAGCACCCGGCGTGGTCACCGTGGAGGAAAAACGCGACGAAGACAAGCCTATGCCGCTTCTTCCCAAGCACGAAGTCTTGGCAATAGAGCCAGAGTCTAACAAGGTGTACTGTGAGTGCGGGAGGGGCTTCAGCTCCAAGGATACCAGGCGGAAGCATCAGGCCGCGCCGGGCAGATGTCCTGTGCGCACCGAAGGAAAGTTGGAAAAACCTTCGACGGAAGTGCTTGCACCAAAGCCCGAGTTAATGGTAAATCCCGAACTCGCCCCGAAACCATCTATCAATTTGTTCGCAAAACCAGAAGTAAAGGCAGAAAGCAAAGAGGAGAAGAAAGAAAAAATGGATATTTCCAGCTTAATGAACAACGAAAGCCCCCCAAAGCCTTTTACTGAGATCCCAAACGCTCCAGGAGACGATGATCGCGCCCCGTGCGAGTGTGGCAAGACATTTAGCACCAAGAGTGCGAGGCGGAAGCATCAGAAGGCTGAGGGGCGATGTGAGGCGCGCTATGGCCCCACCGCAACGATCAAACCACATATTTTTACCGCCACCAGACGGACAAAGGCGATAGACGAGACGGACGAGGGGACGCCGGGGGGGAGTGTTGAGCCGGAAAAACTAAAGGAGAACACTGCGTGAGTGGCCAAAGGATGGTATAAATTGCTGTCAACTTCTGAAGTCACAGTTGACATTAAGCGAACAGCGGATAAGCAAGTTTATTGAGGTGAACACCTTGTTTTCTATTAGTAACAGGTCTGGTCTAGGTTTCCAGTGAACACCTTGGGCGAGAATGGTGGAAGTATACCCGTACTATACTCGTACTGAGTTGTAAGAGCTCTATGGGAGAATTACGAGCTGTTTCTAAAACTTACGGGGTAAGTTTAAGTGGGTTAGAGATTCTAATAGCTTTATAAGCAAATTCACCGACGTGGAAGATTTATTCGTGGAATGAATTTAGAAGCGAACTGAAAATAAAACCCGTGCTTACATTTCGACAAAGATGTGAATCTTAAATGTTAGTAAAAGGCGCCAAACAGTATGGCGCATCTATTATTTTGTAACTCCAAGCCCATTCCTGAAGTTTAACTCAAGGTACAGATAGTTGAAAGTAGCCCTCCAGGAATGTTGAGTATTTCAATTTTTCCCATAGACTTCGACTGTGAACATTCCCTAAATCCTTGTAACACCTCCAACCTCCAGAAAATCTTGTCCTTGCCGTTCTCCGTAAAATCTTTCCATAGTCAATTTCCGGAAGACCTAATCAATATACCTCCAGCTATTCTACTCCTATATCTCATAATCTTCTCTTCTTGGTGGCCCGATTCTCCTCTTCCCCTTTCACCAGACGCTTCTTTCCCTTTACGCTTTGCCAATACATTCCGTCGCTGACCTCCACCGGAAAGGCACCTTTCAACTTCATTGCCAGCTTGCCCTTGATCTTCATAGTTCTCACCACCTCCAACGTCCAGCTGCCTTTTTCAATGATTCCCATCGGGAACGTCGCGTAGATTGGAAACACCTCCGTGATTAACGCGCGGTATTCTTTCAAACTGTATTTCATCTTCTCATCAGTGCCCAAGAAATAGGCATACATCTCATCGGAGAAAAACGGCGGTGCATATTTCGCGTATTTCGGTACTTTGTACATCAAGGACAAGACTAATGTGGCCGTCGCTGGTCCCACCCCTTTCAACTTGCACAATTCATCTAGAGGCTCCTTGAGAGCTGTGAGATACAGGTCCAAACCGTCCTGGACCAGATCGCAGTTGGCAAAAAACTTGGTAAAGGCATCAGTAGTAACGTTGACAACACTAGATTCGTCGTTAGAGGCAATAAGTTTGGGCAACATTGGTCTGAACTTGCCCTTGGCGCTGCGCGTGTTAGTTCTCCCCGGTAATCCCCAGCGTTACATACAGTTTCCAGTCCATGAGCATTATCAATTCTTTTCTGTTGATGTGGCACCGTTCCGATTTGAAGCGGTCAGCGACGAGCTGCGGGAGCGTTTCGTAGCGCCAGGTGTCGAGCTGACCAAAAGACATGTCACCGTACATCTTGGTGGAAAACGCGGCAGGGTTATAGTCCTGGCAGAGCTCGCCGATCACGTAGGGATAGAGTCCTACCGCTACTCTCTCCAAATAAGTGTAATCCATGGCAGTGTGTAAGAATGGGAGATAGGTTTAACACTTGGAGCTAAGCTCAAGCAGAAGCTATCTTATCAGAAGTAATGCACAGAAATTTCAGTGTGACGCGAAAAGACGCGATGCGCTAGCATGGCCGTCCTGTATCAGTTCGACTAGGATGAGTATCACAAAGTGTACTAGTATAGGGTAGGTGTATAGTAAATATGCTAATAATACTTGTAATTGTTTAGTTTGTACATTGCAGATATCAACATATGTTTTCTATAGGTGAATGCCATTCCTTGTCACGAGACTAACACCTTTATCCTCTATAGCTTGGGATCTGGCTTGTTTAAAAATGGTCCATTTTTTACTCCTCAGGGTCCTATTAAAATATTTCGAAATTTCCTACGGGTATGATAAAATATGATGTCGGAGGTTGTCAAATAGACTTTAATCCAATCATAAATGCAATTTATCGGTTATACGCTTCCCTAAGCCGAGTTCAGATTTTTAAGGCTACCCCTGAACCATACAAGACTCATCATCTCTATCTATTCGGATCCATCCAAAGCTAGTCTCGAAGTACCGAATATTAGCCGTCCAATTATGGTATCCCCTTCAAATCGATTATGGCCGGAGTAGTTCAACCCTTGAAACCCATACCTTTCTTTCTGATTAGCATATGTATCGGGATGTGCTAGGGATGAAACGCCCTGTATTACCTATTGCAGGTCATACCCAAAATAAAACCCATTGCCCCCAAGCCTCTAACATCCATGTTTAACTCCATAGATAAAACTATCCGTGGCTGAAATTTGAACCACCACCCAAACTTACCCCTTGTTCGCCGCGTATGCCACTAACCACTTTACGTTCGTAAGCAAAAACTTGCACGCCATTGTCCACTCCTCGCTCACCGTCCTTGCCGATAGTTTAATGCTCACCCCACCCACCTCCTCGCCCACCATCTTGTACGGAAGATCCATACTACTATCTGTCTCCTGTATCTTGCTCCAGATCGCGCGTACCACATCCACTAGCGCGACCATCGCGGCGTCCAACTTCCCGTGAGTGAACAAGCGCTCAATGGAGTACTCTCCCGAAGAAAACGCCTCCAATACTGTCACCTTTTTTGCAGCTGGCGTCCTCTCGCTCTGTCCAATCTGCTCGATCTTGCTCTGAGAGCCCATCGGCCGGAGTCGGTACTCAGGAGTCGTCACGTCGAACGCGCGCACAAGCGTGGCCAAAAGCAACACCACCTGACCAAGTGCCGCGTTAATCTCGTTCCACAGGACTCGCTCGTTCGCCAAACTGCCCAATCGCAAGCCGTTGATACACCCAAACGGTCCCTCGTGCGAAATGCGAAACACGTCACCATAGATATTGGTAGCGCGAAGAGCATCCAATTGTGCAAGGTTTGCACGATACTGTGTCGTGACCCGATCTCGCTCACAGTGAAAGTCCGAAATCTCTGCGTCAAGCTTGTTTCTAGCCACGAGAAACGCCTCCTCCTCGGCATTGAGGGTCACAAATTCAGCCTCTATCGCGGTCATTTCCAGTTCAAGCGCCATTTTCTGCGCCTCCAACGCCGCCAACTCCGCCACCAGGGCCTCTTCCTGCTCCTTAAGCCCCGCCATTTCCGCTAAAACGTCATTGGAGTGGAGCTTTGGCCCTGGTTGATCTTTGAGCTTCCGAAGGAACAGAATGTAAGTGTCCTTCTCCCTGGCGCTGCTATCAAAGCGTGCTTTCATTGTGTCCACGAGCAAGGTCACACAGTCGGAGCATACGGGGTAGTCGATCTCATACGTCGCGGATAGCACCTCAAACACCGTCGCGAGCGTGTTGAAACGAGCGGAGATGTTGGTGTGGGTCTCGCTATGCTTCTGCTTTGGCAACATCACAAACGAGCGGTCTACATCCGCATCATAATAGTTTTTGGTGCTACGTGCCGGCGCATTACTGGCTTCTTCGAGTATCTGGAGCCGGTCCGCCGGTACCACGGGCGCAAGGTGATCGTCAGGCTTTGTCTTGCTAGCCACAAGCAAGTCAAGCTGGGCAGCACTCAAGTCATAGAGCGATTCGTGGATCTTGATTGGGAGATGACACCGTTCGCAGTGAAACATGATTCTGTCTCTGTGTTAGGATGGGCCGGAGAAATAGAGCAAACATCTGGAGCATCTTTATCTTATCAAGTTGCGAACTCCTGCACAGTGACAAGTATAACACGTGATTATAATGAATTGTAGATCACGTGATAGTAAAGTAGTGGAGATATCTCATAACGGGAGGATATATAGACGACAAGAAGTGGAATAAGAAAAGCAATATCTGTTGGGTATAAATCTAGGGAGAATGGATCTTTTTATGGTGGACATTTTACTCCTAACTACACCGATTCTATTAATAATTAAGCCCTGCCCCTTATAGCCAGTGGTACATTATTCTCGGTTTACATAAAGAAATCCGCACCCTCTTTTCATATCTATCACCTCCAACTTCCTTGATTATTCTTTTCAATTATCGTATATTCTTTTTTAGACACAATTTTTTTTCTCCATTTATTTTCTCTCTGCCTATTTCTAGTTCTTTCTCAAGCCTATTCTTTGACTCAAAGCGTTAGATTTTGTTTGTAAATACGGTGTTTATTGTTACAGTTGATACGTTGGTATTGTTTGACTTCGACTGAATATTTACAGGAGAGGTTAAGCCCGCCAAGAACAGCACAATATGCCTATAGATAGGGCAAACTGGCCACCTTGCTTCACATAATTAGCGGGCGTCCTCCACCAAGAATATGCCTACGTATATACCTGTGTCCAGAGAAAAGGTTATCCCTAAAAATCTAAAATGTGAAACGACAGCGCTTCTTCAGTAGTTCAAACCATGAATTGATGAGATAAAAGATATCGGCTGATTTTACACGCGCATGTGGGAATTTTGGGCAATAAGCGAGGATTTTTATTCTGTAAGCTCTATCTCTCCGGACCCATTCTTATAGCACCATATTGTCACTTATATTATGTTGCTTACCTTTCAAATCGTTGGTTTGTCTATCAGGATGACACCATCTTCGACGAACTAACAACCCACCTTTCTATTGTTAACATCAATTTGTATTCATAGTTTAATTAATTTCCATACTCACTACTATTTACATGATTTGGCCGGCGCTCTAAGTCGGTTTTGCATCCCTGAACTGCTTCACAAAAAGCTGTAAATCTAACAGCAAATACACTCAGTTTGAAAGTGGTTCCGTTCAATCTGAAGATAAATACTCTCAATTTAGTAGGCAACATTTCCCCCGCACTTGCTAGAACGGCGCAATCCACTCCGCATTATGCTTCAATCCGTATTCTACGTGCCCTTCTTCAGTCTTGCCCAAGCTCGTAAGATAGCACCCACGCTTCTTCTGCTTGGCTTCAGTGTACTTTTCCACGTACTCCGTCAAATTTCCCTCTAAGGCCTCCGGCACTGGGACTAACTCGGAGAAAATGGTTTTATCAGTGGGAACGGCCAAGTAGCCGAACTTACGGTTGCGATGAGCCTCCTTACGGGGCTCGAAGACGGCATATTTCTGGTTAGCAATAGGGGATTTGGAGATGTAGAAGCGAATGGGTTCGCGGATGAGAATCTCGACGTGTTCGGGGGCGTAGATTTCGAAAAAGGAACTTTCGGAAGTTCTGGCACTGGAAGTGCTGGACGCGCCATAAATATCAGAAATGACCCTGGGAGTGGCAATAGTATTAGAAATATCAGGCATTTCTCTTGAACTACCCGCTTCGCTGTCAGTTTTACGCGATGTCGGTTTAATCGTCAAGTACCCCACACCCTTCACCACCACATCAATTGAACCATGGAACCGCGGAATCACATACCGTCTGAGCTTCTCCACCGAATCCTCCCCAACCGAAAAGATCTTCTCATTTGACCTATCCCTTTTCGCGCACGTATACTTCGCCTTTTCCATCCCGGAAAACACCCATTGACGTGCAGCGCTGTGTTTTACCACCTGCGCGATTACGCCGCGTGGCGGAACCACATACGCAAACCCGCCCATCGAGTAGGCCTGGCCACCACGCACCGTCTCATACCGCTCGTGGTACTGGTTCTTGCGGATCACCTTCTCGCCGCGCCCGATCGCGGCAATGTCGCGGGGCTGCATGTAGTCGTAAATCCCTGCACCCGCGCGTGCGCACCCCGGCACGTCCACCAATGTGAGCTTGTCGTGCACCTTGTATTTGATATTCTCCTTGGTAAAGCCAGGGAAATACGACGCACCAGGACCAACTTCCTTGCTAGGGATGCCCCAGAGATGCTCTGCGGAGCTCAGGTTGAGAATCGTCTTGATGAGCGTGCTCTTACCCGAGTTAACCTCGCCCACAATATAAGTAACTGGTCCGAGTCGCTTCACCAAGCGCCGCACACTCCAGTCACACTTCGCACTCGCAACAAAGACGTTTTCTGCGCGCGCACCAACTGCGTTGCGCAACACGTTAGCAAAGTATGCGTGTCCGAGCGTCGCGGCGTTCACCTCGTTAGGGAAGAGAAGATCAGTTTTGTTGATCACATAGATAACTTCGCACGAGTCGCAGTCCTCGAGAGGGTAGAGACCGTGGGGAAAATCAAAGGCGTTGATCACGTGGACGAGTTGGGAACCAGGTGGGATTTTGCGGAGGATTTCATTCATGGGCGAGGGGGCTTCGAGGGTAAATTTGTTACTGTGAACTGCATCGTGGCAGCGGAGGCATATGAGTTTGCTAAACTCCATTGGCGGAGCTGATGCTTCGTGTGTGTGGGGAGTATCGCATGTCACCTTCTGACCACCCGCCGCTACCTGAACTGCCGCCTCTGCCCGGACTATCTCGTCCGTCACTTGGTGGGGGGCTTCACCAGTACTGCTAGTGAATTTCATAAACTCCTCGTCCGTCTCAAAGACATCCGCATTCAACAACAATCGTTGGTCCACTGCAGAAAGATGCGAAACGGTATGTCTCACTGCCTTCTTGGTCTTCGGCCTAGGCATCACAAAGTAGCCGCTCTCGCCTGGCACATCCTTCTGCAAGGATACGCCGCAGGAATCACACTGCGTTCCGGGGGCAAAAAGCTCCGCTACGGGCACGGAGGGAAAGTTGGTCGATACCGGAGACGCACTATACTGTTCAAAATACTGGTGCTTGCGTAACTTCTTGTCGAAGCGTTTATCTTTGGTCTGGGCGGCCCTGCTGGATCGCAGGAACGAGGGCGGGAACGAGTGGCATGGTGCCACAGAAACGCTGAGTGCGGCAAGGAGACGTGGAAGTCTTGTAAACAGGTGTGTATGAGATCTTAAAATCATGTAACTTGCAAGAGAACTGAGAACGGGGCCTGATCTTAAAGAAGGAACTTGTTAGATGGAGTTTGTTGGCACTTGAAATATTTCACTCCTGCATGGATAATACTTTTTTTTTCTTCTTTGCGGCTATATCAGACCTTGGCTGTTAACATAAGGGGTGTTCTATCATTCGAGTTAGTTTACAATCTTAGAGATTTACTAATTAACAAACTATTCGCAAAGCTAATTTTGAAAAATGTTAACGTTTTGTAAACCAGCTACTGTTTGCAAATGGGACGATCTCAAAAAATATGTTTAATTTGTCACGTGATATGAAATGTAGAGGATGTGCCACCCTATAAACACATTTAGCAGAAATGCTTGGTGGTTTAAAGTAAACAGGTAGTATAAAAGGTAAAGAGAAATATGGTGTTCAAAGTAACACTAGATATAGAGCTGTCTTAGGTACTAGTATACGTATATTCCATTTTATCCCGCTGTTGTTCAGTTTGAGTCGAACAACGCTGCGTCAATGTTAATTAGGGTGGCCAGAGCCTGCCTAACCCCATTGCTTCTTTTCTAAACTAAATATCTATCTATCGCAGGAATTTCAACACTATAATCTCCTTTCTGGCCCCACCCTAATCTGTAACACTGCCTCTAGCTGACAGCAAACACGGTATAGTAGCATGACATACGCCGGTATGCTAAAACAGACAGTATATTGGATCATAATTGCTAACAGAGGTAGAGATATGTTTTTTTTTCGATATAACCATAACTGTTACCCGATTTATTTTAAAGGTTGGAACTCTAATACTGGAAATGGGTCTTCTGAAAGCGGTTAGACAGCCATTCGATAGTAAGTTATATCGAGCTTACATGCAAGGTTTTCAGTCTCAGCAGCCCCTACCAGGAAAATAAGGGTCCACTAAGAGAGATCAATTCGAGATATGGCAAAGACAAAGGCGAAGAGGGTAAAAATAAAGACGGGACATTCAACGAGATATGAGTATACCAAACGTTGTCTGTATGGTTACATGGTATCTTAATCACGTGACTACACGTATCTAATTTCATCAAAAACGCACCTTCAATCATCTCATCATTCACATCGCATACTCACTCATCCATGGACGACTCAGAAGCAGAAACCGACAGAAACAACTCGTGCGCGCTGACACTCGAAGCGCCATCGTCTCCTGAGACCGAGCTCGTTGCGCAGGGCAAGCGGAAGGCCACACGCAAGAAGACGGGCAAGCGCGCACGCATCGAGGTCGCGCCCGACTCCAACCGCGACTTGGCGATCAAACGGCTCTACGAAAAGTACAAGAAAGCACCACAGTACGACCTGAATAGTGAGGAAGTGTTTTGCATCTGCCGTAAACCCGACACGGGCGAACTCATGATCGCGTGCGACGAGTGCGACGAATGGTTTCACTTCTCGTGCATGAAGTACCCGAAGGACCACCAGAAGTTGATCTTCAAGTTTTACTGTCTCTTTTGCGAGTGGCGCGCGCTCGGCACGACCTTGTGGAAGAAGCAATGCCGGCTCCCTGGCTGTCTCCAGCCTATCCGCCAGGTCTCGAAGTACTGCTCGGAGGAGCATGGGATACTTTTTATGAAGAAATACGTCTTGGACCGCGCGTTTCGCGAGGATAACTTGAGCGTCCTGGAGGTCAGCACCGTGGCGGGGCTTGCGGATGTGGCCGTGATAGCTCGGCTCGGTGCGGTGTTTCCACGTATCGCGTTCTCTGAGGACTACGCGGAGCTACCCGCGGAGACACGCACGAAAATCCAGGAGATTTCCACGGCGTTAGCTGCGGCCACGCACGCTACTGCCGAAGTGCGTGCGAAGGCCGCGTACGTAGCGCGCCTCAAGGAGCGCGTCCGACTCTGGAACGACACTCTCACGGAGCGCATCAATGCCGACACAGGAAAGAAAGCCAAGCGCATCAAGGTGGACGTGTGCGGATTTAACAGCCACTTGCGGCTTCCGCCAACGTCTTGGGCCGAATTTACGCGCAGCGCCGAGTACCTGCAGCCGTCAGATGCCGACGCCGACGCCGATGCGTTATATGTCGCATATTCGAATCGCGACGCGACACGCGCATACCACCTGGTGTGCATCACTGACAGGCGGAAGTGCATCAAACACAATGGCTGGCTTGCCATAGCAAATGATGAGGCTAGTACTGCGCTCCACAATCTCGAGCGTGTAAAAAGGCAGCTCGTCGACCGCCGGGAGGTCATTTTGAAGGACTACACGATCCAGGTGTACGAAGGAAGTCAAAAACTGACAGAATGAAGTATATAGTCCTTACGGGTCTAGTGGGTACTAAATCGGAAGTTGCGAGTAAGTTTTGTGGGAAGTACCGGAAAACAGAACTTCCGAGTAACGTTAATGATACCAAATGTTTGGTATTTTCTAATGTCCTGAACGGAATTCCAAGTATCGTCAAGGAAACCGGGTGAGTTGACTCAGCGAATCGAGTAATAAAGGACAGGTAAGCGTGGAGTAGCACCTGTGAAAACGGAAGCCGAAGACACTTGAAATTAGTATTCGAAGATGGAAAAGCATAGGCACCACCTTAGCGAGGTCAATCAAGAAGGTCATATTAGGTATGTTACTCTTTCTTAAATTGCGAAGCACTATCCCTGTTTTTTTTAGCCCGATACGGGCCTTGGGTCTTATCATAACTTAAGATAATTGTAGACTCTCGGGTACGTTCCGACGACACATGCTTCCGACTCATTGAGAGTCCATACTGAATTTTTGCAGGTTTTAGGGATTCGACACCCAAAGTTTATACATCATCGCCCAAAATATACGAAAGAGAGGGCTCCTCTCTAACCAGATACAATGTCTGGTCTGATTGCTGGAAAATTAAAGCGGAAGTGACTGTGAAAATGGCACATCTTAGCCGAATGGTACGAATTTGAACTGCGTATATGTATACACGGAATCTACGAAAATTAATTCAATCTTGACTAGTAATCCAATATATCACCCTATAGTGGATGTACAAAATTCTTATTTCGCACTGACAACCACATGCAAAGTAAGCCACTACTTTTTGAAATTACCGATTATATTGTCCAACTGTATAGTCTAGAATCCCACAATAATCTCACTCTTTGTTCTCACAAATCTCCTGTGATCCCTGGGCATCTAAAAATTATTTAATTTTGTGCCCTCCATTCCTCCGTTAATGGTGCATTGCGCTACGTACACAAAAAAAAGACGATATCAATATGGCCATTCTCGCATGGCCCAAGAAAAAACAGAGAAGGTAATATCTCCCCACAGGTTAGGAATTTGTGAGACTTCATTATAATCCATTGTGCCAACACACTTCCACTGCTGGTATTTCCGTCAACCGAACTTAGCATGAACTCGTACGCACTCCTATCACGTGCACCCAATTCTGATTCACACAGACACCCCCCACCTAAAAGATCTAAAAAAAATTGCATATTAAGTGGATGGTGATTATTATATATAGAATAATTCTCAACCCTTCCTATAGCTATTATAAAAGTTGTTATACCCACCTTTACTCGTGTTTCGGACTTGCTCATGTATGCGTCCCTTTCCGTGCTCACTACATCACTCCTGCATCTCATCTCATCTGAAAAAAAAATTATGCGCAGTGAAAAATATTCATAAAACTCCTACGCCTATATCTCTCACTCTCCTCACGCAATACACAAACATGGGTAAAGTTGCCAAGTCGACCAAGAAGTTCCAAGCTAAGCACCTCAAGCACACGCTCGAGCACCGTAAAGAGGTGAAGAAGCACAATCAGTTGTTCCAAGCGCGTCAGAAAAAGAAGAGAGGCAAGACCGGCGAGGAGGAGCCTTCCAAGCCAGTTACTCCGGCTACCAAGGAGGTGTTTGATGACATGTCCGTAGAACAGTTCTTTGAGGGCGGATTTGAACTCCCTAAAGACACTTCTAAGAAGTCCAAAAAGGCAGTTGTTGAGGGGTCTGATGATGAGTCCTCCTCGGACGAGGAGGACCACGAGGAACAGTTAGAAAAGTTGGCCGAAAAAGATCCAGAATTCTACAAGTACCTCAAGAACAATGACAAGGAGTTGTTGGATTTCAAGCCAGTAAACCCATTGGACGCTATGAGCGATGCAGAGTCCGAGGAGGAAGAAGAGGCTCCAAAAAAGAAGAAGGAAATGGCTGACAAAACTGACGTCACGATCGAGTTGGTACGCACCTGGGCACAAGACTTGGAGAAACCTAACGTGAAGCTCATCAAGAACGTCGTCATGGCGTTCAAGGCCGCCGTTCACATCAACGATGAGGAAGAGTACAAGTACACCGTGACCGACTCCGATGCGTTCAAGGAGTTGATGATGCTCGTGTTGAAAAAGTTGCCACGCGCTGTGCAGATCTTGGTACCGTACAAAAAGTCCAAGGCCGAGGTCAGATCGATCCCACAGAACAACAAACACGTGAAGGGCCTCGCGGTGGTGTTGAAGTCGCATGCCGGGTCGCTCTTGACGCTTTTGAAGGACATCACCAACACTGAGACCGCCGCGTTGGTTCTCTCTTCCGTCCAGGAAGTGTTCCCATATTTTCTCTCTCACAGGCGTTTGTTGAAGGAGATTTTGTCCGCCGTCGTTGATGTGTGGTCTACCACGAAGGACGTTGAGACCCAGATCGCCGCCTTTGCCTTCTTGAACAATGTTTCCCGCGAGTTCCCTAAGGCGATCTTGGAGAACGTGTTGAAGTTCACCTATTCCACCTTCATCAAGAGATGTCGCCAAACCAACGTGCATAACATGCCGATGATTAACTTTCAGAAAAACTCCGCCGCCGAGTTGTTTGGCATTGACCAAAGCCTTGCGTACCAGGTGGGTTTTGAGTTCGTCAGACAGTTGGCCATCCACTTGAGAAACAGTATCAACCAGACCTCCAACGCCCAGGAGGGTTTCAAGGCTATTTACAACTGGCAATACTGCCACTCCTTGGACTTCTGGTCGCGTGTGCTCTCCCAGCACTGCAACCCAGACAAGGAGGCCTTGACCAAGGGCGAGTCGCCGTTGAGACAGTTGATCTACCCGTTGGTACAGGTCACTTTGGGGGCCATCCGCTTGATCCCAACCGCGCAGTTCTTCCCGTTGAGATTCTATCTTATCAGATCCTTGATCCGTTTGTCCCAAAATACTGGAGTCTTTATCCCTCTCTTCCCGTTGTTGAACGAGATCCTCGCATCCTCTGCCATCACCAAAAACCCGAAGGCCACCTCTTTGCTGGCCTTTGATTTTGAGTACAATATCAAGGCCAACGCTGCGTATTTAGGCACCAAGGCCTACCAGGACGGTTTATGTGAGCAATTTGTCGACCTCACCGCCGAGTTCTTTGTCTTGTACTCCAAGAACATTGCCTTCCCCGAGTTGGCCACCCCAGCCATCATCCAGTTGAGAAGATATATCAAAAAGTCCAAGAACATCAAGTTCAACAAGCAGTTGGGCCAATTGGTTGAGAAGTTGAATCAGAACGTCACTTTTGTAACGCAGCAGAGAGCCGACGTCGAGTACGGACCAAATAACAGAACCGAGGTCAACCACTTCTTGGGCGATTTTGAGTGGGAAAAGACCCCGTTGGGGACCTACGTCGTCGTCCAGAGACAGGTCAAGGAGGAGAGAGAGAGAATCTTGAGAGATTCCTTGCAACAAGATGAGGAACAACGTCAGGCCCAGGCCGACGAAGATGAGGAGGACATCGAGTTGGGTGAGTCTGACGAAAGCGAGGATGAGGAATAAAGGCGAAGTCTCCTGTACACTAGATAAACAATGTTATTTGAGGAAATGTAGAGCGATAGCGAGAGCGAGTGGTAACTCGAGTAAATTCAATTCGGTAACTTAGTGAAGATGTAAAATTGCCCGAGGCTAGATACAGTGAGTAAGCAATTAAGTGGCACAAAATTGAAGGGATTACCAAGATATTTGAATGCCATTATATTCGTCTAATGGAAATACTTGATTTGATGGAAGTTTGCGTATATAACTCTTATGCAGGCTTGGCTTCTGATAGAAAGTCTATATGCTGCGTACTAGAACATATCGATTAGGAACATGCTTCTAGGTGCTACGGGGTTGTCTACATCCTCATGGTGAATAGCTAGTTAACCTTGATAACGACTGTATGAATTATATCCATATTCCTCCTAATTCCTCGATATTCACATCACCCTTCTAATGGTGTTATCCGTTCTTGTCAAACAGACCGCATTTCTTTGACCTCGGTCTTTTACTCCACTTACAACCAGTGCTATATTTCCTCGGTTTTTAGCTATTTTCCAAGACCGTTTAGTACTTGGAGGTGAGAACCGGGACGCCAGCGACGGCTGAGTCGCCCACAAACCACGAAACTGGAACCTGGATTTTGTTGACCTGCTCAGAAGGCAAACCGCTGTCTTTTGCACCAAAAATCTCACCCAAGATCCCGGCCTTGCCAGCGCCCTCGGCGACAAAAGCGATGTTCTTGGCAGCTTCCAACACTGGGAAGGTGAAGGTGATTCTTCTTGGAGGTGGCTTTGGAGAGTCGCTGATATTCGCAATTTTGACGCTTCTCTCGTTCAACAAGGCGTGGCCTGGGAAGAGGGAGCAGGTATGGCCGTCTGGACCGCAGCCTAACAATACCAAGTCAAAGGAGGCTGGCAACTGCAGCGCATACTGCTCAGCGATCTGGCTGTCAGCAGCCTCGGTACCCTCAGAAACCTGGCCATTTTCTCCCTTCAACAAGGATTCATCGATAGTGTAAACCTTAGGGGCGGTGATACTCTTAGCCTTCAAGGCAGAGAGTACCATTTCGTTGAACAACCCGTAGTTAGAGTCTTCGTGGTCCAACGCCACGAGTCTCTCGTCACTGAAGGAGACTTCCCACTTGGCCCATTGTATCTGCCGTGCCATGGCTTCATTGTCAATTAACCCCTTCTTCAATACCTTGCCCAAAGAGCCCCCCGAGATGGCAATCTTAAAGGTGGGTGCGATCGCCAAAGCTCTCGTCTGGATATCCAAAATGTATTTTGCAAGGGAGTCGGCGACGTCTTGCGATTCTGCGTAGGAGTACACGGTGGCTGGCATTCTAGGGTAGTATTGTATGAATTGAGGTGGATATGATGGAAGTAACGTCCTCACCTCAAGGATGATTTTTCACCCCGGACACGGTAGCCCCGCTGCAGTTAATTTGGGCACGTGATTATAGGGTATGTTTGCTCACAGTGATGACGACTGGTCGTTAAACCTAGTAAATAAAAGGACTAGACCATACACTTTCAGCTGTCTATCTAGATCGCTTTTAGGTTTAATGATGAATTTAAAATTTCATAAAATATATTAAAATAGCTAGCTCTCGTAATTCTAGGAGAACACCAATAATGGCCCGCCCTTCCCGCTGGTGAGCAGGATTCAGTGGATAATGCACCCGCTTCAAGTCACGTGAATATATTTGCGTCTCTATAGGTCTAACAAGTGTATACTCACAATCTGCCAAAGTAGTGTTTCTTGACAGCTCCCATTCTCAGAAAACTAGGTTTATTAGCACGGAAGCAGAACCTTTTTTACCCTTGGTTAAGTTGTCATACATAAAACACCTTGTCCATTAATCTTTAGAATACGTTACATTGAGTTGCACTCTCTTTAGGAACCCTCTTTAAACCATATAATTTAAAGCCAGTGGTCAGAATATCTAACCTATACCGTTTCTCGAAATTTTACTTCGTTGACGGTTTGTCTCTTCCGGTATCTCGTATCTTATCGCTTTACCGTATAAGTACCTCCCGTCGTAGGGGTAAATGTACTATATACAGGATACATCAACTGGCTCTACGTCATCCAACCCCTACAGGCTCTGGTTGTGTGACGTTGCTCGACGAGCTTCACGGGTAGTTCTATACGATTACTTAGATCTATTTTTTGCATAAAGTAATTTCAATTTACCTAAATCCAAACATCCGAAGCTCCTTAGTTTTGCAATGAAATTTCTCGGAAGATCCAAGGCTACACCCCCCACTCTCTGGTTGGAGATTGAGGCACTCCAGGCCAAAAACCTTACTGAAAGCGCAAAGAACTGCCACCCCAAATTGATAGCAAGCATTAACGGAACCAGCCAGTCTACCTGCCGCGCAAATAACACTGTCTCTCCACAATGGGGCGATACGTTATCCTTACCCTTGGACGACTTCGGCTCGCAAGTTGTGAAGCTCATGGTTTGGGATGCTCATAGAATAACCAGCAACTACTTGGGTGAACTACGCTTGAATGTCAGTGAGTTGTTTGAAGATAGAGAGACTGTTTCTCCCGCCAGATGGTACAAATTACACGCCTCAAAGTACCAACACTCATTTGTTCCAGGCCACGTGGAGTTGGCCTTCGGGCTCGCGATATCTAAGAAACGTACCCAGTCCTTGGATGTGTCTGACATCCGCATCTCAGTGCCAGAAACCACCCTGGAAGTGTCTAAGTTGAAAGTCTCCGATGCCCTGGTCTTAGAACTTTTAGAGAAATGGCGCAGAAACACCACTGGCGTGACGGCGTTGCCAGATTCACAGGGTTTTTACAGCGAAGATGAAGGGGAAGTTGATATTTTGGACCCCAAGCCCTCTTCGGATGGCTCGCCCACGTTTGAATACAGGCCGGTATCCGCACTGTTACTCCTTCCGTTTGACGACGGCACAGATATGAGCTCTTATGTCAGTTCCGATGCGACTAGCACCGCCGAGTTGAGTGATTGTCCCCTGTCCCGTAATCATGGCTCTACCTTGGCGGTGGCGTCTGGAAAGACGAAACGGCTTGCCAAGTTTCAAAGAGCAAAGGCCCGGAACTACGAATTGTTCAAGACCCGCAACGTTTTGGGGGTTGTGTTTGTGGAAATCTTGCTGTGTACGGATCTTCCGCCGCTCAAGTCGACCTCTGCGAGCTTGCGGTTTGATATGGATCCGTTTGTAGTTGTATCTTTCGGTAAAAAGACGTTTCGAACGTCCTGGCGAAACCACACGTTGAATCCCATCTTCAATGAGAGGTTGGCGTTTGAAATCATGCTCTCAGAGCGTGACTATGATGTGACCTTTAGTGTGCTCGATAAAGACCGGTTCTCGTTTCACGACGATGTGGGGGTCATCACGGTTCCCCTTAACGACTTGGTGGAGATTCCGTCGGATCTGAGTGAGAATTCTAGACCAACAAGTGACAAGGTATCTGTGATTGACGATTCCACCCACGTTTCCTTCAGAAAGTCAACGGTTTTGAAGAAGAAGACAATCACGCACCAGTCGGTGGACACGGCCCACTTCAAAACGCTAGCATTGAAGCTTGAGTTGAAGCAAGCCAAGTACGCGGAAAAATACCGCCCGGAGTTGAAGGTTCGCACACGGTTCCTCCACTACGATGAGTTAAGGCGGCAATTCTGGATGAAACTCTTGGCACAATACGACATGAACAAGGACGGGCATTTTGACTTTATGGAGTTGACGGTTTTCTTGGAAAGCATCGGGTCCACCTTGAGTGACGAGACGATTGAATCCTTCTATGCAAAGCACGGCAAGAGCTTGCCTAATGGGGACACCTTGGGCTTTGAGGAGATTGTTGATAGCTTGGAGGAATTGGTATACGCGGGGCTTAAGAGTGAGAACCACATCATCAACATCGACAAGTGCCCTGTGTGTGGGAAAGCACGGATGGCGCAGTCGGCAGACATGGACATCGTGACTCACGTGGCAATCTGTGCCTCCAAAGACTGGAGCATTGTCGACAAGCTTCTCTTTTCGCGCTACGCGTCGGTGAATCAGGCCACTCGGAAGTGGTACTCCAAAGCACTAATCAAGCTCACCTATGGAAAGTATGTTCTCGGGGGAAAGAACTCAGGAAATATTTTAGTGCAAGACCGAGCCACTGGGATCATCTTGGAGGAGAAGATGTCGATGTACGTGCGCTTGGGGATCCGGCTCTTGTACAATAAGTTCGACAAGGCCGATACGAAGAGGGTCAGACGGTCGCTCAAGTCACTCAGCATTAAGCAGGGGGCAAAATTCGACAGTCTAAACTCAGCCAAGGATATCAGTTCGTTCATCAAGTTCCATAAGTTGGACCTCACCGACTGCTTAAACCAGGACCCAGAAGCCTACGCTACGTTCAATGAGTTTTTCTACCGTGCTTTGAAGCCGGGTGCGAGGCCCGTGACATCCCCAGAGGAGCCGCGAATCGTGGTATCCCCTGCTGATTGTCGCTCGTGCACATTCGATTCCATCTCTGCTGCTACCGAAATCTGGATCAAAGGGCGCAACTTTTCGGTCGAAAAGTTGATGGCAGGGCACTTCCCCGAGCTCTTGCTGAAACTTCAGAACTGCGCCATTGGGATCTTCCGTTTGGCCCCCCAGGACTACCACCGCTTCCACTCCCCGGTGGAGGGTGTCATTGGCGAAATTAAGGAAATCTCAGGGGACTACTACACCGTGAATCCCATGGCCATCAGATCAGAGTTGGATGTGTTTGGGGAGAATGTCCGATGTTTGGTACCGATACATACCAAGGACTTTAGCACCGTTCTTTACATTGCCATCGGTGCGATGATGGTGGGCTCGAGCGTGTTTACCGTTTCTGAAGGCCAGACGGTGAAGAAGGGTGACGAAATTGGGTACTTCAAGTTTGGTGGGTCCACCATTTTGACGTTGTTTGAACCGAAATACTTCCAGTTTGACCTTGATCTCGTTCAGAATAGCTCCCAGAGTATCGAGACGTTGGTTCGTGTGGGGCAGTCCATCGGTCATTCCCCTTCGGTCCCAGAGTCAACGCTCTCCAAGAGAGACATTAAGAAGATGACCCACGATGAAAGATTGACGTTGTTCAGAACGATTACCGGCGGCGACTACGCTCATGTTAATACTTTGAGTTGGGAAAGCCAGCAGGTAGATGAGGATGCGTTGGACATGGATGAGGATGCGTTGGATATGGATGAGGATGCGCTGGATATGGATGAGGACGCGTTGGACGTGGATGATGACTCCGAGTCGGGATGAAGGGTGCATCACATTATTTGTATTATCAAGCATATCATCAAATTTCGGGTTTAAGTACCTAAACAGCTCCAATGGAGTGGTTTATACATCTGAGGGATCTATGAAGTTTTTACCGATAAATAGACATGCTCTGGTGTGTGCTAAACCGATTGTAAGCCCTGTGAGTTGACTGTAAGTTGGTTTTATATGCTGTTATCGATTATTTTCTGGGGACTCCACAAGGTACAAGGGCTTTCTGGTAGTGAATCTTGCTGAAAAGCCCTATGCTTTGTGAGAAGGAAATATTTGCGCCGTAATTCTGGTGTTGGAAAAACATTCAATAGTACTCCTGTTTCTAAATACAAGTCATATTTGATTGGTATGTCATTATAAACGTCCACTTTGGTTACGCCGACTAGTTCAAAAATATCCCGTCACTAGACCGGTCCACCATCAATATCACATTACTTTAATTTCTGAATCATTATTTAACGAATTGAATTGAACCGGGGGAAAAGAACCAAAATGCTGCCACAAGCGGCAGGAGAAGTGAAGGAATGTATAAATGCCAGGAATAGTATAAACAGAAGGTAGTGAAGATATATCAAAAAAAAGGGGGGAAGCATTAATCAGGCATCATCTTTGATCTTTTTGTATGTGCTGGAAGATGCCAAGTAGTAGATGCGCAAGCGCAAAAAGACTCGGAAAAGGATGAAGCCGACAGCAGTGAGGAGTAGAAGCACTCCTATGTTCAAGTCAATACTGGTGTTATTAATCTTGTTCAAGGTGTGCCGCGTGTAACACTTGGAGTCATGTCCTTCGTATTGCGAATTAATGTACTTCTTGCAGCAGGAGCTGACCAACTTGTTGGCGCTGCCGCCACGGCGGATAACAGAGTCGGTGGAAGGAGCGATACAGGTTTCCAAGTTCATTACGGGGTGACTCTCAAAATCAATCTTCAAGCAGTGCTTCCCGTAGCTAAAGGCCAAGCTTCCAGGGTCGCAGTTGTGAGACAAGACGTAGCCCTCGCTGAAAGGATCGTCCTGGAATTCGAAGGTGATATAGATGCCTCGGATGAAGTTGCAGAGTTGGTTTGTCGGGAAAACAAATTTGAAGTGCTCGCCACCAGACGCGTAGAATTGCCCCGTAGAAGAGGTGAGCAATTTGCGGTTGGCTACAAGGGCCAAACCGCGTTGAAGAGACTGGTTGGAAAACTGGATGATGTAATCAATTTGGTATTGGAGATCTTCAGTTGCACCCTCAGGAGATACGAGAGACAAGTATAAGTCTACCCTGAAGTCGTCAAGCGGCATACGATCACCCTGAGCCGTGACAGCGCTCATATTGTGGATGGCGGAGAGGAACGATTGTTCAAGATGCGTGCACACATTTTTGGAGTTGTACAAAAGCTCTTCTAGTGGTATGGTCTTAGCAAGGGCAAGATGAGCCAAGAGTAACAACAAGAAGGCTCGCAAGACGCTGAAATGCATTGTAGGGTTTCAGTTACAGTAGATGCGTGGAGCTCTTTGTAAAGATGCAAATAGAAAGGACGAAAAGTGTGTATGGAGCACTTTCACAAGTGTAGATCGGTTGATCCTAAAATGCGGATCGGGACAAATATATATAACTAGAGGATACGTTTTTGGCTAAAGCCTCAGACGTGCCAGGGGAGAAGGATCAGGGCCTTATGCTGTGCGGTAAAAATCCTCAGCAGTCGTGTAATAAATGCCTACAGGATGCCTCCCTGGTGATCCGAAGATTCTGGACTCAACGGCGTATTTGCGTTAAGGTCTCCACCACTTGTTGCCTGGTGAATTTTGGAGGCTGTGCTATAAATAAATTAATAGGGAATGATATAGACGCAAGCTTGCCATCGTATAAAGCTGCACTCCGGTATATGGCGTAGAGCACCACCAAAGTCTAGTTCGATTGGAAAGGTTCTCGGAGGCTTCCCCGATCGGGATAGAACATAATGCATGCACTTTATATTTAGCGCATGTGTGTGGGTCAGTAGCCTTTTTGGATCAAGATACGCTAAGAAAAAAGGAAAAGACCGGTCCAGAACATTATACGAATTCCACCTCCCCACGCATGATCACTCGCATACAGGACATCCAAGCGCTGTCAAGACAAACCGTTAATCCTCTAATTGTCACAATAATTCATCATAAATCGATATTAGCCATTTACTGACAAAATGGCTAGCTACTAGTACTGTTTTTAGCCGGGCGATGGGGCTAGAATACTGACTAACCCACAACCGTACGTACCATGACCTGCACCAAACAGATGCCCTCCTGGTCGATAGAGATTTTCCCGATCGTAAACTGTGATTCGGTTGCTAGCCCACTAGAGGTTAGCCCGTTACGCTAGATCTAAGCGTCTCGCTTAGCTACAGAACTGCATTGTCGCTGTCGTCCTGGGTGGAATGAGAATCTACCCAATCCCTTACGGGGCTGAATGCACCGAAGGTAGAATCGGTATCGATATTGCTTTTCGCGCGATTTTCCCTCTGTGCATTAGGCCTAAAACGAATGCATACCAGGTAGACTAATATTTTAAGCGATTTTTCTTCAGGATTCCGCGCGAAATATTACACCCTGATCCAATCAAATAGCTAGATCTTTTTGGGAGGTATGCTCTAGCGGGAAGAGATAATGGATACGACTCTGGTTCGGCGAAAACACGCTAGGCCCTGGTACGTGCACAGTCCGAAAAAGTTCTAGAACTTTGGTTTTTGCCAAGCGGTGGGTTACGTCATGCATTGGAGGAGGCGCGTAGAACCACGCGACGCAGATTTCACGCGGTGACACGTCTCTATATTGATCATAACGTACTCCGTTTCCCCAGCCATCCTGACGGAACATTTCATCATCTCGGGCTCGCCTTAACTCGTAGCCAATTTCTTGAGTCTAATTTCAAGCACACGCCTTAAGGCCCTTGTCAATTTCTACGTGTATCGCCCTACAAGACAGAATTCTATATTGTATAATAATGTAATTAGAGCTTCTGGGAAGAATAAAAATGGTATTAATACTCTCCATGAGAGATTTTTCAAGCTTTCCCTAATCATCGAAGAATAACGCATACTCGACGTTCAATTCTCTAAAGAGTTGCTTCATGGTGATGGCATTGCCCTCCTCCTCCGTCTTCTGCTTCTTTCCGTGGCCTTCAGTCTTGACTTCGGATTTCCGCTTGTATTCGTTGTACCGCTCGTCAAGCTCCTTCTTGTCCAACGCTGACATTTCCTTGTACTCCTCCAGCTCAATAAACCCCTCGTACTTGCCAGCCATCTCATCCTCAAACTGGGAAACAAGCTGGCGGGTGGTTCTGTCAGCCTGGCGCTTGCGGTACTCTTGGTACCCACCCATATTGGACACCTTCACCAGGGCAGAGTTCAACAAATACGACGCCGCCTGCTGGCCAACACTGCGCCATTTTTCAATCAGCGCGTCCACGCTCCTGATGGGGGAAGAGGGTTCCTCAGACGTCTTGTGGCTAGCAAGGTACCTGTTGGCCCTTGTGATAAGCCCGATCTGGTCCTCATATTTCTTGATTTCTACATCTAGGAAAGCCTCAGATCTCCGCAAGTCTTTCAACTCCTTCTTGGCGACAAGTTTGGCGTGGACCGAACTGTCATTTCCAGTGCTATTTCCGCTGGTGTCTGCTTCCGCTATATCGTTAACGTTTTTTCTCTTCAACGCTCTTCTGGACGGAGACTGGTCCTCAAAACCAAGTAGTGGGGTCGCGGAGGGTGAAGGAGATAGCCCATCTTTGGACGTAAAGATTTTCTTATAGAGTAGTGGCGATGAGAAGGATCTGGAAGGAGTAGACGACGTGAGGGAGTCGGGCAAATCCGTATCGAGTAGAAGAGAGTTAGACCCAGGAGGGGTTAACTCGGGAATTGGGGTAGTATGGATAGAAACTACCCTGGTGGGCTTCCCAGCAGAGGGGCGGTTGAAAATCGGAGTGGAGACAGATCTCCGGTTTTGCTTCAGCGGGGTGGAGCCACGCGGGGTGACGTTTTGGTCATTGCCACTTGACGTATCCGGCGACAACAACGGGGACGTATTTAGGTAGCTACCTTTGGACCCTGGGGTACCCAAGCCCCTTCTTTTCTTGGGAATACTCAAATTTCCTTCCAATGGGGGCAACACCTTGTTGTGCGGGGACTTCATAGGCGTCGAAGCAATAACCATCATCTCCCCGTCATCCAAGATTCGAGCTGACGCGGGGGTGGACAAAGGCTGGCTGGTAGGAGGCGCCGTGGACTTATCTGCTGGCATGGTGTATGCAAATGTAAGAGTGACGTATAGTTGATTAAGTGCAAGCCGGCGTATGTTCTTATCTTAGGAACACTGTTTTCCTGCGGCACTCGCCCCCTGTATTGTCTACGTGGAGAAAAACAACGCGCGAAACGCGTTAAGCCATTGAGATTTTTAAGTCATCACTAAAATAGTTTGAAGCTAAAAGTGGTCATAGGAATAATAGAATTTGTGTAGCGTGATATTTCTCCAACTAACCTTTCTTGGGTTGTAAATCTGTTAGGCTGGATGATGGCGTGTAGATATACGTGCAATGCTGGACACAAGCGTAGTTTTTAGTAAGATCTGGGAGTCCCATTGACAGTCTTGGGGATAATATTCCCAGGACTGAACGGTAGTAAATTAATTTACTTCCCTTCCGTTGGAGGGTCTCAGAAGGCGACCTTGTAAGGAAAAAACTGACTAAAAAGTTAAAAATGAAAGCTAGTACTCAGGATTGAACTAAGGACCAACAGATTTGCAATCTGCTGCGCTACCGCTGCGCCATACCAGCTTCCAATGGCAGATTATTATAGTGGCTTGTCATGCCGTATGAAAAACATTAAATGCAGGTTAATATCAACCTTCTGTTACGGTCAGCACTCATTCTAAAAAAACTGTTGATATCTGGTTTTCTCAAATCTCCACACTTTCAAGCCTAAAACGCCTGTTTACCCGTCAGTATAATGGACACCCTATCAGAACACTTTCCCGTCTAATCTCAACCCAATGGAACTACCTCCTCGCTCTCTTATCCTATTACCTCCGGAAACTATAAATTGCATATGTGATTCACTCAACGGCAGCGATCGGGCCTCGTTTGCGCAAACCTGCCGCCCATTAAACAAGTTGGTGACGCCAAGAATATACCAGAACATTTTGGTAGTCGACCAGAAGTACTCCACAGGCACAGAGTATGATTGGAGTTTGGTGAAAGTCAGTGAGAGCCCCGGCAAGCTTCAAGTTAAGGATCAATTTGAGCTTTTTTTGCTCACACTCCAACCCCGGTTGCATTTATTAGGATACATTGAAAGATTCGAGATACTCAACTGCATGAGCGTACGTGTGCGGTTGTATCTCTCTCGAATGATATCCACCTGGGGAAAGCATATGGTGCACTTGAAGTCTTTCCGGTGGCATGGATCGTCTAGTTCTCTGGATTACACCAACAGAGACAAGATGGTGCTCTATGACGTCGTTGGAAAGGCCTTTCCTGGTTTAATGGTCCACTACAGATGGGATAGTTTATGCGAATTCATGAAGAATGCTGTGCAAGAGGGGAGAAAGGACTTGAAATTGGACTTGTTCTTACCTTCTGAGATCTCGAAATTGAAGCTGTGTCCAGATCTCATGCGCAATCTTCACTTGGACTCTCCTCGGTTTAACTCCCTAGAGATCTACTCTCAGCCCAAAATTGGACTCGAAATACTCGATGCCCTCACGTCTTTAAGCCCCAGTAGACAGGTTACAGTGCATAGGTTGGTTCTCAATCATTTCCACGGCGGTTTCAATCCCGTAGCAGATCTCTTCCAGGCAGAATTACAAGAAGAGACCTATCCCTTACGCGGTTTGTTGAGTGAAACAGTGTGTCGTGACTCCCTTAAAGAGCTAGATCTATATGTTGGATGCCAGTACGCTTCCTGCCCCTGCATCGAAAGGTTTATGGTCGATCTTGTACACTTTCATCGTCTAGAAAGGTTTGCTTTACGGTTGGATAGCCGGACTGTACCAAGGACACTGAGCCGTTTATGGGTGTCAATCAAAGCGGCTATAGAAGCTAATCGTAGATGTTTGAAATATGTCTACCTTGATCTATCAGCCAGTGAAAATCCCCGCTCATCCCTCCAGACCACCTTTGAAGAAGACAATGATTTTATGATTGGTGTAGTGCCTCAAGATAGAATCTCTACCACAGTAGATGAGTTTGACCTTCTCGGATTCCCCAACCTTGAAACATTGATCGTCAATGACTTCTTGGAACGGTTCATTTTGCCTGGCTTCCAGGGCTGGAAACTCACCTCATTGTACAAGTACAACAGTAAGACCTCAGACGCTCCCATTCAACTCTGGAAATCCTTAGAGGCACATTTCCTAAGCATGTCCCAGCGTAATTTGCGGGGCTGGATTAAAGATGCATCTGTTTCTGATGTCGACTACACGATAACCTCGATGGTTTTAAGCGTGCTCGAAGACTTTCAAGCCGCTATGCGAAAGATGAACGGAGCTGCCTCCACCCTCCCAATGTTAGATATTGAGAACTATCCAACCCAAGACGATGCTACTCGTGAATATGTGGATGCGTACAAGCACATCTTCCGGATCTCGAAATATGTACCGGGCAGTAAAAGACCAAAGTATCAGGATATTTTCACTACCATTGTATCGCTCTGTTTGGTACCATTTCATGAGTCTCTCCAGGACTTGATCAAGCTGCCCTGCTTAAAAAGTATTGTGTTAAACGGTATCCATCTTGAGGTGGTTGAAATATCTGGCTACAGAACTTATAGATTAGTGAAATAATATATTTTACAAGGTGGTAATCCTATAATCGTCTAAAAGTACAATTGTTCAGCTATACACTCAGCTGGATGACTTGGATAACCTGACCTTACCGTGTCTCCGGACTTCCTTGTCCATTATGTCTCTGATTCTGTGACTACCCGCAATGGAAATAGCCAAGATGCTCTCCAAACGGTCCAACGGTACCTTGTCTTCGAGCAACAACAATGCCAACTTCTCACTCTTACCCACAATACCGACAGTCAAAGTACTCATAACGTTTTCTTCTAATGCATTCAAATCTAATAACGGAGTTGTATCGAATAAACCGGCGGAGACGGCGGAGATGTAATCGTACATGGCGATCCCGGCGTCAATCAAGGCCAAGGTGACAGCGTTGGTGCAAGAGGCCAATAAGCCACCATCCTGGGACAAGACATGGATGTTAATCGAGATGAGGGTTCTTGGGTAGATCTTGGTGACGATGGCTTGTTCGAAAGTTCTCTCTAAAGTGGTGATGAGTTCTTGGGTACGCTTCTCGCTCTTCAGCCTCTTCTTTCTCTCCGTGGTACTAAAAGATGCAATGTTCAAGTTTACTTCGAGAGTAGCTTTTTGTGTAGATAACTGAGAACGGTTTTCTGGCTCCATCGGACCGTTAACAAGACAGATGACCTTACTGTTACCCTGTTCAACATAGGAGGAGCCATCACTGGAAGACGGATGAGTGTTTGTGCGGCATTCGAATCGACGAAGCTCGTTCCAACGACGGCCATCCATTCGGAGACCTTCAGCCGAGTAAAATTCTATGTTTGACATGTGGAGGCAACAAAAGCTTGCGGTAAAAGGTGTGGAATGGTCATCCAAATCTCGTCTTAGGGCTCAAATACATGCAAAATTATATGTAGGTCGAAAGTTTTCTCATCTGCATGTCACCAAATTTTGTATGTGCTTATGTAAGCGTGCTTATCAGGTGAAGGAATGAAATATCAAATTACTTATTCTGGCAACCCCAAAGGATGGTAATGTAGTTGATCTAATATTTTGCAATTTCTGGCTAAGCTCTTTAACTTTTTTTGTTGATTTTGCCTATTTTTAGCCAATTGTCTACTATTTTCCCTTCATCCCAAGGGAGCCCTGTGTAGTGACACATAAATCGTCCGCAAAAATTCCCAACATCCAAATATTGACGAGGAAGAAAAAAGCCGAACTAAACATCAAGCCAGGGTAGAAGGTGCTTTGGCCCAAAAATTCTAAATTGTAAGCGTTGTAAAGCCACAACATCTGGCCAACCACCCACAACAATAAGCAGGCGATTCCTTTGATCCGGGAGGTGGATAAAAGCTGAGAGTTCCTAAGGAAAACCGGCAAGAAGATCAAAAACCAAATAAAGTACTGGGAAGTTATGACTTTGTTGAAAGTGACAAAGGCAAATGTTTGAAGGAATAAACATGAGACGAAGTCGTCCTGGGCGAAAATAAGCGGAATTAACACCCCTGACACGAACAATTGGGGAATGAATGCCAATTTTTCGATGCTAAGGATGCTGGTAGTATGTTGGACAATGGCTGAGTTGAAGTAAAGCAACGTGTTGAAAACCGAAAAGTTGTGTCTGTGGTCAATACGCACCAAATGGTACAAGTACGAGCTATACAAAAAGTCGTAGCCATAGATATGATACATGAGGCCAGTCAAGCCCAAAAACGACGCTGCAGAAGCCAAGGTAAACTTCACCCTGTCGGTGTTGATCAAATTCAACAAGGGATGATTGTACCACGCTGGGGCTTTGTGAAAAACTAGAAGGGCCGAGGGGATATAGATCAAGGGATAAATCTTGAAGTGGACAGATATACCGACAAAGATACCGCTGAGAACAACGTCCCCCTTTAACAAATAGTACACAAAAAGCATAACCAACACAGAAAGAACACTTTCAGAGCTGCCTCTGGTGCTGATAGTAATAACCACCGGGTTCAATAGCCAGATCGACGCCAAAATAATCCTTTTTCTCTCTGGGATGTTTCCATAAAGTTTGAGGACCATGAGGATAAGGATTCCAGTAACTAGGTCACACAAAATGAAGATTATTTTACCCCAGGAACGAAAAAGTGAGACATTTGGCACCAACATCCAAGCAAGAAGCGGGGTGTAGCGGTATGTTTCTCGGAGGTACGGGGACAAGCCCTGGTGAATGTATTTGGCAGCATCTGAAAACACAAGGTAGTCAATATCAGTGTACTTCACCTCCATCGTAGCATCCTGGTATAGCCCGAACGCGAAAAAGCCAATTCTCAACAATATTGAGGCCACTAATAAGCATTTTGTGTTCAATAGCTTTTGTAGCACGGTTGTGGATACGTCAGCCAGAGCGACAGAAGAGCGGGGCATGGTAACCGAGGAGAAACAAAGCCAGTATGTGGCGTGAGATAATTGGCTAGTTCCTAAAGCAGGAAACGAAATACAATCATAGCCGTTGTAGAAAGTGGAGTGAAAAGGCAACTGTGTCGTGAAAAAACTGCTTACGCAGGATCTTGGGCTTATGTTAATATGCAGGCTGTATATGCAGGACGTATATGTATACAAGATATACAATTACAACTAGTTTTCGTCAATGCTTTTACCTGCATACTAATCTGGCCATAGCTACATTATCGTATTGTACCATCTTACATCGGATAGTAGCTGGACCTTTGATTGTATAAAATGACGTGAGCATGTTTGATGAGGATTCTAGCAGTGCGTATGAGTTAAAGTATGTGTCTAAGTATATGTATATATGCACACTTTGGAACACACCTACATATAGAAATAAATCCATATTGTAAGAATGATAGTGACATAAATAATATTTCCTATATGTATATTTGTATTCACTCAGTCGCAGATAATTATACCATACATATTTAAGCATGAAGTTTAGATAATTTTTGCCTCGCCAGTAATAAAATTATATTACAGTGATTTCAAATATAAAATCACCCTACCGGAACACCATATATACATATTTGTTCAACCGCAAATATATAGAGATAGGCTCTTCTATACCGAGCCTGTACTCCAACACCTGTGCCCACTTATCAGTGCCCACTTATACTGTGCCCAGACTAGCACCCAAGCTGGAAACACGGTAGATATACCTATATATATACATACTGAATGCTTACCCTTACCTAAGCTTTTATCCCCAGCTGTTTAGTGAAAAAACACCCTTGGAAGTATACTCAATGAGGAGCGCAGACTCCCAGCGGGATCCCAGGATGCATTACCCGGATCAAGCAAGCGCCGCACCGCAGGTCACCGCGTAGTACTTCCAGATCAGGCCAGCTGCCGGCGGCTACAACCTGAAAAATTATTTGTAGGATTCCCCGCAAAAAGGGAGCGGAATTTGCTGGCGGGTGGCCTCTTGGGGCTTCCCGTTAAGGGTCATTTTAGCAGATAAGCGCCGGGTGGATGCAGGATATCATCCAATGGTCGTCTCGAGAATATTTTTCAAACGGATACCAGGCTGGGCAGAGATAGGTTAGTGTTTACGGTTGCGGCGGGAGATTCAAGCGCAATAATAATTTCCGTTTCCCAATTCTTATATAAAGCAGCCTCCCACGTACTTATAGGAAATACAGACTTGTAACTTATATTTCTTCTTCCACTTAAATTAATACTTTCATCATGTCCTTATCCGTCCAAGTCAAATTGCCAGATGGCTCCACCTACACACAACCAACAGGGTTGTTTATCAACAACGAGTTTGTCAAATCTATCAAGGGGGAGAAGTTTGAAAGTATTTGTCCGGCTACCGAAGAGCCAATCGCTGCTGTCTATCGGGCCTACGAGGAAGACGTCGACGTTGCCGTCAAGGCTGCTCGCGAGGCTTACAACACCGTCTGGAAGGAGACTGGTGGGGTTCAGAGAGGCAAGTTGTTGTTCAAGTTAGCCGAGTTGATGGAAAAGCACGCCGACGAATTGGCGGGTATTGAAGCTCACGATTCGGGTAAGCCAAAGGCCACCAATGCCATCTTCGATGTGGAAGAAAGTGCCAACTGTATGCGCTACTTTGGTGGCTGGGCCGATAAGGTCACTGGGAAGTCTATCCCGTTGGGCAAAGATAAGTTTGCTTACACCCTCCATGAACCATACGGTGTTTGCGGGCAAATCATCCCGTGGAACTACCCTCTTGCCATGGCTGCGTGGAAGCTTGGGCCAGCTTTAGCTGCAGGTAACTGTGTAGTCTTGAAGACTTCTGAAATCACACCATTATCCATGTTATGGCTCGCCAACTTGATCAAGGAAGCCGGTTTCCCACCTGGTGTGGTGAATATCCTTTCGGGGTTCGGTAAGGATGCTGGTGCCCGCTTGGCCTCGCACGAAGGCGTTGATAAAATCGCTTTCACCGGTTCTACCGCGACTGGGCAGGTCATCCAGCAATTGGCGTCCAAGAATATGAAGGCTGTCACCTTGGAATGTGGTGGTAAGTCTGCTTTGGTTATCTTTGACGATGCTGACTTGGACCAGGCTGCTAAATGGGCTGCTATTGGTATCATGAGCAACCAGGGCCAGATCTGTACTGCCACCTCCAGAATCTACATCCAGGACGGTGCGTACGACAAGTTCTTACAGGCGTTTAAGGCGCATGTGGAAGAGGAGTACACCAGCAAGCAAGGGTGCCCATTTAACGACACTCACGTCGTGGGTCCTCAAATTTCCCAGCCACAGTACGAGAAGATTTTGTCGTACATTGAAATTGGTAAGAAGGAAGGCGCCAAGCTTTTGTCTGGTGGTAAGACTCCAGCCTCGCTGACCAAGGGTTACTTTATCGAGCCAACCATTTTCGCAGACATTTCTCCAGACATGAGAATCGCCAACGAGGAGATCTTTGGTCCGGTGGTTGCCTGTGGTAGATTCAAGACCTACGAAGAGGGCCTCAAGTACGCTAATCAGACACAGTACGGGTTGGGCTCGGCTGTTTTCACCCAGGACATCGCTAAAGCGCACAGATTTGCCAGTGATTTGGAGGCCGGTATGGTCTGGATCAACTCCTCCAACGACTCTGATATCCACGTTCCGTTCGGTGGTGTCAAGATGAGTGGTGTTGGCAGAGAATTGGGTGAGTACGGGTTGACTATCTACACCCAGGCCAAGGCTGTACACGTCAACATGGGCTCCAAGTTGTAAGGGACGAACATTTTATAGCTTTATTCATGACTTATATTAATGCAGTAGAGACTTGAAAGGGGCACGAACGGAAAATTGAACAGCAAAATACCCCGTCATTTTTTAAGCAGAGACGTCCGATTGAATATCGGTGAATGACATGGCCAACTATGTGTTATCCAAGGACTGGCCGTCTGTTTTAGGCGGGCTAAACCTCCCAAACGTGCTAACCCAAACCTTAAACACTGGAAACGTAAATGCATATACATTATACGGGGAAATGTGAGCGGCCGAAACCGGCCTTCCTGAATACTGCCCCCACCGGGAGGTATTAGCTCTCCACCAGTCGCATTTAATCTGGGAAATTTAATCGTCAAAAGTGTAACTACCCTCGCTTTCAGCGCGTGATATGATTTTGTGTAGGTGTACTAGTGGCCCTGGTGCTTTCACATGCTGCAATATCCATTGATCCCCAAGCGCAGATGTCAGGCACGATAGAGGTGCTGCGAGGTTACGAGCCAAAACTGCCGCTATCCCAAAATATTTACGTATGCACATGTACCGGTACAGACGACCGGGAAATTCATAATAACAACCTTGCCTGGTCAGGGACACAGCATCCAACACTGTAGCTTCCCCCAAAAGCCCCATTTTATTTCTCTTAGTTCCATAACTCAGTATTCAATTGACCTCCTATACTGGTATTGGATTCTGGACAGAGTTCCTTGTTCCTCTTGCTTGACCACAGTACTATGCCGACGACTAGCCTACGAAGATGAAAACCTTTCTTGATAACCTAAACAATATATCAAACCGGTTTAATCCTCCTTCCACAGCCGCAGACAAGTCTCGAACGTCGCCTAATGTGGCTCCCACATCTTTCAAGCGGATGGTTTCCGATCTATCCACGTCTCCTAACACTACCAGAGCCCGGATCGTCACTGACTGGGGTATTGACGATCTCGACGACGAAGAATTGTTGACCCCCGCCAGCAGCAGTTTCTCGAGCCTACATAACCCCTTCCCCCAGCCACGAGTACCTCCGTTTGTCCACAGGCGAAACTCCTCCAGAACCACGTCTGTCTCCACCCGGTCTGACCACATGATGCACCTAGTTCGGCCACCCCTTGGGCTAGATACTCTCGTATTGCACGAAGAGTACCCCAGTGCGCTGCCTCTGAACCCAGCCTTTGAATCCAATTTTTTTCTCTACCCCCTGGACCACGCCGCAGAACCGTGGGGCGTGGCACTAGACAACGACGCCACTGACCTCCACAAGTTGACTGCATTGTGGGACCGCGTGAAAAGACTAATACTATTAAACCAGAATCTGGATGGAGAGCTTTTTGACAAGTTAAAGTATAGTTTGATTGTTTCGAACTTGCTCGACGACTCGATTGTGATACTGAAGAATGATGAACTCCTATTACAGTTGAGCAGAGAGAGTGCCAGGGACGAGGGAAAGGAGCCGCTAAAAGTAGCTTCGATCTACGGAGCCATTATTCCCCTGAAGCAGCGCTATAGGCTCAAGCCCTGGACCAAGTTTGGCCCGTACCATGTGGTGACTATGAATCTCTTATTGGCCCGTTACACGAGATCCAAACCCAAAGGCGCGGATGCGTCACTAATTATACCCTTTAATACTGAGAAGCCGTCACCGCGAGTTCAGAACCTCGTTGCATCTATCGTCCTTCTTTCCTGCGTGATCCATTTTAAGAATCGGCACGTGAAATCTGCTGTCCAAAAATCCGCCATCTTGCAAACACTACAGCCCTTTCTTGGGGGAAACTTCACCCTTAACAAGCTATTAGGAAAGAGTCTTTCCATTATCAAAGAGTCTGAGGTTTATCGGAGCTTGCAGCGCGGTCGCGACGGGGATATTCGCGCCTCTATTCTTCCTCCGCCGAATCCGACGACACTCCTGGAATTGAATGCGCTCATGACTTCGGTTGTGGAATTAATCATAGGGAGATTCCACAAGAATATTAAACTTCTCTTACCGTTTTTAAACGGTGAAATCTTGGAGCGATACTGCGAGATTTACAACTTGGAGAATATAGAGCTTGTATTGCTCTCGACGATGGCCACGAACCACCCCATCCAAGCTGAGGAAATCAGTTCTTTTAGCAATGATACCAGTTACGATGCTGCTTTGCAGCCTGCCAAATCCACCGCTACCAACAGACAGTCATTACGTTTACGAACATTTTCCTTGCATTCAGAAAATGCCAATGACCAGAGAAATGGCGCTACGCATCCGAGCCAATCTGTCAAGTTGACTGTTTTGATCAACCAGTTGAACCAGGTCCGCAAATTCTTCATCTGCGAATTGTTAACTTTGAACGAGCCGCCCCAGTACAACTTTTTCCTCTCCAAATTCTGGGAGATCTTCAAAGTTCCAGCCTCATCGAAGAGGTTCTTGGACACTGGTTCCAAAATCGCCTTGATACGTGCCGTTTTGCTCGACTCCGTAAACGATTTGAAGTTGTACAACCAAGTTTTGCAAGACGTTACCGATAGACACGGCACCCATCAGAAGACACCTGCATTTTCTTCAAGTGGGGGAGAAGTGACCCTCTCCCCCCCGCACCTTATCGATACTTCCACACCATCCAACTCCAATCGATCTTCCGTCAGCTTTAACAGTATTGGCGGAATTCATGGGAGACCCACAACAGATGCCTCCCACATTGCCAAATTGAGTTACAAGGTGGACCAAATTAGCAGCAACCTAATGTTCTTGCAGTTATACAACAGAGAATCAGAGGGAGAGAGCCCTAGTTCCAGAGATTTGCCGGCAGACTCGGGCGGAGCCCTTTCGGAGAAGATTCACATCTTAGAAAATATTGGTTTGGAGTTGAACTCCGCAATTGACCATTACCAGAAGGGACTATACGAGTTGCGAATGTTGGATTCTGAACAACAAAGACAAAATCAAATCCGATTAAGGAATAAACAGAATCAAATATCCGGCCTAAGATCGTTTTCTACTAACACGATGGGCCACTCGTCATCCGTAAGTGTATTGTCGCGTGCAAATATGAAGAAGCGATTCTCCTTGCCACCACAGGCCTTTAAGGACTTTTCTGTTTTGAATTCTCCGGTGACAACCAGTAATGCGGATCATGGGTCATCTTCTGCGGCTAGAGGGAGCCTGCAGTATTTAGCCTCACCGCTGCGCGCCGGTAAGAGTTCCTTTGAGGATAGCTCGGCTCATCCTGACCAAGCCCATCCTGCCAGTCAAACTCTCCAGAGTACGAAGAAGTATAAGCGTCTCAGCACTGGGCTACAAGTGAGTCTTTTGACAGTGTTTGAAGAACTGAGCCCTGCCCCAACCCATCACCCTCGAATGATTTCCTACGACGACAATTACTTGAACATCACTCCCAGCGATGGGATATTCTCTGGAAATGATTCTCCCGTCTTGCGAACCTTTCCCCATAGCCATACTGTAATGCCATCCGATGCGAATCCTGGGAGGGAGCCTGTACCTGAAACTCTTCAGCAGTTTTCTAACGCTGAGACGAGCGTGATAATACACGACGTTAATAACGTCAACGGCGAAGAGGGAAACAACTCATTGACACCAAACGAATTGAGATTGCAGTTGACCCGGAATTTTGAAAGTTTATTGAACACTCAGGAGATTAAGAAAGCGTCGAGGCAGGCAAAACACCGAAGTGTGGCATTTTTGGATGGACCCGGCTCCAAGCCAGCCGTTACCCTCGACGAGGTGAGTGAGGAGCAGGATGAAGGCGAGGAATGTGTTAATAGTTTGGAAAAGATACGGGTCAGAAAAATGACCCAGCACACCTTGGAGGCCACATCTGATGCTGAAGAGACGAAGGTAGGTGAAGATGGGGCACATGCCGAAATAGTTGATGTTTGTAACAAAAGTTTGATGATCCTGGAGTTGGCCAATGTTTTGGCGGCTGTCCAAACCCAGAGTGAATAATAATGTTTAGATAACAATTAATAAACTTTGTCCTTGGATTATGGAATCTATAGGCTAAAGCTATCGACGAAAGATTAACCACGCGTGTTACTAGCTTGGACAAACGCGTCAACATTCTAGTTCGCTGTCGTACGTGGGACTGCCTGCAAATCTAAGTTATGCGCACGTCCCGGTTATAACGTAATGTAATTTTACATTTATTTACCATAGTTAACATATAAATATTCACCTAAAATCCCAAAGTATTATGACTCCCCATCCATGACTGCTGCTGTATCGTAACTAATAGCCACCCCATATCATGATCGATAAACTACCTTCTAGAATAGGAAGATATCACGCCAGATTTCGCACGGCAGAGTGCTCTTATGGGACCAGAATCATCATGAACTAGGTAATCAGGCTTACCATACTAAGATAGGACGTATAGCACGATTCACTTCAGCTCTAGGGAATGTCCTCCTTGCCGACTGGTTAGATTCGGATTGTTTTAGATATCAATCAAGCTCACATCTGACTCTCTCCGTTCAGACGTCCCGTCAACAGGGATCATGTCAGTGTCACTAGAAGCAGCGGTGGTATCCGGAGAGACTGGGGAGATACTTGGAATGACCACTGCTCTGGTGATTTCGCCGGTGAGAGATAAGAAACGTGGTCTGAAAGCAGGCACGCCACCGTCGGCCAATTCAGTGGCGATGCTGTTATCGTTGCTGAGTTCAGACATTTAGGAATGTGGTGTGGTTTAGGAATGTGGTATGATTTAGGAATGTGGTATGATTTGGGAGTAAAATTAGGGAGTAAAATTAGGGAGTAAAAGAACAGGAAGTGGATATGTTATGGTTCTAGAAACGGGGTCTGATGGAGTATTTATAACCTACAGGGGAGTAAGATATTGAATTTGAATTCATAGTAGGGAGACATGCATGGTTACTAATCTATTTATCTAATCGGCTACGAACGGCTTATACAGAAGTGTGATGCAGAAAAGTGTATTTCAAGAACTGCGGATGCAAGGTGTCAGATCAATTCACCCCGCTACGCCCCTCTCCCAGGCGTTCGGCCCTCTTATCCGAGTGGCTCTACCGACACAGCACTCAATCCAAAGATTTAAGGTTGCCTGGGAAATGTAATTTCCGAGCGGTTTTAGCTTCAAATATTCTCAGAGGGGCCATCACATAATTCGGACGAAAATAAAATACACAATGGTTTCAATTGAATTGCTCTCGACAACCTTCGACAATACAATAAGCGATTTCTATTTCGGAGGTCGACGCACATGTACAGACCATGCCACGAAGACGGGGCTACAGAACTTTATTGCGCACGAGGTTCGGCGCAGTAGTGGCCAGATTTTCCCAAGACGAAATTAAGCTCAAGGGTTCAAGGACAGCTTAAATATTTAGCTCATATGTGCATCATTCTTCTGCCGAAGGATTGGTGTACCTACTGCTCATAGCCACTGTGGGGTAATATGAATGGTCTATCCTAACTCTATTGAAGCAAGACTACAACTCCCAGAGCCATCGTAGGCCTTCACCATCCGCGAGTGATAATTCGGGTTCTTCTAATCGAAGGTAGATTCAAAGATGCACAACAATGCACTTCGGAAAACATGACAATAATCCAACCAAGCTGCTCAAAAAAGAAGGAGAAGGCAGGTTGTATGCAGAATGATACAATATATCCTGTATATATTAGATATAGCCATAACCTTCGGGGTTTCGGAGTTATTCCTATCTATTTCTAGTCAACAAACTTGACGTCAGGTGAGGTGGAAGGAGTGTAAATCCGTGACCCTTTACATGAGATAAGAAGGAACAATACGTCTGTGCGACTTTCGAGTTCCCCATAATTATGCACCAAAGATCAACTAAATAGAGAAGAAATCCTTGTTTGTTGTGATGGTTCCTGGGACTCCTGTCAGACATTATTGTTGTACGTGGTAAAAGAATTTAACAAATCTTGTTGAAAGGCAAATTTTTGTATATTTTTTGGTCCTACTAGGTAAGACTTGAAGCACATACATAGGAAGCGTTGGGTGTGGAAAAGTTTATCATGTGATGTTGAATAGGGCTTATAACACCTGTGACTTCTGATTTTGTCATTCATGCGTAAATCTAAATACAATCATTGTATTTTACAGCATGCAGGTAAAAGTTATTTCTCCATACCAAAATCGCTGTTTATAAAAACTCCTGTGGCGAAGCTTGAAAAAGTGCGAAAAAACTGAAAGAGTAAAGACAATACTATGCAGGATATTACAATTTCTTCCCCCCGCTCCAAATAGTAAGCATTGTTACCCTACTGCCAATTAGTATGGGACTAGGACTCTGTACTATGAGCCCTCGATACAGAGGGGTGTGCGCCGCCCAGTCTCTTACCAGACAGCTCCTCACTAACAAGCCCGCCATCGCCCGCGACTGTGGGAGGGAGGGCGACTAATCGAATTTTCACTTTCACTGTAGGGGATACTACTGAGGGAAAAAAATATTGAAAAACGACTTCTCTAACATAACCACTTGTTCGGAATTTCTCAGTAACCCTCAAAGAATATATTACAAAGATGTATGTAATGATACCACGACAACACGAGATTCATCCAAATGGTGCGAAGACGAAGAAAGAACCGGAGACGAGACTTCAAAGCCGACAGTCCTAATGAGAGAACCAGTTGACTAAACTTGGGATCCACGATATCCAAAAGAACCAATGACATTCAATATACTCCCTTCTGAGAATGGAAGTCTCAGCGATGCTGCCTATCCACTATGGAGAAAATTTTTCATTACGCGTAGCATTTTCAAAAGTGCTACTACGGGAACGTCCCTCCAAATAAGTGCTTCCCAGCCATCATATGTCGATTTCCTATGTTTCATCTTTCTTTAGCACCATGGATCTTGAGCCACAAGAGCCCTTACTAACAATTTTAGGACTAAGAGAACTAAGAAGGTTGGTATCACCGGTAAGTACGGTGTCAGATATGGTTCTTCTTTGAGAAGACAATGTAAGAAGTTGGAAGTTCAGCAACACGCCAAGTACGATTGCTCTTTCTGCGGTAAGAAGACCGTCAAGAGAGAATCTACTGGTATCTGGTCTTGCAAGTCTTGTCGCAAGACCGTTGCCGGTGGTGCCTACACTGTTTCTACCGCTGCCGCCGCTACCGTTAGATCCACCATTCGTCGTTTGAGAGAATTGGCTGAAGCTTAATTTAATTCCCATAAAAATCTCTTTTATCTCCATTACTTTATCTGCTTTATGTGTTAATTGTTTCTTCTTTGAATAAAGAACTTTGAATGTACAAACTCCCATTTTTAACTGAACTCTCTGTAAGACGTGCTTATTTGGACGGCTCTTGTGATAGTTTTGGCTACTGACCAAGACAGTATAGTCCTCGCTCTTAACCAGGAATGTCTGGTACTTGAATGCCAGATCCACCGCTGTACATGAACCCTGAGGAATTTGGACTCATTATACCTGTGTCTGCTATAGGGGAATCATTCGTAGCGTTGAGGTTGAAGAGACCATATCATTGGCACTTGGATACGAACTCCGCGGCATAAAAAGCAGCTCCCCATTAAGCCCCTGTAATCTGGAGTATCTACAGAAACCGAAGGTAGCTAACAAACGAGTAAAAGGGGCAGAAAGAACGGTTAAGGTCGCGTATGTATCCATATTTTGTGGCCACGAATAACTCTAAGATAGAGCGGTCATGGGTATATGGTAAACAATTTAATGCTACCTAAACAGGCGGACACCTTTAAATCTATCTTATCAGCTTCAATGGGGTTTCTATACATTCCTTTGCGCTTCCCGGAGAATAACGGCTAGTAAGAAATGAATGGGATAATTCTCTCTGATGTTTTCAATGGAGAGTGAAACCTCAATAAACCCCTACAGACTTTACTGAGAATAGCGTCTCCAAGATTTCAAGAGTGATTCATTTTGTTGTATTAGGATGAATAAGGAACTCATTTCCAATTCAGTGACAGCGCATTTAGAGAGTACCTTTAGAGAGTGGCTATATTAAAGGCGGCACCTCTGTGACTTGAGTTTTAAAGGGAAAGAAAGACCTAGGGATTATGTTCGTAGTGGAATTACAATCAGTTATTTTTATAAAGTGTCAAATTAAGTAGCACCAAGCGCAAGTAGCATAGTTTAAATGCACTGTTTACGTCGGTATCTTTTCTCCTGGTTTAAATATATATATCTCCCAGTTATATTAAACCTAGTCTGGTGTGAGGTTATGACAACTTCAACAGATTATCGTCAGACCAGTCTGAATAGTACACAATACTTGAGACAAATACGCAAACGCTCCAATCTTCCAGTTAACATCCTAGTTTTCATAACCAAGCCGTGAAAAAATAGTTAAAATCACGGGGTTCGTTCCATAAAATTCAAGCTATGCGGCTGCTATTTCCAGTTCACATAGTAAATGTCTATACCAGTTATATAGTATGGTAATAGCTGTCACCATAAATCTCTGCCAATGGCCTATCAAAGTTCGGTAAAAGTGTATAGGGAGATACCCGAGAGGGAAAGACATCTGCTGAACAAACGTAAATGATGGATTATTAATGCGTTTTATTCCATCTACCCATCTCAGCTCTTACCCAAGCCTTTGCGTGGCCTACCTCTTCTTTCTCAACTTTCTGTTCGCGTACTCTACGACCTGCTGCCTGCCTTCCTTGGTGATGAAGAACTTCTTCTTGTTTTTGTCGCTCCAGAGCAAGACCCCGATCTCTTCAGCGTACGCATTCAATAACTCAAATTCCTGGACGTTACTAAAGTCGCTAAAACAGTAACCGTCCCAGGTTTGGATGCGGTCCATCTCTAACTGCCACAACTTAATCTGGTCCACCACAGTAGGAGGGAGGATTTCAAGACGATATTCGTCCATGGCCGCGCCAGCAGCGGGCTTGATGTTATTGTTGCGGTCGAACTCGAGCCGCTTGTTCAACTTTTCCTCCCCGAGGCGACGCATCCGCGGATGCGCGTGGTTCTCTAGGAACAGAATGATCTGCTCGGCAGTGATGCCGTTGTATAATGCATGGCGGACCGACTCGCGGGTCAACTGGCCACAGATCATGTTGGCAAACCGTGTCTTAAGGTGCACAAACAAGTTAAGAATAGCAATCAGCAACGGCGAGGTTGTGTACGCGTACAACTTGAAATTTGTCTCAATGATAACCGAGCCGTCTGCGGTCGAAGAAAGGATATTCACCTTATCCGGCTCAGCATCCTCCTCCTTTAAGGCCTCCTTCATCGCGGCAGCCGGCGTTTTCATCGCCATAGACTCAGAGGTCAAGGTTGTCGCGAGCCGTGTCGGGTAGAACCTCCGCGACGTCGACTTGCGTTGGTACACCAAGCCGTAGTCGCGCAAGTCCTCGAGCATCTTGATCTGGGTCTCGCTCAATGCGGAGAGAGAGTAGTCACGGCCCAACTCAAGCGACCCCAACATGAAGATGAAGTTCAACACGTCCACAGGATCCATCTGCAACGACTCCGCCACTCTGAGATACTGCAACAACAACGTCCAGATCTGAGCATTCACGTCTTGGAGGAGGAACTGGAAGCCCTCTTTCGTGATGGACATGGCGCCCGCACGCCCCTCCATTAGCCCTGCATGTTTGAGCAACTGCAACACCCCGTCGCTCGGGAGCTCGTTCAACTCGGTTCCGACCATGTAGTGCAAAATTGTCTCCCACTTATTGGCCGCATATGTGTCCAAAAACGGTAAATCCACCTGGTGGTTATCTTCAGTATCGCACGCCACCCCGAACGCATTGTTTGTCTCCCCGCCCGTAAGCGCGTTTCGGAAACTTGTCCGGAAAATCGGATTTAGCGAGAGCACTAAGCCGTTGTGCTCGTCCTTCACAATATGCAACGCGCGGATACGCTTTAACGACTCAACCTGGTGGCGCCGTCCGTGTGGCTTGATCCACTTGTCAAGGTCACGGAGAAGTACCGGCTTTTCGTTGAACACCATCGACATGATGTAGAATTTCGCCATCGGCGGGATGAGTCGGTAGATCGCGAGGCACGTTGCAGGTGAACGGTACAACCGCGAGTGGACCGTCTCAGGAAGTCCTTCAAGATACTCATTGACGTTCGACTTGAACTGTGCGGAAGACATGGATGGGGGTCAAGCGTGTGATAGTAAAGGGGACTCTGATTTGATAAAGCTCAGAAAGGCACTTTTCATAGGGGTGCAGGATGGGTGTTATGTACAGGTTGCCCTACAAAATCTCCAGAAATGCGCTTTCATGGAATATCAGTCACTTTCTATGGGAAAATGACAAGGTTTAGGGGAGGGGAAGTTAAGGCATGAAATGGGTGAATGACAACATAGAAGATATATAGGATTTTGATAATTGCGTATATCGAGGAAATAGGGTTCGGTACTGCAAATCGAAAGTTACTTCCAGGGAGAGCAACGTATTGCGTAGATAAAGCATTTGAGGTTATATTTCGCATATCAACATTAAATCCCACCACTACACGCACATATCATCTACAATCCTCAATGGTACAGTATTTGGAGTATTGGTACACTAAAATAACCAGAAAACAAAGAGGTAAGAGCGATTTAAATATAAAGATAATACGCCCAAGAAAAATGAAACATGTTTATCTATATAGAGGGCAGAAGGAGGCTTAAACAAACAAAAGTATCAGGAAAGGAACGGGAGAATCCAGAAGAGGATGTGGATATCTATAATCTAAAGAAAAACGCGTGATGCAAGATCTAATTTAAAGAATACATAGACCTTGGGGTTTATAGACATTTATATTTCCGAGTTTTCTTTCCATTGCCCTTTATAATTTAAGTATAACTCATTTCACCCGACAATATTCTCTTTGAATTGGTTATCAACATATGGCCTACATTGTGTTTCGTCATATAGTACAAGGAGTGTACTCGCACCATGGTATATTCGACCATATATATTCATTGGCATTACAAAAGGTTGCATGCTTGGAAATCCAAGAATTCCCAGAAGTCTCACTTCTGAGAGTCAAATGTCAATAAAAACATGGCTATATAGCCATATACATTCCAAATACAAGTTAAAATGTTGATAAAAGTTTAGGGGTATGTGATTATATCTCTAATTCTAATGTTTAATACAAGATAGACTCGACCGTTGATTAACGTCACAGATGAATATTCTAGCTAGTAAAATCACTACAACCAAAACTTTTATGCATGATACCTGGAGAAAGTTACACTATGGGATATAACTAGGGCTTTAATCTTCTGAAGTCACTTCACAACTCATATACATGTATGAACATAGACTTACCAACCATATAGATTACTAACATTCATGAACAATAATGCTTGTAACACCGTCTAGTGTTGTGGCTCCTCCTCTGTATACTCATTAAACCAAACATCCCCCAAAAACTTAAACTTTGCGAGCGCCCTCACCCCAAATTCTACCACCTGACCTCTCACCCCGTGTACCTCATCGTACGCACACCAGATATAGCCACGACAGACATTCGTATTGTGTTTCCATGGCCGCTCCCGAAGCAACCCGTACTTTGCAAATCTGGACTCTGGCTCATCCTTTTTAGGCACCTCCTCTGCCATTTTTGCCTCTGCAAGCTCGAACTCGTACTCGCCTTTAGCGTTTACCACACCGCCGGCCTGGAGTTCGCTGACAAGCGGTGGAATGATCGCTGCGGAGATACGGAACGGCTCACGGTACAACTGCTGGAGCTCGGGCTCGCTCAAGCCGGAGTAAAACTGTTTCTTCGCGTCAATCTCCCACAGATTCAACTTGCAATACTTGAACCCCGAATTGATCCACATGAGCGTTTTTCCGTCGTCGCTATTAATATGTCCCGGGTGCGTCAGACAAACACGGCGTTTCGCAGCGAAACGGGGTGCGAACTCATCTAACCGTGCGGGATCGAATTTGTCAGTGCTGCCGTCGCCGAAAGACATTTCCACACCATTGGAATCCCGACCTGTGATCAACGCCGGCTGAAACTGGCCCACAGCGGCCGTTCGGAAGTGGTTAAACCCATAACTTTCATCGCCGGATGCCGCTAGGCCCAACCAGAAAAGTTCTTTATCACCCCAACTCAACATCTTTGTCGGTTCGAGCTGAATCAACTGCAACGCCATCACGACTCCGTGGAAATGCTTAACGCGGTCAATCACCACGACGCCCGACTCCATGATATGGCTCTCGCGGTTGGCGAACAAGCCGCTCTTACGGGTATATTCCGTTAGCCGTGGAATCCGAAACTTATCGTAGTCTTCCCCCTCAAGCGCATCAATGAGTGTTGTCCGGAAGAAGTTGATGGTATGGACGGAGGTCTTATCCTCTAGTTGACGGTCCTTGAAGAACAATGTGGAGGTAGTTTGGTAGACAGAATGGGAGAAAAACAGCTCGGGGTTGACAAGCGGAACGGTGTCAGTGTCCATCAAAATAGTCTCTGAAAAGCTGCTAAAGAGGTAAGCGAGGAGCTTGTTGGCGTAGCCCAGGAGAATTATGTCATAGCTGCGGCTGCGCGTCACAGCGATGGAGATGTCCACAAACCAGAGCTCCTGTTTGGGGAAAACGTGCGGTAGGGCCTGAGATGAGGCAAACGCCGCATATGACTCCGGCAACGGTATCTCATCCCGCCGTGCCCAGGAAATTAGCTCTACCCGCGTTTCCATCGTGATGTCGTTTCGATGCATAACTTGGATTGGCAATGTGTTTCCCACGCTTCGTAAGACTTTTATAAGACCGATGAGTTCAGACTTGTGGAGGTCAGATGCAGAAAGGACAATACCGCGGCCTTTAAAAGAGTCCCGCAAGGCTTTCATGTAACAGCCATTATTCTTGCCATTGAAAATGGTTATGTTATAGTTATTTTCTAGCCCTGAACCAACCTTTTCCAAGTGCGGGATATTTCCGTTTGCCACAAGCTGACCGTCCCAACGCTGGAAGACCGGCCATTGCCGCGTGAGCACCGGAAACAACTTCCGCTCGAGATAACCGCAGTCGAACAGATCTAGCCGGAGATCTTGTTTGGGAACAAAGCACTGGTTGAAGCGACGAATACGGCGGATGCGCTCGACAGTTTCCGCCTCGATTGCGGCGTTATTCAGGGCAACTGCGTCATACTCCGTGACGATGAGCTGTCGCAACAACCTTTCTGTGCGGCGCGTAAGCTTGCTGACGGCATCCTGCTCTTTTTCGTGGCGATTGGGGTCTTCGCCCTCCTTGACAACTGCCGTGATCTTGTGGGTGAATTTGTCGATGAGCTCGGCGAAACGATCGTTGATAAACTTCAGACGATCAAACGCCGCCAGGTTGTAGCGGTAGTCCAGGTGGGGATCGGTGTTGATGGTGCCGAACTGGCTTACGTAGGAAAAGTATTTGTTACAGGAATCTTCTATGATGGTCTGGTCATCTGCCGGGTATTCTATGGCGCTGGGTATGCGGAAGTGGTCATGTGCTGCTTGAAGGGCCGCCGGAGGAGTAGTTGCTCGGGAATAGCTCGCCTGGAAGATACATAATATGGTGAGCGCAGCAGTGATGGCAACTAAATTTCGCTTGTGACGGCGTAGCCTCACTGCAAGAGGTGCTAGTCTCGCCGTAAACCGATAGGCATGTGTAATGAGGGACATAGAAGCAAGTAGATTCAGATATCTGAGTCTGGAGGAAACAGCCGCGATTAGGCTAGATGGCAGATATTTGGACTTTGCTAGTAAACCAGTGTGACAGTGAATCTGGATATTGTGAAAAGTATCAAATAGCGATGGTAAAGGAGACCCAATTGTGTCAAATGATCCCAGACCCAGGAGTGTGCGTGGAAAGAGCTAGTGCCAATAGTTTTTCAAAGGGGAACCCGATCAGTTGAACAAGGCAGTGTAAATTGCAGATATAGGTGAAGCAAATGGCACCGTAGAATTTTCCCTTCACAAATATCTGTTCGACGTAACTTGAGACTATGATGGTTTTACCGCGGCGCTTGATCCATGAGCAGATATATTCTGCCTGCGCACGCGGCCAGATGTCCTGCACACTGCAGACAATTGAACCGCGTCCGCCGCTTAGATTTTTCATGCACGGCTCGGCATTTGCAGCTTCGGAGACAGCCCAAGATAGGGGTAGCACGGAATGGCTTAAAAAGGGTTATTAGGGTGACTTTACAATAAAATTGTATAACTATTCGTATTTTAATCTAACAAAATATAAACAATGCAATACAATGCTCAATCTATGAGTTTGATATGGAAAAGCAAGGACAGGGAGCAGAGTGCGGTAAACTAGAGCGGAACGGTATACCGGGAAAACTCAGAACTCTTAATCCCTGCTTAAACCATAATATGACCTTAAATATATGATTCGGGTGATATTTTAGTTTCTAAAAATTATGAGTATACGCCACTTTACCAGTCAAATATGTATTGAAGTTCTAAACGGACCAATTGCGTGTAGTACAGTTATTCCAGGGCTTCCGTTATCGGAACGAAGCTCAGCAGGAACTTTATAAAGAACTAAATGGGAAAGAATGATGTATGGTGAAGTATGACGAATAAATTCCGCTGTTAGCGCATCAGAGAAATCCTGTGCGCTGGTACCTCACGTTCAAACACCACGAAACCTTTCCCCAGCAAGTAATTTATTATACAAATGATTTGCACGAATTGATTACTAAATTATCTGCCGAAATTTCTGCTCTGAACCCCCAAAGGATGCTATTACAATACCTCCCGGGGTGTAATGATCTCTTATTAAATATAACGATTAAGCGTATTTTGCATATAGCCATTCTAAGCTCATACTACTAGTATAACTACACCTTATAAGCCACATCAACATTGTGTCCAATCTAAAACTTTGATTATTTAGTCTTAAACCATCTTTGGCATAGTAACTCTGTAGTTTAGTCGATAGTCATCCTATAACGGATAGTCAATACTCACTCAGTCCTCCCTATTAACATCCTGCATATACACCCTTGGTAGCATCAGTACCATTTAATAAACTTAAGAACCTGTGATCCAATGAATCAATTTTACTTTAGTATTCCTCTTTTGTATTTGCGTTAAATTTTAACAATTCATAAACATGAAAGATACACATGATATGCTCCGCCCTTCCTCCCTCTTCCCATTACTAATGAGGACATGAGCCCTGGCATCCTGCGCGAAAAAAAAAATCAAGAAAATCGATCCGTTCTGGTACCACGACGGCTATTTTGGTGCCAAAAACAATTGCAAGTGCACTTTTGGTTAACCCTCGCTACATTCACTTTTGGTCCTACATAATGCCGTCAAAGAGAAAGTCCGAGGACCACCACCATGAGGAAACCGATACCTTCAGCGAGATGTTGAAGCCGGTGTACAAGGGCAAGACGATGACGGATCAGATTAACACAGCGGAGGACAAGTGGAACCTTCTTCCGGCGTTCCTCAAGGTCAAGGGTTTGGTCAAGCAGCATTTGGACTCATTCAACTACCTCATGGATACGGATCTCCGTAAGATCATTGAGGCGAACGAGACCATCCTCAGTGATGTAGACCCCGAGTTCTATCTTAAATACCTTGACATCCGCATTGGACACAAATCTACTTCGCCTCCGGGTACCCGTGAAGTAATCTTACCGCCGCACGAATGCCGCTTGCGTGACCTTACCTATTCCGCGCCTATTTACGTCGATGTGGAGTACACGCGCGGGCGCAAGATCATCATGCACCGGGACCTCGAGATCGGGCGCATGCCCATCATGTTGCGGTCCAACAAGTGTGTGCTTGATGGGCGTACCGAGGAGGAGATGGCGCTTCTCAATGAGTGCCCGTTAGACCCTGGTGGGTACTTCATTGTTAACGGTACCGAGAAGGTCATCTTGGTGCAGGAGCAGTTGTCGAAGAACAGAATCATCGTGGAGGCGGATGAAAAAAAGAACATTGTCCAGGCATCCGTCACATCCTCCACTCACGAACGCAAGTCAAAGACGTATGTCGTCACCAAGAACGATAAGATCTATCTCAAGCACAACTCCATCAGCGAGGAGGTGCCGATTGTGATTGTTTTGAAGGCTGCAGGTATCACCAGCGACTTGGAGATCATGCAATTGGTTTGCGGTGACGATCCCGTCTACCAGGACCTCTTTGTGGTTAATTTTGAGGAAGCTGCGAAGTTGAACGTGTATACCCAGAAGGAAGCCCTCGAGTACATTGGTCTCAAGGTCAAGACCATGAGACGGCTCAATGCTCCACGATTGACAGTCTTGCAGGAGGGTACCGAGGCAGTTGCTACCACCATCATCGCGCACTTGACCGTCTCCGACCTTAACTTCCGTGAGAAAGCGCTCTACATCTCCATGATGACCAGAAGAGTGGTCATGGCTATGCATGACCCCACCATGGTGGATGATAGAGATTACGTCGGAAACAAGCGGTTGGAATTGGCCGGCCAGTTGATGTCCTTATTGTTCGAAGATTTGTTCAAGAAGTTTAACTCCGATTTCAAGGCCAACATCGATAAAATCTTGAAAAAGCCAAACAGGGCGAGCGAGTTTGACGCCTTGTTGAGCATCAACATTCATTCTAACAACATCACCATGGGCTTGAACCGTGCCATCTCCACCGGGAACTGGTCCCTCAAGCGTTTCAAGATGGAGCGTGCCGGTGTCACCCACGTGCTCTCCCGCTTGTCATACATCTCCGCACTCGGAATGATGACACGTATCTCGTCACAGTTCGAAAAATCCCGTAAAGTATCGGGCCCGAGAGCCTTACAGCCGTCGCAGTTCGGGATGTTGTGCACTGCCGACACGCCGGAAGGTGAAGCCTGTGGTTTGGTCAAAAACTTGGCTCTAATGACCCACATCACCACGGATGATGAAGAGGCGCCAGTCAAGAAATTGTGCTTTATCTTGGGTGCTGAGGATATCATGAAACTTGACAGCTCGGCGATCAACGCCAAGGGCACCTTTGGGGTGTATCTTAACGGTACGTTGATCGGGGCGACCCGTTTCCCGGCCAAGTTCGTCACCTCCTTTAGAACCTTGAGAAGGACCGGGAGGGTCAGTGCCTTCATTTCCATCTACACCAACGAGCACCAGTTTGCAGTGCACATCGCTACCGATGGGGGACGAATCTGTCGTCCGTTAATTATCGTCGAGAACGGCGAGTCACGCGTCAAGGCGCAGCACTTGGCGGACTTACTCAATGGCGAGATGAACTTTGATGACTTCCTTGCCGCTGGGTTGGTCGAATATATGGACGTCAACGAGGAGAACGATTCTTTTATCGCGTTATACGAAAAGGATATCTCATCCGTCATCACCCACATGGAAATAGAGCCTTTCACCGTGTTGGGGGCCGTCGCTGGGTTGATTCCGTACCCACATCACAACCAGTCGCCGAGAAACACCTACCAATGTGCGATGGGTAAGCAGGCCATCGGGGCCATCGCCTACAATCAATTCAAGAGAATCGACACGTTGCTCTACTTGATGGTGTACCCCCAGCAGCCGATGGTCAAGACTAAGACCATTGAGTTGATCGACTATGACAAGCTTCCAGCCGGACAGAACGCCACGGTTGCGGTCATGTCATATTCTGGATACGATATCGAAGATGCCTTGGTGCTCAACAAGGCGTCGCTCGACAGAGGGTTCGGGCGATGCCAGGTTTTGAAGAAGAACACCACCGTGTTGAAGAGATACCCGAACCACACCAAGGACATTGTCGCCGGGATGCGCGTCGATGAGAACGGCGACCCGGTCTTTCAGCACCAGTCTTTGGGGCCTGACGGATTGGGTGAGGTCGGGATGAGAGTCGAGACCGGTCAGGTCTATGTGAATAAGCACGTACCTACCAACGCCGGAGAGAGCGTGTTAGGCCAACCGCAGGCCCACCAACCGATTGAGGAGCACAGGGAGACGCCAGTCACCTACAGAGCACCGGAGCCAAGCTATATTGACCAGGTCATGATGTCTGTGTCGGACAACGACCAGGCGTTGATCAAGGTGTTGTTGAGGCAGACCAGAAGACCGGAATTGGGTGACAAGTTCTCCTCTAGACACGGGCAGAAGGGTGTATGTGGTATCATTGTGCAGCAAGAGGATTTGCCTTTCAACGACGACGGTATTTCACCAGATATTATCATGAACCCACACGGTTTCCCGTCCCGTATGACGGTCGGGAAGATGATTGAGTTGATATCCGGGAAGGCCGGGGTGTTGGACGGCTCCTTGCAGTACGGGACCTGTTTCGGTGGGTCCAAGTTGGAGGACATGTCCAAGATCTTAGTCGACAAGGGATTCAGCTATTCAGGGAAGGATATGTTGTACTCCGGGATTACCGGGGAGTGTTTACAGGCGTACATTTTCTTCGGGCCAATCTACTACCAGAAATTGAAGCACATGGTTATGGACAAGATGCATGCGAGAGCCAGAGGACCGAGAGCCGTTTTGACCCGCCAACCGACCGAGGGTAGATCCAGAGATGGTGGGTTGAGATTGGGTGAAATGGAGAGAGACTGTGTGATCGCTTATGGTGCGTCCCAGTTGCTATTGGAGAGATTGATGGTGTCATCAGATGCGTTTGAGGTGGATGTGTGTAACAGCTGTGGCTTGATGGGCTACAACACGTGGTGTACGACGTGTAAGAGCAGCGAACATGTGATCAAGATGACCATTCCGTACGCCGCGAAGCTATTGTTCCAGGAATTGTTAGCGATGAACATTGCGCCGAGATTAAAGCTCGGGGATGTGTTCTAGTGGGCGAAGCCAAAACAACGCCGAGCTTGTACAGTTTCGGTGAATGTTACACTCACATAAGGTAGAGTTTAATGAGGAGAGCTTGGCTATTGGAAGGGGCTCTTTTTGTATATGTATAGTATGAGATATTTACCGTTCCGAAATAACGAACAAACAAAGTGCACGTTTAACTTTCAGAGAATTAGGCAGTCCCTTCCCAGCACTTCCCTGCCCCAATTGACTATCGACAGAACTGAGTCTTAAGGAAAGAACCGTTTGTAGACTTCAGCTGCCATCAGGGGTTATTTTTCCAATAGAAAAATAACAGTGAAGACGCGTGTCATAATTGACGAAAGAACTTCCTTCGGCCGCCTTCGGAATTTCTAGTGAGAAATTTCACTCAAATGCTCGTAGCCCAGAGTTGGCGTCACATCCTTCCATTAGGAAAGGAAATTTATCCAATATAGCTCGCTTGAAACATTACACTACTGAAATTAAGTCATTTGCCTTCCTTTGGCAAAATGTCGCATTATACTATTTACATGCTGTTGCACCTCTATCCAGAACACGAGTCGCAGTTTTTTGGATCGGCAATGTTACACTGAAGAGGAGTTCCATCAAAAATGTCATACTTCTGATCCTCCTCCTCGTGGAGAGGGGCCTCACTCAACCTGTTCGTAGGGGTGTTGCAGTCAAATTCTTCGGACGGAGAGTCCAGCAAGGTTGGGTCCTCATTTGGTTCGCCCTTTGGTTTTTTCAAGCCAGGCTCGCTTGTTACGTACCTTTGATACCGCTTTCTCTTCAACAATCCAGTTTTTCCTTCGAACTTAATGTCGGCGTTCTGGACGCTGATGGTGTACTGGATGGCCTTGGAGGCGGCCTGGGTGCGCAAGTAATACATCCCGGTCTTCAAACCCTTCTTCCAGGCGTAGAAGTGCATGGAGGTCAACTTACTCATTGTAGGCTGTTTCAAGTATAAGCTCATGCTCTGCGACTGGTCGATAAACGGGGCTCGGTCGGCAGCAAGATCAATTATTACCTTCTGTGAAATTTCCCATACCGTTTTGTAGAGCTGCTTCAAGTCATCGGGAATGCTAGGGATGTTTGCAATGGACCCCTCGTGCTTGATGATCAAATTCTTCATATCATCGCTCCAGAGGCCCAAGTCGATCAAGTCCGTCATCAAATACTTGTTAACCACTTGGAACTCACCGCTCAACACACGTCGACTGTAGATGTTGGACGTGATAGGCTCAAAACACTCACTAAATCCCAATATTTGTGACGTAGAGGCCGTGGGCATTGGCGCCACCAAGAGGGAGTTTCGTAAGCCGTACTTTGCCATCTTTCGCTTTAAGACATCCCAGTCGTACATCTTTGACGGGTTTATCTTCCACAAGTCAAACTGGAGCTTTCCCTCGGATGCGGGCGAACCTGCATAGGTATCGTACGCCCCTTTCTCTCTAGCTAGGGCCACTGACTCCTCCACTGCGGCGTGGTAGATTGTCTCAAAGATCTGACGATTCAACATTTTCGCTTCGGAAGAGTCAAACGGGAGCCGCAAATCCATGAAGCAATCAGCCAAGCCTTGCACCCCCACCGCAATCGGGCGATGTCTCTTGTTAGAGCGCTCGGCTTCAGGCGTCGGATACGCCCCTACATCGATCACCTTATCCAAGTTTCGCACCACCACCCGAGCCACCGCATGTAACTTCGCAAAATCATACCACTTCGAGTCGTTGTCTGACTTGATATAAGACGGCAACGCCAAAGAGGCGAGGTTACACACGGCTGTCTCATCCGGGGCGGAGTATTCCACAATCTCGCAGCACAAGTTTGACGACTTGATCGTGCCCAAGTTCTGCTGGTTCGATTTCAAGTTGCAGGCATCCTTGTAGAGCATGAACGGGCCACCAGTTTCGGATTGCGACTCCAAAATGGCGTACCACAAACGCTGGGCCTTGACTGTTTGGTTGGCAAGACCCTGCGCCTCGTACTTCTCATAGAGCGCCACAAACACTTCTCCCACCGCGTCGCTGAGCCCTGGGGCCTCGTCGGGTGAAAACAAAGACCAGTCACCGTTCTGCTCCACCCGCTCCATGAAGAGGTCAGGAATCCACAAGGCGTAGAACAAATCGCGCGCACGCACCTCTTCCTTGCCGTGATTCTTCCGCAAGTCGAGGAACTCAAAGACATCGTTGTGCCATGGCTCAAGGTAGACCGCAAACGCCCCCGGCCGCTTGTTCCCCCCTTGGTCTACATACCGTGCGGTGTTGTTGAACACCCGCAACATGGGCACGAGCCCACTGGAGGTACCATTGGAGCCCGCTATGTATGAGCCCAGGCCTCTAATGTTATGCACATGCATTCCGACACCCCCTGCAGCCTTGGAGATAAGTGCCGATTGATGCAAGGTTCTGTAGATCCCGTCGATAGAATCGTCATTCATGGCTAGTAAAAAGCAGGAGGAGAGGTAAGGGTTCGGCGTTCCTGCGTTAAACAATGTTGGGGAAGCGTGAATAAAGTACTTTTCAGACATGAGGTCGTACGTCTCGATAACTCTGTCAATGTCACCGCCGTGGATACCTAAAGCGACACGCATGAACAAGTACTGCGGCAGCTCCGCAATTACGTTGTCACACTTCAATAAATACGCCCTTTCTAGGGTCTTGTAGCCAAAGTATGAGAGCTGAAAGTCACGCTGCAAGTCGAGTGCCGCGTTAAGGCGTATGCGGTGTGCGTACGCAGTTTTGTAGACCGCAGCATCGATCAATGGTGCCGCTCGCAGCGTTTTGTGGCTTTTATAGTCCCGTAACGCCAATAGATTATCGGTGAAGGATGGGGATCCGAGTCGGGAGTGGAGTCGCAGTACAGTGTATCTGGCAGCCAAGAGAGAGTGGTCAGGGTGGCGGGTCACAAGAGACGCCACCACTTCTGAAGTGAGCTCTATGAGTTCGTGAGGGGCGATAAAGTCAGGCAAGCCATCCTCAACGCGCTTCACAATATAATCGATGTCAATGTAAGCTTCGTTAAGGCCGAAGAGTGAGGTCCGGAGAGACTTACCCAACAATTCACGCTGAAAAGGTTCTTCCCCTGTGGGCTTCTGTATAATCTTGTGAAACATGATATGCGTGTGGTTGCCTCAGAGAGTTTTTTTTCTGGAGTTTATCACAGGGTATCTGTCCTTATCACGGAGACGATGTTATGGTAGAAATTGGCTCAAGAAAAAGGACACTAGATTGTGTGTTGCAGAGATAAAGAACTTTGTAGTTGAAATATCTCGGAGGCAAAAATATGACGTACTATATTAAGTCCCAAAATGGCTAAATTCTTGCTTAATGCAAAATTTTCTTTTTCCTCCTTTCAGACGATCAAAGCAGGTGAAGTTAAAAATTCCAACATCCTGGCACGTCAATTAGATATAAAATAACAGAGAGTCGATAGAACACTTTTTAGGCAATTGTGTGCCTGATTCATCGAGCTAAATTTCACCTCCATCAAGCCTTACCACTAACCATTATGCTGTATCTGAGTAAATACGGATATATTTGAGCTTGTGCTCATACATCCTACCCCTGATCTGCATCGTTCCAATCCTGTATATACAGCAAAAGATACGAAGTCAATGTTCGGGGGATGGAGATGGAAATCTTCTACCAGATTCGACAACGATACTACGAGCCTAATTGTCTCAAATTACGGGAATTGCACCAATGTCACTTTTAAAACTACTGTGTGGTTGCTGAAACTATTTGCTTAAACCTGCTATCCTACCTTTTCCGCACTTTTGGTGGAACCGTCGCCCATGGATTTCTTGAAACACTGTTTTATCGTGCTCTCACTCACCTTCTGCACTCTTTCATCGATACTTGAAGCAAACGATGCAAACTTCCAGAATATTTCACACCAAAAGGACGCATATACTTTGGTCTACTTCTATGCCGAACAGTGCAGGCACTGCAACGCTCTAGATCCGATTTACACCGGGCTTGCTGACTTATTTACCTATGGTGACTCCAAAGTCCAGGTCACCAAAGTCGACGGAAGACAAAACGAAGCACTTCGACGAAAATTTGATGTTATTTCGTTCCCCACTATTAAACTTTTTGAACCTGGTGGGAGAGAAATCGCGGCCTATACTGGGGTCAGGAGGTTGTGGAATATGGCGCAGTGGTTGACTTCTGTGACTGGAGTTCAAGCCATATGGCCTCAAAGCAATGTCGTCAAGTTGAATGATTTAAATTTTGACCGGATTGCCAGCCAAGGCAAGAGCCTTATTGTGGTTTTCATGGCTCCGTGGTTTGATGCGGACTGGGGCATGCCGTATCACTTTTTCGAAACGGCCGCCAGGGAATCTGAGGATGAACATTTGGTGTTTGCCACGGTTGATACCTCTTCTGCTGAGGCAGCAGCGATTATGACAAGGTACCGCATCACCAGGCCATTGACAATATTGTATTTTTTGTCCGGCGAAACCACTGCTATTGACTCTAGCTTCCAATTGGTCGAACCTGACTTGCTTGAGGTGGAGGATATCAAAGCGCTTACATCAGGGCGCATTATTGGAAGAAAGGTCACGATAGAAGAGATATTTTTTGAAGGTGAATTGTATTTTTATGACGATAGCGGTTTGGATGACGATCTGGACGAGGAGTTCAAGAGGATGAGAGAACTTTAAGTCACTGCCGAAGATACTGTATAGGCCAATACATTAGAAATGGGCGCCAATAGATAAATCAACAGAGACCACTGTTCCCAAATGTTATATATCAATATCATCGCAGGGATATCGTAATATAATAAATTGAAAATAACGGCTAGTAAACTGGTAGATGACAGCTATCTAATATTTAGCATTACTCACATAAACAGAACACGGATTGGCCGTTCTAAATCATCAGCCTACGCAACAACCCATTTGATGGAAGGAGTGGATGACCTCCACGATAACTGAAACAATATGCCAATAGCTTACTAGATCAGGTGTAATGAGATAAATAAATTGTCCTGAGCGTATGGCATAATTCTTCCACCACCCGCCTAAACAAGCGAACTCAGCCTATACAACATAAAAACGCGCTTGCATACATTACCACTCCTGCGACAGAGTAACTACTCTGGTTTCTGGTCCTGCTGCATCAATTTGACCCAGCTCTGGCGACGGAACAAGTTCTTGGACACAATCTTCTCTAGCACACCCGTCCACTCACGCCACTCCTCGGGATTGTCAGCCCCGAAGTCGATGACCTCGCCGTTGTTGAACTTCAACTTGAAGCAGTTATCGACTAATAACATGTCACTGAAGTTTCTAACGGTCGTGGTGTCCACGTTAGCCTTGCCGACCCACACCACGTCAAGGGCCTTCTGCAAGTTGATCTTGGCGCGCGGCTTCTTCGACTTCTCGTTAAGCGCAATCAACTCAGTGCCCGAAAGTTTGAAGTAGCGGCGCTTCCATGAGTCACAGTCACCGCCTTCCTGATACAAGTACCCCTCGTGTCTGATATCCACGCCCTCTTTGACAAAGCGGAGACTCTCTATGGCGTCTTTGATGCTGCTGGGGAGCACCTCCGATGGGGATGACCGCGGAAGATACAACATCTTCACTTCAAGCTGGCCGATGCGGTACGGCTCACGGCAAAGATTCTCACCCGACATAGGGTTCTTGATGGTTTCCCACTCGTTGAAACATGTGATGTCAAAAGTGGATACCTTACCCGTGACCTTCTTCTCGTATTGCTCGAAGTCGATGTAGCAGCGTGCAAAGGAACCATCGGTCGCAATCTTCTCGAGCCATGGGTCGTGCACTTTCTTTTCCACGAGCTTCGTCACTATCATCGTGTCCTTGCCTCCCATCATGCGACTCAAGCGGTGCTTCAGCTTGACCTGGACGGTCTCCTTAACTTCCACTAACGGCAGGCGGAATTTTTCGTACCTGGCCTTTAACGTGAGGATGAATTCCAAGTTGTCGCCTACTACGAGCTCAAACTCCTGGCCCACCGCTGACTGTGCCCCAAGCTTATACTCCGGCGTTTTTATGCAGTGGATTCCGTTGTCGAGCACGACGGAGAACGTTCCATCGTGCTTCGCAATCTCCGGTAACTGGAGGTTCTTCAAGCCTTCAATGCGGAAGAAGAGGCGGCCGCGCTCCACGTTCTCACTACCCTCACTTGCCTGGGGTTCAACAGCGGCTCCACTTGCCTTGGCTTCCTGCGCGACAATCTCCTGAGGTTCCGTACCTAAAACTTCGATGTGGCTCCTGGCAGTCTTGCGTCTCTCTTCTGTACTAACAGAGGCGTCTGAAGTTTCATTCATCGTATTATCGTTCAAGGTATCGTGGAACGGTTGAGCACTGATCCACGGGTTGGCTTTCTTCTGGGGACCGTGGTTGTCGAGGCTTGGGCTTTTAAGACCGAGGGCTGGCCCGCGGAATGGATTGTTTGATTTGATGGCCAGTGGGATGCTGAAATGGTCGGTCACGGGCGACGGAAGATCCAGAAACTCCTTGTAGATATCCATATCCGTGCCAGTGCTGACCACTCGTTCCTTCGGCATGGGCTTATCAAGAATCCCTCTGCTTTCCTTCTGCGAAAGCCGAAGTGACGGCGCAGACACTTCCTGGTTGCCACGATTCCAGATGCTTTCAAACTCTGTGTCAAAGTCGAAGTTCCATTCGTTGGGGAACACCTCCTGTTTCGGCTTCGACGGCGAACGGGCAAGCTCGCTGGCGATGTGTGGATAGAGCATACTGCTGTTAGCGATGATATCGCCGTACGAGTAATCCATGGAGGTGTCATCAACATAAGAAGCACAGTGTTCATCGTATGTCACGTTCGGGGCTCGTTTCACGGAAATATGGCGGTTCATCTCGCTATCTTTATACTTGACATACTCGTCGGTGGTGAATTGCTTCTTGGACTCCAAGATCCGCTTCACGTCTTCGGAGTTCATACTTGGCAAAGTTTTCATCCCGGAACCGCGAACCGTCATGCCGCCCTCCCGGTATGGTGAAAACGGTTTCCAGGGCGAGCCTTTGATTTTGAGTGGGGTGGTGTGTCGTGGCGGTACAATCACCGAGCGCCGAACAGCGGAAGAGGTCCGTCTGACCTTTCTGGATGAAATATACGACGAATCCAGCTCCACCAGGCGCTCGGACTTGCTCCAGGTGCGCATCTGGGAGCCCCAGTCCGAATCAAGCGAGATATCCGGGAGCACCGCCCCGCGCGGAAGCACTGAGATAAAGGTGTCCATTGCCAGATCGTATTCCTGTTTCAGCAACACTCGGGAGCGCCGCACGAGGTTGACCTCCTTGGGAGCGGTAAGTGGCTGGAGCTTTGTTGGAACAACCACATTGAGGTTCTTGAAGCGCGGAGCTGCGGCAGGAATCGGATTGGACCGCCAGATGGAGAGGAAGTCGGTGTCTACAGCAGGACCTAAGGGGCGGAGCGAGTCGCTCTTCGCCCTTGTGGTGACCTCTTCTGAATCCTCGCCACTCAGAAAGTGTAACTTCGAAAGTTCGTTAAAGTCATCGACGGAGGTGTTTCCGGATGGAAGGATTGTTGAGGCTGAAGCCGGGGCCAAGGCTTTGCCAGGGGCCAAAGCGGAAATGGAGGCATCTGAGACGGGGATGGCAGAAGTGGAAGTATCTGGGACAGAAATGACAGAAATGGAAACCACAGAGGCTGTGGAAACGTCATATGAGTCCTCCGTCTCAGGGTGATGCAACACTGATTGAGCGGAAGAGTCAAACTCCGAGGTTAGCATCGAGTCGTACACCGGATTGGTAACTTCTTCATTGTCTTCCTGATCCGCGTCGTGGGAATCTGGGAATAACATACCGGAAACATCACGGGCGGGCACCGAAGCCTCGGGCAAAGGCACGGATGGCGGAATGGAAGACGACAAAAAGGGGAGAACCGACGGAGAAGCCCTGGATGGAGACGAGACAGATGGGGAAGCAAGGGAAGGCGGTGGAATAGATGGAGGTCTAGATGGAGCAGACGGCACAACCGACGGAATACCTGACTGCGGCCAGCTCTTCGGGAAGCCAATGACAATCGCGTGTTTCTTAGGACCCAGGACATCCCTACTATCATCATTCAGGTGACTCTTCACGGCCTTCTTCTGGAGGACTGGGGCCGGAACCTTGTTGTTTTTGGTTTGTTCGAAACTGGCAAGTTTCTCCTTGAAAGACTTGATCTCTGGCCCCTGTGAAATAGGAGAGTTGGTCGCCGTCGGGCGTTCTGGGCTCAACGTTCTGTAGATTTCCGGAGGAGGGGAGAGACTGTGGTAGTCTTCGGGGCTCAGCTCCCGGACATACTCGAACGAGTCTTGAAACTCCTCAGACCCAGAAACGGATGGGTTCTCGTACACCCTGCCAAAATCGAAGGACGTGTCAATATTCTCGGGCGAAATGCCTTTATTGTTGTCCTTCAACACCACGGGTTTGCTCAAGAAAACGTTGTTCTTAGTGATGAGTACACGCTCCAGTTCCTTCAACGACTGCACAGACGACATGGATGAGGCCCGGGAAGTTCCAGAGGTGATCCGCTGAAACATCTTTGGCGGAACGGAGGATGCAGCAGATTCAAAATTCAATAACAGGTCGGGAACTGACCCCTCTTCCTTCTCGAGGTGCCTAGCAAGGTCCAATTGGGATTCTGACCTAAACTTCAAATCCTTCTTCATACCGTCGAGCAAGAGATCGTTGTAATAGCTCTTGGCCACGCGCGGCGAAGGAGGGCCGCGGTCCGGGCTTAAGCCACGGATATTGTTTTCCAGCAAGTCGTTGAAGCTGCCTCCGACATTGGAAACCTGCAAGGCACTCAACTTGTCCTCCAAAGTCATTACAGATTTCATTTTTATGACCTCCTCTGCCACATCGTATTCCTGTTTGGGGGTAGATTGGAACGCATACTCTGCCCGTTTGGCAACGTTATTTTCATCATTTTCATGCTTGATAAAATCGTTTTCACGCTTGATAAAGTCGCTGTTACCACTTTCCTGTTTGATAAAGTCTTGCTTGAACAAAAAGTTATCCTCCTCCTGTTTGATCAGCTCGTCGTCAGACTCGGATTTGACCTGTAATAGGGCCTGTGAAACGTCACATGCATCTGGTAAGGAAGACTTTCTGACCGGTAACGGAGGAGGAGAGCCCATATCGGTGTTCTCGGTAACGTCACCAATTTCATTGGTGTAGTCGAAATCTAGTTCGGGGTGGTGGACATGGTTCCAAGCCGGCGATGTAATGGGATTTTCCCGCTCGATTAAGCGTAACTGAGCGTCTAAATCCTCGTGTCTGAATGCTTCGGAGTCGTGTATAAAGGCCTCAGAGCCAGAGTCAGACCGGGTGGTTTCGTAGTGCTCGTACTCCATCACCTCAGGTGGGGACTGTTCGAACACAACGGATTTCTTGGACGGTGAAAACGATATGGAGGATTTGAGAATGGACTTGGACGGCGAGCGCGACGGTGACTTATCCGCGAGGGTCTCAGACGAATCCGCCGAGGTTGCTTCTTCATACGACGAAGGGTCTATCGAGATTGGCTCACCGAACGGAGGGTCTGCTGGCTCACCTTCCAGGTCGGAAAGCTTTGGGCTTGCGGCAAGCTCGGAATGGACTGACACAGAGGGAAGCAATTTGGAAGCTTCAGAAGATACCTTAGAAGTACCCGGAAGTGGCTCTGAGATGTCGGGACGTGGCCCGGACGGCTTTCTCTCAGGGCTGCGGGCTGGAATGCGCTCAGGGCCCTGGGAAGAAAGGTCGTCGTCTTCGAGCCGCGAGGAAGCGCGGTTGGGGCTGCGGGGCGGAATACAGTCGAGGGTTCCTGGATGTAATACCGTGTTGGCGTTTAAAACCAACGCCCGTGGACCACGGACCGCGGAATTCAGGCGCGAGAGCCTCTCACTGGGTTCATTGCCCGTTTTGACGTAGAAGATGCTTTCACTATCGAAGGCGGGCTTGGGTTTGGTGAACTGCAAAGGCTGAACCTCGCGGCTGTTGTTGCACTCATCTGAATCCGAGGCCTGGCTGTCAAGCAAGTTAAAGTTGTGGAGGTTATTGTTAGGGCTATCCAGGTGTATCTCGCGGAGAAGCAAGTCCACAGACTCATTCTCGTGTTTGAAGATGTTGGAAATGCTGCCGTGGCTCTCCGCCTTGACCATAACGGAGGACATAACTTGGAGGTATTAGCTTGTATCTGAGCTACGATAACAAGGTTATTGACTTTGGTATTGGCAGTGTCTTGGCGTGTAGGGTTGATAGTGTCTTGGCGTACTTATAGCAAAGGATTGTCTTTTGTATAACAAAGTCGTCTTAAGGCTAGAAATACCTGATCTTTAGCTCAACGTGAATCTCAGAACGAATGAACGTATGTTCTCCACTTGTATTAGGCGCCGAACAAAAACATCGTTGCATGAAAAGAAAACAACGAAAAAGACAGGAGCCTCTGTTAGAGCCTGTGCGGCGCAAGGTCGTGAGGCGCCAGAACCAGTGACCAGATTTGCGCCGATTGCGCGCATCGCGTGAATTCCACCTTGCTACATGTTTAGGATATTCCCGATTAGGCATAAATGATAGAGTTGGCACGTGAGCCCCGACGCATAAGATGGAATCGCTCAAGAGCGCCTGGTATGAGCTTTGTTCCGGCCTTGGAAAGAGAGATATAGATGGGCTGTCACATATTTCTGGATAGTTTTCCGTTTTCGCTACATCTGGAGAGTATCGGGGAGTTAATCTACGACAATTTGCTTTGAAGTAACCGTAAGTAGTGGCAGATGTAGACGAGGACTACTGTATAGTCCGTAAACGTAGTATTTCGACTCATCCGGAAACGTATTGACGCCACTTGGGTCAATGTCATTGCTGTTATTTTTGCGCCAACAGAAAAATGATAGAATTCAAAGGAGTAATTGGAAAGACATTCGAAGAGAGCGTCAATTAACTAGAAGCTTTAATATCTTGGGGGTGTTGGTCAATTTCGCCAATATATATATATATAAATATATCCAATTTTTTGTACCAAATTATGGAGGTTAATCTGTTTATGCTGGTATAATTTTCAACCAGTATGTTACCCAATTACTAATATATATGCTATGTTTTCCTGGATACGCGGTCTGTAGAGCCTGCGAAGACGTCCTAATACCTTAATTTCATTAATCAGAGACCCCCCCCCCCGGATTTTCAAGTTAAAATTTCTAAAGCTACAACTTGTCCGCTAAAATTCCAAACCTGCTCCGATAATTATAGGAACATAACAAAGTAGAAGTATTGATATTATTGAAGATCATGGCGAAGCTGGCCAGTTCTCACGTCACTACCCTTCATACACCGCTTAAATGTCACTTCTTTCAATATGATTATCTTTCTATAATTAAAGTTGGTATTCTACAGTCACATCTGTCTCTGCTGAAGGTTCATCTGCTGCTGCATCAACCCCCGATTAACCATCGCCTGGCTCATCTGGTGTTGGCTTCCAGTGCTGTTCTGTTGCATTTGGAGCTGTTGGAGCTGCTGGGGTGTGAGGTTGGCTAGCGGCAAGGATATTTTCCCCTGGGCCGCTAACTGGCGCTGCTGTTGCTGAAACTGTTGCGATAGTAATTGCTGCTGCATCTGCTGCTGCATCTGCTGTTGTTTCTGTTGCATGAGATACGCATTCATCTGATTAGTTGGAAGAGCACCTTCGGGCTTTCCCTGGTATTGGAGGAACTGCTGTTGCAACAAAAGCTGTTGCTGTTGTTGAGTGGTGTAATTGGCGGGATTAACACTTGGAGTGCTCATCCGGGTTTCGGGGTTTTCGCTCCAGTCTGGCTTTGACGTATTGCTGGTACCCCCCAGGATTTGCGTTGGAGTCGATATACTCTTTGCCGGCTGGTGGGAGCCTGGCGGCGACTGCACACCAGTAATGGACGTTTTCGGAGCTAGAGAAGACGGGACAGAACCGGAAGCGACTGGCAGCAGCAACTGGGTCTGCATCCGTAAATGCTGCATCCGCATTTGTTTCCGGAGCTGTGGCTGAGTCTTTTGGTCCTCAGTTATCTCGGGCTTTAGCAGTGGAGTCCCCGGAAGTGGCATGTTGATGTTGAGACCCATGTTTGGAGCCTTCCCTGCTTTTGGGACGACCACAGTTTCCCCCATCTGGTGGTTGACGGAGCTCTGCATGTCCCACAAGAGTTGCCACCATTCGAGGAGAAATGTGTCGGGGGAATACATTACCATGTTGGTTTCAAGTGGCTCTGAGTGTTCGTTATCACCTCCGGTTTCTTTCTTCACCTCGGCTTCGGTATTCCGCGTGACACTGTATTCCCGGATGATTTCCCCATACTGGTCTCCTTTCTGGCTTGAGGGCTTCTTGGGCGCGTGGGGAACCTTTGCCTCGTTCAACAAAGTCACCGCGGCCTCGGTGTAACCGTTCTGGAGGAGATAGTTGTAGAGGTGCGCGTGGAGCAATTGGCGAGAGTTTTTCGCTAGCGAATCGCTGACCACCTCTCGTTGTTTATCGGGCTCGTCATCAGAGCTTTCTACATGAGATGGGGGATATTGCAGTGCTGTTTCCCTGTACATGTCTGGATTCAGGAGCAAAGCGTCCAAGTTGGCATCGTTTAACGTGTTGGGGTCGAAGAATTCACTAAAGGACGTATCAGACATTGTGCATGGAGGTGTGGCTAAGATGGGAGGGTTTTCAGTGACCAATCGTAGATGTGGTGTGGGATCGGGTCTTGTCAGGAAAGCGAGAGTGATAGTAAATAGAAGGAGAGGCTGAGGTGAGGAAGTTACGGCCAAGTGGAGAGGTTGGATTTTGTACCCTGGTAGCACTTGGCGATAGAGACGTAGGATAACAGTAGATCGGAGTGTCGAATAAGGTTGAGGCCTGTAACCACAGACGCTGAGATAGTTGCAACGGTAGCAGTTCGCTGAGGGACTGAGAAAGAGTGATAGGAGGTGAGCAATGGGATAGAGCGCTGTCTGTCTTACACGCCGTACTTACAACCGTTGAGTGGGATTTGAAGCCTACGTCGCGCCTAAAAGTGCTAAGCGTCTGCCGATTCTCTGCATATAAAAGTTTCCGGCCGCATTGAGTGCGTGCGGCTAAGGCAGGAATGGATCAAGAAGGCTAAAATAAAATGACCATTTACGCCCATTGTTATCTGGAAATCTATGCCGTGGAGATTTAGGTCCTTGCTACGAAAAAAGCAATTGGGTGCCATTCTGGTAAACGCTAAAAGTTGGAGTGCCAGGGATACCAAGCAGATCAACTGAACCGAAAAATTAAGGTGCATGCACCGACAGAACTCTATTTTTTCCTTGCTTCATCGGGGGGTATGGTTCATATCTGTTCGTTGTCCCCAAAAGTCTTTGTGGTTTTCTGGTCCATAACTGATTCAGTGGACAAATATAGGTTTTCAATTTCATAAGCATATATCATACTACGAGCTCAGATACTCGCCTGGATCGATGCATTTTGCCTGTTACCACAAGCTTCCCAAAAAATTCTGCTGCATGCGTCTAGTTCTTAGTACAGGAGCTCTTGTATTCATAACCGGGTGAATAACTGAATCGGGTGTATATTCTTGTAGGTATGCATATTACAAGTGCATTAACGCCGCCCAGATCTGGAGACAGCGGAAATACCACCACTAGAACGCTCGTCACCTATACGGTTTCTTGTTTTGGGAAACGGAAACTATCGTCTGAGGAGGAGAAGTATGAAGATGTAAAAAGGTGGGCCATTTGTGATAGATGTCATGTAAAAATTTATGGGAGAAGGGGTATACGATACTCCGGCAGTATGTGATGTGGCATAAGTCTTGCGTTAGCTGCAGGTGCCACGCCTTGCTTCTGGATGCTTTCGCATTTTTTTATCCGACTGGTAGAGATTCACATTATTTCCATTTCGTCCATCGTGTGACGATGGTTGCTGTGGGGAACTGTGTTTGTGTATACCGCATATGTATAGAGTGGATGATGTATAAATGGGGTGCTGAGGAAAGAGATATAAAGTGGTTGTTATATCCCGGCTTTTTCTGCTCGAGACCAGACGATTGGATGGTGAAAGCTACAAAGGACTGCCTGGGAGAATAGCACGCCTGTCTGATACAATCGTGGAGACCAGTACGGCAGTTCTTGGGATTTCAAAGTTGCAGGGATACTTATGTAGCGCTCTGAATCGTCTCAGAGCGCGTAACTGGCTCTACTCCCTGTCCCTACTCCCTGTCTCTCTAACATAGCAGGGATAATCACTCGAGGCGAAGAAAAACTTATTTATTCCCGGAATGCACCTACAAGTATAAGGAATAGACTCGGTCCAAACGTGTATACCCTTTCTATAACCGCTTTATGAGCCATACCGTTCTCTCATATACCGATCAGAACTTTCATATCGCAACCTCTGACCCTTAGTAAGCTAGTTCGCCACCAAAAACCATATGAACTTTTGGGAGATTATTATTTCAGATTTTCCCCATCCCATGACATTTCCGTGGACGTTTTTTTTTTTTTTTTTTAATTTCGACCCAGCCATAGATCAAAGCTTTGTGGAGGCCCAAGTATTAAAGGGGTACACCTATAAGAAGACGCGGCTCAATAATTATAAGTTACACAATCTGTGAAAGGGATCATTGACATCACCGATCGGCTGGAAATGGCGGATGTACCCCTTACATGCACAGGTAATGCTAAAAGTGTTGAGCTTTTCTGTGTATATCGGCTTACCTCAAACTGAGAGTCGCACTTACACCAGATCTTACGTGTTGTTGCTGGACTGGTAAACTTTCGAATTTAATAGTAATTGACTTAGTGTGGGTTTCTAATATAACTAAATATACTCTTAGAGAGTCTTTCAGACTGATAAATCCATGCTACGGGTCCGAGTGGCATTTTTAATTGGCTTGCGCAGTTAGCCTTATTGGGGTGCTACTCGTATACCCATCTAGTACTGGCTATCTTAATATTTGATCAAACCATGTAAGTTTACCGGCTTTATACACGTGATATAAACTAACTCGGATTATACGTATACATGAGGGGTATAGTATCAAATAAAACTTAATGTCGAGCATAGGTGTTCTTTGTCCTTTTAAGCTCCTATTAGCAACCAGGCATGTATTAGAACAATGATCTAGCACCATGAGCCACTTTATACCTACTTTTTTTAATCCTGGTCAGGGAAACCTCCCGGCTTCGTCTAGTACAGACAGAGTATGCATGGAGAGGTTTAAAAGCAGCGTTAGGAACAGCACAGGGGTCATAAATGCTTGTCCTGGTACCCCCAGTATCAATACTAAACCTAGTGTACTGTCTGGTGGATTCGATCTCCCGTGTAGATTGGATCTAATATGGGGGATCGAATCTATCGCGTGATTGGCTCGATGGGAATAGGATATATTCTGGGGTAAAGTAGGTTATCATAGATTCGGACTGGTGAAAGACTTGCTTTGAGAGAGCCAGAGTTTAGTATGACGGATCATTTGAATCGTACTATGGGTGAAAAATTATTCAACCATGAATATTTTAGTGGGGGTCAAGCAATTTAATCCAAGCAGCCCGTGACTCCAGCAAATATCCAACACTGACTCACCAGCTTTCGCGCGGCTTATTTTTTTACGCTGTCTGAACTTTTCGGCGAGTACGTTCAACTCTTTCACCCTTCATAATTCACTCCCGATGCCCTCATGGAGCCAGCTAAAAGAGATTATCGAGCGCTCAAAAACCCAGAACGCGCCACCAGTGATTTTCTACGTCACTGTCCCGACAAAACAAACTACAGATAACGAGTTCACTGACGTTTACAGATGGGAATTATGCTTACGGTCGCTTTCTTTACAACAGCAATTGGGCATTCGCAACAAGAAGTTTCTCCTGGATGCCTACCAAGTTTTGATCAACAAGTTGCTCCAGGACTTTGTGCTCAAGATATACCTCTTCGAGGAGTCATCTCTGGAGATACCAGAGCCCATTCGCTATACCTACAACGAGTTTGGGAAGCCACTCCTATCTCCAGAGTACGATCTGGGAATGAATTTGCATTTTAGTATGTCCAATTCGGCCGACATAGTGGGTATGGTGGTCACCACTCATCCGGCTGCCCGGCGCATCGGTATTGACCTATCGAACACGAATGACGATGTCTTGCCAGTAGGCGACCCAGGAGTTGGCTTGGAAACGTATGAGTCTGTGTTCTTTCCCAGCGAATACCAGCATTTGCAACTATACAAAGATGATGCCCGATTGAAACTCCTCTTAAACCAGTACTGGGCCTTAAAGGAGAGCTATACAAAGCTATTAGGAGTGGGCTTAAACATGGATCTCTCGCGGTTGGAGTTTTCCGGGGTTAATTTCTTGGATGTGGAGGCGAACAAGCTGGGCCATCCGGAGGAGCAGATTCCGTGGGTTGGTCCGCCTGTGGAGCTCCGTCTCCACGATATAGAACAGGCCCTGTCCCAAGGATATACCAATAGGGTGGATTTGGGTCTCCTCAAAAGTCCGAATATAGTGGTTTCCACAATCTGTGAATATGACGGAACGGTTCCAGACTCCACCCCGGTTGTGGTAAACATTCCTCTATCGATGTTGGTGGAGTTTACAATTACACACACGAAATAGACATACTTCCTATGGTTCACATCTGTTTCAATGAATTTCCCGTCTATTATAATTAAATTCAACCTCCCGCTGCAGCCCCGGATTTTCATATTAGCATTAACTAATCTCTTTTGTACTTAATAATCATCCATTCCGCTTTATTAAATATACCGACAAAAACGGTTGCATTTTATGCTCAAATATTCAGTCTTGCTCTTTGTCTTCTGTATTCTCCCCCTACCTTGTTTATTTAAATAGTCATAGGTAACCGATCACCGCCAATTTTTCTATGCCAATACTCCGGGTTATTTAAGCATTCTATCCTTCGAGGATATACTCAAACCTTTCACTCTACGAAGTTCCCCCTTCAAAGTTGCTACGTCCATATTTGTGCGTTCAAAACTCCAATTTCGACGAAACCATTACTCCTAAGTTTTGTTCGTTGTCTCACGAACTATTTTATCGACCCCATATTTTGTTTAACGTATCCTATTTTCCATTGAAATTTTACTTATTTTTCTATATACAAGCCTTCTCTATATACAAAACCTTATTCCTTAGCCCTTCAAGACAGTTTCCTGACTATTAGTGGTTGCACTCAACTTAACCAATTCCTCGTAGATACACCACGCAATACCCGCCGAAAGGCCCTTACGAAGCAAGCGCATGCTCAAACCGTCAAACAAGTTCACGAAGCGCTCCTTCGTCAAGATGTGCACGAGGACCTGTCTACTGGTGGTGATTCTGCCGTTCTTGGTGTCGCCCAACAACTGAAGCCGCGTTTTGATAGTATCAAACGGCGCGGTGATTGCGGTCGATAAGCACGAGGAGGTGAAGGCCGCGACGGAGTTGATCATGGCAGATGTCGAGGTACTGAACATGGCAGAGTCTTCGTGGGCAAGGAATTTCGGCGCTAGCAGTTTCAACTTCTCGTAGAACAAGACATAGAGTCCGGCATTAGGCGCGTCCCTGGCGGTCGTCACCCAGTAGCCCTTGAAGAAGTTGCGGAGACTACCACGCATCGCGGTGAGGCTTTCGCCCGGCGCCTGGGCGTAGTAAATAGATCGCACCGCCTGGTTGATCGAGGTGTAATTGTACAACGTCGACTCGTATCTGACTTTGAGGATGGTCACGGGCATGGTACAGAAGCCTATGATGCTTCGGGCGAGGGCCCCCGTGGCCAAGTTTTCTTGCATCGTGAGCTTCGGGAGCGTGCTGCTGGAGGTCTGTCTCACGGGTACTAGGTCGTGTTTCTGATGGTATGCCGCGAGATTGGTGCGCAAAACGTTCAAGCACGATAAGTAAAGGCCGCTGCCCACCGAAGTACGGACACAGGATGGCAACGTCCCCTTCCACAATTCGCGGATGTTGGTGATTTTCCTAAGCTCCTTCGTCAAGGTGGCGCCGTTAGACTGCTGGAGCCGTGTCTTCAACAAATCTAACGGCTGGAGAAGCAATGAGGACGTGAGACCCCCACTGAAACCAGCGTAAAGATGCACCGTGTTACTGGGCTTGGACATAAGGCTGGGATGTAGAGTTGAGCGTGAGGCTTATTAACGATTGGTATAAACAATTATTAGACGATTGGCCTTTTTGTGACTAAGGTGAATTGAGGCAGGTGCGGAGGTGAAATATAATTGGTAGGGCCCAGTCTTTTTTCTGCTAAATGCAGCAGGCAGGGTGGGCCTCGATCAATCAGCAACCGTGCTATGTCAACGAGTCATCGTGGAATTGGGCGCATTCGTACAGATTGAAATAAGACTCAGTGATGCTGAAAGGCAGGATTGTATAACGTAATTGATGGTCAATAAAAAATGTAACTATAAAGATAAATGAGGTTATATTATTATTGGGGTTCAGGGTATCGCTGTGTTTACGCTGGATCTATGACTGGTGTGTGACAATCACATGACTGAGATAGAGCGTTTGCAACGGGTCTGCACAGCACGTGTTTGACTTAATCAGCTTTCCGGTGCTATAACAATATTGAACTTGGGTCTTTCATTTTTTTTTGGCACGTGATGCATGTTGCCAGGGTCGGTCTACCGGTACAATAATAGGGCGTCATAATAGGACATTGATTATTAAAAATTGAGTGCTTCGAATTATATTGCTAATCACGGGTAGGACGAATTAAATATCCTGGTGTATATAATGATATTGCTAATCCATCGGCTATTTTACTAGAAGTGCGCACATCCGTGGCGCTTAACCGGAAAGACAAGGAGGTTGAAGTATTTTTACATGGTACACGCTGGGCGTATAAATCGGACCTTTCTAAAAAAGGATTAGTAGCGAGGGAGTATTTCTGACTTAATATTCCAAGTATACGCGAACTACATCTACAACTACCAGTCAAACCCAGTGCACTACCCACAGTCCTGGACTGAAATTTAATATCTGCGTCGTACCTCGATTACCATTTCAAGCCATCCAAAAATACCTTGCTCTGCTTGTCAACCACCAATGTATCGTCCAATTCTCCCAAGTGCAACTTCTCAACGCATAAGCCATCCAATGCCGCGCTGTGCTGGATATGGCTCAAGGCAGCTAACCCGAGAGTGCTGTGTAGGGGGTCCGGCATATCCTCGTTGGTTTTACCGAATCCGCCCAAAAACTGGTGCTGAGTCTGACCGAGAAGATACACAGCCAACGCCCGCTCATCAATCAACAAGTCACCTGTGTTCGAGAGTAGTCTGAGACACCCTAGCACCCAGAACGCGTAGCAGGTATCCGTATACTTGTTCTCACGGCCGTTAAACCCTCCATGATCTTCCTCATACGCATATTCATTCTCATCGAGTTCCACTTGACGGTGAATCTGGGAAGAATCGTAGTCCATTTGTCTCATATGGAGCCATCTCTTGGTCTTGTTCCAGCGAGGATCTTCCCCGGTGAGACGACCGAGTGCCTTAAGCGTGAATAGTCCACAAAAGGCCAAGCCAGCATGCGATTCAGTGAAATACTCCCCAGCTCCGTTTCCAATTCCACCATCATACGACACGGTGGATAGAATGTACGCCTCCAACGCATCGCAGTCGATATCGTTCTCTCCTCCCGTGTAGCCCAACATCATTCGGATAGACGAAATAATTTGGCAGTGCCTCATATCAGAATCGCCAAATGGAGAACCGTGCATGTCCAACGTGGGTCTGAAGTATCCCTCATCCACTTGGCATCGCCTAACGTAGTTCATAATCTTGTGGCGGTCTAATCGCTTGGTGTAGTCTTCTTTCAATATAAGCAAGCAGCAGAGGGCAAAGTATGTAGCTGGTAAGTTTGGTGGGTCGTAGGTGGATCCCTCAGAAGCAGGTAGTTCCATCGTCATGCTCCCTCGGAAGCCCTCTCCCGATGGCACCAAGTGTTTGTAGATGAACTCAACATAGCCCAATCTCTCGTTCTCGGTCTTGATGAAAGGCTCGAGGGGGTTATCGGATGGATTGGCAAGTGTTAGGCCAGTGAGCGCAAAATAGACCATCGCGAGTTTGTTGGAATCCTCCGATTGGAACTGGTGGGGGCATAACGACAAGACGTGGACAAAGTACTTGATGTGTTTCTCCTTGAGGAAAGTGAGCTCAGATGTGGGCATTTCTGACTCCGTTGGCGGGGTATTAGGTAATAAAAAAGGGAGTGACGGGCGCCAGCATGGAGAATTATTCCTAATGAGGTTGTGATTTATGTGGTATTTTATCGAAGCCAGCTTCGAGTGTCAGGTTTCCATGGCGCGCCGCACCTGCGTGAGGATCCCTCGTGACAGACAGAAACAATAACCGTTGAATACATATCCAATAAAACATGGTCTCACACATATAATATACCATATAAGTGAGCTCAACATACACCAACTAGATTAAACATTAGATCGTTCATTATTGAATTCTTGTGCTTGATATATTTGGGTTTATACATGCTAAATTCACTCTATGTAAGTCACTCTCAACTGGCCCTGATAAGATTCAGATGCACAGGAGTGAGGCTCGTAAAAATTAGCACTTCAAAGCCTTAATTAGATTATACGGTTATCATAGTGTGGCATTTTACAATTCCAAGCCCTTTAGTTATTAGTGAAAATACCGTAAAACGCTAGCCGATGCTAGTTTGTTTGGGGGAAAAATTTGAACAGAAATCGATCGGATGGATGACAGGTTTAGAGCCATTACATCTGGTGCACTTTCATCGGTTACTTGCGTTTCGGTTGCTTTGGAGTCAATGGCCGCATATTTGGAAGAAACACATACTAACTGAACAATCAGCCTGCTCTTGTCCAATTTTCCAAAACCATCAAAGGACGACTTAGCTCGAAGTAAATAGTTGGTGAAGACCACAAAATATCTGTAAACACTCATTAGCCATTTGACTAACCGTTGACATCCATAGAGCTAATACAACTTATGCATCCGTTACTTAGAGAACAAAACATAAAGCATACAAAATACTCGACATGCAACTATTTTTTAACTACACGCTTTTGGTAAGACACAGCTTTGAAGGTTGTAGAACTTGTTCGCACGCAAGTTTACGGTATGTACGACAAAATTAGAGAAAATGCGAGGGATCAAGGTATTATGCTTAGAGTAGCATGGCGCTATCACTGTATGGTTTCCTGGGAAATTGGAATTCTCAAAGGTACATCAAACATCCCATGATAATCTGTATTATCTAAGAATTTCAAGTTACAGATCCTGGAAATACGAAGCAAAATAGATTGAACGATATAGAAAACAAAAATAAGACGAACGAAGTGCCTGATACTGATTATTACGTTATTGCATTCCTAAGTTCTGATTGGTAAGTAAAACTACCCGGATTAGCAGCAAAAACCACTGTAGGGCAACGGATCAGAAGCTTGTAATGCAATAGTTGTTCTATTGTAACCCACTCGGCAGTTAGAGGGCTAATTCTCTGGAAAGAAATTCAACCGAGTCTACTGGAACAGACAGATTGACTACTTCAAGTGGTTCCGACTGGTTTTCGTCGTTAACTTGTGGCATACTCGCTTCAGGGTCAATGGCTACCTCCTTAGTTAAATCACCCGGTTCCAACATGCTCAACCCGCCTTTGCTTAATTCATTAAAGAAATAACCACCGTAAGGTGATTTACCTAAACAAATGTAGTTGGTTAAAACGATCATAAAAGCAACAAGGAACGCAACCCAGGAAAAGGCGGAGAAGGCAATGATGGCCTTTCCCACTTTGCATCCGGCAGTAAAGCCACCACAGCTTCCGCTTCCCCATAAATCAGCGATTGAGAAGAAGGTTGCAAGCCAGAGAAGTGAAAGAATTCCTTCTAGGAGTACAACAAGGCCAGCCGGGACAAGTATCGGGAAAAAACTCGTTCCGAGGATCACCCAGAGAAGGTAGGCAATCGAAATGGCTCCAGAAGAGACAGCCAAGATACCTCTAGCGTAAGGCGTAAAGGTTTTCAAGGTGCTGGCGGCGGTGGCCATTGCTGTAGTACTAAATACGAGCTGCAAAACCCGAATGACATAGGCCCCGATTGAGAAACCCAACATTTGAGAGATGTAGGAAAAACACATAAGTAAAAGGTTATGATTGTGAATTTTGAAGATATGAATAAGAAATTCGAGAGGGCATTAAATCTAGGGGGTATATGAGTCATTATATACCCAAAATTCAAGTTGAATTCACCCTAGCAAAAAAAAAAACTAAAAAACAATGGTGTTTAGACTTCCTAGCAAAACGGTCTGATTTTGCCGGTAACTATGCAGATATGATATGCCCTTCACTTTACCGGGTTCAGATGCGTAAAATTACTCCGATACCTAAACCCCGCATTAAATACACGCAAGTTCTGATTTTCACCAGGCCTTGAAGTTCTAACCTCGACTGTAGAAAATATCTGAGTTGCATTAAACTGAAAAAAATTGGAAGCTAAGGGAAGGGGTTCCCCTTTTTACCATAATAGCAATATATAGCTTTTATCCAACCATCCAGTTTTGCAAGTCACCAGCTGATAGGTTCAAATAGTTTGAAACCGCAAGCCATTACTTGATTTGACGTATTTAACCATTGAAACAATTATACCGAATGTTAATCTCAGTGTCAGAGCTACCAACGGAGAGTACGGGGACGAAATTCTCATACTGCTAAATAAGCTCCTGCGATATCTCCTATTCCAGGCACCAGCATACGCTAAAGAGAACGCGTGATAAAGCCTCTGATTGTACAATCTTAGCTATCCATTTTAAAATACAATGATAAGAAGCTATAATTCGTTTAGATTCGTGCAATTGTCATTACTGTAAATATAGAGGTCACAGGAACCACGTTTCAAGATTTAGCTTCAACTACAGTAAACATTTATTTTGTTCGGTACTAGCGATTTCGTGGCCAAGTTGGCTAAGGCGTGTGACTGTTAATCACAAGATCGTGAGTTCGACCCTCACCGAGATCGGTACCTTTTTAGATGGGCCTTCTCACTTCGATATAAAATGACAGCAGTTAGTTTTTTTTTAGAAAAATAAGCTAAAAATAATACCTCTGTTTACCCTTAACATCTGGTTCTGATGGATCTAAGATATATATTCAGGTATATTCGTTTATTAAGATTAAACAATAAGCCAACATAGCTTAGGAAAGTAGCCCCAAGACCTTTAATTTTGCGTCTTCATCATCAACATTATAATCATGCTCTTCCCATTCAGATAATTTATCCTTGATATAGAACATGGCAAATGGAATACAAGTGGTATCTCCCATATTCATAGCTAATCGTTTTAAAATAATAGCCGATTGAGTCATTGACGGATAGTGTTGCATTTCCGCAATACCTGTGATGCCTTCTTCAACTCCTCTCCCTGAAGTAATAGGTGCCAAAGACTCTTCAACCAAAGGAATTGAAGTTGGAGGAAGAAAGTACTTTGGGATACCACCTGAAGAAGTCACTACATTTTTGTAGAAAGGACCATTTAATGCATGACTGTGCTTTCGCAGGTTACCTGGGAGAGATACGGGGTACATCCCTTCCCGCGGTTGGTATTCTCCACCCAGAAGTGGGAAACTGATTCCTCTGAAGCTCATATCTCTGGAAAGTATAGCTGCTTCACTGGAAGTGTGATATGACTTTGGGTGTAATGGAGAAGTAAGTGCGGAGGAGGAAAAAACCGTCATAGGCGCAGCAAGCGATGACTTGGTCATATTTACTTCATGCTCGACAGTAAACTTAGAACAAGGGATATCCAAACACTGAGCTAAAGGTGATTGATCTGGGTGGCATGATTCAAGGGTAGGCCTGACTGCACAACCTCTAGTTATTTCCATTTTGCTCTCCAAACTTGTCTCGTCCATAATATCGCTTAAATAAAAGCCGCATTCTCCGGACTCGGACTCGATATTCAAACATGGAGCAGAAGACCGAGAAAGCATTACTTTCCCATGGTTTCGAACCTCTTCGTTCTCCTCGAAAATTGATTCCAAAACAGCCGAGGAAGGGATGCCGAAATTTCTGGTATCACTCTCTTCGGCTGTCCTTCTCCCGCCTGCCAGCGCTTCTTCAGGGGCGGTCTGAGATTTGCTGAGATCAGTGGCATCTTGCATTCCCATCAGCAAGATTGGAAACTCTTCATTACCGTACCCGTAATCACCACTACTCATAACATTTCCATCTCCAAGATAGTCATAGCATGCAGCATCATAACGATTGTGCTGAAAGTCAGCCATCAAATGAAAACTCTCATCCTCCTCATCCACACATGTAATTCCAGTATTAAAGCTATCATCTATATCGTCATAGGCGGCCCAGCTTGGGTGTTGATGGGCGTTGATCATCAGATTAGAGGTTGGTGGGATGAATTGGTAGTCACTTTTAAAGCCATCTGTGCGAGTGGTAAAACTGAAGATATTAGCATGAGAAGTAGCGGGGGTAAGCAACAAGTCATAAACTGGAGGATCCACTGAATCTTGTATTTTAGAGAACGAGTTAGAACGTGATCGTTTACCCAGATGCCCTAAAGAATAGGTGGAAGCTAGCTCCGGTATAGATGAGTCCGACTCACTTCCATCATCATCAGTCAAAGCCGGAGGATACGGAGAGGAGGGTGAGGTATTTGAGTACGTTAAAGGGTGGATCCCTCCAGCTAACCTGTCTGCAACCTTGTGGTATAACTCGTCCATCCGGGCTTGGTTAGTGATCGGGTTCAACTTTGTCTTCTTCCAGCTTGTGTGTGATTCACCAGTCTGTCTTGATCTTCGCTTTTGGCTACCTTTTGAAGGGCGGAATTCCTCCTGGAAGATTGCAGTACTCGTTTGAGTTTCGACCTCGGAACTTTTCTCTCCGCCATCATCACTCTCCTTGTCTACAGGAATGATAGCAGAATCCAACTGGTGAGGGTCAAATTTACCCTTACCGAGGAAAATAATAACGAATCGAGCCCAGAGCTCATCCCAGCCTTTGGATCTCTTTACCTTCATCTTTTCTTCCAATGGGTGAATACGACAGTTGAGCTTGCGTTTGCACGCGGTGTGACGAGTCGTAGTAACACGACAGAGGAAATCTAATGTCCCATCATCAGCAAAATCAGAAACATCGAGCTTTTTGTTGCGGTAATTTGGGATCATGAGCTTCGTAAGACTCTTCTTAGAGGGAAACTTCTTTTTCTTGTCGATGGGATCCGATTTAGCAGTAAAAGCTTTATTACTTTTTCTAATAATGGTATATACACAGTGATCGATGGCATCCATGGACATATCTCCCAGTAGAGGCCGTAAGCCAACTTGCTGATAACCCATATATTCGGATGACATCGGAGAGGATCTGTGTGAATGGACGGTGCGTGATTGAGTTAGCACTAGAAACAGTAAGTCTTTCGTGATTCTGTATGAAGTGGTTTTGTCACATCTAATCTTGGGAGGTTATTTCCGGCTATATATAGAAACGTCTCGCTAAAACTGTAAGGCGTTGCATAAATTTTAGTTAGATAAGTAAAGTAACGAGAAAAGTGATACGTTATGTACATGTGCGACAGCGCATGCACTTTATTACTGGGTGCATTAAACAAATAGTTAATATAGTCTGTCGCTCTCAAATCCAAAAGGTAGTTTTTGTTCGGTTTAGATTTGTCAAAATAGAGCACACAAGAGCTTCGTAATGATTTATATTATACTGATAACTATGGTTTCGCATTTGAATTGATACCAAGCTACCGAAGCCCAGGTATATATGACCGGTTACCCTTATCTAAGTATTCACAATGTCACCTAGATTAGAGGAGCGTAGATATTTGGCCTTATTCGCATAAATTGAAATATTCCTTGAGGTATACGGCAAGCAGATACTAATTTAAGTATCGATCGCCCCTGCATTACAGTGAAAGGTGACGTTGGCTCTCCCAATGGAATCCCAAACAAGAAATGTACAATTGGAATTAGATTAACCGGTAACAGGGACTTTGAAAATTACAAAAGCCTATTTCGTATCATTATCTAGATTTAACCAATTCATATCCCATTCTTTACTCAAGAATAACTCATTAATTTAGCACTAATCAGAGAGGTGCGTTTTGGGATGAATATATTACCGCATGAGGTAGTATTCCAAAAGGGGAGCCAGTGTCGGAGTGCCATGATTTGACCCTATTTCTGATAATCTGAAGCTAGTTTGAGAGTAACCCTCGTTAATTAACCAGTGGAACTATTTCTTTGATGTGACTGTGCAAAAATTTGCGAAACTATATTCTGGATATTTATAGCTGGAGAATGCAATTTATTAACCTTTGAGCCCCACAAAGCGCAGGCGAATAAGATCTGGAACTCAACTTTCGTCTTCATCGCTCAAACGCAAGGCAATAAATGACATCCTCTTTGCGTTGAAAGTAAGATACATCTTTATGAAACAAGCAAGCTCCTCCAACGCTTAACCAAAACCTTTTAGTTATTGGGTATCTTGAGCATCAACACTAAAGCTGATGCATACACTTGTCACGTGTGTATAGATTGATGAACATTTAGATGCTTCCATGATCTGCCAGGTACATACACTCAGAAAAGAGAGCTCAAACGAGGTAATGAACACATAACGCTTCAAGGGGCCTCTCTGGATGCAAATGCAAAAAGAAGACCTTATTGGAAAACCAGGGAGCTCAGCGACAGTGAAAAGTTAAACGCCGAATAAAACGATCTGTACGAAACTGCAGCTTTATGTATGATATATCTATTGTTAAAGATCCGCCGTACATCTAATACGGTCTCCAAGGTAACGGATAACGGGGGTCAGCTTTGAGCTAAAATTATGGCTATACAGCAAATCCTCGCCCTCTGGTTACAGCTGAATTCATTGTCGCATTACCTACATCTTCACGACGCAACAATTGAGGGTTAATATTTAGATTGGTTCGTTGAAACAGTCGCGTTTCTAGCGTCTTGTCTGCGATAGGCTACATACTCGGCTTATTTTGAAACTTGTATAAACGGATTACAGTGCGATTGACACGTCAGTTAAATTTACTTTTTGGGAGACTTCACTGCATCATATATGCATTGCCTTTGTTACGGTATGAGACCGGCCTGCACCTTAATATCCATAAACCCGTAGAAATTGACTTGCAGATCTTGATCTCAATAAATACAATGAATCTTTATTTTCAAATTGCCGTCATTTGATGACCGTTACAAATATAGGATTCCCTATTCGCAGTGAATCACTCAATCTACCTAATCCAGCAAGTTTACCTCATAATAATTTAGCATGTAAATGTGTGGGATCCAAATTGTAGCTCGACTAGCTACACTCAGGACTCTATGGTATTCATATCCGATAAACATCAAACCCACCCACCACTAATGGTAGATTTATTTCTATTAAATGATTTGGTTGCTGAGAGGATTGTGCTGGTTTGTTGATACCACATAGCCTTGGTAAGCCAATTAACGTTTTAATAAGATCGTACGTGACTAGAATCATATTCAAATTCGCTGGTATAAAATACTACGTCATGCGACAACTTATCGCCACGTGAGCCTTTGAATCAGCTAAGATTAGAGTTAAGACTTTAACCGTACTTTTTGATTTGGCAAAGGCTACAGGAGGTCACGGTGGCCTATGAAATCCCCCTTCTTATATTTATCTAGTATTTAGTGAAACACCGAGAAATAGCTAAAATACTGCGTGACCAAATGCTGGACCATATCTTCAACTTTTCTGTCTACATACGTACCAAACAACCCATAGTAGAGTTTATAGCTATGTAACATTAACTAAAATATAACCCACCTTTGTGAATATACCTTGTAGACTGAAGCGAGTTCACGGGTACGAATTATCTCGTATAAGGGGTAGAATATCCATGTGGTACAGAGTATGCTTACAGGCTGGATAAAAGACATACCAAAGGATACAGTTATGACATCACTTAATGATTTCCCCCACGGCTGAAGCCTCTACCTCTACCTCTACCCCTACCCCTGCCTCTACCCCTGCCTCTATCGTCATCTCTGTCTCTGTAATTTCCTCTGGCATTTACGTACGGTCCTACTTCATCTCTGATTCGCTCCTCGTGGATGTTTCGACTGCGGATCGCCTTTGGACCCGACGGCAATGCTGGGGACTGACTCCGGGCTTGGGCAGACGGCCCGGTTGGAAGGTTTATTGGGGTGGAGCGGGCAGATGGTCCCGGCGTTGACTCGTTCGAGTTGGAGTTGGAGTAGCTCTGCGGAGCCAGCGGTAAGTACGGCTTGCCATCAGCCGAATTGACTTGGGGCCTGGCGGGAATCGACGGAATTCGTGGTAAGTTTGGATTCGCAATGAGAGGCGTGGATTTAACCTCCTCCTCCAGGGCTGCCTGCTCCGGTTGGACGTTCTGAGGTTGGATTTGCTTAGGAAGGTGCATTGGTGGGAAGCCGGGCATGAAGGGCATTCCGTTGGAGCCCTGCGACGAAGGCGGCATGAAACCTGGGGGCATAAAGGGCATACCCATCATACCTGGCATTCCCGGCATACCCATCGGGCTAGCAAACTTTGGTAACTTCATGACTTTCTTTAGCCAGTCGGCCTGGTCAAATTCACTCCGCATCTGGTCCTGCTTCATACAATATGCGATCCATGTGTACTCGTCAAACCCGAAATTGAAGTAGTCGGAGATATCCGCACCCGGCAAGCGCCACGGCTTATTGCTGATGTCCTCCAAGTCGGTTTCCGCAATCAGCTTTCCGTTGTAGTTAGGGACTTTGTTGATGTCTAGCGATGAGAGCTGCACCGCAGTAGCGGTCGGCTGCTGCGAGGCGACGGCTGTAGACGTGGACTCCACCTCATCCTCTGCCACTGGTTTGGCTGTAGCTACTGGTTTTGGCTGGTCAGATCCAAGGATGATTTCTATGTCTGATTCTGAATCTGAGTCTGAGTCTGAACCGGAATCCGAGGTCTGAGCCGACCCATCTTTTTCTTCTGAGTTGGAGGCAAGTTCATCTTCGTCTTGGGGTGTTAGCAGCAGTTGTTCCGCTTGGGGATGGAGCTCCTCGTCTGAGCCGTAGAGAAAGGCATCTTCGTCGTCAACGTTGGACATATTATACTGGTAATGGGAAAGCAGTTGAGTCTTGTTGGTGATTGTTCTGTTATTTTTCCTGTACTGGATTTACGGCGAGAAATTTTAGAGAAGGGCACGTGACTGATAAGGGGACATGAGCGGGAGGGGGCATTGACCTAGCGTGTCAAACTTAACAAAGGTGCAGTAATAGTTTATTACCATTAATCGATTATATCATTACTTAGTGGCTAAAATTATCCATCTCGTTTATCTAAGGTGTAAAATTTGTAGTATGTCGTGCTACACAATTTTAAGAGAGAAGTCGCCATCACATGCAGGTCAGGCTAAATGTGGCTGATCAATGGGCTAACCTAAGATCTCACGTCCTCAGAGTCCTTCTTGTTTTAAAGACCACTCCAGGCACAATTCACTGGGAAACCAATATAGAACCAATATATCAAACCAACCTATGTCCTCTCCGATCACAGATGAACGGACGTCGTTGCTCTACCGTCTCAACCCGTCACTTATCATGGAAAACACCACCTCCCAGCCACGAGACGGACTCCAGGCGGAGCGAACAACGCTCACGTTCACGCGGTTTTCCGCGACGTTGGCATTCACGAGCGTCGCCATGGTGCTCAACTACCGCTTGGAGTCCTCCTCACTGCCTGAAGACGACGGGTTCCATAGATCAAAATTCACGTTGCCCGTGGGTATCTTGCTTATCACGCTCGCCCTCAGTTCGTTGGTAGTCAGTGGCTTCAACTACGTCAAGACGATTCGACACTATGCCTCGGGGAAGATTAAAACGGTGTCCAGTCTCCCGACTATCCTTCTTGTTAGTTGTATTGTGGTGGTATTGCTAGGGATCAATATAGGCCTCATCATCGACGGGTATTCATCGTAAGGGAGACTTTTCAGGTAAGTGGCCGTGCGAACCAAGGAGAAATTGACAAACACCCATAGGGTGCTGTACCAAATCAGAGATTTACAAGTTGGCGAACAAATAAGGCCGCGTTACAGTGCTATTGCAAAAATTTATCCGTATTGTATCTAAGTGGTGAAGGGGTGATCAGCCTCAGGGTTCCAACGACCTCCACGCAAGACCCCACTCTTAAATGCAGGGCACAAACGGGTTTTGGCTAGAAGGAAATAGCTCAAGGCCCGGATAGCTTTTATTTTGCAATTTCAAATAGTGCTCTCCAGGTTACAAATTTGCGCGTTATAGACTCAGTAACATGGCTCATTGCCGATTCTTAAACCTTCTAGACTCTTCTTTCTAGTGAAACAGTATTTGTCAGCGACTCGCCACCCGGCCTTGGTTGCACTTCGCCCTGTGCGCCGCACGCTCATCGCTTACATAAGCCTTACAATTTTTGCTGCATGACAAGAATTTTTTGCAAACTTTTCTCTAATAAGTTTATTTGCCGCTTTGAACATCATATTACCGTTCTTAACTATTTTTTAGAACATCTACCATGTCTAACTATACCCAACTCCAGCCTACTGAGCATGGTCCTATTGCTACCGTCTTGTGTTGCCACTGTGGTGTCCCAATGGACGGTTCCACCGGACTCGTGATGTGCTACGACTGCATCAGATTGACCGTCGATATCACCCTGGGGATCCCAAGAGAGGCCAACGTATCCTTCTGCAGAAACTGTGAACGTTACTTGCAGCCTCCGGGCCAGTGGATCAAGGCCGAGTTGGAATCCAGAGAGTTATTGGCCTTGTGTTTGAAAAGGTTGAGAGGGTTGAGCAAGGTCAGATTGATTGACGCTGCTTTTATTTGGACCGAACCTCACTCCAGACGTCTCAGAGTCAAGTTAACCGTGCAGGGTGAAGCCATGACCAACACCATCGTCCAGCAAAACTTTGAAGTTGAATACATTGTCATTGCTATGCAGTGTCCGGACTGTGCCAAGTCGTACACCACCAACACCTGGAGAGCGACAGTCCAAATCAGGCAGAAGGTGCACCATAAAAGAACGTTTTTGTATCTCGAACAGTTGATTTTGAAGCACAACGCGCACACGGACACTATTTCGATCAAGGAAAACAAGGACGGGTTGGATTTCTTCTACGCGCAGAAAAACCATGCCGCTAAGATGTTGGATTTTTTGAATGCCGTGGTACCAATTAAGAACAAGAAGTCCGAGGAATTGGTTTCTACCGACACCCAGTCCGGTAACTCACAGTACAAATTCACATACTCGGTGGAAATCGTGCCGATCTGTCGTGACGACTTGGTCGTCTTGCCAAAGAAGCTTGCGCAGTCGCTCGGAAATATCTCGCAGATCGTCTTGTGCTCCAAGATCTCCAACACAATTCAGTTCGTTGACCCTAACACCCTCGATAAGGCGGACCTCGCCCCGGGTATTTACTGGAGAAACCCGTTCCCATGTTTGGTTGACTCCACCCAGCTTGTGGAGTTTATTATCTTGGACGTTGAGCCAACCGGAAAGACCCGTGGAAAGTGGGTCTTGTGTGATGTAACGTGTGCTAGAGCCTCCGACATGGGAGTCAATGACCATACTTTCTACGTCAGTTCGCACTTGGGTAGTCTCTTGCATCCGGGTGACTCTGCCATGGGTTACTTCACCAGCAACTCTAACTTTAACTCTGACCTCTGGGACAGCGTGGAGTCCGGCAAGTTGCCAGATGTGGTCTTGGTCAAGAAATACTACCCAAGAAGAACCAAGAAGTCCAAAAACAGAGAGTGGAAGTTGAAGAGAATGGCGAAGGAGCACGCCGATATTGTCGCCAACGACGAAACTAGATCTGCGAAGCAGGACGCCGAGAGATCTGAGAGAGACTATGAGCTCTTCTTGCAGGAGTTGGAAGAGGACGCGGAGTTGAGACAGACAATCAACATGTACAAGTCGCAAAAGAACCCATACGGGAATGTGGAGGAGATGGAGGAGGACGACGAGATGGAAGAAGACGACGATGCTCCGCTTATTGATATCGATGAATTATTGGACGAGTTGGATGATATGACCCTTGAAGGTTAAGTGGGCCAGCTTAAGCTTATCCCGAGAACATAACATGATTGTTTATATTCGAGAGCTCCTCCAGGGGTTGGACAAGCTTATTGTATAATAGTTTCGTATATACCTAACATTAGATGTATACTCACTACTGAAATGAATGCAGATCCGTTAGCATCAGATATTGTTGGGCAGAATCACTTCGAGAGAAAAAAAATACTGGAATAAAGTTACTTGAAAGTAGATACCTAGTCACTTTTTGTAAGGGTGTAGACACGGCGTAGTATAGCCTAGAATTGATATGAGTAATTGGGTTAGAAAATAAAGTCGAGGGAGAATGGGTGTATGGATAAAACGGGAAAAGAATAAATGGTAGATCGTTGGATACGTAAAAAGTAAGGGCACCAAAGCTATCCGGTTAACGGAACAAACGACAAAGAATCTATTAATAAATGATAGTATATCTGACGAGTTTGATTGTAATTTAAAATGGCAAACCTCTAAGCCACAAAAAGATTTTTAATTTAATGATCATAGAATTATATTGGGAAACTAAATAGGTAAAAGCCAGTTAATGTCAAATAAAAAAAGAAAAATAGCGTTTAAATCAAGGTTTCTTTTTTGGCTTCTCCCTCAATTCTTGAAAGACCTCCGTGACACCCCTCGTCTTGGGCACACCTTGCCTTTTTTGGTTATAAGCTAAGCTGTAAACATTCAAAGTCTAAATATCTTTAACTTATAAAGAGTCTTTTACGACCTTATCTCATCTTTATTACCCGCCTATAATAATTTTCATTCCAAAATCTGACTCCTCCGTTTCCCTGTCAATTTGGATTTAGCTTTCCCTTTGGCACGTGATCTAAATATGACGTCTGTGTATGCGTCTCTATAAAGTCAAGCCCTATCCCCACATGTGGCAAGCCACATACATACCTCGTTACAAGCTCAACCAATACGTTAATGGCCGCTTACCACGCCATAACCTACTACTAAATTCATAGAATACTGCCCAGTCTATTGCCCTTTTGCACGCCATACTATGCCTATGTTACAGTTCGCGCCCATCCACTCGTTCGTGGATTCTTCCTTCTTCACGAAGCTATCGGACTTGAAGCTCAACCATCTTAGGCTTGACTCTTCAAGGGTGGATATCCTCGGCAACACCAACTTTCGATCTCTCCAACCTCAGCAACCCCCCAGCCTCAACTTAAGCTCAAGCAGCTTCGAATCCAGGGAATCGTACGAGGAGGCACTTCCACTGCGGTCCAACTTCTTCCAGCAAGGGCACGTATACAATGTGAACACCATCGAGGAGTTCAAGAGCACAGACAAGGCAAAATTCCTCAGAGATGCCGGGATGGAGATTCTAGCCCATATCCAGGATGGCTCCGCCCTCCAGAGCACGGTGACGCCCTTCTCGGTGCTTGTGTTCTCTGATTTGAAGAAGTACAAGTTCTACTACTGGCTTGCCTTTCCTGCACTCGCAAGTGAGTGGACATACGAGAAGCAAAGCGTCGATGAAGAACTTATCAATGCGATTCAACAGAGGGACGATTTGCCAGAGCTTTTCCTCTTCAATGGTTCCCAGATCCAGCCGTTACTGACGCTCCAGAGCACCCATGGCTCTGTCACACACTCTAGCTCTTCCACTTTGAGGGATATCACGGTTGGCTTTGTGGACACCAGTTCGATCGACGGGGTGCCTTCCTGGAACCTTCGAAACTACCTCTTCCTCCTAGCTACGTACGGGTACACACGGGTGAATGTCTGCATCCACCGAGCTAATCCGAAAGCTTCCTTTATGTTGCGCTTATCCCTCAACGAAGCGTCCTTTGACCCTACGAATGTCAAAGTGACTGGTTGGGAGCGAACGAGCCAAAATAAGCTTGGGCCGAAAGTGGCGGATCTTGGCTCATTGATCGACCCTATCCAGCTTGCCGACCAGGCTGTTGACTTGAACCTCAAGTTGATGAAGTGGCGAATTGCGCCAGAGCTCGATCTTGACGTGATGAAGGCCACCAAGTGCTTGTTGCTCGGTGCTGGCACGCTAGGTTCTTATGTATCGCGTGCGCTTCTCGGTTGGGGGTTCCGTGACATCACTTTGGTGGATAATGGAAAAGTATCGTTTTCTAATCCCGTCAGACAGCCATTGTTCGAGTTTGCTGACTGTGTGGATGGAGGTAAGCCTAAGGCAGAGGCTGCTGCTGCTGCGTTGAAGCGAATCTTTCCACTAGCCAACGCTCAGGGGTATGAGTTGGAGGTACCAATGGTGGGTCATCCGCTCACGAACGAAGCCACCCAAGAACGTGACTACAAGACATTAGTGGACTTGATTGAGGCGCATGATGTGATTTTTTTGTTGATGGACTCGAGAGAAACCCGCTGGTTGCCCACCATCATCGGTAATGTCAAGCAGAAAATTGTCATCAACGCGGCTCTCGGGTTTGATAGCTACCTTGTGATGCGTCATGGCAGCTTCAGAAACGAGGAGACAGAGAGATTGGGATGCTACTTCTGTAATGACGTGGTAGCGCCAAACGACAGTCTCACGGACCGAACGTTGGACCAAATGTGCACCGTCACTAGGCCTGGCGTGGCAATGATTGCCTCAGCTCTCGCAGTGGAAGTCTTGGTTTCGCTTCTTCAACATAAAGACAGACAGTATACCACCAACGGCCAGACGATTCTTGGCGCCGTTCCCCACCAGATCAGGGGATTTTTGCACAGCTTTGAGAACATTAAGTTGACGACCGCCAATTATCCACACTGCTCAGCCTGTTCGGTACCTATCTTACAGAAATACGAGCAAGAGGGCTGGGACTTTGTCAAGACGTGTCTCAACAACTATAAGTATGTGGAAGACGTTAGTGGGTTGACGGAGGTTCAGCGGCAGGCTGAAGCCGCGGTTTTGGCCATGGAGGAGCTCAATCTCAGCGATGACGATGATTCTGAGTGGCGTTAGTTGGACTGTTGGTTTTATTCGAATTGAGAGTCTTGATGGAGAGTATTTTATATCGAACTTTAATTATGATTAAGAAATTCACCAACGTACGTGTGCCACATAACGTGCCAGAAAAGTGAGTTTATAAAGTTTATACCACTTGCAGTAATTTTATATGTATCATTGAACTGCTATCTTTCGTTATATAAATGTATCGAGTCCGTCTGACATCTATGCAAGGCTATTAACAAATTATTGTTGCAAATGGGACTTGTCGTGGTTGCGGTAACAGAAAAGTCTTCATCAATACTAGCCCTAAAAGGTAAAATTACTTCCCCGTATTTTGTTTTTTCATGGTTGTTTAATAAATTCGGAACATTGATTCTATATCCACGAGAATTTCATCTAAATCAGATCCTCGGCAGAGCTCGCTCAGTATCACCTGCTTACATAAGCAAAATTCACGTGATGCTATCCAAATCATGGCTACATAACAAACCATCGACGCATAAACACCATTGCATTGAAGCTAATCACCAAAATGACATCCAGTGACAAAAGAAGAGTATCAAACGAGGATGAGGGCGACCTGAGACGCAAGAAGCGGGTCAAGATTGAAGACGATCCGGACGAAGAGTCTGACCACACAGCCGTTTCGGAACTAAAAGAAGAAGATAGTGACGAATCCGAGTCAGACGAAGAAGAAGAAGAAGAAGAAGAAGAAGAAGCCAATGAAACAGATGAAGTGGAGGAAAACAAACTCACAACAAAGTTTGAGTTTGATGGTATTGAATACTCATTCAAGGAACGGCCTTCAGTGCTTGAGGAGAAGGAGGGCCGCATCGAGTTTCGAGTGGTGAACAATGACAGTTCCAGAGAAAGCATGATTGTACTCACGGGACTCAAAAACATCTTCCAGAAGCAGTTACCAAACATGCCGAAGGAGTACATCGCGCGCTTGGTGTATGACCGGAGTCACTTGTCGATTGCGGTGGTACGAAAGCCGCTCACGGTCGTGGGAGGTATCACGTACAAACCGTTCAACAACCGGAAATTTGCGGAGATTGTGTTCTGTGCGATCAGCTCGACGGAGCAGGTTCGAGGCTATGGTGCGCACATGATGAACCATTTGAAGGACTACGTGCGCGCCACATCGGAAATGCGGCACTTTTTGACGTATGCCGATAACTACGCCATCGGATACTTCAAGAAACAAGGGTTCACTAAAGAAATCACTCTTGAGAAATCTATCTGGATGGGTTACATTAAGGATTATGAGGGCGGGACATTGATGCAATGCTCGATGCTCCCGCGCATCCGGTACCTCGACAGCGCAAAGATTCTCTTGCTCCAAAAGGCGGCTATCCAGCGCAAAATCCGCTCCATTTCCAAGTCCCATATTGTACGAGACGGTTTGAATTGTTTTAAAGAGAGTAACTTCAAGCCCATTGACCCGATGACGATTCCCGGGTTGAAGGAGGCAGGCTGGACGCCAGAGATGGATGCTTTAGCCCAGAGACCTAAGAAGGGACCACACTACGCATTTATGGCCAACTTGTTGACCGAAGTACAGAACCACCCATCTGCCTGGCCGTTTATCCAGCCTGTAAACAGGGTCGAGGTGGCGGATTACTACGAGGTGATCAAGGAGCCGATGGACTTGAGCACCATGGAGACCAAGTTGGAGAACGATCACTACGAAACGTTGGAGGAGTTTATCTACGACGCCAGGCTCGTGTTCAACAACTGCCGGTCGTACAATAACGAGACTACCACGTACTTCAAGCACGCATCGAAATTAGAGAAGTTCTTCAGCAACAAGATCAAAGAGGTGCCCGAGTATTCTCATATGATTGAATAGGTAGGTATTTTATGAAAGTTTTATGGACCATATGTAAGTGTTTACCGTGATCGCTTTGGCAGCTAGCGGAGTGCAAAACTGTGTAAGGCGAGAGGGAAGCGGGGCGCCCTAATTCTCATTAGCACTTTTCTGGTTCGTAAAATAGCTCAGATATTGCGAGGGGTATCGAAAAGTTGTTTAAGGACCAGTGAAATAGTCACCACAATTGCGATTTAGGTATCCAACTATGAATGTATACCGATGTAAGGGGTATGGCAGCACTGGCTTAGCATAGAGGCTTCTGCCTATCATTAATGACTCAAGAAACATAAATTGGAGTGACAATAGTATCGCCTGTACAATACATATTAGGGCCACCATTTTATCAGGTCAACTAATCCGTACAGATGATGTATATACGGGTAATTTGCCATTCATAGTGACTCTAGGCCAAAGTCAAGATCTAAGCCCAGGTAAAGGATATCTGGTATATGAAGCACTCTTTGAATCGACACATGTTCTCTCTTCTTTTCATTTTCTATGTTGCATAATTTTCTTAAAGTACATATCTAATCCAAGGCGTGAGCCTCGTCGGTCTCCTGCTCCTTCAATTGAGCAATAATTTCGGCCGTCTTGGCATCATCGTAGATCTTGAACCCACCTTCCTTGGTGACGGAGGCTAATTGCGCGTTATTGGAGTCCAACTTTTCCTCCATAACCTGCTTCAATACCTTCAAGGTCAACAATTCCGCTTCCTTCAAAGTCAAAGACGAATGGTACTCGTTCTGCAACTCAGCCTGTGCACCCTCAGAGCCGGAGCCGATGGCCTTGGCATCATACCTATAGAAGGTTCCCGACGGCTCTGCATGGTACAACTGTGGGCCGTGATCTTCATCGTACCCGGCAATCAACAAGGCGACACCGAATGGTCTTGACATCAATCTCTTTTCGCCACCGGCACCTTCCCCGAATCTTAACGCCAAGTCACACACGGACTGGGTCAAGGATTCAACACCGATAGACTCGTCGTAGTACAAGTTGTGGTTAAGCGAGGAGACACGCGCGTGGTCAATCATGCTTCTGGCGTCGGCGGTCAACCCACTCATAGCACAGCCAATGTGCTGGTCAATTTCCACAATCTTTTCGATGGAGGTGGATTCCAAAAGCGACGATGTAACTCTCTTTTCAACACCCAATATGACACCCTCGGAAGTGGCGATGCCGATGGCTGTGGACCCCAATTTGATGGCCTCTAAGGAGTATTCGACCTGGAACAATCTCCCCTCAGGAGAGAAGGTGCTGACACCACGATCATATTCACTTCTGGTTAAGAACATTGAGACTGTATGTGTGTTTATATCAAAGCAGTTGATAATTGGGCTGGTAGATAGACTCTTGGTCCTATTGAGTGGTGTCTTGTGTCTTGCTGCTCCTTTGAGGCTGCAACTTCGCAGGTGGCGATTTGAACGCGAGTGCGATTACCAGTTAATTGCGATGTACACGACTACATTTGACCTCGCTGTATCATTCAGAGGGGTCTGGTAGCATCGTGCATTACAATTGAATTAGCGTTTATTCCCTAAGGAATCAGAATATATTAAGAGGGTAAAGAAAGAGGGAAGAAATAAAGCCGGGCAGGGCACCAGGATGAGTTTTGGCACATGGCAGTTAGCCATGCTTTAATTGTTGAGAAGAGACTCCGTTAATTACAATTCAAAGGAAACCTTGACATTGACGTCTCTGGCCTTTTGAACGATTTCAGACAATTGGACAACCTTTTCCGCGGCTGGGTCCAAATCTTCAAAAGCAAACAACTTCAAACCGGAGTTCTTGATCATTTCCTGGGCCTTCTCCAAGTTTGTACCTTGCAATCTGACAACCACTGGGATATCCAACTTTAAGTTGATGGCAGCGGCAATCAAACCCTCGGCGACGTAGTCACATCTGACAATACCACCGAAAATGTTGACAAAGATGGAGGTGACCTTCTTTTCAGACAAAATCAACTTGAAGGCAGACTCGATGGTCTCTGGGGTAGCACCACCACCACAGTCCAAGAAGTTAGCTGGGGTACCACCGTACAAGTTGATGATATCCAAGGTGGCCATGGCCAAACCGGCACCGTTGACCAAGCAACCAATATTACCGTCTAACTTGATGAAGTTCAAGCCGGACTTGGCCGCCAAGACTTCCTCTGGGTCTTCCTGAGTGAAATCCCTCCAGGAGTAAACCTCGGTCTGACGGAACTCAGCGTTGTCATCGAACCCCAACTTGGCGTCCATGGCAAAGACCTTATTGTCAACGGTTTCAGACAATGGGTTGATTTCAATCTGGGTGGCGTCCCTTTCGACGAAGCATTGGTACAACTTCTGGATGGTTTCAGCGGCTTCTGGTTGGGCCTTTTGGGAGAAGCCCAACACGGCGGCGACCTCGGCAGACAATTCTGGAGTAACCCCCTTCTTCATGTCGACGTAGAAGGTCTTAATGGCAGATGGGTCTTCGTGGGCAACACCCTCGATGTCCATACCACCCTGGGCGGAGGCAACGATCATTGGCTGTTGAGTGGCTCTGTCCAACAAGATAGCCAAGTAGGCTTCTCTTCTGGCGAACAATCTCTCTACAATGTAGACAGCGGTGACGTCCTTACCGGCAGGACCAGTTTGCTTGGTGTATAACTTTTGGTGCAACATCTTGGCGGCTAAGTCCTTGACCTCCTCAGGGGAGGTGACGATTCTGACACCGCCCTTCAACCCAGAGTCGAAGTGACCCTTACCTCTACCACCGGTCAAGGCCTGGGCCTTGATGACCATGTCTTCGGAGTTCAACTTCTGGGCAATCTTGTAGGCGCCTTCTGGGGTGTCGGCAGCTTCACCCCTTGGAATACCGATACCGTAGGATTTCAAGAGGGCGGCAGAACGGTATTCGTGCAAGGATAAGTTTCTCTTCTGAGAGGCGGCCTGAAAAGTTAGTATTCCACTTGTGAGTAGCGGGAGACAATTGGACGGCAGGCTGACAGCCAGTTTTCATAAAAGTGTCAGGTTACATACCTTAGCGGCGCGAACCATAGGGCGAGTGATGGACCTGGAAAACATTGTGTTTGGTTACTAGATTGAGCTCGTAGGGGAAAAAAAGAGAGAAAAAAGAGTAAAAGAAAAGGTTTAGATATATTCTTAAATCGCCATTGACCCCATTCGAGCCGATAGGTGTCGGGCTGGCGCCTAAGCACGTAGCGCACCCGTCGTGTTTTTTTCCCGGCTCAGACGCACGGGTGTCCGTCCCCTCACTTTGATCTGGGTTTTGTTAGCGAATTCGGAGGTCTGACAACCGACCGCGAATGGAAACACCCGGCTTTTGTTTTTCGAAGTCTGCACGGCGCGAGGAGGCCCCCTCCTCAGATTGGAATTATCCTGCATATATCATAGGAAGAACAGCGAACCGAGATACCCCCGGGGTTTATGTTACGTGGAAATGGCCTCCACATGGAGGTTTGTCTACACTGTTTGAGGAACAAAGCGGTTGAATACCCGTTTTTAATTATACTCGAGACTTAGGGATCTGGCGGATCTTTCTATTACTTGTAATAATTGGTTTATATCTTTTCGTTTCCCCCGTCATTTCGCGTGAATCTTTACTAGGCTGTAGATATATCCGATCTGGGCGGAGGCATATAGGGTGCCGCGTTTTCCCTCTTCGCGGTTCTCGGAAAAACATGTGCGGGTGGCCGATATATCAGAGCGAGCGTGAGACGCTGAACGTGTAAAAACGGCAATAACATTCGCAGAATCCTACATAAGCGTCTATCCTTTAGTACTTACATTTAGAGATATGAGAGAAGCCTCGCTGGTACGCGACGGATAGCATAGTCGGCCTTTGGGGTGGAAGGTGGCATTAATATAAACCGTGAGAAGGGAAGCCGGGAATCTTCCCCCGCACTTGGTAGAGATGGAGGACTCGTGTATAGGGGAATATCGGAGGTGAACGTGCGATGTAAATGGCCGGTTTTTGCTTGTGACAAAATTCCGAGCCTCGGCTCCTCCGACCCTTGGACATGCCAGGGCTCTTAATTCCCCGGGAAGACTACGGGAAAAATGTAGCTGACATCTTTCAAACGGTGCGATCCGGAATATCCTGATAGTAGTGGGGGTCTGCCATAGGTCAGACAGTTATTCTTTTTTTTTCCGATAAGGAGAAATTTGGGATCAGAGTCCCCCACTTAGGATACCCCACAAAACAATTTTTTTCCGATTCCATTAAGCTCTATTTGCACACGTTATACGTCTATAGAGCTTGATAACGTAATGCAATAAAGTATTCCAATATGCCTGGCCTGAATTAGCCTTCAGGACTTCAGACCAAGTTGACTCAGCTGCACATATTTTATGATAAGGCTCAGAGGGCCAAACATGTATATATGATGTATACATATAGTAGCAAGTGGGTCAATATATATTTTCAAGGCCTAAGATTGAACCGTTGTATCCCAAAACTGAGTCGTGTCTTATCCAACCCTCATTATTAAGGCCTCTTTTATCACTGGAACTTTTCATTAATAGGGCTTCTAAATTCAAAGCGAGATTCACCGCCCATCACCTGGTGCTACATCCGAGAATTTTCCAAGCTAGCTCCTTGGCAAAGTATTATCCTTTCACTTCCAGGTGTTTTGTGAACACCTGGAAGTGATAATAGAAAGGGGCTTATCGCTCACCGCTTTCTCATCCCACTGTCTACTGCATGAGGTGTACGGTGGATCGCGACCTGCAGTTGGTTGCTCATGCAAGCCATACGTAAAGATCTGCAAGACACTCGGCAGATAGTACTTCTGCCAAATCTTATATTATTCCTGGTGATAGGTGAAACTCGTAAATCTTCTGTTTCATGTTCGATGACGAAGCTCTGATTGTTCCAGGGTAAGAGACTTGTTTGCTGAGACCATTCGTTCAGACGTTAGCGAGTTGATTTTAGTCAGCAAGACTCGGCCAAAAAGTAGGTGACATGCATATTTTTCTCATCTTCCCCAATATCCATAACGTCCTCCGGAGCTGTTGCTTCAGCTCCTGCCAGCATTTTAACCCAGCATATACCCAGGAATACTGAGACCAAAAATGCCATCAAATTAAGCGTTATCCCTTCCGTATCTTTTGGTCTAATACGACCAGCACCGAGATAACGAGAGACATTCCAGAATCCGATAATAACACTAATTTCCTCTAACCTAAGTAACGCATTAAACCATATCCCTTTGTATAGTACAACTGACGGCGATTTTGGGACTGGGCTCTACAGACTGCAGATCTACGGATCGGCAGCTTAATGCACTCTTCGATGTTCCAATCCCTGACACAGGTGTGACTAAAACCCCAGAACCCCTCTCTAACTGTTGACATTTTACGACATGGGTCACATTCTTAATTTGAAACGTGCCAGGCTAACCACATGACGTCGGTCGATATTGGCACGAGAAGCCATCTATACCCATGCGCAGATAGATCAGCCCTCCCTGCTTGCATGGCGAGCAATCTCATTCTATGTTACACAGAGATAATCTCACGCGGCGTCATTCGCTTGTCATAGAGGAATCGCACACTGCAGATCTCCACCTATGTGGCGATTACACTTCTTCCAGCATCACATGTAACTGTGGAAGACTGAGCCTTCGAATATCTTGTCGAGGTACCTCGTTGCATGGGAACTGACGTTTGCTGCAACTAAACCGATATATTGATGGTCACTTCAGGAACCCACATTACCATACATGAATGTGTATGTGTGGGCTGATGTTGTTTGGGTATGCCAATCAATAGAGCTGCGGCCGTGTAAATGCGGTCGGAGATGATGAAACACTAGACCTAAATCCATATCCGTAAAATATACGGGGAATGGCTTGGAATAAGTCCTCGACCGCTCCTCGTATATCAAATAAAGCGGCTATATGAAAGGATCTCACAAAAAGAATGAAAAATCAAGATGAAAAATACCAAGGTATGGCACAGTTACACCGGACTCAGAAGAGTATGGACCTAACCTATAGCTATTTTTCTCGGGTGAATCCCCTTGTACTTTGGATATGCGTTTTATGAACATCCAGCAATCATCAATCCACTCTTTCACGGAGCAAAAAGAAGCATATAATCAGTACTCCTGGTACATAGGAACGTTCAAACAAAGGCTTCGTTCGGATACACCAGGCAATTACACAAGCGGTACTTCGCACAGACAAATGCTGGGCCGTATGATAGGAAAGCATATATGGCTATACTGCTGAAAATGTTGGCTTATGCACAGAGGAAGGTAGTTTGGTTGGGTACATGCTGGAATGTCAGATGCACGTAGCCTGGGTGCCGTTGTCGTTGTGTTGCTTAGCGTAGATTAAACATGTATATGTATATAGCCCAGCCAATATAAAGTATAAGCTAAGTTCTAATTCCCACCAATCAATTGGACTATAACTTGTTTCACCAAAATTTTGCCTGGTGCCGCCTCATGTCTAATATCCAAAAAGATGTTTCTCGCTAGCCTGAACCAAGCTTAGACACAGTACCCCGTGTCTCAAACAAATGTACATGCAGGAGAGAAAAAATATTTTTATGCGACCCAAAAGCGTCGTATGTGTCTACCCAGACCAGTATCGTGTAAGATAATACACGATAATGTCTGATAATGTTCATTCATCGAAAGCCGCTAATGTCAGGGCTATAAAGAAGAAGCAAGAGCTCCAAGCGAAATTCCAGCTTGCAGTTGCGCACACAAACACCAAGATTCTCTCTTGGATGAACCTTGGCGAAGCCACCGAGCATAATGAACCGGAAGCAACCCCAGGTCTCATGTCTTTCCTCGATTTACCAGTGATCAATTCCGGATCTGGTCTAGACCTTTCCTCGGTAGTTGCCGCCAACAGCAGAATCACCACTATCGGCGATTTCATGAACAGCAACAAGAAGCTCGATGGGTTGAAGAAGAATACCAGAAACGAGCCCGGCAGCAACGTCTCCAGAAACAGCTCCAAAGCTTTGCAGGCCCTATCGAATAAAGTGCGTAACGACCAGAGAAAGAAGATCCAGCAGAATGGCGGAGTCGGGAAACCTGATCTCCAGCAGCAGCAAAGAGGCAAGAGAGACACCATTGCTAATGCTATAAAGGATGCCAAACAAAAGCAGAAACCCCTCTCCGGTGTTCTGGAAAAGAAGCCTCAGGATGACTATTCAGATGATGAGGATGAGTTGCGCAATGCTCGATCTCAAAGATCGGTTAAGAAGGGTTCCAACTTGATGTTTGAATCCAAGATTAAAAAGAGACCATTTTAAAGATCTATAGAGGCATTTACCGTCGGACAGGGAATTTTAAGATACACTGCTTAAATTTAGTGGTACCATGGCTAACACACCCTGAGTATGAAAAGAGACCAGTTTCTGCCGGTAGTGAGCCATAAAGCTTCTGGGGTTCGGATTACAGCCATCTCGTATCATTCATCTTCCATCTCATTTGGGTTGGTTCTAAGGTTACAACGCCTTCTACACACTGGCGTATATGATGAATAAGTTATTGTCTTGACTGGATATAAAAAGAAGTCACACGTGGAAAAACGGGGTGTAACCCGGTTCTTCAATACATATCACTCCCTTAGACGCCGAATATATAATCGTAGTATTCAATCACTGGGAAGGAATAAATTATGCTCTTATATGATAGATATTATAAAATATAAACTTACAAATGACTGCAGACTGAGGAATGTAAATACGAATCCAAAAGCCTCATACATTCTAGTGCTCGCAACATCCACTATTTTTCCGGTACAGGACTCTGTTAGGGTATATATTTGCACATTCTGGTCAAAGAAAAAGTCGTATTATATATATATATATATATATAATAAATGAACTACAAGGTCATAACGGATCAAAATAATCAGATAATTCATATTTCCCTATACATCTTTCAGTTGTATCACCACTGGTGCTGACATCAACGAAGTGACAGACATTTTTTCTGCTTCTTCATCTCCACTAGCTAGCTTCGGGTTCAAAAGCTTTGCCGGACGCCCCTCTTCTCCATCTGAAAGCGATCGTTTTCGCCCTACCGGTTCAGGCGAGTCACACAGCTCGCCTGAAAGGGTGGCAACAGAATTTTCGCTTCCATTTCCAGAGGAGTTCAACAAGGTTGAGATTGAACTTTTGTTGTCATAACTAGGCGGATGCGCGTTGAGAGATGCGATAGATGAAATTGATGACTTCGAGAAGATGGAGGAATTCGCCGTCGTGCTTACGCTGGACCCTGAAAGCGAGGGCGGTGCCGCATGCAAGGCAATTATCGACGGTCTGAACTGCGAACGGAGCTCCTCAATATGCGGCAACGATGTTCGCAGATCGCTGGGTACCGCAAGCCGTTTCTCAATAGCTGTAGGCAACGATGTTGGCTGCCGCACCAAAGCAGGTTGCCCTACTGGTATTTCAGCGGCATCTGGTCTTTCCGTTGGTGGCTGGAGCTGCGAGAACGACTTTTGAATCAACGAAAGTGCAGAAGTACTTTTCTGCAACACATTCTTTGGGGCATATTCGACAGGCGAAGGTGCCAACGGATCGAGTAGCACAGATGGGTATCTGCGTCTCGAGTTACCGAAAAACAGCACCTCTGCTGGGTTTCCCGCTGAAGGCGATGGCGTTCTGTTATAAGGGGCGGGTGGTTGCGAGTAATGTGGAAGGTGGGACTTCTGGGGGTTTTGGTGAGAGGCTTGAGGAGCGGGATAGGGTTGGTGAGGAGCTGGGTGGTGGGCAGGGTGGGGTTGGAGCTGTGAGTATGGCTGCAGATATGCCGACGAGTACGGTTGCGGATACTGCGGTGGATACTGTGAGTACTGGAAGTACGACTGGGACGGTGCTGAGAGCGAGCGGAACTGCGGGTGCGGGCGCTCATTGTCGTACGCGGAATACACGTGGTGTTCAGGATGGTGTACAGGAAACTCCAGGGTCGAGACGAAGTAGCCGGGAGCCTGGGCCTGCTGGAGCGGAGGTGCCCCCGGATAGTATCCCTGCGGATACACGTAGTACTGCGGTACATACTCTTGCGGATGCTCGCGGGTATATGCGAAACCCAGCCGAGCATATTTGGAGTCCTTGTCGAGGTCGTACGCGTTGTTATTGGTGGACGTGCGACGTTTGATATACTTCAACGACTCCTCATCGCCTTTCTTAAACCTTCCCGACGAGTGTTTGAACTCCCAGACCGGCTGGTCTGGCCGTGGCGCGTTGGAGCTGGGGTCGTAGTTGTCGTTGGACGGAGTTTGTGAGTCGCTGACCTTGTGGAAACCGTACATGTGGAGCTGTCTGACGAAGGAGGAGATGTTTCCGTGTTTGAAGTAGTTTGTGAGGCAGTTGGAGAACTCACCACCGGGTAATAGTGCAAACGTGCCCTCAGTGTCGCCTCGTGTCCACCAGATGACGCTGGCGAGGGACGGCTCTGAGAGCATCAGGAAGAGCTTCTCGACGAAGGCGCTCTTCTTTGAAGGATTCTTGTCCTTCAGAGCGTAACTAGACATGGACGTTGCGTGTTACTGGAAACACAGATGATTTTGAAGAGATGGATTAATAGACTAGCCACTTTGTCAAAAAGACGTGGAAGTCGAAAGAAGGTGGTTTTAGACGCAAAGTTGGTGACGTGAGTTGCTCAGAGCGTAATTGCACCAGGAACGGAACAGGAACAAGACTAGAAAACCTTGATGAATGAGTCGCACGTAAAAAATCAAACTTTAGCCGGTTACGCAGAAAGCAAGACTGCGCACGGGAGGAAAACTTCGGTCTGAGGCAACAGTAAGGTTGCAACACTATAGAGTTGGCTTGCAAAGGAAGAGCAATAATATGAAAAGTAGAAAACTTTTCGTTTGGGGCCAGAGAGATTAACGAGCTTAGTTAGGATGCGCGAAGGATCAAAGAATACAGTCTTATGAAACCATGAAACAGATGTTTGGATGAATGGATGGATATAAGTAAAAAATTGGTTTTCTCACAGCGTTTCTATGTGACCAGGTAAGTGCAGCTGGAACAAATATAACTAATTATTGTACGTCCCCTCGTCCTGCTACCTTCATGTACACGCATGTAGCTGTGCATGTGCAGCACCTCAGATGTGAGCGGGATTCCCAATGCACGCTGGGTGCAGACTATTTAATCCCTGTCTGGATTTTCTACCTCCAGGATGAACGAAGAGATATGAGCGATCCTCAAACGCCGGGACTTTTATAAGACTATGGATTGTCCCGACTCCAGAGTAAGGTATAGAAAAAGGCCGCAGTGGGAAACATCGAGGGCGCTGCTCTTAAAACTTTCCTATTGTCGGTAATGCTGGTCATTCGAGAAGCCTATGTTGATAATTCTCTGGCAGCAATGAATGTGGTGTCTCACTTACAGTAATAGAACGCATGTACAGTGTAGGCCAAATGTTTCGGAGTCAGACATGGTAATAGCTAGGTGTGGATATTCAGTTTTGCTATGGTACCCGATTACTCAGGCATTGACTCACCCCACTATAAGACTATCATGTGTCAGGTATCGGAGTGGTCTATCACCGTAGCATCGGACGAAATTCAATCGATGATAAAGTGGGTAAGCCTACCGTTCATATATACATATATATATATTCTTTTCTCCTCTCTGCTCGCTACTTTAGTATATCCATTCTGGAGAACTCTTTATGCCCTCGTTATCTGATTTCCTGGTGCTTGCTTCTCGGTAAATGAGATCGACATGGGGGGGTTGTTCTTCTGCAAGTAAAATGGCAGCATGTTTAATCTAGAAATAAAAAAAAATCTCTATCAAACATACGCGCCTTGGCCGTTATCTATGAGTGTATGCTATAGACTGGAGCGATGAATAATACCCGAGATAAATCGTTATCCATGAGGTTTTCAATGATGTATCCTTTAACACGTGTGTTCCCCTTCGTTCTGCAGTATTTTTGCTGAGCCAGCTCCATGTATCGACTTAAATTTTCCTTAAGAGAATACCAAATATCGGTGATATTTTTTAGGCATGCATGTAGAAAATTCCGTGCTTCTCGATTTGATAGCCGTTCCCACAACGTGCCAATAAAGAGCCAAGTTAATTGTTGCAAAATAATAGAGTTATGCAGTGCATTTAAAATGTTATTGTCTCTTTCTTCTATAATGTATGTATCTTAGTATACCGAACCCAGGAACAAAGCGGTGTTTTTTGGCTCTATTCTCAGCACGACGCATATCAGGTATATAAGCACTTTCAACCCTGGTCGGTTGCTTGTCTTCGTACACCCGCTTATGCTCCTGATATCCCCATCAATGCTGCCTAAAGGAAGCATGGACCGGCACAAACACTCATCGTGACAAAGGCTCAAGACGGAAGTTCAGGCCAAATAGGCTTGTAAGCACTGTGTATATCCACCAAATATCCGTCGAATGCAATATGTGCTAGCCATATTTGCTAAAATCCGTAAAGTGAAGTGCAGACAGAAAAACCCTAATAGCTTCAAATGTTTCGAGATCTTTGGAACTAATAGATTAGGATTAGATATACTTTAACATTTCAGCTGGTATGTTCTATGGGCTTTATGTCTAGGGCGGACGTTCCCTGTTTTAGGCATATTCCTGTTTCTCTCGCTTTGCCTTTTCAGGGATACATCTGCACCCGAACCAAAGAATCTTCTACGGCAAGTAGTCACAGAACATACTTTTGCAGTGACTTCACCTCAGAGTGAAATCACTAGTACTGACCACTATTGTGCAATGTAATGCGTGTCTGTACGAGGATACGGTTTACAGTCATCGACTCCTTGGTCTAGTGCTCCACGGCATGGGGTTTAGGTGTACGTGTATATGTGAGCATTGAGGAACCCTTGCTAGAGCTCGCAGGAAGTCCGACTGGTCCACATGCAACTGTAAGAAACTGCTACATTCTAGTCTCCGGTTCGTCTTAGCCGTGCATTAGTAAGAGAATAGCCTGTGGAGTCGCCCGATAAAGCCTAGATGTAGTCGAGGAAGAATAATGCTAGGACTCCAGGCGAGCCCATACTATCAAATCGGCCGTAGAAAAACTCTGGGGCGATGGGGCTGGGAACAGATATTAGTCATGCGGCCGCTAACTCCCGCTGAGCGGATTGCCAAGGAGCCCTGTCAATGGGGGGTGGATATGTGCATATATATAAGGCGTCAACAGTCCCCCTACGTCAACGACAGTGCAGGTACATTTTATCAAGGTAGGTGGGCTTTAACTCAATGTTAGAAATTATAAGGGCTAGAGGAGATTAGCGTCAGAAGTGGATCGTGGAAACAAAAGTACCCCCCAGCTTGTTAGACTCACATTTACTAAAAGCCTAAACTGTATCACATTAGGCTGGAACTAAGAGCCTGGGACTACAGGCCTGTATGTAAAATATGTTGCAATTCTCTGCTTTGTGCAAAAGACTGGTTGCAAATACATGCAGGTATTACTCGGTACAATGTTACGAAAATATCGAAAGCACCGACAACCGGCATCAGCGGGCTCAAGTTGCATCATGGAGTGGCGCGCCAAAGACTCTCGCGCATATACGCATGCATCTTAGCATCTATTTAAGCCACTAGCTCCCCCTAGTATACATATATCATCGGTGGTATACGTACTTTGTGCTCTACCAGAAGTAATACGCCGGAAACCATGTGATGGCGTAGATATTCGTACAGTATGTATGTCGGATGTTTTACGTTGAGCAAATGCACAGGTAAGTGCTACATGTACGTGCAGCCTAGGCTTCAACAAGGGCCAGGGTCTTTAGCCATAGGGAAAAACTACGAGTGTCAACTGCCCTTAAGCAGTGTATTCATGCTTGCTTTTCCCTTAGATTTTCGTACAACAACATCACGTGGAACTGATATTTATCTCTATATGGATAATTTTCAGCACGTGATATAGCTTGGAATTTACGAAGATATCGTATAGGAGTCTATACAACATGACACTAAAGGTTGACATTCCAGTTGCACTAAAAAGTTAAGTTTGAAAAGGAGTGCCGGGAAGCTGGACCGCTGGAGTGTACGGGCGCAAGACTAGTATTACTTAGAGTGAACTGGCGATTGATCGACGATATGTTATTATATATCACATCGTGCGTACTCTCGTAAGGTAGCTTAGATTCCAGCTAGCTGTTCAATTGATCTGATTGCAGGGTTGAGCACATCATCTTCAGTTTACGGGTATATTCGAATATATGTATAAATATTAGCGGTTACATTTCTCTGACCGTGGTACTATCATTAGACCTATTTTAACACCAGTCTAGACTAGTCATATACAAACCTACCTAGACTAAAAAAAGGGGCGTTGCAAGGTGGATGTAGAGTTAGCGTTAACAGAATCCATTTATATGTATGCTCTTGCTTGCCTTTCCACGTTGGAAAATTGTATGCTCCAAGCTAAACGATAGTGACCGTAAATATTTCTCTCTGAGAGAATCAAAATCCGGATTGGGAATTCCACCCAGGTGTTTAAGCTAATGCACAGATGAGTGACATGCTGGCACCGAGCATAATGCCGAAAAAGTGACGGGAACCTTTTTTTTCATACCCCACTAAATAATAAATAGCACAAACAGTAGCAGAGCATACAATAGCACCTGTTCCAGGATTTCCAGAAGGATACAGCATTGAAGTACTGGAATGTCTTTCTAGAAATGACTGAATTAAGCATGACCAAAAACACGAATGCACATAAGAAGTTATGGGCCACAATCTTTCTTATATGGACGGCAGCTTTCACGGGCGTCACACTCGTCTATAATAGACAACATTTGAGCCAATGGCAAAACGCTTTTGAGCCCCAGTCCTTGGAAACTGAATCTGCCAACAGAGAAACCCACGAACGGTCCTACTCAGTGGATGAATTCACCAGGGGGGTAGACATCCTTCCAATCCATTCGCACAACGACTACTGGCGCAAGGTTCCATTCTGGGACGCATACAAGATAGGTGTCAAGAGTGTAGAGGCTGATATCTGGTATTATGCTGACGGGAAGGACCTTCCAAGAAAATTATCCGAAGACAAGAACTTTGATATGAACGAAATCTACGTGGGCCATACTTCTAAATTTTTGAACGCATCCAAAACGTTGAACAGCCTCTACCTCGATCACATCTGGGGCCTCTTGGAGAATTCTAATTCCTATGACTGGAGTAACTCCAGTATCAAGAATGGAGTGTTCTACGACGATCCTCACGAAACATTGTTTCTCTTTTTAGATGTCAAAAGGGCTGCTGCCGGAACGTTTGAGAGATTACCAGAGTACTTGGACCGCTTTATCAAGAAAGGCTACTTGAGCTATTACAATTTGGAGAAAAATATCGGTTACAGTGGCCCATTGACGCTCATCCTTACTGGTGGCATACCTGAAATATCGTACATCGACAAGAACGTGGAGAAGCTTTACACGTTTTTGGATGCTCCGTTGAACTCGTTTATGCTTGTTAACAACAATGCCAATACCACATATGATTCTGACTTGGAAAAGTATCAGGTATATTCTAAGGTTGCATCTGGTGCATTGGAAGGAATTATCTCGGATAACCCGACAGTTTTCAACAACACAAAAATCTTGGATACCGGGGACTTTACCGAAGTGGAAATGAAATACTTGAAGGCTGGTTTCAAGCCGTTCACGGAAAATGCGAAGGCCCAGTTGTTTTACTCGCGTATCTGGGAGTTACCTGCATGGCCACGCTACAAGAGGGATAAGATCTGGAGGAGCTTAATTGAAGCGGGTGTTGGGTTGCTCAACGTGGATGATCTTGCGTCTGCTAGTATGTTCTAGAAACTTACTATTAGCCTGTGTAGTATTACATGAAATTTAACAAAGACTAGAAGGCAACGCTGACGCCGGCATCCGATGTCACGTTATCCTTCATGACCTGGCTACCCACTGCCACATCCATGATAGCTAAGCCGACCATCTTACAAATAACCAACTTCAGCAGGGAAAAGTTGTGGTCAGATTCACCCCACAATTCACTAACTTCAACGAGCTTAGTTCCATCAATACTATTGGAGATGAACTCACCCGCCTCGTGGAGCGTGTGCTCTTTGGAGTCGACAATGAACGAATGTTCCTGTGTGTAGCACTCAACCAATTCCGAGTCAATCTCCATCATGTGCGGTTTATAGCTTCCGATTAGGCCGATGAATTTGGAGCCTTCATAAGACAACTTTCTGCTAGCATAGAGCCACTCACCCCTGATAACAGGGACCGTGGAGGGAGTGCAGCCGAAGATGACGCTACACTCGGCCACAGCCTGTCCCACTTCGGCGTCTTGAGAGACAGTAGATAATGGGACAAAGCGGATTCCCCCAAATGCGCTGCTAAACTTCTCCGTGATGAATCTTTCCGCGTTGTAGACGGTACGGTTGGCCACATACACCGTGCTGAACCTCCCAGGATACAACGTAACGGTGAGTTTGACGTGCCAAAAACTCTGCGGCCCCACGCCAAACACAATGAGACTTTCGTTTTCCCTGTACCCAGAAATTGGCTGGACTTTTACCAAGGCTAAAGTGGTGGCCAAGGCGGTGCGGAAGGCCGTTAATGTGTACGCATTCAACACGCATTGCAACTCGCCGTTCAACGGGCTGAAGATGAAGGTAGCACCCTTGAAGCCTTCCTGGGAAGAGGTAAGAACCTTGATACCCACATCTGCACCAGTTGTGGGCATAAATAAGTGAGTGGGACCCAACATGGTTTGCTCCACGGTCCGTTGTGGGATAATTGTAGGGTCCGCGGCATACGCGAGAAGCACGTCTGCTAGTATTCTCTGGTATCGCTGGATGTGCTGCGAGTTCAAGCTCAGGAGGTAGCTGTCAATTTCATAATCGTTAAACACCTTCATCATGTAAAAGAATATCTGATATGGGCTTCAGGATGAACCAACATAGTTATGGTGGAGGAGTGAAAAGTTGCAGGGCTGGGGCCTCCAATACTGCTGCGTTCGCCTACCATACCCCTTTTGGGATACGCGTAGATAGACGGCAGCTGGTGCAGGACGGCCAAACCGACGACTCGAATTAATTATATAAACCTGTCTCATTCTCTTCGTCACTCATTTCTCTATAACCCACAAATATGTCTCAATCACGGGGCGTTATCACGTCCCTTTTGGACACCGATTTGTACAAACTCACAATGCACGCAGCGGTGTACACGCACTTTGCCACCGTCCCTGTGTGCTACGCCTACACCAACAGAACGCCCTCTATGAAGCTCAACGCGGCGGCGATTGCGTGGTTGCAGCAACAGATTGCGTTACTTGGTGAATTGCGCTTTTATCCAGCCGAAATTGCGTATCTTGCGCAGCAAATCCCGTACCTCCCCCAGGCGTACTTGACATATCTAGAGACTTTCCGCTTGAATCCCTCGTCGGAGGTGCGGTATGTGACAAAGGACGGCGAGTTCGGGTTAGAAATGTCAGGACAATGGGCGAACGTTATTCTCTATGAGATTCCTGTGCTAGCACTTGTTTCAGAAGCGTACTTCCGCTTCGTCGACACCGACTGGAGCTATGACGGTCAGGTGGAACAGGCTAAACACAAGTGCCGGGAGTTGTTTGCAAATAACTGCGTGTTTAGTGAGTTTGGGACCCGCAGAAGAAGATCGTTCCGGAGCCAAGAAATGGTCGTCCAGGGCTTATGTGAGTATGCTGCTACTTCTGACAAACCCCAGATGTTGTTGGGAACGTCGAATGTGCTTTTGGCGATGCAATATGGTGTGAAGCCGATTGGTACTGTGGGCCATGAATGGTTTATGGGTGTTGCATCTATCACCCAGGACTATGTCAACGGGAACAAGCTTGCAATGGACTACTGGATTCAAACCTTTGGGGCGTCCAATGCTGGATTAGCCTTGACCGACACCTTTGGTACGGAAGCGTTTTTAAAGCACTTTGTCAAGCCATATACTGATTACTATACGGGGGTAAGGCAGGATTCGGGCGACCCGTTGGTGTATACCGAGCGAATTGCCCAACACTATCAGTCTTTAGGCTACGCCGCGGGCTCCAAGATTGTCTGTTACTCTGATTCGCTCAACTTGGAAAAGTGCGCTTTGTACAAGCAGAAGGCGGATGCCCATGGTTTAATTGCATCCTTTGGGATCGGCACCTTCTTTACCAATGACTTCAAGACCGCCTCTGACGGGTCCAAGTCTCAGCCGTTGAACATTGTGATCAAGTTAAAGGAAGTGAACCATATGCCTGCCATCAAGATCAGTGATAATAGTGGTAAGAACATGGGCGACGCTTCCACTGTGGCACGTGTCAAGCAGGAGCTAGGCTACAACGAGACTGTCTGGAGTGAGGGCGACGAGTCCCAGAGGTGGAAGCAATAGAGTGATTTATTGATTGTTTCTTTTTTTTTGGACTTTAATAATGAATAATACTAACAATATACCGAAAACAGAAGTAGGAAAGATAGAGTATCGTTGAGAGGAGATCGCTACCAGATGTATATGTGGAGTGGACTAAATATCAATAGCCGGTCAGTTTTTCAAAAGTTGACGGTTTCTTGATCTCGGACAATGAATTAAGATGAGAAATCTTACTCTGAAAGTCCTTTAATGTTTTAATAATTAAAAACAATCATAAATTTATGACGTGACCCTTGGAAAACTAGTTCAAAGACAGTCGCTATATCAGCTAGTGGGGCTGGTTACTGACCCCGGTGTATCTTCCATAAGATGGTGGGGTCCACGAGCTTAGCTTCAAAAATAAGCCATTGGTCAAGATATTCTCAATATAATCAATCAGTAGTGGTGTTAGTATCTAAATAAATACTTTTAGTTATATCATAAATATAGCTACACTCTCCTGTTTACCAAATAAAACATATCTTTAACAGCCTCTTTTGTCATTTACCGTAGGTTAGTCCCTTTCTAGTTTGTACAGGCTCCTTATTTTCCAAAAATAAAAATCCTTTGTCTTAGAATCGGACTGTGTCCTACTAAATTATGTTTTATTAGAAATCTTTTATAAAGGCATTATTCCTTGCTTTTCCTCAACCTACCCATGGTCATACTTTCCCCTTTATATGCATGTGGGCCAACCTGTGATAGTCTCATTAACATCCTGCACTGTGCCGGTCACGCAGCAAGATTTTTTTTACTTCGTCTTACTCATGGTTCACTCTTCAATCCACAACCGCAGAACACACAATGGACTTGACCCTGGAATCTTTAATTCAAGCATTACAAGCTTCTTGCAGCGCTGAAAGGGGCCCGGACCAGGATGCCGCCGAAGCACAACTTAAACACTGGGAAACCGCCCCCGGCTATCACTTTCAACTACAGGTATGTATAAATGACGTTCAATTGTCGGGTAGCTTTTTTGTTTGAGGGGAATACCTTGTTAATAATAGCATCTTTGATATGGCTATTACAATACAACTATGCTTGCGATGTTGCTTGGCTAAATTTTGTCAGGTAAAGAAGCTAGAAAGCTGTGCTTGCAGATATCTGATATTGCCACTGACAACCCATTCCTACCTCATACTGGCTAGTGACATTACGTGGCATTTCATACATGTCCATAACATTTATTTACATTTTAAGCTTTGGTACTAACTGTCAGACCGTTTATCTTGACCTCAATCAGCCGTTGCAGATCCGCTGGCTCGCGATTATCTGCTTTAAGAACGGCGTAGAAAAGTACTGGCGTGCGTCGAGACAGAACTCAATCGGAAAGGACGAGAAGGTGGCGATCCGCGCGCGTGTATTTGATGCAATCAGTGAGGCGAACACACAGCTCGCGATCCAAAACGCGCACGCGTGTGCGCGCATCGTGCGCTTCGATTTCCCGACTGAGTGGCCGACCTTGTTCGAAGATACCGAGGCATTGTTGCAGACGGCATTGCTTGCGAACAACGTAGTTCAGCTCCACAACCTCCTCATCGCACTCAACCAGATCGTCAAGACATTGGCGCTCGTGCGCATTGGACGCGCACGTCACGCGATGCAAGCTAAAGCGGGACTTATAACACCCACACTCATCCGGTTGTACACGCGCTTCTTCCAGGAGTGGACACGGAGCATGGACCTCACCGCGATGGAGGTGGGATACCTCTGCCTCAAGACGTTGAGACGGGTCGTGGTCGAGGGCTACGAGCAGCCGCACAAGGATCAGGATGTGGCGGAGTTTGTCGCACATACCGTTGCACACTTCCAGCTCCTCGTGCGTGAGCACGGCAAGTATTCCTCCGACTTGTTGGAGAAGTACGTGAAAGGATACGGCAAGCTCTACTACAACTTGCTCAGTGCGAACGCCACGGCGTTTGTGTTGATGCCCTGTCTGAAGGACGTGGTGATGAGCTTCCTCTCCATTTTAGAGAACCAGGCACAGGCAATCTATGAGGCGGGGGACGATTTTTGGGAGGCGGTGGCCATCCGTGCGGTCATGGTGTTGAAGAAATTGATCGGTTTTGTATACAAGAAGGGCGCTATGACGTTGAGACAGAAGTCCGACAAGAAAGAGATTGACGCGGCCGTAGCCATGCTCTCATCTCAGATATTCACTCCAGAGCTCATCAAGCACTTAATCGACTTAGTCATTGCGTGGTATTTGAAACTCAAGCCCTCAGATCTTGAGAGCTGGTCACTTGAGCCGGAAGAATGGGTCAATGAGGAACTCTCTACATCCTGGGAGTACCAAATCCGCCCGTGCGCGGAGAACTTTTTCCAGGACTTGATCTCTTTCTTTAAAGACTTTTTGACGGAGTATATCTTGCATAAGATCTCCAATGAGTTGCTGTCAGATAACGTCTTGACGAAGGATGCGATTCTCGCAACGTTCCAGCTCGCAAGCTCCGCCATCTGCGATGCGGTTGACTTCGACACGCTTCTTACGACGGTGTTCATTCCCGAGGCACTCCGCAACGATCTGAGTGAGTCGCGTCTCATCAAGCGCCGTGTGTGTTTGATCCTCAGTGAATGGGTGCCCATCAAGTGTGCGCGCGAAAGCCGCGTCGCGATCTTCCGCCTCCTTCTCGCGCTCCTCGACCCTGCAAACCCCATCAATGACAAGGTTGTCAAGTTGACTGCGGTGCAGACACTCAGCCACATTGTTGACGATTGGGAGTTTAACAAGCACGACTTCCAGCCGTTCTTGGACGACTATGTTCGAATTTTGATCCGGACACTTCCGGAAATGGAATTGACCGAATCGAAGTTGTTTGTTTTACGTACGTTGTCCATTGTCATTGAGCGCTGCAACCCGCTCCTCAGCCGCGAGAACCTCATGAACATCTTGGCCATTGTACCGGACCTCTGGAAGCGATCGAATGAATCGGCTGAGCTCATCTTGAAGAACTCCTTGTTGCGGGTCTTGAAGCACTTGACCGTTTCTTTGAACGAAAACTCGCCTGAAACATATGCGATTTCGCTTCCGCTAATCTCCGTCTGCTGTACTGAGTCGTCCGAATTATATTCCCTCTTATCCGAAGACGGTTACGAGTTGTGGGCTGCCATCTTGCTGAACTTCCCAGATTCCACCCCCGACCAGCTTGTGGCGGAATTCCCGCTTGTTGTCCCTGGTTTGCTCAATTCCACCGAGATCTTACCTCTCATTTTGACTATCGTCCGCAGCTACGCCTTGATTTCCCCCGACCTATTCGTTTCCGACACCGGAATGGAGGTCTTTCGTGTGTTGAGCGGCTACCTCCCTAACATGAGGGACGATTCGCTCATCCTCTTTGCCTCCACCTTCGAAATTCTCGTCTTGAATAGCTCTGAAAAATTCCTCGCGGTCATGGTCGAAAGCGGCCTCTTCTCTGCCATGATTAGCTACTGCTTAGATGAAAACGAGTCGCCTATCTCGGTCAACAAGGTTTTGATGGTTGTCAGTAGATTGGTCTTTGCACAACCCGCCTTGTTTCTCCAGATGATGACGCATGTATCGTCTTCCCCCGACATGTTGAGCAAGGTCTTGGAGAACTGGCTCAAATACTTCTCCAACAACGGAAACCCGCGCAACAAGAAGATCAGCATCTTGGGTCTCTTGGCTTTGGTCAGATCCAAGAATGAGACCGTGTTGTATGTAGCATCTCCAATTTTTGCCAAGGCCTTTGAGCTTCTCGAGGAGGTGAACGAGTCGGCTTCTGGCGATGCCGAGAGCTACCACCGTGATTTTGCCTTCGAGTTTGACGACGTCTATATCTATGAGGAATCTCCAGATATCAAGCCAAGCGGCGAGAAACTAAGATACAAAGCATTGATCGCCGCGAAGGACCCGGTCCATAAGCTTTTATTGAAGGACTACATCAAGGAAACGGTAAATTTCTTGAGAGCCGAGTTCAACGATGAGGATTTCAACAAGTTTATGGCCATCTTAGAGACCCATGTTGTCGACAGCTTTCTGTTGTTAATGTCTTAAGTTCTAGATCCTAGAGGTTTTTCATTAGAGATTGTATATATTATCAATCTAGACTCTGATTTATAACACGTAGCCGTTATCGTTGATAATCCGCTTGATCTCGCGGCCAAGCGATTTTGTTTCCTCAAACCGTCTGCGCATTTTAACCTGCGCCAATACTGCTAAGCCCAATACTTTGAACCTCTGTCGTGGTGTCAAGTTATGAAGAGCAGACTTTTCAGCGCGTTTGTGAGATACAGATGCATCCACGTGTTTTGTACGCGAAGCGGGAGCTTTGGGGATGAGAGGCTTGTCTTTGGAGATAGCGGCTGGCATTTTGGATGATTCTTGAACGCCAAAGCTCCATGGATCGAAGTTTATTAACCGGTACGTATCTCTATCGGGATCCACGTTGCTATCGAACGAAACAGTCTCTACCCCTCTTTCATCCTCTGAACTCAGGGAGTCATCAAAATCTCCAAACATCGGGCTTTCGGTCGGCATGGCAGGACTCTTGGCTACTGTATGACTCCCCACTGGATCTTCCTGATGCTTTTGATAGTAATCGCCCAAGAAGTTGCACATAAACCTCAAATCATCGTTGTGCACAGCTAGGTTCTCCGATTCCTGTTCATAGACCGAGGCTTTGAATTCGAGTTCGGTTAGCGACTGTCTCAATGACTCATTCGCCCTCTCATATCGGGAATTTTCTTCGGCCAACTCCGCAGCCTGTTGCTTATATTGTTCCAAATCAGTCTTGAGCTTGGCGTTACGCTGGGTGAGCACATTCAATTTTCCGGTCAAAAGATCATCGTCGATAGTGCTATGGGATTGGGCCTGTCGTTGGGGTGTGAGAGGCTGAACGTTACGAGGTCGTGTGTCCTTCCTGTCCTCTGGGGTCTTTTTTTGACGTTCCCGTGAGGGGTTCGCCATAGTAGGAGCAGTGACTGTATTTGGAATGAGGGGTGATGGGGGAAGTTTATGCGTATTGAAGAGGTTGACGCGGGAGCCATCAATCCATGAGTGGAGATTCTCTTGTTGATCTATCCAGATGGACCCATTGCCATTGGCGGAGCTCTCAATCTGCTGGTGCAGGTCGCGGCCCCTGCTGTTTGGCAAAATTGCTTCGGTAAATTCCATAACGGTCAAGTCAGAGTTGTCGGGGGTTGGTTGCTGGGGAGAAGGGGAAAGTGTCAGAGAGACCGGCAGCCTGTTTTTGCGGGTTTTCATCTCGTTGAGTTCTATTTCAAGTTTTGCCTTCTCCCGCTCAAAGTCCCGCTTCATCCTGTTAGAGTCTTTATCCTTCAGCAGTTTTAAGGACTCTATCTCTCGCTTCAATTTTTCCACCTCCAGGTCCTGGTGGTACAACTGAACCAATTCATCCTTTTGCTTTTTTAGTTTCTCCAAGAGGTAAGCTTCCTTTGCCTTGCTTTTTTCCTCAAGCTTGTTTATTTTCTGGAGGTTTGCAAGCTCCTTCATTTCGAGCTCGCGGCGCTGCGTCTCGAGCCGCTCTTTCTCTAGCATAATGTACTCCTCTTCCTCTTTTTGCCTCAAAATGGCATCCCTCTTCAACTGGATTTCTGAGGGTAAATCAAATTGAGCCTTCCGGATTTCGTCGATGTTAGTCTTGAACTTCTGCAAGTGGTCGAATCGTCTGGGGTCCTTATGCTGGTCCCTTTCCTCATGATCTTTCTTTAACTTTGGAAAGTCTTTGAGGGAGTTCTTCAAGCGTTCGTTGATACCCTCAAGCTTATCATCGTTGCCCAAGTTCCGGACCGGCGAGCGAGCATCTTTTGTAGTCTTTTCCCCGGCTCGCGCCCGGAACTTGAACGTATCCTCTTCGCTCTGTTTGTTTTTTTTGGGGGACGGGGTAAACACGCCCTTCAAGATGTCAATCTCGGTGTTATCATTATTTTCCTTATCTTGGAACAAGTCCTTCAAGTGCTTTCTTGACTGGGTATTTTGGAGTTTGATCTTGGTGAGAGTGGACATCTGGTCGTCGTTGTTGTTGAAAAGGGTGCTCCGGTTGAGTTTCGTGGCAGGACGTAGCGGAGGTATGGCATGGTCGTCTATCACTGACCTGTATCGGTGGTACATAACAGGTGAGTCTGGCTTGTCACCAAAGAAGCGTAAGGTGGTTTGGGAGGTTAGGGTATTTGTCACCAAAAGTTGGAGAGTGGTTAAGGAGCCAAATGAGATAGATGGGCTAGCTAGGTAGACAAAAGCTACGGGGGATAATCGGCCTGAAAGGTATGGGAATGCTTTTAAAGCAAAAGAGAATGCCGTTAGGAAGTATGGATTATACTCTTGAGTGTTTTGATGCGTCTCCTGCTTTGTGGTTCTAGTGCCAGTGACAGAATAGTATGTGACATTACTTTGTAAACAAATCAGTGTCGTGTGTAAACCGCGTTTTTAAATATTCTCGCGTCCCATTCGTTCGGTAGGGTAACATTACATACTGTCTTCGGAAGCAACATGACTGAATTACCAAGAGGGTTTTCAATTGCTCAGGTGAATGGTGAAACGGCATGACCAATGATGTATGGGCAAGGTAAGTTTTTAAAGGTGACTTAGTCACGTGGCCACAGTGGTGTCGCATGTCTCAGATGATTACCCAAGGAGGTATTTTTAAACTCCTTAGTGTCAAAGTTTAACATACTGATTATTATTGGCGTAAAACACTGGAAACATATAACAGTTTAACCGATGCCTCACAAGATCAGAGTTGAATATATGATAGCCTTAGAGTCTAACACATGTCTATGGTTATTGCATAGGTATTTTTTTTTTCTCCAGCAAAAAGTTATCATAAACTCTCATCTTTACAACCAGGAACTAGTTCCTCGTAGGTTTCTGCTCCACAGCGTTATTGTTGCTGGAGAAGTTAGATTATGGAAATTTTTTGGGGTGTACTCGAGCTAGACAGAAATATTTATGCGATGTCCGTGGTTTACAGTTTTCTATTCGAATATGATACATATCCCTGGTTGGCCCCGCTAATCGATCACCCCCGTGTTCCTTGGGTCAAAGCTTCGGAACAGTCATCTTTACAAGTAGAAGAGTGGATTTTTGGGAGATACGTACAATTGGAGGAGTGATGTTTTAACATGAGTTCTAGACCGCGTAAAAAAATACCCCCACACTCTATTTTTAGATTACGGAATAGAACGAATATATGTTTGCCTAACGGGTACTATCACAGTCTTAGTAACGGTGTAGAAGGGAATCTCGATATACCTGTTTGCGATAGAGCAATCACCAAGCAAGTCTCAGAAAGCACGCAACCCAACAGAAAATGTAGAAAGGCACCTAGAAACAGATAGGTAAAGACGGCCATTAGGCTTTCTCTTGGTGAAGTTCAATACCAGAAGCATGTTGACGTCTCATTGCATGAAAAAGAGAATCCTACATGTAGCTCACCTGCAAAGAATATTCTCGTTTGTATCTCTGGCTGATTACGTCATCGATTTACAAGGAATGCCAAGGTGTTTAGGCCCCACCTACATAGCTCTTATGGAAGCCCTTAAGCGAAATTTCAGAGTCTAGGTGCCCTTTTCAGAGACCAGGGCGTTAAATTTAAAATAGTCATATTGCATTAGAGTACAGTTATGCGATATGTTTTCCTGGGGTGGGGCAGTATAAATCTCGTACATCTCCCGCCACCTCGGGTGCAAGGTGTTCGTTATCACTGACTAGACATACACTGACCTTTTGTTTTGTAACTTTGATTACATACCACTGAGTGTCCTCACTTGTAATATACCAACCATGGCTACATCATATACTCCAACAAAGCTCACAAGTAGCCCATCCGCCTCGGCTTGTGAAATATCCAGCCCAACTTCTCTACCAAAACCCACCACAAGTCCCTTTGGGTCAGAGAAAATTTCTCAAGGGTTACACGGAAATATCAAATCAAGCTCACAAATGCTTCCATTTATGGGATCTTCCTGTTCACCTACCATAGGAAGTATTCACCAGCTGCATAATAGATCCTTGCTGCTAGAAACAGCCTTACCACCTCGACACGGCATTCTTGCAAACAGTCCCACCTTTGACAGCGTTGAATACCGCGGAAAATTTGAAGCGGTTGATTCGGCGGATTTGTCGCCTGAAATTGTCGACAATACCGACACCATCTTCCTTGATATCAGACCCTATACTACATTTGTAAAATCTAGGATCAGAAAGTCATTGAACCTCTGCATTCCCACCACCCTTCTCAAACGAGCCTCGTTCCGAATGCGAAGTATCTTGGGGTCTATGACCGTGCCCCACCAAACCATTTTCCTTGAACACATTACACAGCCCGTTCTGCACCCTCTAACGATTATTGTGTATGACGAATCCTCAACCAGCTCATTCATCTCCCTACCGTTGTATAATACTATCTTGAAAATATTTAACTACGTGTATCACGATGAAAAGGTCCCTGAAATGAATGTAACCCGTCCTATTAGACTCAAGTACGTGAACGGCGGAATCCAACCACTACTTACTATGCCGGGGCATCCAATTATTGATGCTGAACTCATTCAGAAACCAAAATGCACTGCGAACTTACTCGAGGATGCTACCATGCTACTCTCTCAGAACTCTCCTACATCTGCAACCGCCCCGGGTCCCTTATCCGGATTTTCCCTTCCTTCTTCTGCTCCTTTTGCTTCTGCCTTTGCATCGTCCATGAAGAAGAATAAGCCAGCCTTGCCTTCACCCACCCATCGCACCTCGACAGTCGCAGAAATGGGCCCAGAGAAAGGAAGATTAGGTAGCTTGAAAATCCCGGAAGCCTTCCTTGGGAAGAAGCTTAGTGTCTTGCCACCATGGTTGAAGGAGATTGTTACTGCTCAAAGGAATTCTGACAGGGTTCTTGAGAAGTTTGTGAGGATAGAGCAGAGCGAAACGGTGAGACTTGAAACTGTTGTAAAGCAAGAATATTCCCAAAGCCACGTCTCCGAAGTGTGTTCTCCTTCTGCCCCATGCCCTTCCTGTGATAATACAACGTATGCATTGCCAAAGGGGATTGAATTCGGCTTTAAGAACAGGTACACCAATATTTGGCCCTACGAACACTCCAGAGTTGTTGTTTTAGACTCACCTAAAGCGACGAGCAAGGCTCCCGGAGATAATCATTTATTGCCTCTTGGCTTCCAAGATACCTCTATTTCTAAAATCTCCCCTTCTCAGACGGAAGATGACTACCTCAATGCCAACTATGTGTATGTTCCGAGCACTTCTTCCAATCACTACATTGCGACGCAGGCTCCACTCCCTGCCACTTTTGAAAACTTTTGGAGGGCAATTTGGCACAACAATACGGAGATGATTATTTGCCTCACTGATTTGAAAGAGAATGGCGTTAAAAAGTCCGATAACTATTGGCGGTCTCACCACTACGAGGCCAGTGGCATCACAGTTGCCGAAGAATCTGTCTACGAGGACGACGATGTTGAAGGCAATGTCACTGTGCGGAAATTAAAAATCACTAAACGGAACCGTTCAAGACATCTTTACCAGTTGGTATTTAAAGATTGGCCAGACTTCGGTGTCCCCCCATCGGCGAAGAATATTTTGAAGTTGGTCAGATTGAAAGACTCGCTTGCCAAGTCTCACAAGAAAATCGGGGCCCCGATTGTGGTCCACTGTTCGGCTGGCTGTGGAAGAACGGGTACCTTTATTACCGTGGATATGGTTTTGCAATGTTTCCAAACCCACTCAAAAAGCACGAATTCAACTGCCGTTGAAAACTCTCCAACCTCTGTTTATACCCAATCCACTGGTGATTCTGATGATTCGTCTATCGATCCCTTGAATGGCCCATCTTGTCCGACGTGTTACAAAGAATTCCCTGTTGCTACCCCTTCTGCTATTGCGGACAGTGGAGAGCAACAACTCGAATGTGAAGCAACAAGTGCTGACAATACCTTGGACGCGTGGGGAGAAACTGATTTAATCTACAAGACAGTACATTCGTTGAGACGCCAGAGAATCTCTATGGTTCAGAGCGTGTCACAGTACGCGTTGTGCTACGAGGTGGTGTTGCAATATTTGTTGGACACTAATTTGTGAATTTGCGTTCCCTTATTTAGTACACCTGTTTGCTTTATCTTGAATCAGACTGTATAATCAAATGGTTGGAAAGCCTAAAAACGGCAGGGGATACGCTCAGGACTTCACTTCGGTGGTGGCAGAGAATGCATTGGGTATACAACCCTCCACACTTATAACGTCACGTACTTGTAGTTAACCTTGCAACTATGCTCGGCATGTTATGTTTATGTTCCTTAGTAGACACAACCAACACCAACATATGCAACAATATTGTTTGGTGTCCGAGCGCGACCTTAATCCCCTCCGATTACGCTTAAATTTCCATAAGAAATATTTGTTGTGTTATCTATTTCCAGCTACGAGCTTTCTCGGTTGCTTCTGCGCCAAGTGGCATCAATATATTCCCCCGGAATTTGGTCAAGCACGTCAAGCTCTAATCCGAATTAGTATTCTATGAGCTTTTAAAAATAACTAACCCACGTTGCAAAAAGACCCATTGATGAGCATCTATCCCGGGGGTACCCGTCATCTCGGAAATGTTGTCCAAGCCATTAAGCGTGCCACGGGATACCGCGGAATTTTTTCCGCGTACCTGTAAGGCGCTACCCATAGGGAAAAGGATAGACGGTCTTGTATATATTAGCCATGCATGGATGCTACACATTAGTTTTAGTCTCGCTGGGAAATGAGTTTTACTGTTTATTATTTCCAAATTGGGATTACCGGGCCCAAGTCTAGTCTTTTTTTCTGATTTGGTGCTATGAGTAGTCCCCACTGAAAAACTTCAGTACGAGCACACACGTGCACTCTATTAGCTCATACGACGTGCATACAAACCGGAGCAACACCCTGCTTAGTCTGTCTCTTACATGATTATACTATTCCTGGGCACGTTTTCTCGTCTAACTGTATATTTACGCAATTGGGAATAGACCCCACTTAACATATTATTATATATACTAGGTCCCAAGTAAACTGGTAAAGAGGGCAGCTAGTCCTATTAACAGTGATACGTGTTCTTAGATACGCCAGCGTGTGGCGAAAAATCGTAAATCTCCGTCTTTCAATTTTGGGAGAATAAGCATTTGGGGGCGCATATACCCTCGACACAACTGGTAATAATCTAACATCTTGGCGCACCCGTGTCCGCTTAGCCCGTGTCCCTGAATTAATGATTTAATTTCATGTACCAATTAGGCTTATCGCCAACTCGCATGGCCGTTTTGCACCCTTCTTGGTCTATGGAGATTTTACTATAAAGCCCCCTTCCCCTCACGCACCAAAATACAGCCCAAATTTCAACCCATATACCTCCAATGCTTTCCATTGCCTTATTTCACTCCCTTCTTTTCGCAGGCTTGACCTCTGCATACAAGAGCGATGTCTTGCGTTCCTTCGATATTTCCTACTCAAACAGTTCCTGCCCTGCTGGCTTGCCTTTATCGTGCAGCAACACGACTGTCGTGGAAGACCTCTGCTGCTTTGAGTCCCCAGGAGGCGTAGTATTGTTAGCACAGTTCTGGGACTACAGCCCAGGCTTGGGACCAGAGGACGCCTTCACCATTCACGGTTTGTGGCCTGACAACTGTGACGGGACCTACCAGCAGTTCTGTATTCCATCGTTGGAGATTACTGACGCCAGAGCCGTGTTGAATAAGTTTGGCGACGAGGATCTCTTGGCCTACATGGATATAAACTGGAAGAACGGTAATGTCACTGCGGGAGACAACGATTTGTGGATCCATGAGTATAATAAACACGGTACCTGTTACTCCACCATCAACCCTTCATGTTACAGCAATTACACCGAAGGGCAACAGGTTGCTGACTTCTACAAACTCACCGTGGCCACCCACAAGCAGCTTCCTACCTATGACTGGTTGAAGGAAGCCAACATTGTGCCCTCCACCACCAAGAACTACACCAGCTCTGAGATTGAGAGCGCTTTGTCGAGCAAGTTCGGGAAGAAGGTCTACATCAGCTGTGACAGTGGAAACAACTTGAACGAGATCTGGTACTACCACCACGTCCAGGGTTCGCTTTTAGACGAAAACTTTGTGCGCATCGACCCGGTGTCTAACTCTACCGGTTGTCCAGCCACCGGTGTCAAGTACACCCCGAAGATCATTGCTACCCCGGGTTCCAATTCCACCACCAATACCACCAATGGAACCGTTGAGCACGCGTCTCTGAATGCTGCTGTGCAGGTAGCTGGTAACGCTTTGGTCTATGGTGTTTCCGGGGTGGCTGCTGCCTTCCTTGCGTTGTTGTAGTGGATTTCCATGGTCAAACCCTAGGAATGATAAAAGAAAGTTAAAAGTTAAAATATATTATTGGAATCTCGACGTAGCTGGTTTGGAGTCTTGTCTGTTCCACTTTACATTGATCGGTGTTGTGGTTGGTTAGCTCTATTTTGGAAGCAAATGCGAGTACCATTCAATAAATGGGGCAATAAAAGGAGCTGTATTGGTCTGATTGTGCCTTTAAGACATTAGGAGGTTTACTCATAGCACCTTGGAGATTGTAGGCATATCACATCATGTATGCGCATTATTATTCGTGATCGACGCTCCCCCACCGGTTAGACTGAAACCAGTTGTCCCTTGTTCTTCATCTCTTTAATACTTCTCCTCTAGCTTGGCTTAAAAATCTGTCTGATCGATGTTGCATCAACGTTGGTCATTTCCATAGTATCGTTATTATCACCGACAAACCTGTAGGTTTAAGCTTGAGATGCAGGCACATCACCTTGGAGACTAGCACATCCACAGCCTGAAAGTCATTCTAATATTCCGGTATATTCAAGTCTGAAAACGGCGGACCTTTGTGGTCTTTGACAACTGCACCGTACCACAGCCTGAACCTCAGGTAGTGAGACATTCGTGGTGCAGTGTTGCCGCGAAAACGCCTACTTGACATCCTGCCAATCACACCGGCTGTCAGCAGCGCGATAAGATAAGCGCCTCTCATGCGTGACCCACGTGCGCCATAGATTCCTGCTCACAATATAAACCCCCCATCTTCCCCCAAAATCCTCCCACCCAGAACACCACCGTTACACTTTTACGCTGCAATGAGATTTACACACTTAACCTCACTTTTTGCCGCAATGACAGCGCTGGCATGGTTCATCTCGCCCGACTCTTTGAAGAATGCAATGCAAGAGGTGCTCTCGCCCGCCATTCATAGTCTCGCCGCCGACAAATGCCCACTTGATACGCCCCTCTCGTGTACCAATTCTACGCCAGTTGCTGATTCCTGCTGTTTTGAATACCCAGGAGGAGTTCTCTTACAGACACAATTCTGGGACTACTCCCCGCCAATTGGGCCCAGCGACATGTTCACCTTGCACGGGCTCTGGCCTGACAACTGCGACGGCTCCTTTGAGCAGTTCTGCAACAACGATTTGAACATCAAGAACGTCCGTGAGATTATGACGCGCTTCAACGAGACAGAGTTATTGGCCAAAATGAGCCATGTGTGGAAGAACTTCAACGGCAACGACGAGCTGCTCTGGATCCACGAGTTCAACAAGCACGGCACATGCATGTCCACCATCAATCCACAATGTTACGGGAACGACTACCAGAAGGACCAGAACGTGGTGGATTTCTTCAAAATTTCGGTAGAGTTGTTTGAAAGGCTTCCGTCATACAAGTGGTTGGAAGAGGCTGGAATCGTCCCCTCAGAGACCCAAACTTATAGCAAGCAGGAAATCGAAAAGGCCTTGTCTGACAAATTTGGTGAGGATGTGAGAATCGGGTGCAACCGGTACCACGCGTTGCAGGAGATCTGGTACTTCTACCACGTCCAAGGCTCGCTTTTGGGGAAGAAATTTGTACCGATTTCGCCGTTGGCAGGTTCATCCTGTCCCAACGAGGGCATTAAATTCATGCCGAAGGGCTGGAAGGCCCCAGCACCGACCCACACCCGTCCATCTCAGCCAGTTCCAACTGGCGACGGCACCCGCGGATACATTAAGTTAACTAACCAGAGAGGATGCCTCATCAGCAACGGGAAGTGGTATGCCAGTGGCTCCTGTGCGGCCTTCTACGTGATTAAAGCTCCGTTCGGCGGCTATAGCTTAAAGTCATCGAAGGGCTTCTGTGGCATTAATGGGTTGGGCGAGTTAACCTGCAACCGGTTCGTTGACGCCTCACAGTATCAGTTCCTGTACGATAAAGAACTGAAGTTGATCACGTACGGTGGGAAGGATAACTGGAGTGCGGAGAAACAGCCCAGCAAGTTCAAGCAAATTGGAGTGAAGCCAGGTAACAGCGGCGACATTGTCTTTCAGCTCAGATTTGACGCCTTTGGAGGGTAGGCGTAGTAGACGAGGCATAGAGCAGGGACAGCTAACAAAATGGGTTCGGAAAAGAACCTGTTGGAGGTATCGAAGGTACAGCATCCTTTTATTAATCCTCTGATCAAAAATACACAGATATTCAGATTTCAAACACTTTGTAGCTAAGTATTAACCTTTTGATAGAGGAAGGTTTGGTTGCTATGTAGGTCTAGTCGGTGATAATCAGGCTGTTACATCGGGTAAGCCGGTGATGTATATTTTTAATACAAATGGATGTAATTTTGCTCACTAATTTCAATGTTTCCTTGTTGGATGAATAATCCGTGTATTGCTATAGTAACCCCAAGCACAAGCCTTGCACTTTTCCAAATTACATTGTATTTCGGTAAGACTACAGTCTGGAATTACTAAAACTTACCTCTATTTCTCTACCACCTATATAAGAATATTAAATGTTAGTAACCTAGGAATGCTAATCCATTATCTTCTCCCAACCCTGTAGGGGGATTTACTTACCTGTATGTGCGTGCATTTACCACTTTTGGTCCTGTACTCTTCAAAACAATTCAACTAGCCTCCCTCCCTTCCCTTCCCATTACTCTTCTCCACTACAAAATGTCTACCGAGATCGAACAGCCGGTTGATATTGAATCAGTCGACGCGGAAATCGCAAGACAGTATCAGTTGAATGAGAAAGTCACTAATGAAGAGTACAAAATCTGGAAAAAGACCGTGCCGTTGTTGTACGACACTGTCCAAAGCCATGCCCTTCAGTTTCTCTCTTTGACCTGCCAGTGGCTCCCAGAAGTCGAGTTAGATGCGGACAAGCAGTCACTCAGGGCCCAGTTTGTGTTTGGCACCAACACTTCCGGTTACCAACAGGACTACTTACAAGTCGGAAGCATCCAGCTTCCGGAGACGTTGGACTCTCAGAACGCTATCCCGGTTCCCACCACCAATGACCCAACCTTCAACGTTGTGAAAAAGTGGAAACACAACGGTGAAGTAAACAAAGCGAAAGTCTCGCCGAATGGAAAGCTCATCGCGACCCTATCGAACTCGGGGTCGGTGTATGTTTTTGACCGGTTTTCCTCTGGTGAAGGCCACAGAACTGAGCTTAAGTATCACACCAAAGAGGGTTACGCCTTGAACTGGATTAATGATAGTGAATTGCTCTCCGGAACTGACGACGGAAAGATCTCGTCTTGGGATGTCAATCGCGACGTCCCCGTGAACGCGTTCGCTTCGCACAGCGCTACGGTAAATGATATATCTGCGAACAAGGTGCACCAATTCTTATTTGCCTCAGCTTCAGACGACCAGACATACCAGGTCCATGACTTGAGGACCCCGGCTACGCCCTTCATCACACGTAACCTCGGTGCTGCGGTCAATGCCGTCTGCTTCCACCCCGAGCTCGGTACTATGTTCGCCACCGGCTCTGCAGACATGGTGGTGGGCTTATGGGACTTGAGAAAGCCGAGCGCGCCGTTCAGACAATTGCGCGGCCATACTGGCGCAGTCACGAACGTGGAGTTCAGTCCGACCGATAGTTCGTATGTAATGTCCAACGCTGCTGACAAGCGCATCAACATCTGGAATTTAGAGCACTTGGGAAGCGACTTTGACGAGGAAAACTACTTTTCCCGTAACGAAAAAGGCGCCTATTACGACCCGTGTTTGGAGTTTATTCACGCCGGCCACACCTACAAGGTGAATGACATGGCATACCATCCAAGCTTGAGCCATGTGAGCATATCTGTGGGCGATGACAACTTATTGGAGGTGTGGAAGCCGCACCTCAAGGTGGAAGAGTCTGACCGCGAGCCGGACAGCGAGTAGAAGTGATGATTAGTTAATAACCTGTAACAATAAAAAAAATGGATGGGTATGTTTGGTTAATCACAGAGTTTAATTCACCGCGATATTTGTTTCTATCTGTTCTCTCTAGGGTTTTTGTTACAAACCGGGGACCGTTTTGAACTAGGCCCCATCAGGCTATCTAGCATGTAAGGGCCAGGTACCTCTAATATAGGGGGTGTATCGATGACATTCATCGGCTCTTTCGGACCCTTCATCCCTGGAGTGGCATGATACGGCTATCTTTATCGTTTACAAGGACCTCCTTGCCCCCCTCTTGCCTCTATATCTAATGTACAAAGCAGCTCATAATACTCTCTCCTGGGTAATGGAACACAAAGTTACCTACCAGATATGTCGCGGCTATAATATAAATGGCTTAACTTATACTCAGCATAATTATCTAGTGTGGTACTGGCGAACTAACGACACTAAATTCTGAGCCTACCACCGGTATAAAACTTCTAATTTCGATTATGAGGACAGTGAAATGAGGTAGGCTTTGATGTCCAAAACGGAGAGTACCGTATGGCCGACTAGGTAGAAAATCTGATTAATGAAGTCATGACACTACGTGGTTAAACATAAAAGAGAATTATTACTCAACACTCCGGTGATCATTTTCAAAGGAAAAGCACTCGGATATATTTTAAGGATTGAGTTTTAAGAAGGGTAAGAGAAGGTTTTATTTATATATTAAAAGCCCCAATGATCTAGAGATGAAGAATTAAGGTATATTCCTTTTGTTTGGTGTTTCGAAAACTCTCCAATCCTAGAGCCTCATGGTTTCTCACCTTGGATAACAACGAAATAAGCGGTATACTCACTTTGAGATTGTCGCCACAGTTCATTGAAAATGCAATTCGGTTCCCTGAACTAGGCATGATTTAGGCACTGTCAAGGTTTGACGGCCACCCTACTCAGACCTAGCCACCATGAAAATTTTGATAGCCAGATACAGCTTGATAGTTCCTGCAAATATAAAACACAGATTTGACTTCCGATTTGAATTAAATATTTGACCCCAGGTTTGAAAGACAATTCAAGTCCTGACAAGGATTTTTCAGCTCAAACTACGCTCCTGCTGTTTATATTTCCTCCACATCCATCTCCCCAATCACATCCATGCAATATTTCATATCCTTGAACTGCTTCACCGTAGGCTCCCACTCCCTGAACCCTGCAATTAGCTCCTCTAATACCCCGTACGCATTCACGTTCCTAATCTTTTTGAACTCGTCAACAAAGCCCCGCATGCACCACGGAAGATGGTACGGATTCTGTGACAACGCCTTGGGTTTTATCACGTGAATATGCATCTCCACCGGTCCCACCAAGTCCGTGGTTTCCAAGCAGTTTCTGATTCCTGTGAGATACACCTCCTGCTCGTGGTAGACTCGGGAATGTCCACCGCCGGTGAGGGTCCCCATAAGGCTCTTGCTGATCTCCTGGAGAAGAAGGTGATCGGAGCCCCCTGCGTTTCTCGCCAAAAGCACTGCATTCAAGAGCGTCTTCATGAACAAAGGCGTACGACTGGCAGCATCAATGTATACAGAGCGAAAGATGTTCGGATGTGATGCCTGGAGCGCAAGGGAGGAGTACAATGGGATGAGCTGGTCATTCACTGAGCCAGTAAATGTGACCTTCACGTTGTGTCTGAGCAAAACCTCTAGGCTTCCGAGTAACTTCTGGCTCTGTTCGCTCTTTGCGTCCTGGAGATCAAAAAAGTCGTGGAGGATATCGTTCTCAAGCGTTGAGTAAACTCGCACCACGATTTTGGCATCCATTCCCGCGAATGGACCCATGCAGATACCCGCCATGTTGATCATCCCGATTTTTGCCACAGATTCCAAGTCACCCGCTTCCAAGAGTCTGGCTAGGATATGGATCGCCACTGGAACGCCCTGCGAATGCGAGCAGAAGAATAAAAAGTCGCAGCTGCGGATGAGCTGAATCCAGTTGTCCAAGAGCTTGTGCAAGTTCTCAGCCCGCTCGAGAATTCGGCCTTCGCCCTCCAACGCAATGCTCTGGATATCCATCACGATACCCTGCTGCTTCGCCCACACCTGTAAGGCCCTGGTACCCTCCGTTGCGAACCTAACCGACGTTCCAGTGGGCTGGCCGATCAAACTGCGCACCATCTTGATGGGAAAAAAGCCGTGGATGCCGATCACGACTGCAGATTTGAGCTCTGGTGGAGTTTGCACTCTGTATAGATGCTTTTGCGGAAGGTTTCTATATTTCTCGTAGGCGAGACGGGCTCTAGTTTTGTAGGTGATTTTGCGATAGTTCTGGTCGAACTGTGGTATCACCACGCTTTTTTCCATCAGCGCTGGACTTGCAGACGAAGGCGAATCCTGGAGTTTCATCTCTTGCACCTCGTTAGCGGTAATGGGTATAGGTGTGGACATAGAGACGGGGTTGGCCTGGGTGCCTGTGCCCAAGACCGCCAACTCGCCATAGCTGCTGTTGCTCCGCGTATTTTTCACAGCATAGTCACCGCCTCTATTGGCCCTTCCGTCGCCGGCAAAACCGTGGATCGCCTGGGTGGCGTCTTTGCGGAGTGTCTCCTCGGAACTGGGATCCACGGCCGAATCTAGCAGCTGTGTTTCACGCGTAAGCCAACTGAACCATGACGGCTGGGTTGGAACGGTTCCAATATGTATGTTCACGTCTGTTTCCCCGGCAACGTCCCCGGGCGAGAAAACAATTGGCTGGCCCAAGCCCCGACTCGGCGAAACAGACTTGGCTTTCTTGTCACCGGGAGGTTTTGGCGAAGGAGATCTAGCTCGCAACGACGAGGCTTTGGCGAGTTCCTGGTTTTCATTGACAGAGGTAGCCTTTGAAGGAAGGAGCTGAGTGGTGTACATGAAGCTGGCTGCAGTTTTGACAACGGCCACCGGATCAGACCAGCCCCACGGCTGAAATTTCGATGTCTCACTGGGCTGGGTACTTTTGGGGGGTTCTAGTGCTGGTGTGCTGTGAAAGGTGGGGAGCAATGTCCCAGCCTCTGACGCCATTGTAGCACTGCCATTCATAGCTTCTGTGAGTCCCGTAACATCTATAACTTCTGTAATCTCCATAACTTCTGCAGTGTTAACTAAACCTTGTGTGGCGGCTTGAGTATCTGTCACATCCGCTTCTGTGACTATCTCTTTGGCGTTAGCTATGGCTGGGGTGTTTCTCCATGGTAGCCACCAGCTCTGGGATTTCAGCGTGGGTTCTTCCTTCAAAACTAGTGTTTCACTGTTGCCAACATGCTCGGATGAAATGGCACTAGCAACTTCCGGCAATATGGGAGCGGAGGCAACTTCCGTTATCTCGGGAGTCTCGTCTGTGGTTGTCTCGAAGGTGGCGGCGGGTGCATTCATAGGGCTTCTCTTGAACATTATGCACTCCTTGGCAATTGTGGACTCACTGTATCGCAAGATTGGGGTGTATCTGTTAAGAATAAACAGAATTGTAAGTTGTGGCACACATTATTTTGCCCAACCCGTCAAGCATTCGGCAACTGGCATGTGCAAACTCGGGGGAACAGCAGTGATAAGGAACGGCTCGATGCAGGCCAAAATTTTAAAGAAACGTCTGATTAACTGAGGTAGGGACATTACTTTGTAACATCCTATTCTCCCTTTTGACTTTTTGTTCATTCTAAGACGTTGACAATTCCAGACTCCGAAGGTAAGCCAAAGCTCTCAGATTTCTGCCAAATCTAAGCTAATTAGCACTTACCAAGCCGTCTTACTTTTACTCCTCACGCTTTCCGTAGCTGTTTTTCGCCTTCCACCCTCGCCCGATATCCCACTCACCAATAAGTCAATATGAGTACGACAGATTGGAAAGAAATCTATTTAGCTAGGTTACAAACGGCAACAGACCGGCAGTGCGTGGGCTCTGCCGTCTACCAAGCATGTAAGTACGTCGGCCTTTCTCTCAGAAGTGTACTAACAGGGCAGGCGAGATCATTAGTAGCCGCCAAATATCCAGCGAACAGAAGTATCGCGACTTGAAGCAATCCGATGTATACTTGTAAGTATTCCAAGTCGGCATCCGATCAGAGACTAACAGCCTAGACACTTACAGGAGAAGACTGATATGGTGGCCAGCCTTACAGAGAAAATGCGCCATCTAGGTGGCTCTCTCAGTGCGGAACAGTCAAAGACCACCCAGCAAGAAGACCATATTCGAGCGTTGGAATTCAGGTATGTATACGAATTGGATCGGTGATAGGATCACTAACGGATTTAGCGCTAAAGCACAGCAAAAATCGCTTGCAAAGTTGCAGAAAGAGTTCGCAGTCAAACTCCATGAGATGCAAGAGAAGAATAAAGCTATCGAGCTAGCAAACGACACGGTTCTCAGCTTGGAAATTGAAAACAACGTATTGGCCGACCGCATAGCAGCGTTGGAGAGTGAAAATGAACTGTTGATTACGCGGTGGATAGCAAAGGTATCTGCAGATGCACAAAAGTTGAACGAGGCCAATGAGACGTTGGCGAAGTAGATTGATCATACAGCTCCAGAGGAGCTATCAGTTTCGGAAATCACATTCCCCATACCAAAATTTACCGAAGAATGAAAAAAAAATACCTCACTAACACGTTTTTGTTTCATCCTAAGTGCAAGTATATAACACCTGAGCCTAGATATAAGGTTACCAGGGTAGGTAACTGGCATAATGGTATTTACACTTGACTATCTACACATTTGTTTTGTGACATGAACTACACAAAATAATTGTGCGTATATGTTGTAATTAATATAAATAACAGTTTCTAGTGCAAAATTAGTTTGATGACATTTGTTGACGTTCCAGGCTCCACTTTCAAACAATACGTCCTTTTATTACATATCTACACTTTTATAAAATTTCACTGTCAGGGCTAAGCTGAAAGTAATCTGATTATTTTTAGTCAAGGAGTACCTCTTGATATAAGTGGACATGCATAATATTAAATGATTTGTTTACAATTGGTACATATATATCAGTATTCATGCCAAAAGAATTAAAGCAATACCACTGTTTATTCCATACACAAAGCTAAATAACCAGTACTATAACATTTTAGTACGAATATTGTACGGTAGCTTCCCAATATATATACATATTTACCTATAAATATATCAGCTATATGTATTAAACCCACTATGACTTTTCTCCGAGCACTTACCGGTTCATATCCGGTATGTATCAACACAGTATCCACCATCAAATCAACTCAACCACAATTGCATCTAATTCACATTTTGCACCCCAATATGCCTGATAAAGGTCCTACTGCTGATTTACCCAAAAAAGGGCCGGCTCCGTCCACAGATGAGGTTGATTTATCATCCGTAAACCTTCCAGCACCGCTCGTTCTTCCGTACCTCATCATTCTCCGTGTGCTTAATGCGTTCACTATCCACACGTTTTTCCAGCCGGATGAGTATTTACAGGCGCTAGAACCTGCCCATTGGGCCGTTTTTGGCTACGGAAACCTCACATGGGAGTGGACCAACGGTCTTCGCTCGTTTGTCCACCCGCTCCTCTACGCGCTCCCGTACAAGCTCAGCGAATGGACCGGCTTCGGAGTCGTCGGCGTTTTGTACTTTCCGAAGGTTTTGAATGGCCTTCTTGCCGCTTTCGGTGATTACTATACCTACAAGTTTGTGCAGAGGGCTGCCAGAGGCTCCGCGCTGGAGCAGCTTGCGCGCTGGGCGTTACTCGTCAGTATCACTTCAGGCTGGAATTGGTACATGGTGACGAGGAGCTTTTCCAGCTCACTCGAGATGATTTTGACGACCATAGCATTAGCTCATTGGCCGTGGGGTCGTCATGTCTATTTTGCAGACACCGCCAAGGCACTCAGCGCGGCCGCCGTGAGCTGTCTCATCAGACCAACCAACGGATTGCTCTGGCTCTTTTTTGGCGCGGCCCTGCTAGTTAGAGTCCGAAGCAGTGTAACTCGAGCAAAACTCGCGGTACTTGCCATTACTATTGGTTCTTTTTTCTTTGCGTTGGGAATGGCGGCGGATTACGCTTTTTACGGCAAGCCCACCGTCCCCCTCCTCAACTTTGTGCGCTTCAATGTGTTCAGTAACCTCTCAGTGTTCTACGGACTGGCCCCATGGCACTTCTACCTCTTCCAAGGTCTCCCGGTTATACTCCTCGCTCATCTTCCGCTCACACTCATGGGGTTCAGCCGGCTCTGGCGTTCCCAGTTCGCCTTTCTTACTGTGCTCATCATCCTGGTGTACTCTATGATGACACACAAGGAATTCCGCTTCATCTATCCCCTTCAGCCGCTATTTGTATACTTTACCGCGCATGGCTTTCACCGGATTCAGCGTTCGTGGCTTAAGCCGGTTATCATCGCCACCATCTTACTCAACACCGCCATTTCCCTCTTCTTTACCCAGATCCACGAAAGAGGCGTCATGGACGTTATGGAGTACTTGCGTGAGGATATTGATGTCGGCTCTATTGGATTTTTGACTCCCTGCCACTCCACGCCGATGCAATCGCACCTCCACCTTGACATTCCGATCATGGCCCTCAGCTGCGATCCGCCGTTACATTTGATCGGAAACCCTGCGGCGTCCACCTTAGTAAAGACTTACCAGGATGAGTCAGATATTTTTTATGCCGATCCTGTGGCATTTTTGACGCAAAAATTCCCGCCTCCAATTAAGGCGAAGCGTGAGAGCGGGAAGTTTGAGTACGAATGGCCCACCCATCTCGTGTTCTTCGAAAATCTCGAGCCCATAATGAAACCGTACTTGGAGGGCTCCGGCTATCAAGAATGCGAGCGCTTTTTCAACACATGGTTTCACTGGGACAATAGGCGGAGCGGTGACGTGATCGTCTACTGCAAGTGGCCCTGGGAGTAATCAGTTACCGGGTGATTGAAGACGAAAAAAAGAAAAAAGAAAAAGCAAAGCTTTTATGAAGAATAGGCCAGGTTACAAAACTAATGAATCGCAAAAGAACCGTTTAATAGGGGAAACCTTTCGGAGAGGTGATAGCGGTATGAACGGATCTAGAAAAATCATGTCAAACAATTAATTTAACCCATCAACGTATTGGATTTCCAGTTAAATCGTGCCGTAGTACGTGTAACCGGTAATCAATATAAATAATATTCTCTCACCTTCCAATAAAGCTTAAACTTGCCCAATTGCAGTTTTTGTTGTATTCTTCTAGACATCTACTATACGGGAATAGGGTTGGCTTTACGCCATGGGATGTAGCCACTTTTAGAGAAAGCCCTCACTACGCCCTAAATATCGTGCACCCATATGTAGTGGCAATATTCAGGAACTCTAGGACTATAAATATGAACATCCAGGGGCTAACATCCCGATGCTCAGGACTGAATATTCAGAGACTCTACCTGAACTAATGATTTAGGATAAGCTCAACCATCACACTTCGTTATCGCCTCCCCACAACTTCACTGACTTATCCCACGCGGAGCTTACAATCCACTGCCCATTGTCACTCACATCGCAGCTCATCACCTTGTTATCCAAATGCCCCTTGAGGGTCTTGACCTTTGTGTAGTTATCCGCTGTATAGACATTCACATCCCCGTCATAACCCGAAGACACAAGATATGTCCCCGATGTTTCCAACTCTATGTCTCCCTTCTGACTCTCCCCATCCAAGGTTTTATCCACAGGAATGCGGTTTTTAAGCTCAGGGTACATGTCACCGCGCTCAAAGTACTTCAAATCCGAGATTAATTTGCTGTGGGCCGGAATTGCAAGCTTGCTGCCGTCCATTACCACATTCCCTCGACCCTTCCTGAAATACCGCAAGTCCCACACCTTAATCATCCCATCATCACCGCCTGTGGCAAGCTCATGACTCTGGTATGGTCTCCATGCCAATCCGTGAATCGGCTTGATATGGCCAGACATGATCATAATATTCTTTCCGGAACGCATATCCCAGATGCGTGGAAGGGCATCCTGCCCAGCAGAAGCAAGAAGCGACCCGGTGTCATTGAACTTGACGTTGGAAAGCGCTTTTGTATGACCCTCCTGAAGATAGAGTTCTTTTTGTCGCGTAATGTCCCACAAGCGCCACGTGGAATCGTGCGAAGCAGATGCTAGAAGCCGTTGCGATGGGTGAACATCCATCCGTACTACTCGGGACGTGTGACCAGTCAACGTAGCGACAGTTTCATCTGTATTGACCGCCCAAAGTTTCACAAGATTGTCGTTACCAGAGGTGAAGAACTGATTACCAAGCCACACCACGTCACCAACCTTTTCCTCGTGCGCTTTGAACGATTTTTTGACCGCCAAGTTGGCAGTATTGACAATGCACACGCTGCCGTCCCAGGACCCCGAAGCGATGTATCTGGCACCGTTTCCGCGAGAAAATCGCACCACCGACGTCGCCCGCTGAGTACTTTCGAGAGTCTGAGATCCGTAAAGCATAAACTTTGCAATTTTATCGCCAATAAGGCGTCGGTTTTGGAGATGTTTCAATGCGGAGACCCCCAGTTCGTGAATCTTCAACGCCTGCGCCGATTTAGCCTTCACCAACGCATACTTCAAGATGTCGTAGCGGATGTCTAAGAGCTCTTCAGGTCCAGGCGTATAGAATTCACCATCCTCTTCGTCCGAGGGGTCTGACTCTTCCATATCAACGTCTGCTGTGCCGTCAGAGGCGCCGAGGTGCGCGATCAACCGCTGGCGTCTATTGACATTGAGTTCACCAAAGTATGTGACCGGTTCTCCAAGCGACCGCAACTTCAAGCGCACCTGGTCATCTGTGGTGGGAATATCTTTGTAGTCGATTAGAGAAGCGGGAATGGAATTGGGATTCATGGGGATGAAATATAAGAAGGAGAAGAATGGAGTTTATATTTCAATTATCCTGCAAAATTTTATGCGCCTAACGTTTTGTAAGGCATAAGACACATGGTAGCCGTACCACCGGAGCAATGGGTATTAGGAAGTGAGCAAAAAATGAAACAAGTGTCGGTAGGTTGCCAGGCAGCTTGGAATAATACGACCCAGTTAGAGCTGTTGAATTACCTTTGTAGAGTTGAAAATATAAGTGACAAAACAGCGACTTGTGAAGAGATCAACGGGTTTGGTAATGCAATTAGCCATGCAAAGGGGGGAATAATTGATACACTGTCATACAGTACATAGAAAACATCGACCATCAGCCCCATTCAGATTTACAAACTACTCTCCACCCATATATCTATACTCTACACCGGTTGAATGTCTTGTCTTTACATGCTTAAATCATTTTATATACATTACATGTCCTTCAATAATGCTTGGACCACCTCGACAAAGCCGTCGACATGTACTATGTGCTTTTCCCGGCCCTTGACTTCACTGACCTCCCACTGCCACGCTTCCTGTTTGCGTGCGCGCAACTCCTGCCACAAGTACGTCTCTTTCTGCTCCCAGCGTTTCCCACGGACTTCAATCTCGAGCCGCGGTAAGGCCTTTCCCGCGATTACAACCAACGGAACACCAATCAGGTTGGAGTCACGGATTTTTTTGCCCAAGCCAAACCTTTCCAAGGGTCTAAAGTCACGGTTGACGGTGATACCACCTTCCTTCAAGGACTGTGCAACCCCGTCCATCATCGCAACAGTCTGCTGGTAGTTCTTACCCGGACCCTCGATAATCGTCACTTGGAACGGCGCTATCGTCGCAGGCCACACGAACCCCTCCATGTCGCGTGTAACCTCGGCGATCGCGGCAATGATCCGCGAAACGCCGATTCCGTAGCACCCCATTGACATGAGTTCTGGCTTACCGAACTCGTTGGTGAAGGTGGCATTGAGTGGCGCAGAGTAGCGTGTGCCCAAGAAAAAGGTGTGCCCGACCTCAATCGCTTTTTGACGCTCCAACCGTCCCTCCTCGCACTTGTAGCATACCTCGCCTTCGCGCGCCTCCACCAATGGGAGGCCTGTTAACGTGGTGAAGGAGCCGCGTTGAAACGGCACGGGAAAGTCCGGGAGAATAGTGCGGTCGTGCAAGCGCGCGTCCATGACGCGAATGATCGATTTACCGATAATCTCTTCGCCCTCCATAAACTTCGCGAGCGTCTCCTCGTCCGTGAGCGTAGACTTCGTGTTGAGATCAGGAATCTCCTCCTTCAAAAACAGCGGTACCAATGTGCGGCCCACAGGGTAGTAAAGTGCGACCAACGTGTCTTTGGATTCGTTTAAAAAGTACCTCACCTCGGCAGTGTCCACTGGCACAGAATCCACCTCAGGAAGCGCAAGCGTCTTTTCAATGTTGGATGTGGATCCGCAGCTGGAACACGTGAAGAGCGAATCCTCGCCGGAATGGTGCACATAGTGCCATTCGTGAGAGAGGGACCCGCCGATGTCACCGGTGTCGGCCTCGGCAATGGCAAACGGAATCTTGAGCGTCCGGAAAATCGCCTTGTACGCGCCATAGACTTTGTCGTAGGTCACAAGCGCGTGTGTTTCGCTCACATCGAAGGAGTACGCGTCCTTCATGAGGAATTCGCGCCCACGCAACAACCCCGCGCGTGGCCGCTTCTCGTCGCGGTACTTGCGCGCCACTTGGTACATGATGAGCGGCAAATCCTTGTACGAGCCCACGTGTGCTTTGACGATATCGGTGATCTCCTCTTCGCATGTCGGGGCCAAGCAGTAATCTGCTCCTTTCGCGTCTTGGAGCTTGAACAACTCCCTATTGTCCCAGCGGCCCGTAGTCTTCCAGAGTGCGGCAGCGGAAAGCGACGATAGCGCAACCTCCTCCGCGTCCACGCGGCGCATCTCTGTATGGATGATGTTCTCCACGTTACGGAGAATGCGAAGCCCTAGTGGGAGCCAGTGTACGAGCCCGGAAGAAGGTTGCTTCGTGAACCCGAGCTTCTGGAAGAGCTCGTGAGTGGGAATGTCTTTGCTCACGTCTTTACTGAGAAAGAGCTGGTTGTTCGTGGCATACGCGCGCACCTGGGGGTGTTAGATGAGAAATGTGGACAAGGGCGAAACACGTACGAAGGGCTTCTTGAGCAATCTGGCAAGCATTACCGGGTAGACGAGGGTTGGATAAGTGGGGTGCGGGTAAAAAAAATCATACTGTTTCTTTTGTGCAGGTGGAAAGAGTAGCCACCAGTTGGCCGAAGCGGCGAATGTAGGGTCTTATTAACTGTACCGCATGGAAATATTTCTGGTGTTTTAAAGCGGCAGTCCGTCCATAGAGTAATACACCAGTTTATAATTTGTGTATAGATATAAACCTATAATTTCTCTAATTGCAAGAGTCGTTTTTAGTTAGCCAACGAGCCGGCAGCTCGTAGAGATCACTGTCCTCCATACACCAGAATTGACTTTAATGATGTGCTTTGGGTCAAATATCTAACACCCAATATAGGACCTGTGTAATACTATGCTACCTCTACTTCGATATAGTTTAATGGATGTAGGTTTAATTTTAAAAGCCGATTTATTGGATAAACCGGACCCTAGGAGTGGCAGTTATGGCCTGGGAGCCCCTCGTGAGGCCAAACAAGGGCGAAATATACCGAGAACAGCATCTTATAACTTTCAAGTGTGATTAGAGCTTTCTTCTCGCACATCCATGTTCGTGCAAAGCTTTGGAGTCAGTGGCTAACCATGTATTCAGGTGTCTGGGTAGAGTTTCCTCAATCTTTTCATTAGTGCCAGCTTCACTACCTTTCGGGATGGTCGGCCTGAATTATCGTGCAATGTTGAATAAAAAAAGGACTTGTAATGGGCCATTCTCATCAACGGATTTTGGGATTTTAGAAATTTTGCTTTCATACCATCAATGACTTAAAATGGAGTTTTACAAAACTGCTTATGTTAGGCAACGTGGCCGAGCGGTTAAGGCGAAAGATTAGAAATCTTTTGGGCTCTGCCCGCGCAGGTTCGAGTCCTGCCGTTGTCGTTACTTTTTCCTTGTTTCTCAGAGCGAGCTTCAATTTCTTGACGGAGTTGTGTTGGTGAGCAGAATCATATCGATGAATAAGTTAACAGCGAACGATGTACCCCGAAACTGCACTATTATTCCGGATATCGAATCAGAGATCCGGAAACACCCTGGATAATCCTTTCTGACCGACCCAGACCGGAAACATGTCCGATATGCACCTAAATAATTCTAATGCAGTGTAAAGCATATCGGGGTCTTCGGAGTTGAAATGGCATTTTTCTCCGGGTCACCTAGCTGACAAAGGCTATGACGGAGTACTGCAGACCTAACATGTGCACAACACGTCGGATTATAACAGTTGAAAAACCTCGGCGGGGCAATGCCAAAACCGTTGACCCGCGAACAGAAGTACGCCACCTAAGGGGTATGAACCTCAGAAATAATGTCTGAACTTATGGAGATAATAGCTAGTTCAAAGATTGTTGTAAATATTCAACAATATGTTCCCCGCTCTTTCCCCTGGATGCATGTACTTAGGCAAAAGTACTGTTTTGTATTCCGGGGGGAAGGGGGGGTGCTCTGGCAAGTTGCGGAACAGGGTTTGTTCTATTGTAGGGCATGCCTATCGGATGTAGGGCAATTTGCTAGAATGTTCAAGGTCCTGAGATCAATGGATTTGGGGCCGCTTGAAATATCCATATGCTGAGCTAATACTCAGCTGAGACTAAATGCGCCGAAGACTAGCCTAAATAAGGTAGGACCGCAGGCTATTGCTTAAAAAGAAACGTCTATAGGGTACATAACCAGCGGATTCTCGTGACCACGTTGGCGCCTTCCCTCTGCTACACACTCTCATGTACGATTTGTCCGTTCCGAAACCATACCTCACACATTAGTGGATTCAAAAGTCAGAATCTCATAGGATTTTCCCCCGGGTCTCCACCCACAATAGGACAGGCCACAGTCTGTTTCTGGTTATGCGAACCATATGGACCTTGCATGTCACTGAAACAAGTAGGGGGTATGGAGCCACAGAACGATTCAAACATTATTCCGCCTTGTCCGCAGTGAATGCAAGGCCTTTTAGTTTGTCTATTCAGTATAGAGGCAGGCGGCACAAACCCCAGACCCCAGACCCCAGACCCCATTATTTTTTTTTTAAATTTAGAGTTTAGGAAGTGCGGAGAAGGTCAGCACCTAACTAGCACATGCTAATGCTAACAACTTACGATTACTGGCGCTAGTACCGGTTGCTGGATGACTTACATACCGGATAAGGAGTGCGCTCCAACAACGCAACGAGACGTTCCTGGGGGGTGCTGCACATACCTCCGATATTACCATCTAGCAAACCATCTCTGGGGGCCAATTCGTCGAGCTTCACTCAATTGGCCCGCCAGAACCAATTAGTCCTTTCACGTTAAGGATGAAGCAGAAGTAAGGTATCATTCTATATAATGGCCTGGTTACTGTGAGTCAGGTTGTATTTTAATGTTTCTTCCTGCACCGGAGATTTTCATACTCTCGGACTGCAGTGACGCTCTCTCTGGTGAATTTTTCCCCTCACGGTGATAGGCCATCCGGGGTAAAATACATAGCTGCCCCGAGCGTCGACGGCTGCCTGGATATAAATACGAGCGTGTTTGCTCCTAGTGTCTACTTCCTTGCTCACCAATATCAATTAATATTTTTGCATCTTTCTTGCTTTTGCTAATTGTTAATAATGTCTTTCATCCCGCTCGCCGCCTCTATCGATATCGGTACCACCTCCACCAGAGCCATTCTCTTTGCTAGAGATGGTTCTGAGATTGCTAAGCACCAGATCGAGTACACCACCTCTGCCTCTGTCGAGAAGGCCGCTAGCTCCACTCAAAAGGAGTCCTCTCCAACTCCGGTCTTTTCCGCTGAGGGTGTGGCTATCACCGCTGCCGACAACTTGGTCTTCGAAGACTCCAAGAAGCCATCCTTGTTGTTCCCTAACCCAGGTTGGGTCGAGTGTGTGCCATCCTCCATCTTGGCCGACGCCACACAGTGTCTTGGTGTCTGTATGGGCTCTTTGGAAGCGCTCAACAAGGACGCTGCCAAGCCATACAAGGTCACCGCCATTGGTATCACCAACATGAGAGAAACCACCGTCGTCTGGTCCAAGAAGACCGGTAAGGCGTACCACAACGGTATCGTCTGGAACGATACCAGAACCTCTGCCATCGTGCAAAAGAAGATTGCCGAGACCCCTAAGGATGTCCAGGAAAAGCTCAGAAGAATCTCCGGTGTGCCAATCTCTACCTACTTTTCTGCCTCCAAGTTGAGATGGTTTATCGACAACTGCGACAACGTCAAGGCTGCCTATGATAGAGCTGACGGTGACTTGTGCTTCGGTACCATTGACACCTGGTTGATCTTCCAGTTGACTAAGGAGCGCAGCCACGTCTCCGACGTCACCAACGCATCTAGAACCATGTTCATGAACTTGGACACTTTCAACTATGACAAAGAGTTGCTTGACTTGTGGGATATTAACCCAAAGAATATTGTCTTGCCAAAGATCGTCTCGTCCTCTGAGTACTACGGTGCTTTCAAGACCCCAAACTTGGCTGCCATTGGCCACCACTCCGACTTGCCAAAGGCCTCCTCCACCTGGTTGGATGCTCTTACTGACATTCCAATCTGTGGTTGTTTGGGTGACCAGTCTGCCTCTCTTGTCGGTCAATTGACTTTGAAGGCGGGTGCCGCCAAATGTACCTACGGTACCGGTGCCTTTTTGTTGTACAACACCGGCCCAAGAAAGTTGATCTCTGAGCATGGTCCTGTTACCACTCTTGGTTTCTGGTTCCCTGAATTGGAAAGTAAGGAAGACTCCCAGCCCCACTATGCTTTGGAAGGGTCCATCGCCGTTGCTGGCTCTGTTGTCCAGTGGTTGAGAGACAATTTGAAGATGATCGAAAAGGCCCAGGACGTCGGTCCATTGGCCTCCCAGGTCGACAACACGGGTGGTGCGGTTTTCGTGCCAGCCTTCTCCGGTTTGTTCGCCCCATACTGGGACTCTGAAGCCAGAGGTACCATTTTGGGTCTTACCCAGTACACCAATGCTTGCCACATTGCCAGGGCTGCCTTGGAGGGTGTCTGTTACCAGACTCGTGCTATTTTGAAGGCCATGGGTAACGATGCCGGTGCCAATGGTGACTTCATGGAAGACCTCCAGTCTACCGTGTCTCCATTGTCTGTCTTGGCCGTTGACGGTGGTATGTCCAAGTCTGACGAAGTGATGCAGATTCAGGCTGATATCTTGGGCCCATGTGTGACTGTCAAGAGATCTCCAAACGCTGAGTGCACCGCTTTGGGTGCCGCTATCGCTGCTGGTTTGTACAAGCACACTGTCTGGTCCTCGTTGGAGGATGTCACTAGCTCCATTGTCGGCGACGGTTCTAACAACGAGTTCAAGGCCCAGTTAGCTGATGACAAGAGAAGAGCTGGCTGGACCTTGTGGGAGAAGGCTGTCGAAAGATCCAGAGGCTGGTTGACCCAGGACTAAACTGGTTCTCCCTGATAGTGTATTATAGTTTATGTTAACGACATTTGTTTCTCTAACAGGCACTGCTGTTTATCCAGGTGTAGATTGAAATCCAAATGAACTTGTACGGTTATTAATTTTCTAGGGAGAGCTCGAGTTGCTAGCTGTGTATTTCAACTAAATATACGGAAATATAGAGGTTTCTTGCCCCAATACCGTGTAGTATTTTCTGCAGCTAATAAAGGCCTAAATACTTTTGTAAATCAGAGGGAATACGAATAACCAAGAGGTCATGATCGGAGCCCTTGAGGTCTATCTCTACTCGGTACAAGGGCAATCTATCACACGCTTACCAATCTAAACATGCGGGGTATATTGGTAAGGTTTTTGCTTTTCGTTTAGTCCAGTGGAAAACAAGGGGTACTTGGAGAAACAGGGGAAAGCGGGGGAGATGCCAATCTTCGGAGATGAAAAAGGAACCAATGTTGGGAAAGAAAAGTACCGGCTCACCTCCTCCCGTAAGATGCAATGTTTTTTAGTCTTTCGTATACCGGTTAGGTGAGACACAGGAGGAGGCTTCCAACGGTTTTCTGCACACCAAAAGTAGGTTTCAGTTTCGAATATAACGGAGGGGCATATCAGACTATCTGTCCTCTTGGGTCGGTTTGTTTTATGGATACAGTATTCTAAATAATTTTCGGTTGCGACAGTACAGAACTGAGAATATTTTGAACTCAGACTCCGAGGCTCAGCATATTCGGAGTTGAACTAGAGTGCGTCCAACCGCATGCAGTGATATTATGTAGGTGCTATTCCGTTGGTTTACCGGGGAGCAAAATACTGCGTCTCGAGATTTAGGTTTCCGGCACCAAGGGTGGGGCGACTATGCTATTTGAGCAACGCATATGGGGCCAGTAGCCTATTAAAACTAGACCTCATGCACCTTCCGACTTCCTACACCACCCCGGACATCACCGCGCCGCTATTTACTGGTTTAACGTATAGTTATGCCATATAGAATTTCGGCCCACAATCCTGGACTGTTTGCAAGAGCCCAGAAACTATTCTTTAGTGAGGATAGTTATCCATAAGGAGTATCAACAAGGAGCAAAGTTGGTACTAGTTCTATAACAAGAAGGGCTAATATATCTACATAGCACAAGTATCACATGCAAATTCTGCAGAACGCAAGAGGAGTTTCAACGTCCAACGACAAAAAGAAAAGAAAGCTGTCAGTTCCGGGCTCAAGCTCGGAGTTGAAATATGCATGCGGACCATTGCCTGCAAACAGGCAGCTGCCGCATGTGGAAACGTGTTCATGCATCCGTTCCCGAGAAGCCCCGGGGGACCCCTCGGTAGCAATATTTGGTATTTTTACGGTGTAGGCCTCGGTGGATATTCCTTCAAAAAAAATAGAATACTTATAAAGAGAATATATACACAAATAATGATGAAAGATGCTCTTTTGGCGTATCACCGTGTTCTCTGGTCACAAACCTTTAACTGGCCTAAGCGCAGGGTAATCCCTTGGTCTAGCATTCCTCAACCAGATATTTCTTTCCCCCCCGGTATTCCGTTGAAATACGCACATACTACCTGCCGAACGGCAGCCGAGGCAAAACTCAGCCCGAAAACAATCGTCTACACCGAGTCAAAGATGCAATCGTATATTGTTAAACATACCGGACCCAAGTTACAAGCATCATGGGGTGAAGTGAGGGGAAAACTGCAGCCCTGTGGAACGCCCCGTGGAACGCCCCGTATCGACGTTCGGTAACAATATTTAACTCTGGGGCCCCAGTTCTGGGGGAATACCTCTGCATATCGGAGTGGAACTTGCTGAAACATGTGCCATCTAGAATTGAAAATTACTTTATGCTGTGTGCTAATCATAATAAATATATCTCAAGCGAAATGCATCCCAGCTAATAGGATTTTATCAAGCGGTAGTACCCCCAGCTACAAAACATAATACAGTCATGTTACCATATACTACCTCCATAGGTCTCAGTACAAATCATGCAACCTTTGTAATTCTAGTATGACAACTAAAACAATACCTAACTAGCACATGAGTTATTAATTAATTAAAATGACAATTCATAAATAAACATATACAGGGGGCACCGAAGTGCGTATAAATGTAAATGAAAAAAAAGGCAAACATTAACATCCACTCGTCAATAGCATAACGGTAGGAAAGAGGTTCGTTAAGACGTAGAAAATCAGGATGCGCCACGGGCAATACGAAGGTATAGAATCTTCGTGAAAAATTAGGCCTGGACTGGAGCTTGCTTCTTGGCCGTGCGAGAGAAACCGAAGTTGCGCTTGTTGACTGGCGATTCCTTACCCTGGTAAATGAATAAGTCATACAAACCACCACCAAGTAATCCACCAATGATCGGAGCCACAACTGGAACCCAGGCGTAGCCATCATATACACTGAACATATCGCCACCGTAACCAAGGGCAACAGCAGCGACTCTTGGAGCAAAATCTCTGGCCATGTTAAGGGCGTAACCGGTCTGGAAACCGAAGGAACTACCCAACGCGTAAATCAAAACAAACAAACCCAATGGGAAAATTTCACCAGCAGGCGCGTTGTAAGGGTCGGTCAACGCAAAGATACCCAACTGCAACAAAGCAGTGGCGGTGAGCTCAGAAGCAAACTGACCTCTGGTGGTCAAGTATGGCTGTGGGAAAGTACAGAAAATACCAGCGGTAGCGGTTGCACCAGTCACGGTTCTGATACCTTCACCTTCGTAGTGGTTGATCGACTGAACATAGATACCGTACACAAGGAAAGCGCCGATGAAACCACCCAAAAGCTGGCCCAAAATGTATGGGATGACCTTTCTCTTTGGGAAGCCTCTATACACAGCAGCAGAGATAGTGACGGCTGGGTTCATGTGACCACCAGAAATACCACCCGAAACCATGTAACCTAACATAACAGCAGCGGCCCAAGAAAGAGCAATCACAGTGTAGTCACCAGCGGCACCTTTGGATAACTTAACCTGGGCGACAACACCGTCACCAAACATAACCAAGACCATGGTCCCCAAGCATTCAGCAAGAGGTTCTCTAAATCTGTGGCGGAATCTCAGGAAAGCGGTCATTTCTGTCTCTCTTTCTTCAGCGTGACCAGGATGATGAGTTTCTTCAGCCAAGCCGGTAGCTGGGATGGCAAAAGGATATTCATCGTGGGCTTTCACAGCCTTATCGTTTTCGTAAGTAGATGGTGTAATGTCTTCCATATTTGTTGTGGCTGATATGGATGGCGAGTCAAGTGTGTAAGCTGGGGGGGAATGCTCAAATATATAGAGAAGACAGAGAGGGGTATGTTTTTTTTTCCGGAGCTTTTTACCACATCTGCCCACAGCTATTGATGTACGAAATAGTGGAGAAGCGTATTCGGCAGGAGCTCGGAGATGACAAAGTTTTACATTAGTATAAGAATAGAATCCGATGTGGGACGAGAACGTGCATGCATGGGCAAAGGTGTCCTTTCCTGGGCGGCAAAAATATGGCGTAAACAACTCGCATGAAACTTTGCCGTACAGGAATCATACCGGGTGGTTTTGGGCACCGTACGTATTGCCAGGGTATGTGATAACCGGAAGAACAGTACCGTGCAGTTATCGGAGTCCCCTAAACCGGTCCTCCATCCCTCGGACGTACTACCGAAAGTTTAGTCTTGAATCTTGATCGGTCTACTTAACCAAAGTGGGGATCAAGTGGGATATAGAGCTAGCAAACACTGATACAAAGTTCCCTTAAAACAGATACTACCAAATCTGTCTCCTTCTCTAAAATAAAACAGCCGCCTTTACTTTCACTTGATATAACCCAAAGTTTTGGTAGATGTGGAAAGGGGTTTCCGGTCACCGAAAGCTAAAGACCAAAGCTTTGCTCTACTAGCTGCAAAGCAGGGGAGGGCTAAGTTTAGTAACGATTATAGGCCGGTGTAAGTTAAGGCGCTGATCATTTTACCCCTCATCGTTAAGAATACCCCAGAGCTTTGCCTATAGTGTACCCTTGTTCTCATGAATTGCATGTGATTTAGTAACTGGTTGAGGTACTTTCATTTAAGGGCACACCAAGTAACAATCGTTGTCAAAAGCTAGGTCGCACAAAGAATACCAGTAACATCTGAAAAACCTACGTAGTTAGCCGAGAAATCAGACACTTGGTTGCGTGAGATTCGCAACTCACGGGATATAGCGGCTGTATCACGCAATCCCGGCGTAAGAGGGGTATAGGGGTTAGTGGACTTCATGGCACCACACGAAGGAAGCTAATTACACCTTGTTCAAGGCACAGAAGACGCAAATTTTCGGCGTGACGTCCGCCGTGACCGAAACATGAAATCTTTCATGGGCCTAACCGCAGACTTTATTTTTTATTCTCTGGCATGATCTTTCAATGGCTCCATTAGTTTCGGCCCATGTGTTCGTCAGTACTGGATTAAATTAAAGAGGCCATTTTCCAAATCCACCAAATCAAAATACCAAATCATCTTTACTCATTGAAACAGCGCAAACCATATAGGACTGCCCAAATAAGAGTGGATAGCTTGAAAAAAAAGTAATGCGATTCCTGTGGGTCAAACACAAGACCTTCAAATTTTGAGTCTAACGCTTTCCCAACAGAGTTAAGGTCGCCAAGAGTTGGAACGCGAAAGAAGGGTTTGATCAGAGAACTTCCTTGGCTAATTTTGTGGTTCCTATGTGACGATAAGGACAAATCGACAACTAATCGAAGTCATTTTTATTCTGGGTTCACACTCTCCTATGAAAGTCAATTTACCGTCAGCTTGCTTTTATGTGGTCGAACTGCCTTTGTCTGATGCTGCCTGCTCATCTACCTATCAATGCGCCTTCCTTTAAATCTATTTTGAAACAGCAATGCGACAAAGGTCGTGTTATTTCTGTGTGCTTTATGCCTCGAGGGATGGTATCGCAGAAGACGGTATAACTTATGGCTCAGATTTGATCTCATTTGGAGTTAACACCAGTCAATAATTTACAAGGCAAAGAGGCGTGCTGATAATCATCTCTTGACGATTTGCTTGCTTCTGGGTATCCGCAAAGTATGCACTTTTATGATGATCAGCAGAAGTTCTCTCCACTTGTGAGCTAAAAAAATATTACATTAAAACCAAAACACAAAGGATACCTGCCCGGCGAGATACCCAGAACCAACCTCCATAATTGACTCGGACAATTGCCATGGAGGGCTGTGAAGATATAAATAGAGAGGGAAAGAGGAGACCCCAGAATATAAACGACACAGAGCAATATATACATAGAAACCCTCTAGGGTGATTATATGTATTAAAACCTGGTGTCCCTGTGATCGGTATATTCTTCCACCTCGCCCATATCCTCGTAGTCACTGTCGTCGTAATGCCTGGCAAATGTGTCGTCCGCGTCAAAGGTCCCCGATATCGAGCTGAGATCAAACTCCTTAACTTGGGTGTAATCCTTCTCAGACATGACTGGTTTGGTAGATCTGTCCACTGTGGGCGCACCGAGCTGCGGAATCTTTGTCTTAAACCGTTGATTAATCATACTGATCGATTTGTTCACAAATTCGTCAGCTTGCAACTTGACACCGTTGAGATCCTCTCTGAGCTCGTTCAACTCACTGGAAAACTTGTTGTGAAGCTTGGACGGGCTGAATACCTCACTTTCCCCGGAGAAGAAGCGCATATTTGTGAGGCTCTGTCTGGTACGTAAGAGCGGAGCATCTTGGCTCTCATTCTTGGTAAAACTCTCGCGCAAGTTCATTAAGCTCTTCTTTGGGCTGAGTGCCGATTGGGCTTTGCTGAAAAACTCGCCCATACCTTCCTGGAACTCAGGCTTCACGATTCTGAAATCTTTGCGCGAGTTCGAGAAACTGAGATTTCCGGCCTTTGGCTCGTTTGCGTATTCGACTTTCCCGATATGCGAATACTTGAGCTGGAGCTCCAAGAGCTCAAAGTCTACCTTTTTAGACCTCTCCTTTAAATCCAACGCCTCCTTCTGCTTGAGCGCTAACATCGCCATCAAGTGGTCCTCGGGGTTGAGGGCGTACTCATTATACACTTCCGTGTCAGACATGGGATCAGTGATGACTGTGGAAGTAGAGGATGTGCTGACACTTGAGTCCGTCGAGACGCCCCTCATCTGGGTGTTGGCATAATCCTGGCTACCTGCGCTTAACGCGATGGGATACTTTCCTAGATTACCCGTTCTGCGAATCGGGCTGCCCGTGTACGACGTTTGCGCGCCGGCCTCGTGGATACTGGGACCAAATAAGGCCAGATTCTTCTTCACAAGCGAGAGTTTTGCGAGCCCCGCGGTTTCACTGATAATCTTCTGTTTCGATGCACTGTGGTATAAAGAATGGCGGGGAGCGCTCCCAAGTGGGGTGGTATGGCGCAGGTGCGTGCTTCTTAAGGGTGTAGCTGGAGCTTTGCCGTTGTGGGAGGGCGAGTTCTCCTTATCTGCCAAATAGTCAGTCAGGTTCATCTCAGTTGGTATGGACAGAAATGGCTTACGTTAAATTAAGAAAAGAAAGTAGGTTGTAAAGATTAAAAATTATTTGATCAGGAGCAAATTGCTGTCGCTACATGCGTGCCCGCGGAAGGTTAGTATTTCCCAATCGGGAAGAAATGTAAACACATGCGGCAGGGTTCCAAATCAAGACAGAAAGAATGGTGGTGGGATAACTGAGAGGACAGATTCGATGAAGGGGAATCTAGGAGATTATTTAGAAGTGTGAATGTAAATTAATGGATATAATTATCGAACTATACGCGTACGCGTATGAGTGTAACGAAACAGGCGTCGAGCCTCTGACGTGGCTCGAGATATGAAAGTTAGACATTGTTTCCCTAGTACAGGGAACGCAATTGAGTACCATAACGCATACCACTAATCTTTCAATCCTTTACTTTTTTAGGCTATACTAATTAAGTAATTGTTAGTACTGGGGTTTTGAACTGTGTGGTCACGCTTAGCACCTACGCCATACTCATCACGGTATAAGGATATCATTTAGTCTACTCATCAGACCAAAAAGGGATAGATTCGAAACATCTACACCTCAGATCTGTATAAGGATACATATAGACATGATGTAATGTATAATTGCCTAGTTAAACGTATTCGCCACAAGCGCCTGCGTGGCCTTCAACGCCTCGTATCTCACCTCGGGGCTGCCGATGGTCATCAACTCCATGATAACGGCTTTGGCACCGGTCTGGGCAACAACCTTGCTCGCCTCCGGAATCTTGCTTACGACGCAGGTGACATCGTTCAAGATGATCTGGGGGTTGTAGATGCTGGACAAGTCGGTTCGCAACAAGGCCAAGAGGCGCTTGAACAACTGGAAGTTGTTTTCCTTGAAACGGAAGACGTTTTCGTGCCAGAACTCCTCAGAGGAGTGCGGCGGTGAGTTGGTCATCTTCCCCGAGTCCAACTCAAGGAGATACTCGTCCATGGAAGTCAACGAGACTAAGGCATTGTTGAGTGTTTCTGTCAAAGCAGCCAAATCGGCTACCAACTCCTCGTCACTCCATCTTCTCTCAGAAAACGTCTTCATCAACGGCAACACGTTGTTCAACAACAACACTTTGACAACCTTGGTCTTGGCCTCTGCGTAAGCCGCACTTTTTGGCGCCACAAAGTTATGCAAGATAGCGATCGCAAGACGCGTAATTTTCTCCTTGATAGAGTTCTTCGCAATGCCCGTCAACACCTTCAACACACCCTGATAGTGCAATGGCATCTCCACAGAGATGCGCTCGCTGAAGGTCAACAACCACACCGCTAACAACGTGTGGTACCGGACCTGCAAATCACCCTTGCCTGACTGGAGGAACGTTAATAACGGCGGGAAGAGCGTTGCATGGCTTTTCCAGTACACCTCGCGGTACTCTGGGAGCGTGAAGAGGTGTCTCAACAACTGGACAGCGGTTGCAACGCTATCTAAGTTGGTGGACGCCGCAATCGTCTTGCTTAACACATCCACAGTCTGTGCCACGTACGCGTGCTTAGTGTATGCGCGCTGCGCCAATAAAATGACCAAGTTGTACACTCCCAATACCTTAATAGATTCATCAGCAGAGCCCAAGAACTTCGTAAACGGCTCGTATGGCAACGTGTCTGCGTCGAGCGAGAGTTTTAACAACTCCTCGGAAAAGATGGGCACGCCGAGCAAAAGGTCGTTGGTCAACACTAGCAAAGACTTGAGCACGTCGTCGCGCTTGATCTTGTCTAATACAGACAACAACGTCGTTGCGTATACCGCGGGCGCCTGGTCGATAGCCGCCGCCTTCTGCTGTATAGTGGCTGCCTGACTCAAGGTCTTAATCTTGGCGGCTTCATCCTCGGTCAATTCTTTGGTGCGAGCAAACCCGTCCCACGCAATGGGTCTGTTGCGAATGTTGGACTTGATGTCCTCCAAGTACTCGCTATCGAGGGCAATTGTCTTAAAATTCGGCTGGGGTGTTAGTCCAAAACAGGGTTAATCGATTGGGTACTTACGTAGTCGGCAGTCATCGTGGGGATAGGCTTGATATATGGCAGAGAGCGAAACGATTCTCTTTATCATGGATATTGTTATCGGCGGCAAGGAGGCGCCGGGTAACGCGGGTCGCGCACGTCTTATCAATGGGGGAGCACACGCCTTTTTCAACGGGCGGTGCACGCATCTCGTTTGCAACAGACCTTTCGGTAGACGGAACCCTGGGCCTGCAAATGAAGATGGAAAGTTTGTGCAGAGCTGGGGTATATGAGTAGCCGGCTGTATCATATAATGAGCATAAATCCACAGGAACAGACCTACATTGAGTATCTCAACTATGACTGGGACTCGTGTGCAGACTTCCAGGTGCGTATTGGCATCTATCACCTCCAAGTCAGGTCGATAGGTGTGATCCAGCTTGTGATCCAGTTTAGTTGAACTAACACGCTTAGGAGGGCATTGCTGAGATTATGGAACAGTACCAGGACCAGTTGCAGGAGAATGCTATGCCCGGTGAGGTGAAACAGATCCTGGCTTTGGAGAGGGACCAGTTGATCAACCAGGCGAAGGTGTTCTTTTTCTGCTCGCAGACCGGCAACATCTTGAGCTTGGAGGACTACGAGGAGTGGAAATTGCACAACGGGAGTAAGCACTCACATGCCAAGATCATGGAGATTGAGGAGGCCGAGGCTCCGAAGGTGAACGCTACGAGCTCCCAAATACCACCGTATTCCTCTAACTACCAGGAGTTGGTGGGCATGATTACGCAGGGGAAGGAAATCCCGGGGATCATGCAGATTCCAGACACCGTTCTCGCCCACCAGGCCACTGAGTCTTCTGCAGCGCAGAGAAAGAAGCCGTGGGAGACCTAAGTAATGATTAATATACGAGTACATAACAAAGCGTAGGGTGTACTGCAAATGACAGTTTAAAACCCTAGATAAACCAATACTCTGATAGAATACTTGACCTCATTTCCTGTGGCAAAGTTCGTGAACAACACCGCCGATAATTTATTAGATGAATTTAGTTTCTGGTTCAACAATGATATAGCTATAACAGGGTATGCCACCCGAATTCTGTTTCTCAATGGTTTTCAGGTTCATTTCGTGAGAATATTAGGCTAGAGAAAACTCGAATGTTTGAAGCTCCCGGATTAATCCAAGCTGAATATCCTAAGACACTTGTACTCGGCTGGACTGGCATCAACGAAAATGGAAACAATCCGGGGTCTGCGAAAATCACAAATAGTAACCCGGAGGACGGAACTAAAATTCCGGTTTTAATGTTTAATTGTTGAAGTTATCGGTCCTGCTATGACATTTAATACGGTCTATTTAATCTACAAGCCCTTCAATGTAATCTATTATTAAAGTTAGTGACAGATAACCAGATCATTCACCATTTTAGCCCTCTTAGTGCAAGGTTCTCATTACCGCCTCAAAGGCAGCCAAGGCAGCGGCATTGGCAGGGAACGATCTCAAGATCGATGGCCCAAATCCTCTCACAAACCCTTTCAATCCTCGAGTTTCGTAGACCCACTTCACGGCGTGGATCCATCTTTTGAACTTTGGGTTCTTCACATCGTCAGTCATGATGACTTGCTTGACCACATCCGCTGGGTAGGCAAAGATCCAGAAGACAGAAGCAGATAATCCACCAGACCAGAAGTTGATAGCAGGGTTGGACAAGGACGTATTCGTCTTGAACCACTGGGTGAAAATCTCGTATGACCCCCACCAGAAGACGAAGTTGGTTCTGAAGATCATGGTGGAGCACAACCCCTTGTAGATCCCGCGAATCCCACTCTGTTTGATCAACTGCGACACACAGTTGACTGGCCCGGTGTATTGCTTCGTCTTTCCATCGTATTGGATCTGCAATCTTGCCTTTACCTGCTCTACAGGCGCGGCGACCATGCTCACGGTCAACCCGGACATGAGCCCGGCTATGCAATGACCACTCAACGGCAATTTTGCGTCTGACTTGAAAAAGTTCTCCTTCAAGAAGCGACGGTACGTATGCAAGGACCCCAACATCACACTGTCCATGATGACCCAACCGACCAACGGAGGTGTGCATCCCTTGTAGAAGCCTCGTAAACCTTCATTTCTCCAGGTTTTTAACACGCAGTCCATTGGACCCTTGAATCTTCCATCGGAGGTTTGCAATCTGACTTTGATGGTGTCAAACGGATGACCAACAAGATTCTTGGCCACACCGGAGAACATCCCCGCGACGAATCCGAGATAGCGGGGAGGAGGAGCGCTATGTTCTTGTGACATGTGATTTGTATGATGGGTTAAAATATAAGGTATGGCTCTGGAATCATGAAAGCTGGAAAGCCAAGAGGTTACAGAAATATATCTGTCATGAGTCAGCGATGGAGCTTCGGCCCATCATCCGGTAACGTCCCCGAGTTTTTCACTGTGCGGCTTGCGCTGCAGACGAGCGTTTCAGGGCCGTTCATCGGCGTGCACCATGAAAAGAGACGGACAAAAATACTGTTGAGTTAGACATATTGTTAAATGGCTTGGCGATGTTTTTAACTTCCATGGTCATAGCTCTTTTATTTTTATGGGAGGCTCGCCTTTGTCTTTCTAGTTTACAATGCATACGTCCAAAAACAATCATTAATTTTTAAATAATGCGTAAAATCAAAGCTCAGAAATCCGGTTAATGAGAAATTCCGGTTCTCTGAAGAATATAAGTATGAGAAGCAATCTATGATTTAAGCCAGCAAGGGATAACAGGTGTTGGGACCCTTGGCCACTTAGTGACACAACCAGAGGAATGAATAAGGCCTTATAGTACTCATTAAACAGAGTAACCTATAGGTCTTCCTCGGTCATTGATCTGGAGTGCTAAACGGGAGACACTCAAGGGAATGTCAACCTTATGGTACTTTGGTTTCGTTATTCTTAAAACTAAACTCCGAAAGTTGGCATTTAATCCGGCCTCTATAGCACCTTGTCTCAAATACCGCTATGTCTCTTCATCGGGCTCCTCCCCACAGAACAACACAATCTCACACAACTGTTCATTCGCGCCCCAGTCGAGCCCTGAAGAGGCGATGAAAGTTGTCAAAAACTCTGAAAGGATTGCGGTTCTCAACCTGACCTTTGCTAGCGATGCCTTGCTTTGCAACACGTCTTCTGGATGCAACGTCCTCTTTACGCTCTTGAGCTTCCGTCGCTTCAACTCTTTGTACTCGTCCATAAGCTTGTTTACTAGTTTCTGCCTAACGGCATTGGCGGCGACCAACGAAGCAACCTCGCCCTCCTTTTCGCCTCTGGCTGCGGACATGTGAGCGATGGTCTTTGCCAATTGGTCGCGCAACCTCAACTGCGGTACCACTGACATCTCTCGTGTCAGACTCAGGATTTCGTAGGGACCGCTCAGGTGGATAGCCTTCAATATCGGCATGGTGAGCGAGATGTTTTCAAGCACCTGGAGCCGCGTCTGGAGCATGTGCTTGAAAAAATCGATCGCTGCCACCAACTTTGTGCGTCTCGGGTCTTTGTCATTGTCTCCATGGAGTAGGACTACCGGGTCGACAGTGCCGAGCACTTTATCTAACTCATCGTCCAGAACGTCCTTTGAGTGCACCAACACCAACATCTCGTCAATTTTGGTCACTAAAGCGGCACAGGTCTTGACATACCGTCTCTGGAGCTGTCCGAGGGGCGAGTCGTCTTCAACGGACACTTCCGCCGCGGCATCTTCGTCAATTATAGGGATCTTCCCAGTCTCATACTCCGTGTATTTCTCAGTTTCAAGGCTGGGGAATGTCATATTCGGCATATTTATTAACCCCAACTCTGGAAAGTGACATGATGGTGTGAAAGCTGATGATGAATCGTTTGCTTGTTTACAAAAATTGCCCCGCGAAAAACGCGCGTGCGCCCCTCCAAAATTTTTAAAAGCCACCAGCATTTCTCAAACCACTTAGGTAAGTTCACACAATACCACCCTCATGACAGACGCGGACTTCAAATTTCCCCCAATATACAACTTTCCGCCGTTCTACACAAAACAACCAAATGAGACCACCTGGCAGTCACAGTCACAGCAGTGGATCGGGCTTGTGCTAGACTATTGCAAACAGAAGAGGATCTGGGTCTTGAACAGCGACGGGGTGCCTTTGTCAAAGAACGATAGTGAGCTCGATAGCGATGAAGAGGTTGATTCTCTCAGTTTGTTTGCTAACGAAAAGATACAGCGCAGCTTGAAGCGTGAGACGATTGGCGAGATCTACGCTCAGATGGTTACCGAGGGAAGCGCCGAGTACCTCTCCCCCGTTTCCACGTCGTTGTCCCGTTCGTTGAAAAAGGCCACGCCGCAGGATCAGAGCATAATTGTTTATTGGCGCAAGCCCGAAGATTGGGCCACGATGCTTCTTGAATGGGTCGAAAAGACCGGCCAATTGGGCGGCATTCTCACATTATACGAGTTGCAAGCGTCAGAATCGGTGAAATCGCAGCCGTTTTACAAGATCAATTCAACTGTCTTGGTCCGTGCGTTGGACGTGTTGGTGAAGATGGGGCGTGCCCAGGTGCTCAAAGAAGAGGGCGGTAAAATCAGCGGTGTCAAGATTGTTTAGAAGCTTTGATGCTGCTGGAATATTGTCACAGTTTACTGTTGAATATGAGCACCTTTCACCCACAGTTCAGGCTGTATCTTACCAGGAGTGTTCCGATATCAGGCGAAAGTACCTAAATTGGAATAGCTCAACATCGCCAAAAAGATTATTTCTCTATAAGACCATCTGGGATGATACAGAAGCATGGCGGCTGCAAACGATGCTACTGGAGCTCAAGGTTTCACCAGTTTACCAACATGTTTCTGTTATATAAGCCTGATGTTAATAGACATTAATATTTGGTAAATGCCTCCAAAATTGGTTTGATAATCTCAGATAGCTGGGAGAATTTGTAGGCGATTTTTGCTATGTTCTAGGTCGAGTTTAAAGCTTGTGTATTAACTACACGATTATGATGTAAACAGCATCATACCCGGTTTAGCCGATAAATACTAATATCGATCATAAATCTGCCAGCCCCCAGAGAAACTACGACTGTATTTTCAGATTCAAGACAATATTTAATATGCTACACTTTGTAGATGGACATTCTGTCATACCATCCCCTCAACCATCCATCTGTAATCAACTCAGTTTTTCCGCCTGAATACTGCTGGTACGATGTCACCGCCCAAAAAACCAAACTAAAATAATGAAGATCCGCGTAGCTGCAATGGTTGCCAAATAAATACTCTCCGCTTTTCAAGCAACTCAACTGCTGTGGCGTAAAATCCTTAGATGTGAATCCTTCAAATTCATTAAGGAACTTCTGTGCCACGGTCCATTGCTCCTGTATAGCTTCCGGGTCCTTCAAAATTTGGGTAATGTCTATCTGAAACCTCGAGTATATGTCACGGTAGCATTGGAGATCCGATTCTAGTAAAATATTGTAAGTAAACGCACCAACGATACCAGCGGTCGCCTTGTAGACAGATGGTGCCATCCTGTTAAGCGCCTTGGACTCGGCCAACGCATCTATGCTAAAGAAAACGCTTGGTTCAAGAGTAAACTCCTTCTCCAAGTACTCCACTATTTCGTCGCTCCCCATGACTATGCAGCCTTTGTGGCTAATAGCAGGCAACGTATAGTGAGGGGCATCGGGCCATGGCTTCCCTCCTGCCTGTTCGAGCATCCCCGGAAAATCCATGTATGTGACGAACTTGGTCACAAAGGGAATACATCTGAAATTCAAGACCGAGCGGACTTTCATGGTGTTGGGAGACCATTGTGGTTGCGGCAACTTGGAATTCAAATCCCAGAGGACCAATTTATCGGTGGTATCAGCGGCCTGGAGATGGGACATCTCAATTCGCGGGTATAAGGATGTTTGAGCTATTAGCAAAAACGCAGTTGTGGTATATTATACCTGGCATTATTTTACTCGAATAGCGACTGGTGGCAGAGAGTGGAGGGCCGGTTTGAAGATAGTGGCAGGAAGTGTATGCAAACAATCTTGGATTACTAATGCGCTGCAGATTCCGATGTTAAATATGCACAGTGATCTGCCCAGGCCTTATGCCACGTTTTGGACATGTCTTTGAAACTTTCGTCATGACTCAGAAATGTCTATATTGCCCAGCGGGCCATTTTGCAGCTTGACTTCTGGTTAGAACTTTCAAGCCCTAAGCCGGTTTGTATAAAGGTCGGATGGAGTTCAACAGGGTCCAAACTTTCGGGCTTGGCAAGTGCGTCAAACTGTTTTTGTATGTTCCTTTCATCGATTGACATAACTAAAAGGCTGGATAGATCAGTCACTAGTCCTTGGGAGTGGTATATACTCTGGTCTGGTTCAGATTTATAATGGAAAGCCACTTAACTTATCAGGCGATGAAAAGGCCAAAAAGCCAGAGATTAGCTTATAAGGCTATTTACTATGTTACGTCATGTATTCATTTAAAAAGGAAAGGTGACTATAACCTAGGCGTGGTGTTAGAACTGTAAACGAGCATTCTGTTGTACCACGCTTTCAACCACTCATCGGTGACTAACTCGGAGGTTCTACTCTTGTCTTGGCTGTACCCGATTAGGACCCAGAAGAGCAAGCTGAAGTAAAGCAAGTCTGCATAGCTGCAATAGTCACCAAACAAGTACTTGCCGCTCTTCAAGCGGCCTAACTGCTCAGCACTGAATTTCTTGGAGGTGAAGCCCTCAAAATTATTATAAAAGCGTTGAATCAGATCCCATTTTTCCAGGACCGCCACTGGGTTGTTCAAGAACTTTGGGATATCAATAATTCCATCTCTTTCGTCAAACTTCCACAAAAAGTACTTTTGGTCGACATCCTCCATAATACTAGAAATGAAGGCGGCAGTAGTAGGGCCTATGACAAAAAAGATTCTTGGCACAAGCTTACACATTGCCTTAGACTCTTCCAATGCTCCAGGGGTAGGGTAGACGCTTCGGGTGTGTGGGAATTCTTTCTCCAAATACGCAACAATTTGGTCACTGCCCATGATCGTCTTCCCTTTGTGAGAGATGACAGGTAAGGTGTAGTGAGGGGCCCGCGGCCAAGGCTTGATCCCCTCCTTCTCAAGCAACGGAGGGAAGGCAGTGAATGGGAGAAATTTCGTAGTATAAGGAATCCTTTTGAAGTTTAAGACCGATCTGACCTTCATGGTGTTTGGCGACCAAACCTTAGTTGGAAGCTTAGAGTCAAGGTCCCAGAAGACCACTTGGTTAGGAGTTTCAAGCATGGTTTGAAATCTTTGGGGACAAAGTTGAGAGTGTCTACTACGTTGTATTAATGAAGAGAGAATTTGAATAGACCCAAGGGGCTATTGTACTTCCGATGGTAAGGAAAATCTCGTCGGAGGTAAGGGCGTTACGATATCGCCCTGTGTTAAATATAATGCGGGGAAGGAGCTCGTTCAAAAGCCCTGCACAAAAGGCCAAATCGCGTTCATGCAGACAGCTTTGGTGTCCCTAAAAAAAACTTTAAGTTAATATCGAATATTAGTGAAATAATCATAATTGCGTTACTAAATTTTACCATACTAGTGTATACCCTTCTGTCCTTCCGCCAGTTTCTAGGAGATCTCGGCTGAATTTTGGCCCCCTTGGATCCTCCAACTATACTATAGCAAAAGGTACCAATTACCAATTTCGTTAGATAATATCAGGGTTACCGTACGCCCGTTTAGGTTACTAATATGCTACATGTATTTGGGAGCTATCTTGTATAACTTTCCTTAAACGAGAGTGGCGGTCTTATTCAGGTAGAAAAACGCTTTCTGAATTATAAACCTTCAAGGCTATCAAAGGTACAATACTCTACGCCACTCTTTTCTGGATTGAATATATTTAGTGGGTATATCTGGAAAACTTATAACTTCGAAATCGTATTGAAGCTGTAAACGGCCATCTGGTTGTACCACACTCTCAACCATTCATCAGTGACTAACCCGGAGGCTCTACTCTTGTCTTGGCTGTATCAAATTAGAACCCAGAAGAGCAAACTAAAATAAAGAATATCAGCGTAGCTGCAATAGCCACCAAACAAGTATTTACCGCTTTTCAAGCGGCCTAACTGCTCAGCGCTAAAGTTCTTGGAGATGAGCCCTTCAAAGCCATTGAAAAAGCGTTGAATCAGAGTCCAATTTTCCAGAAGCGCTGTTGAATCCGTCAAAAGCTTTGGGGTATTAATAATTCCATCTCTCTCATCGAATTTCCATAAAAAGTACTTATGGTCGACATTCTCAAAAACAGTGAAGGCAAAGGCTTCAGCAGTAGCAGCTTCAACCTCAAAGATCTTGGGCATGAAACTACTCATAGCGGATGACTCTTGGAGTCCTTCAACCGTAGGATAAACGCTTGGATATTGCGGGAACTCCATCTCTAAATAGGCCACAATTGTGTCGCTGTCCATGATCGTTTTCCCCTTGTGAGAGATGGCAGGTGTAGTCTGGAGCTTCTGGCTACGGCTGGACACCCCCCTTTTGGAATATAGCGGGGAAGACGGAGTAGGTGAAAAATTGGGTTTTGTAAAGAATACCTCTAAAGTTCAACAAAACTCTGGTCTTCATGGTGTTTGGAGACCAGATCCTACTTGGCAACTCACAACTGATATCCCAGAAGACAAAATGGTTATCAGTAGCGTCAAATATTGTTTAAAGTCGTTGATAATGGTACAAGAAATATGGGGAGGAGCGTTGGATATATCCCGCACCAAGATTCGTGCAAGTATTCTGATCCTATCTACAATTATGCTCACATGTGAAAATTATCTTTCTGGGGATTCTTCGTATATTCATTTACGAAGCCCCAAAGGGGATGTGCATCGTGTTTAGACATTTTTTTATCTTGGAGCTGAATTGAAATACCTAAATTTTCTATACTTTCACAGAAGTTGTGGCCCACCTCACACAGTGTAAATGGACATTCTAGCCCACCAGTCCCGTAACCACTCATCGGTGATTAACTCAGAGGTTCTACTCTTGTCTTGGCTGTACCCAATCACAGTCCAGAAGAGCAAGCTGAAGTAAAGAATATCAGCGTAGCTGCAATGGTCACCAAACAAGTATTTACCGCTCTTCAAGCGGCCTAACTGCTCAGCGCTAAAGTTCTTGGAGGTGAACCCTTCAAAGCCATTGAAAAAGCGTTGAATCAGATCCCAGTTTTCCAGAATCGCCGCCGGGTCGTCCAAAAGCTTCGGGATATCAATAATTCCATCTCTTTCGTCAAACTTCCACAAAAAGTACTTCTGATCGACATCCTCCATAATACCGGACACAAATGCCCCCGCGGTCGGAGCTGTGACACCCTCCAAGGTTGGAACGAGGCTGCACATCGAGGTAGCCTCTTCCAAAGCCTCAGGAGTAGGGTAGACGCTTCGGGAGTGTGGGAATTCCTTCTCCAAATACGCAACAATTTGGTCACTGCCCATGATCGTCTTCCCTTTGTGAGAGATGGCAGGTAAGGTGTAGTGAGGAGCTTGTGGCCATGGCTTGACCCCCTCTTTCTCGAGCAACGCAGGGAAGGTGGAATAGGTGAAAAACTGGGTCTCAAAAGGAATCCCCCTGAAGTTTAAAACGGCACGGACCTTCATCGTATTTGGAGACCAGATCTTTCCTGGGATTTTGGAACTGATGTCCCAAAGAACAACTTGGTCGGTGATAACGGTGGTCTTGGCGTCTGACATGGTTTAATATCGCTGATAAAAAAAGTTCGGCAAGAAGGTTCAAAGAGGGGATGAGGTTAAGGGGTTTTTATAGCACAACTGCAAAAGGAAGTTCAGGACAAGGATTCCGCAATTCCGCGCCTCCCACCAGACATGCTGTGCAGGATATAATGTGGGGGTGGGGTTCTGTAAGAGTCCCGCACCACGGCTCATCAGGAGAATTGGGTAAATATACACTGGCCATTTTGAAGAAAATAGCTCCAAGCTTTGGGGATTTTTGTTTCTCGTAAACTCTCGAAGGTAGGGTTAACACATGGGGTTTTGCTTGGCTCGGGGTTTTAAACTTACATGCCGGAGTATATCTCACCAGGTAAATAGCTTCGAGAATCGTGTGCAATTGTTCCTGATTCCTAGAAGTATACCGCCGGGGGAGTAAAGTGACACAGCTCAAGATACTCCTTGAGCTTTGTGATTCATGAGCCGTACTTAATTTATCGGCACTCTTCGAGTTCAGACTTGGTTTTTCAATCAACTATAATGCGCTCGTTAAGACTGGGGTATATTTTTGTGACGGTACTCTATTACACCCATGCCTTACCTCTGTTATATACGTCACCAACTAGGCACCTTTTTGTATAATGGTTTACCCAACTGAAGGATTTCTGGGGCTTTCTAAATTTGCATAAGTTACTTGCTGGCTTTAGCCATTGGTCATATCCCATTTATTTGTTGTCCTAGGCATCCAATCCACTTGAATAGTCTAGCATCGTAATTTTCCCCTCTCCAACAGCACGATTACTGCACTAGTAATCGACGTATGTTGGAAAGGCTCGTGCTCAATCACATCTTGGCATATTCTCTGAGCTACTGCGCTTTATAATGCTCATACGCCGTAGATGGACATCTTGTTGTACCACTCTTGCAACCACTTGTCGGAGAAGAACTCAGAAGTTCTGGTCTTGTCTTGGGAGTAGGCCTTAATCACCCACGAAAGGACACTGAAGTAATGGAGATCGGCATAGCTAATATAGTCGCCGAACAAGTATTTTCCGCTCTTCAAGCGATCCAACAGTTCCTGTGTAAAATTTTCGGTGGTGAAGCCTTTAAATCCGTTAACAAAGCCCTGTCCTTCGGCCCAGCCTTCCGCAGTGATGGCAGGAGAGTTGATGAGCTGGATAATGTCAATATTTAATCTGCTTTTCAGCTTGTTGATGAAGTACTCATGATCTATATCAGGGATGATTTGAGAGATGAAGGTCATGGAGCAGGCAGTAACTCGCTGGTACACGGATGGTATCATCTTTCGGAGGCCATCAGACTCAGTCAAGGCTTGTGGGGTAGGGTAGACACTTGGATTCTGTGGGAAAGCTTTTTCCAAGTAGTCGGTAATTTCGTCGGAACCCATGATAGCGTTACCGTCGTGGGAGATTGCTGGTAAGGTGTAGTGGGGAATCTCCTGCCATGGTGGTATGTTCAACTTCTGCAAGATCAGTGGAAATTCGGTGTAAGTGGTGAATCGAACTTCGAATGGAATACCTTTGTAGTTGAGTACGGATCTGGCCTTCATTGTTTTCGGTGACCATTGCTGAGGGTCGTCCAACTTGGAGCTTAAATCCCAGAGAATAACGGGGTTCGTGATGGTAGTCTTAGCGTCAGACATATAGAGTGAGTGGAATGAAAAATAAAATATTTGCAAAAAAAAAGATATTGTAAGACGAAAATCAAAGATATTTGTAACTCTATATGAAAGGGGAAGGATGAGAGGTGAGACACCTGTCTTGGTTATGCACCTTAGAAAGAGGCTTTATAGAAACCCTCTTGTAAGCTAAAGTCATTTTCTTTAGTCAACCAAAGCTACAATTCTTAATCCTACACACGATCGGTCCAGGATTTCCCGTCACTCTATCCTATAGAGTGACCCACAGTCTCTATGGACCAACCATCGGTCACTTATCCATAATCAGTATTATATACAGGACAATTCCCCGCATTAGCATTACCCTTTACGGCAATGAGATTAGCCCCTGAATGAGCAAGCTTCGCCCCTTAGCAAGCCTTCTGCCACTCAATTTTTGTATTTGACACACTGACACGTCAGACAATTTCTCTATTTAAGGCACTAACACTGACTTTTTTTTCTAAATTTTACTCAATTGCGCCACGGAAAATTATTTACCGCCGTCTTGTATGCTCTAAAACCCAAAAAAGAAAAATGACAAGCCAAAACGATTCTGGCTACGCCATTTACAACAACACCCCTAACTTCCATCCGGTGAACAGCATTTATGAAAACAGGTTGCGCCAGTTCATTGACAAACATGGACAGTACAAAGACTTTAATGTGCCCAAGTTTTATGACCAGGAAAGAATCTGGAACACTGCGGGAGACGACACCTCCGCAGGATTTGTCAACTTGGGAGTCTATGCGGTGCCACACCTCGATCGCCCGTTGTTCCGGGATGTGGTTCCGCACGCAGAGTTCACGCCTGCGTCCAAAGGCCAATCCTTTGGACCCAGCTGGAAGACGTTCTGGTTCCAGGTGGCCATCTGCATTCCCTCGAAATGGATCGAAGCGCAGCCAGAGGAAATCCACTTTGAGTGGGATTGTGGTAACGAAGGATTAGCGTACAGCGAGGACGGCACTACTCTCAAGGCGTTCACTGGAGGTGAGCGCATCGAGTTGGCGCTCCCAAAACACCTCTGGGTGAAGGAGCAGACCCACACGTTCTACATCGAAGTAGCGTGCAACGGGATGTTTGGAAACGGTAGGAATGGAAGTGATATTGCCCCGCCTGACGAGAACAGATGGTTCAGGTTGGCCACCGCAGACCTTGTTTTGCCAAACTTGGAAGCCAGACGTTTAGGGGTGGATTTCTGGATCTTGAGCGACGCCGCGAGAGAACTTCCGTCCGATTCCTGGCAGAAGCACAAGGCCAGAACGGTTTGTAACCAGATTATGAACGCGTTCAACCCGGAAGATGTGGCTTCAGTGGCTACTTGCCGCGAAATCGCACAGGAAATGTTGGGAAAAGACATCAATTCCGATGCGGTGTACCACAACCACTTGAAGAACTCGCCCCAGGCAGTGGAGGTGGTGGGAATTGGCAACTGCCACATTGACACTGCCTGGTTGTGGCCGTTTGACGAGACCAAGCGCAAGGTGGTAAGATCGTGGACCACGCAGCTTGCAATTATGGAAAAGTACCCGGAGTACATCTTTGTGGCGTCGCAAGCACAGCAGTTCAAGTGGCTCAAGCAGTACCACCCGGAGACGTTTGACCGGGTCAAGCAGAAGTACCGCGAGCAGCAGTTCTTCCCCATTGGGGGCTCCTGGGTAGAGCATGATACAAACATCCCGAACGGGGAGTCTTTGGTGCGCCAGTTCCTCGTGGGTCAACGTTTCTTCTTGGAGAACTTTGGATTCCAGTCTGACTGTTTCTGGCTCCCAGACACGTTTGGCTACTCGTCACAGATTCCGCAGTTATGCAGATTGGCCAACATCGACAAGTTCCTTACCCAGAAGTTGTCCTGGAACAACATCAACAACTTCCCGAACACCACGTTCAACTGGATCGCCTTGGATGGCTCCCAGGTCTTGGTCCACATGCCGCCTGCCAACACCTACACGGCGGATGCCAACTTTGGCGACGTGATGCGGTCCTTGCACAACCACAAAAACTTGGAAAACGACCACCAAGGCATGTTGTTGTACGGGAAGGGCGATGGTGGTGGCGGGCCATCGGAGGAGATGTTGGAGAAGTTGAGACGCTGCAGAGGGTTGAGCAACACTGTGGGATTGGTTCCTACCGTTCAGGTAGGGGCCACCGTCGATGACTTTTTCGCCTCTGTCTTGGAAAGGACCAACAACGGAAAGGATTTGGTCGGCTGGAACGGTGAGTTGTACTTTGAGTTCCACAGAGGGACCTACACGTCGCAGGCTGATATCAAGAAGTTCATGCGTTTGGGCGAGGTCAAACTCCACGATTTGGAATATGTGGCCTCCTTTGCCTCGCTCCGGGGATATACCTATCCCCGCAAAGAGCTTGAGGCATTGTGGGAGGATCTTTTGCTTTGTCAGTTCCATGACGTCTTGCCAGGAAGCAGTATCGAGGATGTTTACAAGGACGCCAAGCCTATGCTCAGAAACGTGATTGACAGATGCGATGAGTTGCTCAAGAAGGCATTGACGCATATTGGAGGAGGTAAGGGTGCAAAGCCTGCTATAGAAGATGTGACCTTTGTCAACACGTTGCCATGGGCCAGATCTGAAGTGGTTGAGGTGCCAAGGGAGGCTGTTTTGGGGGCTGGGGCTCAGTCCTCACCAGAAAAAGCCTTGGTGTACGTCGCCAGTGATGAAAGCGGTTCTGTCAGCACTGCCCAAGCGGATAGTATTAAGTATCCAGCTACGGTTTCTCGGACATCCGGCAGTACTTTTGTTTTGGACAACCAGAGACTCCGGGCTACGCTTTCCAATGGTATCTTGGTCAGCTTATACGATCAGCTCAATGACCGCGAGTTGATTGACACTCAGACTGGGACAGAAGGTAAGGATTTTGTCTCTGCTGATTTAGTCGGTGGGAACCAATTCGTCGTGTTCGAGGATACCCCATTGAGCTGGCAGGCATGGGATACAGAACTCTTTTCCTTAATGAAGTACAAGCCGTTGGCATATCCTACCACTTTTGAAATCTACGATTCCGGCCCGTTGAGATCCTCAGTCAAGGCTAGCTACAAGATCAGCGAACACTCTTCCATGGACGTTGTCATTTCCTTGGATGGTTTACAGTCGCTTGAGGGTGACTTGTCGTTCTTGCGCTTCCATTGCGACGTGGATTGGCATGAAGAGTGCAAGTTCCTCAAGGTCCAGTTCCCAACCACCTTGAGGACCTCCCTTGAGGCTTCTTACGAAACGCAGTACGGGATCACCCACAGACCAACCCACTGGAACACTTCCTGGGATGTGGCAAAGTTCGAGGTTATTAACCACAAATTTGCAGATTTATCCGAGTTTAACTACGGCTGCTCTGTGGTGAACAACGGAAAGTACGGGTTCTCTATTCACGGGAACGTCATGAGACTTTCCTTGTTAAGAGCACCAAAGCAGCCAGATGCCCATGCCGATATGGGGAGACACGTATTTGAGTACGGAATCTACCCTCACAGAGGCGCCCTTGGCATGGACACTGTGAAGTTGGGCTACAACTTCAACTACCGCATGGACGAAACCTTGATGCTTAGTGGGCCTAGGATTACGGAAGCTGCTGGCTTATTGAATTCCATTTCTTTGGAAAGCAGAGACCAGAGTTTGATTTTGTCGCACGTCAAGAGAGCCGAGGATGATGCGGATGTGACTACCCATGACTTACCTTTGCAGTACGAGGGACACAAATCGTTGATTCTCCGCGTCTATGAAGCTTTGGGTGGTTCCTCCCGTGGGATTTTGAACATCTCTGGTTTGAACGTAGCAAAGATCGTAAAGACTAACCTCTTAGAGGAGGACCTCGAGGAAGTGACGGTTGAATCTACGAAGGACGGTGCGACAGCAAAGATCAGTTTGCGCGGTTTTGAAGTAGCCACATACAGAGTTGTTTTGAAGTAGTTTGGTAATTCCTGTGTTTCTGGAGTCTCCCAGAATTAGCGCGAGTTCTTTTTTCTTTCCTCTCCCTTTTCAATTGCGTTTTTCATTTCCGGTTTTTGTAGTCAAAAGTTAGCTTTATACGATGACTGAATCAGCGCTATGGAAAATAATTCCATAAACTGCTAGCTTATTTCGGAGACGTAGTTTTGCACCTAGTCTCCTTATAAACCAGACCCACTTTTACAGTAGCGTTGCATCAAACTTGACCGGCCCCTCGGTATACATGTCTGTTCTCACAAGAACGGAAATGTTAGTCCGAGCTATATATGGGTAAATTTCATCCGAGACCCCCGCCTATGATAGCTCGCGAGGTTATAGGCCAGTCGCTATGACCGAGTTCTGATGACGTCATGGTTCTATGAAAATCACAGAGAGCTGCCATCCCTCACGTGACGCGAGGTTATTTGCTCTCTTTTGCCGAATCTGGCCGGCACCTCTGTAACTCGCAAGGTACAAAGTGTGAAATGGGCCGATTTTCTTACCGCCAACTAGATAAGCGTAACTCTGTCGAGTATATAAATACCTCTTCGTCCCCCCTGTAATTTTTGAAACCTCAGACTTTCGTTTTTTCTCTTTCAGCCGTCTATCAAAAGTCTCCTTGCTCGGAGAACCCCTCGGCCCGCGAAGGCTAACCCCGGGATACCCCTCGGGAGGGTAACTCCGCTTTACGGTCTGGATCGCCCCATTACACAATTATCCTGACTAATACTCGCCACATTAATCTCGTCGCGAAGATGTCCGGCACCGACCCCCTAAACCTCCAATTCTGGATAGCTTGCTTGCCCTTCCCCCGAAGTTGCGATTCTTCCTATATAAGCCGTGCCTTTCTCCGTAGTCTCTGGATCGTAGCAATTGAACCAATTCACATTTAAACACAAATATTATCAAAATGGTTAAAGCTGTTGCTGTTGTCCGTGGTGACGCTAAGGTCGCCGGTATCGTTACCTTTGAACAAGTTTCTGAGAACGAACCAACCACCATCTCCTGGGAAATCACCGGGAACGATCCAAACGCCTTGAGAGGGTTCCATGTCCACGAGTTCGGTGACAACACCAATGGTTGCACCTCTGCCGGCCCCCACTTCAACCCATTCAAGAAGAATCACGGTGCTCCAGAAGATGACGAGAGGCACGTCGGTGACTTGGGTAACATAACCACAGACTCTAAGGGTGTTGCCAAGGGTGTCAAACAGGACACCTACATTAAGTTGATCGGTGCTAACTCCATTTTGGGAAGAACCGTCGTCGTCCACGCGGGTACCGACGATTTAGGTAAGGGTGGCCACGAAGACTCCTTGAAGACTGGTAACGCTGGTGGCAGACCAGCCTGCGGTGTCATTGGTATCTCAGCTTAACTAGACCGCCCCTCTAAGATATGATTAAGGTACCAGCGCCCGCAACTCACAAAGGTTGCTCCTTTTCACGAATTTATCATAACGTCTAAATGCCTTGGTGTGTAGCAACAATTGCAATGTAGAATGGCAATGCAAGTGGCATTGACCTTTGATGAGGCAGTGGTTGCGGAAGTTATACAATCTGTTATTATCAAATGCGTGTATAAAACTCCCTAACTTTTTGCACTATGACTTCTCCGATATAGTGTAACGGCTAGCACGGTTCGCTTTCACCGAGCAAACCCGGGTTCGACTCCCGGTATCGGAGTTCCTTGTTTTTTGTGATCTCTCCTCTCATTATTATTCATTTTCGACACTGGCATTCTTTGAAGATGAAATATACATTATTTTTTTCTCCGGATAATTGAGTAGTAGTTCTACACCGGGGCTAGTATCAACAGGATGGCTGTTTCTTTGGAGGAGGGATATGTAGGTCAACTTTCAACCTACACCCTGTGACAGCACTGCTTCTAGAATAAAGCCAAGATGCTCTACCTGGTCCATATTCAATTAAATCAGCAAAAGCTGCACCCCTTACGGATGACTACTGTCGACATATTCATCTAAAGAGGACCTCGGCTTGCCTCGCAGAAACCTTCTCCTTCGATAGGCATCTAGCGGCTATGGGAGGATTTCCGCGTTGCATGCATAACCGAGACAGCTGCACGCACACGTTGGACGGGCATGTTCGGTTAAACTAGACACATATATTCAGGGTCCAGGTCAGCTGCATAGGCATATTTCCGATAAGTTAGTAGCCAGGCTGCATATATCTGCCCTGGGACCCGATAGGTGAGTTAGGTGTTTGAAAATGTCTGTGGGTGAGCCCCGTATAGCATCTGTAATCTTTCCCGAGCATGGCACAGAGTATGAACAGAGCCCTTTTCCGCCCCACGGCCGAAGAGACATGCACCATGTAGAACTTGCGGGGGATGACGGTGGTTTGACTAATGCTTCATCGCTTGTAAATTGCAGTTTGTCCGGGGCAGTTGTAATGGTAGAGATTCCAAAAAAGATTTAAAAGTTTCTTACAGAAGAGTTAATTAAGAATTAAACGCTAAATACAGAGACACCATAAGCATTATTTTAGTTGCACCAGAACTTGAAAACCTTCTTGTGGAAAGGCATAGCCTTGAACTCAGTCCTTTCTTCGGCCAACTCTTGTTGCAAGAGATCATAGTCTATCTCCTTACGGCCGGTGAAGATATCCATATCAGCAGCTCTAATAAACAGTATGACATCCTTCTTCCAAATTTTGTACCCAAAGTAGAAGCCAAAGAAGACAAAAAAGCCTAAGTAAGATTGGAAGAAGACAGTCGCGTTTGGAGTGTGCTCACCAACAGGGTATAAACCGACCCAGAACTGAGCCATGAGAACCAAGATACTGACAACAATGGTGAAGTAAGAGCCCAAGACACCAGTGGCGGAAACAAACGAAAGATACTTGGTAGATTGGCCGTGGGCGGAAAGACCACTTCTAAATCTTATGTGAGACCAACAGATGGTGACCCATGCGAAAATGGTGCAGAGACCAGACAATGACAACAACCAGTTGAAGATGTCCTCCTGCTTGTTACTGGCAGCCACAAAGGCCAACAATCCGAATAAAAAGTTCAAGGCAATAGCCACCAATGGTCTGCCGGACTTGTCGATGTATCCGAAGAGCTTCGGGGCGTTACCCTGTTCTGCCATGGCAGACATGAATCTAGAACAACCGTAAACAGAGGTGTTACCCACAGACATGACAGAGAGTAGAATAACAGAATTAACGACCGAAGGCAAGCCCTTGATCCCAGCCAACTGAACGGCAATGACGAAAGGAGAGGCCTGGGTAGCACTGCCTGTAGAACCCAATAGTTCATCAGAGGTGTATGGGACACACAACCCGACAACGGTCAAAGCCGAAATGTAAAAGATCATGATTCTCCAGAAAATCTGCTTGATGGCCTTAGGGAATGACTTTCTTGGGGTCAATGACTCACTAGCGGTTAAACCGATAATCTCAGAGCCTCCGAACGAGAAACTAGCGGTAACAAATACGGAACAGATGCCCTTGAACCCACCGGAACTGTTGAAAGCACCCGGTTCGCTCCAGTATAGACCACCGATGTATTCGGTGTTCTTGATACCACCGCAATTGTAAATGACTCCGAAAATACAGAAGCCAACAATGGTCAAAACTTTAATGGAAGAGAAGAAGAACTCACCCTCGGCGTAGCCTCTGGCTCCAAAGAAGTTGATAAATAAAATGACACAGTAGAAAATGGCAATCCAGGCATCAGGGTTAATGGACGTGTTCCAGTATTGGATGACCATAGACGCAGTGACTAATTCCAACGGCAAGATGATCAACCACTGAATGCAACAGTTCCAGCCAATAGCAAATCCCCAGGCTGGATCGATGAATCTGGTAGCGTAGGTGGTGAAAGAACCGGCAACAGGAAAGGCGACAGCAAGCTCCGCCAAAGAGAAAATGGTACAGATCAAAACAGCGCCCATAATGATGTAACCAATCAAAATACCAGCGGGGCCGCCAGTGCGTAAAACCTTACCAGAGCCAACAAACAACCCTGTACCTATCCCACCACCCATGGCGATCATGAGCAAATGTCTAGTCTTCAAGGTCCTTTGCAATGGCGATTTGGCTGTTCTGATGGCTGCCTTCTGCGCATCTGTCAATCCCTCACCGATGATTTCGTCAGACTCTTGCCTCTTGAAGCCGTCTTTGAACTTAGCCCAACCAGTTAATTCTGATGGTATGTTTGAGCGCGTGGAATCAGAGTTCAATTCTGTGGAGTTGGAAGTGAATCCGCGCCCTTTTTCTTCATCGTTGGAAGAGTATGGACTTGCAGACATACCCTTGTTTTGCTGTTATAGGTCTGGTGGATTTTAACTGAGCGGGTCAAATGCAAAGGTATCTAGATTGACTAGAGCTGTAAATTCTCCTGTTTTTCCTTATAAGATGTGAATGAAAGAGGCGAAACAAAGAGGATAGACGCGTTTTACGGGGAATGGTAAATGTATATATATGCCCCTATCTTGGTACAAGAAAAACCTTCAAAGGTTGGCGTCACTGTACTCCACTAAAATATGCAAGCTTGGTGTTTCTTTTTAGTATGCGCCCGGAGCATGGAGAGTAATATGATCCGCTAGGTTCCTGGCTAATGAAAGCACATTGTGTGCATGAATTGGGGAAGAGTTGTGGCCATAATCGACGCCTCAAAGGAGGTAGAGAGGGGGGGTATATGCATTAATGAATCACACCCGCTGCCAGTCCTGGCAGCCAGACACTTTTCCGGGCCTAAGGGCTGAAATTTAGCACTTGGAGTACAGCTTTTGTTACGATTGAGGTATGAGTCTTCGACTTACCTGACGCATGCCGATTCTTTCACCCGCACATGCATACAGGATCTTTTTTTTTTGCATGATACATGAAGCCAGGGTAAGCTTCTCCCAGAGTCAACTGACACCTCCACCTTCGTCTTTGACCTGTAAAGTCACTCGACTCGGTTACGACCTTCCTCCGACGAACAGCAATCAGACTTGAACCTTGCTATACATCTGTTTTAAACCGAGCCGTAGCCTTGTTGAGGCGATCTAATAGCGTTCAGAACCGTCAGCCGAAAGTTGGTTTCTTTTTTTTCAAGCACCGTTCTCAGGTCTTGGCTCCGGCCCCGGTAGTGTTTGACGTGTAGTGTAACATGGCTTATAAGAGAGCCGGACAGGTGTTTCTGTCATCGGTATAATGTACAGGATGGTTGCTTCACCTAAAATCACTCGGAACCTAAAACCTGTTAAAGCCGATGGCAGTTATATTCGTTAGTAATGGGGTCTTCCAGAACTCCACCCTCAGCTCAGTCCCAATTAGAAGTACCAGACGCCTCGGAATTCAAATCCCCAAGTATGTATGCGCCAAATAGACACCAATTGTTATCATGGAGTCATGACGGAAGTTGGTTACGATTCTGGTACTCTAGTTCGTAGCTACGAGTCTCACCCTGTTGTATTTCACTTCAGCAATAAGGCTAAGCGGGTGGCCTGATTAGGGCACCCAGCCGCCTACTAAGTATACGCGTATAATACATGTTCGACTAAGCGGAGCGAGGGGGCGCACGGCGTTTTTGAAATTCGTAAAAGTGGAAGTTCGTGCAGGGTTTTCCCCGGTAACGGTGTCCGTATATGGCCGCCGTAACGTGTGCTGGACCAGATATCAACGATTCTTTCGGGGACTAAGTATTGATAATATTGCCAATTCGGATAAAATATCTATTCCAAAGGCTCGTGTCCATAGAACACACGGTATTTGCCGGGTATATGTTCCTCGCACATATTAGTATAACGAAAAAAAAAAAATTTATACCATGAAGCGATATATCGTAAAACTATCTTAGCCTTAAACTCAGGAGGCATCACAGCCCGTCTGTATTATCAATGTGAAGCCGGTAAGATAAACTATGGCTAGTTAGAGCAGCCTCATATTAAGGAATAATCTGAAGCCAAGTCGCCAGCTATTATCAATCCAAATCGTTAAGTGCATTCTGTAAATCGTTTCCTAGCCATCGGTCAAATCTATTACGACCACATCTTGCACCATTCTAGACTCCTTGATGGCCAGAAGCACAGGATTCCCCGCTTTGTTATTCCTTCGAGGTGCCCCCTCTTCATCGCTCAAGTCAATAATTTCAGTAGAGCCTTCCCCGGTTTTAAGCTTCCTTCTTTTGAAAATTGCATGCGGCACACGGCGGTTATCGCCCGGTTCGTTTTGAATTCCTCCGTTATCTAGGTTCGAATTACCCCCGCTCGGTTCAAATTTCTCCGTGTCTTCTTCCACATCAATAGGTTCGATAATTTCCAAATCATCGTCATCCGGAGCTTCGCTTTGTTGGGTTTTATCGTTGTAGTCTCCGTGGCACCACTTTGAATCTTTCAATCTTCTCTCTACCGCTTCTAGAATTAACTCGCGTAGAGGTTTCTTGGTCATCGTTCTCCTTTCGGGATTCGCTCCCTCAGCCCCTAGCTCGGAATTCGATCCTAATCGTCTTTTTTCAGCCACCAACTTGGTCTGGCAAACCTTGGCTAATCGGTCTTCTCTGGCCATCAAGGAGCGTCCTCCTAGAGGAGTAGCACCCTCACTTAGGTACCCGGTAGTCTGTAGCGACCCACGGATTTGAATGTCGTGGAACTCAGTCTTCAACCCGTCCAAAAAGTTGTAAAACTTGTTGTCATGGGGACCATACAAGTTATGTGTCAACTCGTGAAGCATAGTGCCAATCAAATCGCCCAACGGTAGAAAGGATAGCTCATTGGTGGCGTAGCGGAGCCGGATGCATACTTTTTGTCCTCGGTTCATGTTGAGGCCTAGGAGGCCAGGATTCTTGGGGAACATTTCACAGAGAAGCCCCACCTTGAAATTGTGTTTGTGCATTATGGGTGCCACCAAGCGGGCTATGTCGTGGATAAGCTTTAGTGCATCCTCCTTCAACGGCTTTCTCTGGAGAGAGGCGATTTTAGTGATGCGCAGGGTCGGAGGAGATACGTTTAATTGCTGAGAATTCGACTTAAAGTTTCGTTTGGGGGACATCTTAAGGTACTATGATGGTGACGATATGTTTTTATATGCTCTATAGACCAGTGAGCTCTCAGATCTCGGTACAGTTGTTGTGTTTTGATGCTACTTTTCGAGTGATCACTGCAGGAGATGCAATGCTAACCGCATACATGCATATCGGTAGCCTGGTAAATTGATGGCTATTTCGAGCCTTGAAGATAAACAAAACACTTGCCCCTATCATCATCGTATGACTATCTTACCTACCTCCTGTATACTTTCTAAAAGATCATTAGGTATTTGAGGCTGACAGACTAGAGATAATTCTCGCTATATTTTGGGATTTTCGTGATCAAATGGTTCTGGCTGGATATACGTACACACTCAATCATAGTCCCTTGGACTTCTATAGTTAGTGTCGCGGACCATTAACAATAGCACCTTATCTTCCTCTTTTGCCCCTCTCAATAAAGCTTCGTACACATTAATATATTAGTCAAATTATATAAATAGGGTTTTGGTTGGTGTAGCACGATGCCTTGCACCGCGCAGCCATGAAAAGAAATAAAAGAATGGAATAGTGACAGGTCGTTAAACATTAAAGCATCCAAATTACATGGAGAACCCAAGGTTCTGGTTTTTGGAGGCGGGAGACCCCGGGAGCGAGTAGCCCAACGCCGCGGAACTCAACGACAACTGCTCCAATTGCTGCATCACGTCCTGGGGTTGACCTGGGTACGGCTGTTGGAACTGGGATGGCGGGAACCCTTTTTGGTACTGAGGCTGGGACTCGTACTGCGGTTGAAGCTCGCCCTGGTACCGAGGCTGGGGGAAGTCGTTCTGGTACCGTGACTGTGGAAGCTCGTTCACGTACCGTGGCTGGTACAGAGCCGATGGGTAGTTCATCTGGGCTGGCACGTACGGAGGTCGTTGATAGTTCTTAAACCCCGCTTCTGGAATCCGCGTGGGGGACGTCGAGATTCTGGCAGTGCTGATTCTGGGAACGGCGTTGGATGAGTATGAGCGCTGATGTTGGGTAGCGCCGCTGTTCATCCGCGCGGAGAGGCCCACCTCCTCCAAGAGTCGTTTGTATCCCTGGAAGGAGCTGAGGTTGGCGGACAACTCCATCAACACGCGGCGAACCTGGGTTACCACATGCTGGCGGAGACTGCCCTCCAACGACGGTGTAGATAAGACTTTGTAGACGAAGCTGGCACCGTGGGACGCAGAGTCCAGCAAGATGCGGTGCAAGACTGGGGGCGCCACGTTATCACCCTCTGGACCGAAAAGCGCATCCAAAAGCAAGTCACGCGCACCCAAATCGATGCGGTTGTTGACCACCTTCAATACGGTCAAGCTGGCGAGCTTGTGCGTACACAAATCGCCCAAGTGCGGCGCAAGGCGTGGCGCAAGGATCGTATGGCGCTGCGCAAGCGTGCACGTATCAAGGAACCAGGTGACGAGCAAGGCGCCGTTAGCGTCAGTCGCCAAAAACTCCGCGCTCATGACAATGATGACAGCCACAAGTGCGGTCTGCACGGGCGTCGCTGCATCGCTCTCGAGGCACGCGCGCACGGAACGCGCGCCGAAACGACCCTGGCTAATCAGCCAGAAGTGCGCCATGATTGCGACAAAGATAAAGTCATTGTACGGCGAGCCAAACTTCAAACAGCACTGCAACACGTAGTTACCGAACTGGTCGTTGAACAACGGTACCGCGTAGTCCGCAAGGCTACCCGCGATAACGTTTTTCTGGATCAGCGTGCGTGACACCGCCACCATCTTCTGTGCAGCCCATGTCCCATTCTTGTGCACGCCCATCTGCGACAAATACGGCGCCACCTGCTTCAACATCATGGTGCGCACCGCATCAGACTCGCACTGCTCAAAGAGCTTCTGTACGACGGTGTTGCCGAGGTAGTCACTCGCAAGCTCAGGCAACTCATCCAACATCAGGAGCGCCAACTCCTCAATCTCCAACTGCGATAACTGGTCAGCATCAAGGTTCTTACGGATGTCACGCAACCGCGGCGCATCGTACACGCGGTTGGCCAACGGCTCTGGCAACGGGCCTGAGTCGTCAAGGTTAGAGGAGAAGGACAACGCGTGGGACGTAAAGTGGTCGATCTGCGCCAAGTCTGCCTCTGATGTGATCCCGAGCTGTCTCACGTACGTGTAGAGCTCGTCGCGAATATCGCACAAGGATGGTGGGACACGCGCGAGCGTCTTTTGCTCGCCGATAGACGACTGGCTCTTCTGGTGCGACAACCCCTGGGGCAATTCGCTTGGCTGCGCGAGCATCTTGACGAATGCGACGATGCACGGAAACCCAGGCATCAACTCCTGATGGCTGACAGATGCCTTTGCGAGCATTGCCTGGTCGACCGTGTGGTACTCAACCAAACAGAACTCATTGTCGGTAGCCAACTTGAGCGAGAGCACAATCCCAAATTTGCGGAACAAGTGCGCCAAAGTTGCAGGGTTGCAGCTCGCGGACGGCGGTGGCAAGTTGATAAACATCAAGATGTTGGTGGGGCCGAGGTTCAGGTCCTGAAACGACGTGACAAAGTTGATACTGCGCTTGTCGAAATTGTCCACCAAGTATGGCGGGTTGTAACCCTGGAACTGGCTGGAGGTCTGTTGCGGCACTTGCGGCTGGTAGAACGGCTGGGGCTCGGGTGGCGGCGCGTACGAGTATGTAGATGCACGAGGGCGGCTTCCCTGGGCCACGGCGGACGGTGGGCGTGCACCGAATGGCTGGTGGTCCGGGGCTAGGTATTTCACTGGTGGTGCGTCGTACTGGTTCAAATAGTACAGTTGGCTATCACCGGTCAAGACGTTAGCGGTGTAGGAGCGCGGTCTGGGGTCATGCGCAAACGGGTCCTTCAAGGTGTCGAGTGCGGGCGCGACGGGATCCGCAAATTGCGACTCGTTATTAGACACGAGCGAATCGTGTGTACTGCCGGACTCGTAGTACGGCGTCATCTGCGACGTCATGGAGGCGGAGGAGGTGTCGTTCCAAATGGACGCGATGGTCGAGTTGGACAACACTGAAAGCGAGCGCATTCTGCCACCCAGGGCGGACGGGATGGGTGTCAAGCTCTCACCGAAGAAGAAGGGATCACCGCGCGACGCAGCCAATGCTGGCGAGTCGCTGGGGTTAGTCGGGTAGAAGCGCGACGGCGACGTACCCGATCTAGATCTGACGCGGGGCGCGCTCGACGTTTCGGGAACAGGAAGGCTCTCCGAGGGCGAATGGGAGAACCCATTAGGATATAAGAATGCAAAGGAGTCGCTGGAAATCATAAGCGGGAAGGGTTCATTTACGGGGTGGGCGGGGAGTGTTTAAGGAGTGGAAGTCAGGGAGGGGTTGCTCGGCGGCTAATTTTAGCCTAAGGATAATAGTTAGAAGTGGAAGTTGGTAGAGATGGTGAAAAGTGGAATAATAGTGGATAATTCGTGTTTTGATTTGACTTTGACTGTGGAACGGAGTGATCGAGGATAAAGAGATCGAAACATAAATCAAACCAGACAGGCTGGAATAAATGCGACCCATCTCACAATCGCCTTTTTTAGTTTTTCGGCCTAGTACAGCCTCAGAGAGCACCTAACTGATTCCGGGTACGATTGCGCACGACTATTCCGGGCGGGGGGCACAAACTAGGAAACGAAAATAGAGATGAATTAATGGCCCGTTAATGGACTTAAGAGTTACAATTTAAGTTTAACCAGAGCTATATCTGTTTTTAGCTGCGTGTAGCGGTATAAAATCCTTAGAAACGCCTCTAGAGCTAGATCCGGGGGGATGTACAGACACTCGATCTCCTTCCATACCAGCTACTTTGGGATTTTACCCTTGTGTGCAGGCACGTAAAGAGGCATGGGGCATCACACGTCGATAAGAAATGCAAACTATAGGATGGTGGGACGTTATTCGTTAATATGTTGTCGTCTACGAGTATTCTTCAAAGAGAGACGTATCGACGGTTTCTCTCTGGTCTCAGTGAAGTAGGTGCACAGCCTACTTTGATGCGACACCGCCTCCTGCCGACTGCCGTTTCACACGGAAACGTACTCTCGCGAAACATTGCCAAACAGGGAAGCGTGTGCAATGACATCAGGTAGCGTAGGAAGGCGTCAAAACGCGTAATGTATAGTATAGCTGGAAATGTGGAGATTATTAATATATATTGAAATCAGGTATCTTCCAGGGTGCCTCCAACAGTTATCCCACAAGCCATATGCATACGATTTGAGGTTGATTAAATACCCTCATTCAACCGGTACAACACATAATTAAACGTAAAAGACTCAGATGTATAAACCTGCTAGCTCAAATAATTCGACTCCAGCAGGAGTTTGTGTGCCTCACTTATGCTGTCTAGTAGGATAGTCCACCGTAAATTTAGGTTAGCTTATGTATTTACCGCTGGTCACTGTATCCCCTTCTGGTACTTCCCAGCAATTTCTGGAACTGGTTATTTAATTTTCGTACTCTTCGTATATTAACATCACGTTGCGCTCTGTGTTATACGTGATGTGGTTTCATGTGAAGCATGTTACGTTGCAAATATCCTCTCCCACTCCTGAATTTGGTGTTTAGTCTCTGTCACTTACCGGTGTCTACAGCCTTTTATCAGGTTAAGCCCTGGGGCGTCGTGTATGTAAGGGCGTAAAGTAACGAGTTTCCCTAGTCCATATAAGCGTGTCAATAACGGCGGCACCTGGTAAAACGATTCGGTTTACGGGAAATCTTTTATTAGCCGCTGGTTCATCAGAAAATAAGAGCATATAAAGGATATAAACATAATGACGACTCTGCTGCGATACACGTCTTTCCTAGGATATCTTCCCGTATTTCCTTGTATGGGACTATATGCTGCAGATAAAGCACTCTGACGAGACATGGCAAGATACGATTTTTGTTGATTACCACTCTAGTCAACCTTGCGTCTCGCTAAATAGGCGCCCACTGCCCCTGTGAGGCATCGGTATACGCTTACTATGTATTATTTAAGTTAATCGGTAACTTCTAAGACAAAAATAACAAACATTACGAGTTATCTGAAAGCTTAATGGCTGTTTTCGATGGCAACGCAAGTTTGCTTAGCCACTTTCATGCCAAGGCCCCACCGCCTTGTAGTTTTCTGCTGTGCAACGCACGCACGATTACCCGCCCTGTCGAATTTCCCCTCTCCACACGTAGTACAGCGTCTAAAGCAAAAACTACCACAAAGATATTGCTTTAAACGCCCAAGTCTGTTGTCTCTACTATACGCCAGACAGTACCCTTCCTAGAAAGCTTAGATTAGCATCTGCTTAAGTGAACAGAGAAGTACAGCCCTCAACCCCTCGGCAGCACCATCGCCACCCGCACAAAACTGTCTTACCGCTAGATCAGTATACCACGATGGACATTCCAATCTTCAACTCAATTGACGAATCTACCGACTCCTTGGGCTCAGAAAGCCCTAACACCATGCTACGTCAAGCATCGGCGGAGTCGTCACGCTCTCAGCTCCGAATGGCGGAAAGCACTAATACGGTGGTAAGCCCACCCCTCTCCGAGCAGCCAAAATTCCGATACAACGACGGAGAGTTTGACACCCATCCTAGTATTGAGGATGATTTCATCCACGCCCGCCGAGAAATCATCAAGCGAACCTCATACCTGAGCGATGTCGCGTTGCAAAACTATTATGTCAACCCGTACGCGCCTATCACTAGATTGCCCACCGAAATCTTGTTGCTAGTTTTCCAGTACGTGGGAAAGGCTAAGAGCGACTGGATCCGGATCTTGCCAGTATGCAGATACTGGTCCACCCTATTATTGGAGCTCATCTGGTTCCGGCCGATTGTTCAGGGCGAGAACGCCTACCGTGGTATCAAGCACGTAATGACCAACTTAAAACAGAACCCGCAGCAACGCACGACAAACGACTACCGCCAGTGGATCAAACGGTTGAACTTGTCCTTCATCATCCAGTACGCCAAGGACGACTTTTTGGACTTATTCGAGGGTTGCTCGAACTTGGAAAGATTGACATTGGTCAATTGCAGCAAATTGACGTCACCAAGCATTATTAGAACCTTGGGCGGTTGCACACGGCTTCAGTCAATAGACATGACGGGTATTAATCCAGACCATATCAACGACGCATTATTCACAACGTTGGCTGAAAACTGTCCCCGCTTGCAGGGGTTGTACGCCCCGGGATGCGTATCCGTCAGCGAAAAGGCGATTATCAAATTGATTGACTCCTGCCCACTGTTAAAGAGAATCAAGTTGAGCGAGAATAAGAACATTACGGACGTGGCAGTGAAGCGTTTGACCGCTAACTGCAAGTACCTCGTGGAGATCGACTTGCTAGGCTGTCAAAATGTCACCGACGAGGGTCTAGCGGAGGTTTTCTCTTCGTTAGATCAGCTACGTGAGTTCCGTATCAGTCACAACGAAAACATTTCGTACGCTTGTATCGAGCAGTTGGACATGACCCCCTCATTGGACCGCTTGCGGATCTTGGACTTCACCGGCTGTACCCAATTGACCGACAAGGTGGTTGAAAAGTTTGTTGTCTGCGCCCCCAGATTACGTAATGTGGTGTTGAGTAAGTGTCATCGGATCACCGATGCCTCATTGAGGGCTCTATCCACGTTGGGCAAGAGTTTACACTACATTCATTTGGGCCATTGTGGGTTGATCACCGATTGGGGAGTCAAGGATTTGGTCAAGCTGTGTCACCGCATCCAATACATTGATTTGGCATGCTGTGGGCAGTTGACTAACGAAAGTTTGATCAGCTTGGCAGACTTGCCAAAGTTGAGAAGAATAGGGTTGGTCAAGTGCGCCAATATCACCGACCGCGGGTTAACAGAGTTGTGTACCAGAAGGGGGCCAAACGATACGTTGGAACGCGTGCACTTATCGTACTGCACTAATTTGACGTTGTTTCCAATCATGTTATTATTGCGCAATTGTCCACGGTTAACCCATTTGTCGCTTACCGGGATTCAGGAGTTCTTGAGATCTGACTTCACAGTCTTCTGCAGACCCCCACCGCCGGAGTTTACCCCACATCAGCAGCAATTGTTCTGCGTGTTTTCGGGGACTGGGGTGAAACAGTTGCGTACTCACTTAACTCAGTTGTTGACAAATCCTATGGGCCTTCAGTTAGGACCGCAGGAGATGCGTGAAGCCATTCCCAATGGCTTTGGAGTGAGATTGAACCACCCATTTCCTAACGGAGCGGCGCCTGCAGGTGTAGGGGCCAGCTTGCTTGCTCCGGGGAATGTCATGACACAAGGAGAAACCCTTCCTCTTACGGACCTTGGGGTGGAAGAAGCCGGAGAGAACTTTCGCATGTTACAATTACAAAGGTATCAAATTGCAAGGGCCCAGCAACAGGAACGAATGGAGCAACAATACTTGCAAGCGATACAAGACCACCAGGTCGCCCAACGCCAACAGGGGGCCGTCTTAGATACCCCGCCCCCACCGCCGCCTCCTCCTCCTCCACAGGCGCCGATGCAACACCGCCAGACGCCGCTGTTGCAGTTTCTCCAACCACAGGATATCTTAGGTGGTCTGCTGGCAGAGTCAGTGACCAACGGGGTGAACATTAACGCCGACTTGGCTATTGGAGGCTTAACGGTTAATCTCCGTGGAGATCCACAGCCGCATTTGCAACTCTTAGCAGCAGGTGATGGTGGAGATGAACAGTTGAGCACCGCCAATATTCAGGCTTTTATTGCCCAGTTGAGAGAGCCGCCGTTACCTCCGAATGTCATTGCGCTCATGTTTGAACGCACCCATTCCGAACGCCCACAAAATTTGGCACAGATGTACTTGAGACATCAGGAGTACCATTTGGTGCGCGAGCGCGAAGCCAAAAGGCAGCAGATGCAGCGGTTTTTTGCTCTGAGGGGCATCTCTTTCGAACACATTACCCGGGATTTGTTGCTTGAATTGTTCCATCACCCGTTTGTTGTTGCTGCTGCTAACCAGATGAGACTAGAGGATGATGACGTGGACCTTGAAGGTGATGTGTTGATGTAACATCCTGACAACTCAGTGTAGGCCTTTAACTTGAAGTTTGGTTTTACGTTCGACATCAGTGTTAATAAAAAGTTAATGCTACCATTCTCGGAACTATTGATGTTAGTGTAACGCTGTAGGGATTTTCCGTGTAGAGGATATATAAAATAGCATATATGATTGGATGTTTCATGCATGTGTGCTGACCTTGATTTCAGACTCCATGCGTGCATTGTGGATTAGGCAAAACATACACACTTCGATAAGCAGCAAACTCATGTCTCAAAAAAGCTATGCAGTTCAAGTTTGCCTGGCCATCTAACAATTCAATAGTACGCAGACTATAGTCACTGAAATATTGGTTTGATTGTTGGGTTTGGTTATTTGAATATCTAACGAACGAAATACAAAAAAGTATTAAAAAGCTTTAGTTTGTGCTCTTATACGGTCTTTCGTTTGATAGGCTTTATATTCTATACTCTGAGAAACATCGTTCAACTCCATGCTATGCCATATGTATATATGTGTGCATCGAGTATTACCATAGTCAATTATAGGCATTGGTACTTGTTGGTAGGTGTATACTCAAATTTATCTGAGTGATGTTTTAAATATCGTATGTAAACGCGTACATACACACATATTTTCTACGCTCATTATTTAGTCAAATATATAATTCTTTCAGTATTTAGCCTGATATATATCTAAATATAATACAATTTCAATACATAGACCATTTACGCTTATCTAGATAGATATAAATATATCTCATATACCTATATATTAATATGACTCACTGTTTATAGAATCACGAAATTTAAGCTCGAATATATGTATATCGATAGAACAAATAGTACTATATATGACCACTAACGTGTTGAGCTAAAAATTAAGGCTAGAGTTTATGTGCAGTCTCAAATGTACGCTAGGGAATTGAACTTCCTTCAAGCGTCTTACAGGTGCGCACTTTCCATAGACACAAGGTATTATTCACATGATTATTGACGGCATTGCCTCCCATGGACTTTACGCGGTAGAGCTGAAATGGTGTAGCCATTCTCGTTCGTGCGATTTTGGATTACGGCGGCTTTACGGCTACCCCGCGAAAGTTTCAGCACGCATCATCTGACGCATGCCTAGTTCCTATAATCTCTCTTTCGCCCACCGTCCTTATCTCCTGGGCCTTATCTCCGCCTACAACATTGACCATTTCCTGAATCCCAGCGTCTCATCTTTCAGAACGTGGCACAAAATTTACCTTCTTCTATAGACCAGCTTAGCAGAGGAGACTTTGGCCGGACAAGGAGTAGCTGTATCGTCTTGATCTAAAATTTACCGAATCCTCATACGTGATAAGTGTATGCATGCAGGTGGGGAACCCGAGGAAAAAATCGGGTACAAAACCGATTCAAGCTCTGAAGAATGAGAAAAAGGAAACGTGAACTTAGATATGAAACCTTAACCAGTAACATGGACCTTGTCTTAGTGGGATCCAATCAGTCTTATTTGATTGGGTAACTTAACCATCCGGGATTAACGTAATCTTGCGATACGCTACAGTGCTCTCATGCGAGAGAGGCAAGCGTGTAATACAATAATCCGGTTGTCATTTGTCACTGCAATGTATATCACGAACCAAGAGTTATAGAAATTCTACTTACGAAAGTACCCAGTTTTATGGCGTTCTTTTACCGAAGTTTCCTAGTATTCAATAGGTGGCATGTGATATTATGCGGGAGATATTGCTTGCTATGACATAGTCAGACAGTATAGCTGCATACAGCAATAATTGTTTCAGGATTGGGTTACTATATACAGGAATTATTTATAGTATATAAAAAGCAATTATATCAGGATCAGGATTCCTGTATAGGATAGAACTAGGAAGGGGGCACGTGATATATTCCCCTACTACCGAACATCCCTGCCAATTCTAAAATACTTTCGAGGAACTTGAAGCGGTGAAGGTGAAACTACAAGCTTAGCCGTTCGTTCCAAGATTCTAATGGCGCTATCAAGACATTGCTTAGTAACCAACTCCGCCTCGACAAAGACTTGTACTAGCCACCCACAGCCTGGCAACAACGTTTGACCCTATTATATCATGACGGGCTGTCCTAACTTGGGTAATGTGGAGTCTGCATGGATGAAACCACGTGTAGCATGGGAGGCAAACAGGTATAGCGATGATTAGGCAGTGAATGAAAAGTTTTGCATAACTGTGCAGGATAATGGAGTCCCGACATACAAAAGAAAAAAAAAACCAGGATAGGAATATCAGGAATCACGTGATAAATGGAAACGGCCTAACGGAAAACCGGGAAATACAAAGTCGGCACATGCTGAAAAAAAGGCTTCTAAGTCATTTCTGTTCGTTCTCCTATACTCCACGATGGAATTGGGTCTCCTCATTTCGAAATAAAAATCCCATCAAGGTGTATCCATCTAGAAACAGTAATGCGAGCTGAAGATACAGATTGACGGAGGGAGAACCTTGGGATTATTCCTTACCGCTGATGTGCAATGATCACGGGATCAGTTGATTTAGAAGACACTGAGGCCAAGTCTTAGACTTCCTTGCATATGGCGGAAAGTATTCCCCGGCCTTCCCCAGGAGGCGAAGTTATCCGGTATTTAATGTGGAAAACTGCAGGCGCTGTGCGTTATCCCAAGTAATCTAGATCTGCACGTGACTATATATTTGAATAAAACTGTCAAGGTGTCGGTTAAGCCTTTTGTCTCTGATGAAACTCTACCCATTCCCTTAATTTCTGGCCAGAAAAATACCCATAAAGCTGTGTAGACTATCTATATATCATACCAATCTTTGAAGGGGTTTATTTAAAAACCTTGTCGCGCGATTCGAGGGCGATCACTGGATTCAGTTCACAGAAAAAAATACCCCGAATATAGGACGGATTCGGGAGATTAAGAAGGACAAATTTTATTAGATAACTAGTTGAACCTAACCTCCTTTAAGAAAGAAAGCTGCAACACCACACCGGACACGAGATGAGAATATGTAGCACGAAGCTCTAGCCCTTCGAACGCAAGGGTCCCGTATCACTGTCCCCCTCCCCGTGTTATCCTATTTAGAAAGGCCAACGCAAGCCTTAATTTCAGCACATGGGGAAATTTTGATAAGAGAGCAAGTACCAACGAACATTATACCACTGGAGTCAGGGGAGAGCGCGTTCCTGAGGTAAACTGATATCGGATTACCCAAAATGGTCAAAGATTCCCCCCAAAAGGAGCTCTTAGATGAGGTTGCATGAAACAAGCTCTTTTCCGATACAAAATGGTAGCTGCTACCGGGATTAATATCAGACATATCTACATCGGGAAGTGTTGCCCTCAGTGCTCAATGTAGCGGGTGCCCCGAATAAACCTTTCTAGAGGCAGCACTTTCTCAGCCGTTAAGCTAATGTGGCTAGTATTATGGTACGAAGAGCGTTTTTCTATATATAGACCGTAGATCAGGGCGATTGTCTGATTTACCCAATTAGGCAATCCTGTCGATCGCCATCTCCTGATCAATCGTATCAGCACGTGAATTGCCTCGGGAACACCCTCCGAATGGAGGGTTTAACGGGAAAAACTCGGGGGTAGGGGAGTCAAACGCAATTAATTGGTACGGTATCTACAGGATATAATTTCTCTAGCACGTGATTTCCTGATATTCGACGGAAGATTTTCCCGAAATGGATGGCCGCTGCACGCACAACCTTAGCACAATCAGGCTGTGAAATCTGGATACCTGCAGAGAAGAAGCCGGATAGCACAAGGGTTTGGGCTGTACGTCGCGCGATTAAAATTAGGCCTGTTCCGCCCCTCTGCTAACCTAGTTAAGGTTTCGTTATCGGGACTAAGATTTCTGATCGCTTCCAAGAGAGGCAACGTCGTGCATTTCCTTTCCTGAATTTCTTTTTCCCGCTGCACACCACTACCTGTAATCGACCGGATACGGGACCTCATTTCTGATAAGACATTATGGCCAACGGCAAAAGATCTTGTGCTCCGTGAGCCCACCCTAACTCGATTTATATATAAAGGATTAGTATCCCCCTCCATTTCCCAAACAAATCTTCTCTCCTTTCATTCAAAAAAACAACTCCTCCTCTCTTCGTTACATTCTTCAGAATTAACAAACTCATTTGCATTCATTTTCCAAAACATTTTTTTTGCATAAATATCACACACAATGGTTTCTATTGTTGAAAACACCGCTGCCTTGGCCAAGTACTTGACTTTGGACCAAAGAGGGAAGGTTATTGCCGAGTACATCTGGATTGATGGTACTGGTGAAATCAGATCTAAGGGTAAGACCTTATCAAAGGCTCCAGCCTCTATCGATGAGTTGCCAGAATGGAACTTTGATGGTTCTTCTACCAACCAGGCTCCAGGCCACGACTCTGATGTCTTCTTGAGACCAGTCGCTATGTACCCAGATCCGTTCAGAAGAGGTGATAACATCATCGTCTTGGCCGAATGCTGGAACAACGACGGTACCCCAAACAAGTACAACCACAGACACGAATGTGCCAAGTTAATGAAGGCGCATGAATCTGAGGATGTCTGGTTCGGTTTGGAACAGGAATACACCTTGTTTGACAAGGATGACAACGTCTACGCCTGGCCAAAGGGTGGTTTCCCGGCTCCACAGGGCCCATACTACTGTGGTGTTGGTACCGGTAAGGTTTACGCCAGAGACGTTATTGAGGCTCACTACAGAGCTTGTTTGCACGCTGGTATCAATATCTCCGGGATTAATGCTGAAGTTATGCCATCCCAGTGGGAATACCAAGTTGGTACCTGTACCGGTATCGAAATGGGCGATCAGTTGTGGGTCTCCCGTTACTTGCTTTACAGAGTCGCTGAAGAATTCGGTGTCAAGATTTCCTTCCATCCAAAGCCATTGAAGGGCGACTGGAACGGTGCTGGCTGCCACACCAACGTTTCCACTGGTGCTATGAGAGTCCCAGGTGGTATGAAGGTTATCGACGCCGCTTTGGAAAAGTTGGCCAAGAGACACACCGAACACATTGCCTTGTACGGTGCTGATAACCACGAGAGATTGACCGGTCATTGCGAAACTGCCTCTATGGATTCTTTCACCTCCGGTGTTGCTAACAGAGGTGCTTCTTGTAGAATTCCAAGATCTGTTGCTGCTGAAGGTTTCGGGTACTTTGAAGACAGAAGACCAGCTTCTAACATTGACCCTTACTTGGTTACTGGTATCATGGTGGAGACTATCTGTGGTGCCATTCCAGACGCCGATATGACTAAGGAATTCGCTCGTGAATTGTCTTAGGCCGCATCGCCTTCAGCTAAAAGTTTCTAAAAGCATTTCTTTTTGATTTCCATTCTTCATTTCTTGTCACATCTTTTACTATCTCTTCGGTTTTCTACGCTAATTTACTGGGTTATCTTTCGTTTTAATTTTATCATCTCTGATGTTTTCCGCCTTGGCCGTTGTAGTTTCTGGCCCATGACCCTTCTTACAAGGGTAAAACTGGAGGAGAGGGCGATTGGCACACTTTTTCCTAATGGGGAATAATCCAAACACAGCCCGTGGAAGCATAATTAGGGCGGCTGGTTGAATTTTCCGCTAAGCTTTTAGCTTCCAGATCAGTCCTTTATATTTTATTCCGGAAAACTTACATAATCTTTCCTAATTCGTAAGCGGTTTAGCGTAAGCGACAACAGACTTAAACACGTCCCCACCCATGCCTTTGCTTGTACCTGGATATTATAATGATGGTATCTGTGGACGGTAGAAAAACTATGGTGGCGTGCGGCTTGTCACGTGGCAGACCATATCGATGTTGAAGAAAGCAGATCTAACAACTCGTTGACAGTTTACTTGACAGATGATATTATAAGTTGCGGGACCTAATATAATTTCAACATAGTATGTTCACGGATTACTGTGAAAGTAAGGTACAAGCGTCGCGAAGTTTTGTGGTGAGCTATTCGACATCTGCATCATCGGTGTTAAACGGTGTGGCCGAGACGAAACAGCAACTGTGTGGGAGGCGATAAGCTAAAACGCAGGAGATGATCCGTATAAATACGCCTCCGGGGGACCAAACAGATCTCGATTTCAGACCTTCTTTATCTGTCTATACTTGTCTCTACTCCAGCGTGTTTACAAGATATACAAAATCCCCTTTCAATCAACGCTTTAACCAAACCATACGCACCCTCATGTCTAAGCCATACATCATCACCTTGAAGGAAGACGCCAGTGATGCTGACGTTCAAGCGTAAGTATCCCTATGTTTCGTTGCCCATGGTGCTAACATGTATAGTTTGAAGGATCAGGTTACCAGTGCCGGTGGCGAAATCACCAATGAGTACTCCTTGATCAAGGGGTTTTCGTATGTATTATTCTAACCTGCCACTACAGTGGTTACTAACACGCATAGTGCTAATTTACCGGAGGACCATGCTTCCACTCTTGAAACCCATGAACACGTCAACTCTATTGAGGCAGACGGTGAAGTCAAGATCCAGTAGACTGGCTGGTTCCAAGATAATTTTGTACACGTTATTTGAATAAATGGTTTAAAATTATTATAATAACAGGGCAAGTCTAAGAGGAACGATTAAATGCGAGATGACTAGGTTCTGTAAAAGGTCAAGTATACCAAGTACGCTTTATCTTCGAATTCGTCTTTCTAAAGACAATACATGGAGATAATACCCATAAATCCGTATAAATAGTTTTGTATCGAAGCTAGTGCCAGCTGACATATCCTTTCAGCAGAATAGCGACACTAAGCTATGGCTACCGGTCAAGAAACCTACTAATTTTTGCCTATAATTTCACTTTATGAAGTTTATCAGTCTATCTAGATGCAATGGTTACAATTGTTGTAAATGGTCGAGTTTCTTGCCCTTGAGGGCGTCCAAACCCTCTCCACCGTAGGAGGTCAACGAAGAAACCTCGACAAGAGCGCCAGCAGCGAGTTGGGCACCGGCAGCCTTGACCCAGGAGGAGCCCAACTTCAAGTAGTCGTCTCTGGAGGTGTGCGCATTATCAGACTTGGCATCCAAGCCGTTTTTCAAGGGAGAAAACTCCTCCTCTCTGGCCACTTCCAAGCACCCAAACTTGGAGATGTCGATGGATGGGAAGACGTCAAAGATGAACTGCTCCAACTTGATCCCGTTTGGCGAAGAAAATTTCTCAACCTCGCCGGTGGCAAAGTTGTATGTTGGAATTTTCTTGGAGGCGATGTGGTACGGGAGATACTTCTGGGAGGAGATCCACTCTGGGATCTTGGCGGTCAAAAGCGCGACGGAGTAGTAGTGGTTCACGATATTCGCGGCTCTCAACTTCAACAACGCTGGGTCAGACGGATCCCTCTGACCCGCCAACTCGGCGCTGATCTCAGAGTACTCAATCACCTTTGGCGAGTTGGTCGACTTGTCCACTACAATCAACCCAACAGATTCGGTAGCATCTCTCTTTCTGACCGCCTTGGTGGCGATCTCTACCTCAGAGGCGATGGAGAATCCTATAAACATTGGGTCAGCAATCTTCACAAGTACATTGTCCACAGAATACATGTGGAGATGCTTCAAGTTTCTGGCCGCAAAGTCCTCCAATAACTTGTGATCGTAGATTCCCTTGTATAAGCCACCGTTTCCGTCTGGTGACTCGTTGATAGAGCTAGCACTCAACGGTAAAATCTTATCACCGGCGGTATTGAAGCAAGGTAAGGTGCCCTGGTTGAAGAAGGTGACCAACTTTGGATCGATCCCGAAGTATTGGTGCTCCTGGAAGAACTGCTCGGAGTCGGCTCTGGTTGGGCCAGAGGTCATGATGTACCATGGGATAGAGGCAGTGGTGCCGAACTTTTCGTTCGCCAACTGTGTCACCTTGAGTAACTTCTCGGCCTGGATCTGGAAGAGTGACTTGCCGGAGGGCAACTCGATGTTAAAGCAGCCCTTAGGCTTAGAGGAGCCCAAACGTGTTCCCTGGCCACCCGCCATGAGTAAAACACCAACTTCACCCCGAGAAATCGCTTGTAATCCCAAATCAAACCAAATCGCCTTTTGTTCGGCGCTGGAGTCGATCAACGACTTGAAGGATGATGCCGGTAACTGGTCGAATCTGTTGTCATCGCTGGCATCTGATTTGGCGCCTTCCTGTGAGAATTTGATCGCCTCTTGCACTGTGGCAATGATCGCCTGAGGGTTGGCGATTGCGGATAACTGCTCCTCGAAAGAAGCTTGCTGGACGGTGGATAAGGCGTCCCAGGCCTGGAAGAGGTGTTTCTGGCCTGCCTGGACGAACTGTTCTTTGATAGTGGTCATTGTGGTTAGTACGGATACAGAGTGTAGTGTTTGTGCAGAGAGAAGTATATATAGGATGAGGAGCGGCAGAGAAGAAAAGCCGGTGTTTATAAATCGGAGATCCACGCGTTCCACGTTTCCCGATCTGGCAAAGTTTTCAACCACCTGGAACTAGTATGCAGTCTCAATTAGCCCGACTGGGTTCGAGCCTGCGGGCTGTGCAGCTATAAATAGACACAAACAGAAAACAGTTCTGCAAAGTGTTGTAGCACGTAATTCGCCCAACATAGATTCAATCTATGAGGTCATACGGCATATAGACGCAGCAGAATAAAAACCATCCCAGCTATGTGATAGGCGTAAGATGATTTTGGGAACGTGATTTGAGAGTGCGATTTCAGGATCCAATTATCGTAACAAGTCCACGCCTCGGCTATCCCGAGAAGGTCCGAAAGCTCACATTTCCGTTGGAACCAGGCACTATGGAAAGTCACCAAGGCCCGAATTGCGTTCACTAAATTAGCATACCATTAAAAAAAAAGAAGCTATTGATTATATATTGGGTTTAGCATGGATGACAATAACTCTATCCAGCTACTGTTTCCTTTTTGATCAACCAGGCGATCAAAGATCAAGGGACGTATTGGAAGGACCTTACGCTCTGATACTTTTATGTACTTTCTGTCAACAGAAATCAGCGCTCACACGACAAAAACATCCTCTTTGTCAGGCTTCTTTTTGCTGTAGGTTGTCAAAAACCGCAATTCTTCAGCTGTGACCAGCAGCTTGTCCTTCTTGTACTTCTCATATAACTTTTGCCACAAATCTCTAACCTCTTCCTTCTTGACAGTGCCCCGCTTGGAGCTCTTCAGATCGTCATTCTCACCGTCGCGGATGGTACCGGGTATGGATATTATCAGGAGGACAGTACTTCCGACAATGAGCCCCACAAACGCAAAGAACATGGGCCGCCTCAAGACTCTGTCGTATAGGTCATCGAATTTGTGTCTGATCATTAGAGATTCCGGTAGCGTGTTCAGACTTGGATTATGACTAGTAAGGGTGATTTTCCAACTTTTGGGCCATAGAATAAGTATAGCGAAGATAATTCGCTGTTTGAACGCAAGCTCTAAGTTTAAAGTGCAATTTATTTTAGCCACCTTTCTTGTGGCAAAGCAATGTGGACAGGTTTATTGTTTATACACAGGATAATGATACCCATCGGGAACTTTCAGATAGCTGTAGTTTGTGAATGGCAGAAAATGGCTTAAAAGTTCGACAGTAGGAGATATACGCCTAGGAATTGGAAAATTTATCCCAGTAATAATCTCACGTTATTATGGTTCACGGATAACCTGGACGTGGTTTTGCTCGCACTTTGGATAACGGAGTATCTTATGTACTCTCTCCTCGCGTCATCGACTGCCCACAGAGATAAGCCATCTAGTCTAGGAGCACTTAAAAAAAATATTATAGAATATTTAAGTGTCGGTTATATATAAACCAGCAGTGTTTTACCACGTTTTTCTGACAGTATTCTGACCTAGAACTATTGAACGACGAAGCAGCAGAGTTTCTACCCTTTCACATCACAACTTCATATGCATCTTACTGTTTCCCTCAGAGTTCTCATCGTCGCTATTGGAGGAGTACCCGGACGCCATTCCCATTGGCATGTTCACGGAAAACGAATTCCGGGAGGACGCAAAGAGTAACATCTGGCGACGTAGACTGTTACTGATGTTTCGCTGCACGGCCAACTCATTTTTAACCACAAGATTCTCATTGTGTAGCTGGCTGATCATCATCATGGATTCATTGAGTTGCGCAGGAAGGAGTCGCAACTGCTCAAACTCTAGTCGTACTCGATCTATTTCGTAGAGAAAGTGATTGTCAAAGGGTAATTCCGGTTTAACATCTCTTTGGATTACCGGATAATCTGCTGTGACTTCGTCAAGCTCCAGAAAACCTCTTGATAGCTTTCCACTGATTATAGATGACACTATATTGCTATTCATGCTAATAAGTCTGTGGTTTTCCCGTTCGAATTTCTCCATTTTTGTTTGTTGCTCTTTCATGAAAGGGGACATCGATAGCTTGCACAATACACAGCTGTGCACGTGTGCCTCTAGGCTATCGCCACCATGGCTGGTATCGCTTCTCCAGTCACAGCCCAAATTCTCAGCCGGACACTGGGCGTATTTCGACTCACACTCGTTAGCCATGTGAGCTGCATGGTCTTTCAAGGGAATGAACTTGTCACACGTCACGCATTTCTGCAAATACTCCTCACAGTGCTCCTGGAGGTGACTGTTCTTGATAATCTCATTTATCACTGCGTGGCAGTAAATGCACTCGTACGGCCGATGGGCGCAGGTGTGCGTCCCCAAGGTCAAAAACCGCTGTTCGGTGAGAACCTCGCATATTTCATGGGTATCCGGCAGTGTTTTTCTCGTTGATTCTTCAACTTCAGTGGCATCTATTTCTAGACGGATCCCATTACACCGCACACGGGTGTAGCCACATTCTCGCAAGTGCTGCACCACCTCGTTCTTCTTCCCCTCCCACACACAGCCCCGCTCAAAATTGAGACATTTGACCGAGAGAGCACCGAGGAGGTTATTAATGATAAGTGGTGCTGGAAAAACATCGTTAACATCAGTTTTGTCGAGCGGAGTTCGGTCCATCGGGCACTTCGGGGAGAGCTGCTCAAGCGCGAGGTCAAGACACGCGTGGCAAAACGTGTGGCCGCAGATGGTGGTGGTGGGGACATTGAAAGGTATTTGGCAGATAGGGCATACAAGGTCAGCAATCGGGTTGACATACTCGAGCTGCGAAGATATACGGTCGATGTTGATCTGGTCGGTGGGGTACGTGAGGTCAAAACCCAGAGGAGGGTCTGAGTCAGAATCCAGCATGCCTGGCAAAAATGGAGCTAAGATGGTCTGTTACAAGCCACCGTAGAATTAGTACGGAAAAAGTGGACCGTTTAAGGGAGTAGACGCGTAGAGATCAGGATAAAGCCATATAATCCGTTTAAGCACGAGATATCTCGAGATACCCCACGCTTATGTGCTTTATCGGATGTGAGTCGTGCAGAGCACAGAATCTGTAATGATACGAAAATTTCCCAACGCAAGTGGCTCGGCCCGATGTTAGATGTCACATATGCAGCATGTATGTACCTAACCGGCCGCCGAAACCTCCAGCTATCAGCACATTTGCATTATCCGATTCTTCTTGGCCTTCATAATCAGAAGGATCAGTCTGCTCTTGGAATCGTGATATACAAAGAAAATTTCCAAGGGAGCCGCTACTTTCACTAGTTCCGGACTGGGTCTATTTTCAGTAGGTTCTCGCAAGATCAATGCCGTGTCCCGGCTTTGAAAAGACTGTTACACGGTGCTTACCATTAGTGTTACCACCTTTTTGGCAACTATAATAATTCGGTACTTGTTCAAAAAAGAGTCGAGAGATAGAGGCCTAAGGAAGTATCTTTTGCCACTGGAGATGCACGAAGATACACACATCTTAAAATTTAGGGCAGTCGCCAAGCTTCAAACTTGTGAACAAAAAAAGTAAGCTAAGAATTGCATGACAAGAAAAGTGGTACCAATGTTAATCCGTTGGAGACATTTCCAAAAGAATTGCGATTAACAAGGAAAGCTTGTAGCAAAGGATTCTTCGAAAAGAGACATATCCATTTATCGTGTAACAGGAATGGCAAAAAGAACGAGGGATTGTAAGCCTATGAGACCTAAACAGCAATCAAGTGCTAAAAAACTAATGATACAGACAAGATTCGAACTTGTACAGGTAAAGCCCAGTGCTTTAACCGATACTGTTTCCGAGGGAGGGGTATAAGCAGGGCGTCGCCTTAACCGTTCAGCTACAGTGCTTTACAAAGTAAGGCAGCTTTTATTAGTGGCTGGATAGAAGAGTGAAAACCCTAAAAGCCCCTCAGAAAGGTATAACTTGCCTAACAACCTAACTGATAGCGTACCTCTACAGAGTTTCTCGTGGAAGTGAACAGCTTGCTGCATGAGATTCGGACCAGCCGAACATTAACATACATTATAACTAGTATTACAGGTCATTCCCCATAATAATCCAATTGAACATACACCAAAAATATACCGAGTTAACAAATAGTCCAATTGAAGGTTAAAAAATCGTTGCTACATATATATAGAGAATGTTATATTGTCTACCAAGTTATCAATTAGTATCAAAGCTTGCTCAGTTAGATTCTCTGGAGAATGACCTACTGGTTCTTTCTCTTTGGTGTCCTGCACGCCCTCTTCGAAGAAAAACTCGCCGCGGCGTATGGACGGGCTTTAAATCTGATAAGCTCTTCCCCAGCTCTTCCATACCCCGATACCTTTTCAGCAAACATGGAACAATTTATCATTACTACCACGGGTGGAAACGTATTGTTTGACCACCGCTTCACCAAAATCAACATCAAGGTGATGAACCAGTTCATTGCGGACAAGATGGCGGAGAAGGCCGTGGTCCACGACAGCGGCCTCTTGGCGTTGGCCAACCGAGACAACCATTCGATGTACTATTTGACCTTTCGTGACGTGCCCTCGGCGCTCGAGGTGCACTTTAACTTGGTATTCTCGTCGATCTACAATATTTCTGCCGAAAAGACGTACCACTTCTTGTCCGACTTGAAGACGTTGTTCATGGGGTTGGTGTTCGAGGACGCCGGCTATGACGAGTACAGCTTCGTCCAGCTTTTACACGAAAAGGCGGATGCCTTTGAGAAGTTCAACCAGTTCTTTAACGTGAAGGCGAAAGAATACTCCACCAACTTGAGTGAGAAAGAGCTGGAGTCCCCGGAAACGACCCGTGAGTCCACGCCAACACCGGTCAAACCAAAGGCTAAAGCTGTCAAGGGTAAGAAGTTGAGAAACTGGGACACGGGCGACGAGAAGTTTATCGATTTTTCGGACTTCCCAACCGACAAGGACCAGAAGGCCGACGACGCCAAGCTACAGCTGATGTTTGGTGGCAAGGACGCCTTTGGAGCCAAGGCAAAGGACGGCAAGTTTTTGGTTAGATCGTTGAATGAAGAGATGAACACTATCTTGGAGAAGGGGCTTAAAAATACGGATGAATCAGAGCAGCCATCGGGGATGGTCAGCGGTTTCTTCCAGAAGTACGTCACCGGTGGGAAAACCATCACCAAAGACGACATGAACAGCATCTCGCAAAAGATCTTGAATCACTTGATTGCGAAGAATATCACCCAGGAAACGGCCAACAAGTTGGTGGCCAAGATCCAGGAGAAGTTGGTTGGCTCCAAGACCCCGTCATTTACCTCCCTCAATACAATCTTCAAGAGCGCGCTAAACGAGGAGTTGACCAAGATTTTGTCACCAACAATCTCGGTTGACTTACTTAATGACATCAAGAAGCATTTGCGGGAGAAACCGGGCCAACCGTATGTGTTGGCAGTCGTGGGGGTGAACGGGGTTGGGAAGTCAACCAACTTGTCCAAGATTGCATACTGGCTCTTGCAAAATGACTACAGGGTCTTGATCACCGCTTGTGACACTTTCAGATCTGGAGCAGTCCAGCAGTTGAAAGTACATGTGGATAACTTGAAGCTGGCGACATGTCTGGAGGACGGAGAGGCACGGATCGAGTTGTTTGAGAAGGGCTACGGTGACGCCTCGTTGGTCACCAAGGTTGCTAAGGCTTCGATCGAGTATGCATCAAAGAACGACTTCCAGATTGTGTTGATGGATACCGCGGGGAGAGCCCACACCAACGACCAGTTGATGGCGTCGTTGTTGGCCTTTGGAAATGCTGCCAACCCAAATAAGATTATCATGGTCGGTGAGGCGTTGACCGGGAACGATTCGGTCGCCCAGGCGCAGAACTTCAACAAGGCGTTTGGCAGCAAGCGGCACATTGATTTCTTCTTGGTGTCGAAGTGCGACACTGTGGACAAGAGTATCGGCACCATTGTGAACTTGGTCACCTCTATTGGTGCTCCTGTGTTGTTCGTGGGTGTTGGTCAGACATACACCGATCTCAGAACGCTATCCGTGGACTGGGCCGTTAATTTGTTAATGGAGGATTAAACTATGGTTAGCAGATTGGATATAGTATACCAAAACCGCTGTCTAGAACTCATCTCCAGTCCAGACCTACTTATTATTCATCAACTTCAGCTCCACATAACTCTTAATCTTCAAGCAGATTTTGCTTCTAATTTGCTAACATTCATACTGAATTCTCTATCTAAGCTGGAGTCAAATTTTGTTTAACCCAGAACCCTTTAGCAGACCGCCCTAGAACTGTTTCCGTAAAAGCTGGTGCCTCCAGAATTTATCTGGAAGAGCATTCTGTTTATAATTCTTCTTGAGCCTCATTTGATTATAATTCGTCTTGTGTTTCATTTGATAATTCTAAAACCTTGTAGCCCGTTATCAACCTCAGTTCGTTCGGAAGTCTTTAATTCAAGCCAGACATGCTCAACCATATTCAGCATGGGTATTTTCCACCACAAAGCTCTGACATGTTTTACGACTTGTCATACCTCTTATAGCTCCTCATCTTCCCCTATGTTACTGTAAGTCACGGGTTTGGTTGTGACCTTGGGGGTTTCGTGCTGCTTTATGTAGCTGAGCAATTGGTCTGAGTTCTTGCCCATCCACTTCATGAGCTTCTCGCTATTGCTGAATAGCTCCACAGATGTGACACCAAACACTTTGATCCCACCGACACATAAGATCTCTTTATTGCCCCAGTTATTGTCAAATTCAATGTAGATATCCTTGATGGGGATCCCCAAGTTCAAGTACCTTTCCGGTGTCTTGAACAGTTGGAAGGGATCCTTGTGCCTTAAGCTATATTCCATCTCCATAATCTTGGTAAACGAATTCAACGGGCGAATGTTGTGTTGCGCAAGGTCTGAGAACTCTTCACGTAATATTCCAACCTTTGACGCTTCCAACGGACGAACAAACAAGCTCATCTTTTGGGGCAAGCTCATCCGGTACAGCACATCCGAGATATCCTGGGTTTCCAAAACAAGTTCAGTGAAGAAAATGTTCTCGGTGAGCTTGATCCCTAAATGCGCACCCTCAAGCCTGGTAATCCACAACCGTTCAGTCTCGGCCAGCGAGGTGTAATCAAGTAAAACGTTATTGGCTCCCGACTTGTAGTCTGCGGTGAAGAAGTCATACCACCCGAGAAAAGCTTTGCCTAAAAGGGATCTCTCGGCTTTAAAAATCGACGGAGACGTAAGGAACCCAAGGATGCGGGCACCATGTTCGTACGAGGCAAAATTTCTAAGGTAGGCGATGGAAGGAGCAGACTCATTCCTGAAAGCCGCAACCATGTTCTCCAAAATCAAAACTTCAATTTTTGACGATAGCTCTTGCTCATCAAGGTGGGACGTTGAATGGTGTTTTTCCAAAAAGGAGGTGAGTAGTTTACTAATTTCTTGCTTCAATTTTTCATTGTTTGTCTTTAGTTTCAGGGCCAAAAGTTCAGTCAAGGCAGGCATGGTGATGTACTGAAGTTCATTGCTAGTAATTTCTCGGATATACAGTAACATGTTCGAATTGTTTTCCTTCATGAACTGGTCCCACGAAACACTGCTGTTTCCTTGGCTCACCTGGGAAATAAGTTTGGTCAAGAACAGCTCAAATTCCGGTAATAACTTGAAATCTTGATCATTTTTTGACACTATGAGAGGTATCTCTGACGGAAGCCGCTGTGCGATTCCATCCAAGGCATTATGTTCGGCCGATACCAACATCAGAACCACCAGATTCAAGTGGTCCACCTGGCCCACCAAAGTGGCGATGCTTGATGTCATACTCTCAACTTCGAGTGAGTAATCCACCAGTGAGTCTTGACTTATTATTTCTTGTAGCTCCGTTAGCTTGTCACGGATACACTGTATTTCGGTGATGCCAAAGTTCTGGTGTATCAAACTGTAGCTCGCTGTCCATTCCTTGGAGGCAGCGTCGAGCTTGCTTTCTAAAGTTTTCACGCTTGACGATAGATATTGGTTTGTTGAGCTGAGAGTCTTACTGACAGAGGCCAAAGCATCGATTCTGTTGTCTATCACCCTGAAGCGATTGGCAATGTCGCCCATCGTTTCTAGCGGAAGCTCGCCACGAAAGGTCACACCTTGGTAAAGAACCATCGGAATCAGAGCAAGTAATAGGACAAATAACATACTCCAGACCGAGAAACCGCGAACCTCATGAACCACCGTTTGGGACAGTCTGTTCTCTACTCTTTTCTTCTCGCCGTTTTGAAACATCTGATAAGCGGGCTGTAGGGTCACAGATTTGGTACGCTCGGGGTCCGACGGCTCTGCGGAAGACAACCCTTCACTTCCGGGAAATTCCCCTAGGTCGGCGTAGTCATCGTCCAAGAGCTCAAATACCTGCTCGTTCCGCTGAAACTTCTCGAAGTTGAGGTTTAGAAAGTTAGCTTCGTCATCCGTGATTATTTCCGACACTATATTCTCCCCATCGTCAGCTAACATATCGTTGGTAAGGTTGCTTCGCGTGTAGAACAGCGATTTTTGGCGTAACGGCTTGGCGGGGGATATTGGGTCACCATGAAGCCCTAAGGTCACGTCGGAGTCTTCATCAGCCGTTTCGATATGCGGGAGTCGTTTGGGAACTTTTGCGAACATTGCACTATTATGAATATGCTGTGGGATAGGATTGGTAATTAGGTTGTTGGCTCTAGGATGGGGTTCGAAATCGCGTTTGTTATGATATCGACTACATAAGACGTGAGAAAAGGGCCTAGACGCGTAGCTGCAGGCTACTGATTTAGATTGATTAGTCGCCTTGACCCTATGAAGAATATATACAAACCGATAATCTTGGAATGGAGTAACTAATATATCTGCATGATATCTCTACGTTAATTTTACAACAATAAGCAACGTTGCGTATCTACAGTATTGAATCGATTCCGCTTAATCGATTAACATATAGCGCAACATGTGATTTTGGTTTCGTCACCCGCCCTCGTATGGGTAATTCCTTCCATATGAATGCGATGATACCTTTTCAAAAATATAATACATGAGAAGACGTGAAAATTAGATCAAGTGAGGGTGTGAAGAAGGCCGGTATTTCACACTTTAGCTATGGCCGAGGTAATGAACGTTCCATAGATACAGATAGAATCCATGTTATCTAAGAGAAAGTGGCTTTAAGAAAATATAGACACTGATATCAGTGAAGAAATAAATCTAAAAACCGATAATAGTATCTCAGTTTTCACAGGGAAAGTTACACATCATGATCTCCCACGTCTTTAATCGTATACTTATGGTTCATCCCCCCTCGGACCAAAATCTGAGGATACTCCCCACGCTCTTGGATGGCTCCATTGTCTGGTAGCTCAAGTAGGTTGTCGATACTACCCTCAACATCATGATTGAGGTCGAAGTATCCCATGTCATTTCTGAGCAGCAGGGGTAACGCTAAAGGCAGATCAGCCTCCGCATCGCTGGCACTGACGACATTCCTAAACCGGGAAAGAACAGGGGTTTTGGCAGTTTTAGGAGTATATGAGGGGGAATGAGCATAAGAGCGCGGCGAGGAGGATAAAAGTGGGGATAATAAGGGAGTAAGGTGCCCGTCACGGGTAATGGCCGAACCAATGGCGGTATCCAATGCCACCTCAACCATCTCGTCTCGGGAGGATACGTTGATGAGGACAAAAGATGAGAAAATCAAGCAAATGCCGAGATAATAGAGCATTCCACCATTCGCCACCCCAAAGAAAACCGAATCACAGATCATGGTCAGGGGGATGGCGGTGGTGAGAGATAGAGAGGTGATAACAGGTGATGTCAACAACATTGCCAACGCCACACAGTAGTCTGAAATCACCAGAAACACTCCATTGACCCCGAGCATGAGCCAAACTGTGGTCGAAGGAGGCAATGCAAACGTTTCAAAGCCAGTGTAGTGTGCCAAGATGATAAGCGGCCAACACGTTAAGAGCGTAGCTACACCCACAAGTCCGAAAACGTGGCGCTCATTGACAGTGACGTCGTTTCCGATTCTCACTTTCAAGAGTACGAGGTAAAGAGAGTACATCACGGATGCCATGATGGCGAAACAGTTTCCTAAGAGCGGATTCTTGGGCTTGTAGGTATCGTCCATGGTTAAAAAGTAGACAACCAGACTAATCTGTCCCCCATTAGCCTTTATGTTGATGAGAATGATCCCCACAAAACTCACCACTAATGAGAGGAGCTTGAAGAGGGTGAACTTTTCCACATTGGCCCATACTCCCATCAAAAGCGTAAAAATGCTACTGGTGGTGGAAAGAATTGTTTGGTCAGAGGCATTAGTGTATTTGAGACTGCTAGCCACGAACACGTTGTAAAAAAAGTAAATAAACCCAACCTCTGTCGCAAGAATGATGGTTTCTCTGTGGCCAAGCTCCTTGGTTGTGGTGTACAACTCGGAAGAGTCAGACGCTTCGTCAGGAAGTAGGGGTTCACACTCACTACCCAAAGGCTGGGAACGGAATTTCAGCCACATTTCCGGCAAGAGGTAGAGGGAGAAGCAGCTTCCCAGGATGTAGGACATGAGAAACGCGCAGTGGTACTCGTTTCCTTTCAATACCACGTTCATAAGTTCGGTGCACAGTACCCAAGTGACCACAGCCATGGCTATCAAGTAGAGTCCGAGCTTCCACCGTTTGCGTTCTTCGTGTTCGATAATGTCTGCGACTCTATCGGGTGGACCCAGGACGATTTCGTTGACCCCAACGGCGAGAATGGAGGGTGAAGAGCGGTACCTAAGGTGAGGAATTTGAAGGGGCGTGTAAGAAGCATGTTTCGGGGAAGCACCTGTGGCTGAAGACATGAAAACAGCTGACTTTCTGTTGAACCTGTAATTAAATGAAGTAGATGCTTGGGTTTTTAGTATGGCAGATCTCTCTCACGCAAGACTGGCCGGGTGACGTCAAGATTGGCGGGCGCGTAATAAAAGTTGGGTATTTCAGTGGGATATTATCTTTAACCAGTGTCTTTAGCAGAAATTTCACAAAGGAATAGTAGGTAATACGCAGTTTCAACAAAAATGTTTTTGTTTTAGGTCACTCGCTTTGTAGAGATAAGCCTGTTGCGAATGGGGCGTTTATGCGGGGTGTCCAGATCGGGAGCGGCTAGCGATGGTGTCTGGATACGGCATCTGCTGCCGATATATACCAGCTGAGCCAACAGTCACGTCAAAAAGGGTCGTTGTGCATTGCCCTAGAAAGAAAAATGTCCAGAATTCGAATTAAAGCGGAAGAAAAAAAGAGGTTAATATAGCTTGTTCGGTGCGTCGTCACGCATATAGGGTATGTGACCATAGCTATAGTAGACTTTGGGGAAGCCTTGTGTTCGTGGCACATTTTACTAGGCAATATAATGGAAATGGCAACATAGAGCCTCCCGAAAGCACTAAGTTATCGCATACAGAGAGAGATCTAAAAGATACATACCTTAATATTGGAACTGACTGAACCTTTCACCAGACCGTCCACTATCTTAGAGCTGTTTACTGGTGTCCAGCATTGCTATAGCGAATTATTGTATGTTTGTTTTCATTTCTGCTGAGCTATACTCAAGGACAATAGTAGTTCAAGCCAGACCATACTCCACAATAGGTAATACATAAAGGGTAACTCTTTGTATATTTGGAAGAGTGACCGACAGCCAGAAATTGGGCGTGGTACGATACGCACGAAAGGTTGAGATACGCCTTCAACACACCTGACCGTCTTATTATAGGCCAACACGTTTTATGCATACACCCCTACTATAACACTTCACACAGGAACCTTCTTTGGTGGACCCGAAAACCAAACTGGAAAGAGTTCAAGCCTATTTTCAAATAGCCAAATTCTAAATAATGTTTTCCACCTCATGCGGAGGTTCAAGTGGCACATCACGTGATCAACACTCATAACCTGTCAATGAACACGACCTGAACTGACGCGTGGCCTAAATCAACACATGCCGAATCTAACCTCCTCCTATTACATCACACGCTCCCCAGACTGCTATGGAAACCTTAGACATCCACTCGAAGTCATTTTTGACCAAATGGGTGACGGTACCCGACGACGCGCATCTCAGCTGGCAGATCCAGCCGGTGAAGCGGTCCATCAACTTGTCCATCTATCGCAAAAACGATGCTGTGTCGCCGTTTGATGGGGGATCCTTCCAGCCATTGCTTCCACCAGCCCTGTCATCCACCAAGAACCGCTCAGACTCCGTCATCCTGACGTCACAGCTAGAATTGACCAATTCTACGCGCAAACGGAGCTCCTCATTGCTGGCCGGCCTCAACAACTCGGGCCTTACGCTAGAGAAGAACTACAATAAATTGTTGCCGGATGAGCTCACTAAAGGGTCGCTACATGTGGCTATTGGAGGAACCTTTGCGTTTGTGTTTGATAATAGCTTCTCGAAGACGTACGGGAAAAAGGTGCTTTTTAGCCAGAAGGTTGTCGCTGCGGGTGTCGCCGCAAATACCGCGTCGCTGCAAACTGTCGCCTTCGCATCTTTGCAAACCACCACCCCCATCTCTGCCTCTGCTACGGTTAATCACCGCCAGTCGATCATGCGCCCCAAGAACGGTGAGCTTCTTCAGGGTGTGCTTTCCAAGAAGCGTCGCAAGCGCCACCAGGGATTTGTCAAGCGCTTCTTCATCTTAAGCTTCAAGTACGGCATCCTCTCGTACTATCTCATGAAGAATCCCACCAATCTCCGCGGCAACATGCCCATCAAGCACTGCATCATCTCTGCCAATGAGGAGTCACGCGAGATTGTTATCGACTCTGGCTTGGAGATCTGGGACTTGAAGGCCGCTACCCGAGAGGAGTGGGCTGTGTGGGTATCCGCTTTCAATACCGTCAAACAGGGTGCTCCGCGCCGCCCGGTGACTTTTGCCCAGCCCGACACCGATATGCAGGCGGCTGGGATTCTCACGTTGCACAAGCAATTGCAGGCGATTCAGAGGGACGCCAGTATTTTGGCGAGAGATGCGGATATGTCTGTTCTGATGGACTCGCTCAAGCTCAGCGACTCCCGGGAATTACTGAGGGAGAGAGACAGCCGCAAGAGACCATCGTTCTGGTCGTTGCGGAAAAAGTCGTCGCTGGGTTCTACTCAAATGGTCTCCCAAGCCAAGTCCCAAACGGCTTCCGCCTATTCCTGGTCTACTGAAACGATCCAAACCAGATCCCAATCTAGCGGGGCCCACTCCCCCGGAGTTGACCCTAAAATGGTCCCCAAGTCTCCTGGGATATCCCCCGAAATGGTCTCTACTTCCCAAAAATTGCGAGCTTTGGAAACAAGCATCGACGAATTTGCAATTGGCTTCGCCAAGCTCGTTGATTCCGCCAACCGCAAGTCCTTCGTGATCTCCCGTACCACCTCGCTCATGTCGCAAGAGTTTTACGACGCGGAGGACTACCTCGAAACAACCCAATCCGTGGTTGTACTTGACAGACCGGGTAATCTCGACCTGATGATCTCAGACGAGATCTCCGTCGTTGATAAGGATGCGGACTACACTGCAACGTACGAGTCCGAGTCCGAAACCGAATCCGATGTGCCTGTGGCAGACTCCACCGCCTTTGACACTGATTTGTATCCGTTGCCCCTCCCGCCCGTAGAGAGGCGGACGGATGTTCCCGAGTGCCACGTGCAACCGCCGAGTATCCTCACGTTTGTGCGGAAGAACGTGGGCAAAGACCTCTCGTCGATCGCCATGCCCGTGAGTATGAATGAACCGTTGACCATCTTGCAGAAGTATGGCGAACTCATTGAGTACTGTGCAATGCTCGACACAGCGCTCGCAGCAGACACACTCTCTGGCGAACGCATCTTGCGCATCGCGGCCTTTGCCGTGAGCTACCAGGCGAGTTTGCGTGCGAAGGAGCGGAACACGCGCAAACCGTTCAACCCATTGCTCGGTGAAACCTTTGAGATGGTGCGCGAGGATCTCGGTGTTCGAATGGTGGCTGAAAAGGTGAGTCACCGCCCACCCATTATGGCCATAGCCGCTGAATCTGCTGCGTGGCAGTTACAGTACGCGCCACTGCCATCATCCAAATTCTGGGGCAAGAGTGCGGAAGTGATTGCGAAGGGCGTACTCAAGTTGACCGTGAAGGCCACCGGTGAGGTCTACGAATGGGCACAGCCGACAACTTTGCTTAAGAACGTCATTGCGGGAGAGAAGTATACGGAGCCGGCGTCAGACTTGACGGTACTGTGCTCGCTGGGCCAGAAGGCGGTCGCGGAGTTCAAGGCTGGGGGCATGTTTTCCGGCCGCTCTGAGGATTTGACCATTGGCTGTTTCGATGCACGCGGCCGCAAGATGGCCGCGCTGGTGCTGGGGAAGTGGACCACGGCGTTAGTGTTGTGCGTGGATGGAGCGGAGCGCGAGATATGGCGCGTCGGTCCCTTGGTGAAGAACTACCCAAAGAAGTTTGGATTTACCGAGTTTGCGGCGTCGTTGAATGAAATCACCCTGGCAGAGCTGGGAATGGCTCCAACAGACTCCAGATTAAGACCAGACCAGCGGTGCTATGAGAATGGTGATGCTGAGAAGGCGGAAGTGCTCAAGGCGAAACTTGAAGGGAACCAAAGAGTGAGACGGAAACAGATGGAGGAGCAGGGGGTAGAACACAAACCGGTGTTTTTCAAGCAGGTTGGTGAGGGTGACAATGCCATTTGGGAGTATGTTACGGGGGAGAAGAGCTATTGGAATAGGAGACGAGTGGGGGATTGGAGTGATTTGGTTACATTATGGTAACGCACTGCCATAAAACTGGGGTGCCACTGATTTCAGTAGAGAGAATGACTGATAAATATTGACCCCTCAAAACGATTTTCTAACCTGTGTATGTTATCGGTCCCCAGCCGAAGATGATTTAAAGTCAAACAGGCACTATTTTTTTTAATGAAATTGATAGGGAAGGTAAAATTTCTACAGAGCGTAGTATTATCAATGATGTCAGCGCTAAGAGCTCTCTTTAATCCACAAGAACTTAGATGCATATCTTGTAAGTAATGACATACAAGTGGATATCAGACCATGGGACATTTGTTAGTAGTTTGCCACACCTTGTAATTTAACCAGGGTGTTACCTCGGAAGGCATGCACCCATTTCCTGGGCTACTATCGGTGTATCCTCGTAAAACATAATCGAAGCCATCAAATGCTGCCAAACTGACTAGTACAAATTCCCAATTTGACAAGAAAAATGTTAGCTTCATCTGCAACCAGTGACTTGCGTCAGTAAACCAGAGGTAGTAAGTTAGTTTTCAGGTGCTTTTCTCGCGTAGTTATGCTACTTCTTTATACCAATGGGTAAGGTGATCTGGCCTATTCATTACCCGGTGTATATCCATAAGAATTAGCCTCAAATTTAGAAACATAGTCCCAATTTCAAAGTTTACAATATTTATTGAACCCTCCCTCAATGTTAAGATTCTCTACCGTTTATTAGAAATTCACAGTATGAGGTTCAACATCATAACCGTAAAAGCCGTCGGCCTAGATAGAATTAGAATTACTTCTCAATAACACGGCGATCTGTGGGTTCACTGTTGCTCTACTTGGCATGCATGGCCGTTAGGAGTCAATCTGCAATTAGTTTGTGACTCTTTCCTTTACCGTGATCAAAACAAAGATGTGTATAACAGGCAAAGGCTTTGGGGTAAACTATAAGTCAAAGGGAATCAAGTAAGCCGATTAAGCCCAAGCTTTTCAAATGGACGGCTTTAGAAGCTCCTGAAAATCTTAGCCCTCCCTTTTACTACACTGTTAATTTATTTCAATTAATTACCCGTACGCTGCTTATCGCCTGCATGAGTTGGTCGAGGAGTATATGCCGGCAGGCAGGGAGCGAATGTAATCAGCGGCTTATAAACCCCCCACCCCGCAATACTACCATCTACCCAGTTAAGCTAACAAAACCGTTGAACAAACTCTCTATACGTCATGTTTGTTGCTAACAATCCCCTCCAAATCGTCGACATTTCCACCGTCAATCAGGCTACGGCGGATGATCTTTTTCACGCCGCCGCGTCGCAGGGGTTCTTGTTCGTCGAGGGCCACAACTTCAGTCAGAAGGAAGTCGACGTGTTGTTCCAGTTGTCACAAGCGTATTTTGCACAGTCAGCGGAGGAAAAGCGGAAATATCCCATTGACTCTACAAACGCCGGGTACACCGATTTTGGGGGCGAAAACTTGGACCCTGAAACGCAGAAGCAGGGTGACCCGAAGGAAGGGTTCAACTTCAGCAACATTAACTTTGAAACAGGTTTGCCATTCTATCAGAACATCCCACCGTTCTTTGCGGAGGACCCCGAGATGATGGAAATCGTGCAAAGTGCTGCCAAAAAGTTCTACGCCATTTCTGTGAGAATCTTCAAGTTATTGTCTATTGGGATGAAGATCGAAGATACCACCAATTCAGATGGGAGTGTGGTCAAGGGAGAGGACTGGTTGACGGTGAGACACCAGCCGACCAAGGAATCTGGGTCTACCTTCCGATTCTTGAGGTACCCGGGCCAGAAGAGCTTGAACCCCGAAGCGGTCATCAGAGCCGGCGCCCACACTGACTACGGTGGGGTCACGCTCTTGTTTCAGAAAGAGAACCAGGAGGGCCTAGAGATTCATTCTCCAGTATCCAAGAAGTGGGAAGCTGTGCCATATGTGGGAGCCTCTCCAAAGTTCCAAGCACAAGGCGCTGCCCCGCCAATTGTAGTGAACATTGCCGACCAGTTGAGCTACTGGACTAGTGGAATCTTGAAGTCTACCATCCACAGAGTCAGGTTCCCCGCCAAATCTCAAGAGACCGGCCAGGACAGATACTCTATTGTGTTTTTCTCACACCCTAATGACGAAACGTTGTTGGAACCAGTTCCGTCGCCGATCATCAGAGAGGTTAAGAACAGGGGTGCCAATGCCGCTGAGAAGGTGGTCACCGCGCATGAACACTTACAGAAGAGATTGGCTGCCACTTACAGCTTTTACTAGAGGCGGATAATATGACTATTTATAATTGATAATAAAAAAAGGTTAAACCTGTACGAAGGTATAATATATGGGGTTGTCGTTACATGGGGTATTGAAACCCGTGGAATGCACATAATAGTTTGTAATTTCTTCGGCAGAGGTTAGTACTGACTTAGGGTTCATTATTACTACCATCAGATCCTCACCACCGGGACCTATTTTCCATAACTACATTCGAGACTGATGGAAACTTTTCTTTGTCATTACGACTTATACCATAGATCAACTAATATGACTCACAGCGTTATTGGCGTTCTAAGTTATATAAAGTGTAGGCTGTTTCCTGCAACAAAGCTTACCGAGATTACAAAACATTATATATTTAACGGAATAATACACAAAAAAAAAACTTGTAATATATCAGGAGATAGATTTTTCAAGTTGCTATACACTACTTTCTAGGTGATATATAAAGGGAGTAGACGGAACGACATATGCACGAATGGTCAAAGCAACCCTTAAACCCAGCAGCCCTAGTTCGATCTCATAATTTTCTTAGTCTTGGAAAACAAGCCCTTGGCGAAATTGCTTCCCTTTTCACCTACCTTACCTCTGATGTCAGAGGTCCCCGAGGCGAGCTTCTGCTTGATGTTTGAGGGGGTGATCAAGGTGTGCGTTCTGTGGATCTCTGTGATGTTAGCGTTCTTGAAAGCTTCCGAGGCAAACTTCCCAATGGCCAAGTCTGTGGTCTTGCTCCCGTGATCGTTTCTCATGGCGCAGGTGAGCCAGTCACCCAATCCGGTGTTGACCGCCGTTTCAATGGCAAGCGCCTCCCGCAACTTCTTCAACTTGAGCTCCTGGTTGTTGCTTATAGAGAGAATCTGGGGAAGATTATATGCTGCCTGCGACGGCTTGTACGCAACAATGGACGAATGCTCGGTGGCAGAGGAAACAACAGAGTTCATTCTGGGGTGGTCCCCGAGGAAAGTACTGTCGTAACCACTGGTGGTGCTCGTATTGCTGGCGGCCGTAGAAACGGAAGTAGTGGTAGCAACGGATGCTGTTCTGACTTTCTCCGCCAACGGGGTTTCATCAGGAAGCTCCATATCTGCAAGCAAGCTCGAGTAGCGCTGAGACTTCTTTCCACCCTCACTGGTGGCACTCATGTTTTTAGAGTTGTGGCCGAGCAAGGTAGTGGGTTTCATTGCCAACGCCATATCTCCATCGATAGTCTTGGTGGAGCCCTGGCTCTTCATTGAGCTGGAACGCGACATCGCAGAAATTACGCTTTCGTCACCATTGTTCAGCATAAAGGCATCGCGATAAACCCCTGTGTCGGGGTTCCACCCGCCAAAGTTCATGGTACCCAAGGTGTTTGTGGTTGAATTTCTATTCAAGTTTGGCCTCAAGGAGTTAGAGAAGGTATCAAACGCCTCTGGTTCAACGCCTGGCACTTTGAGATCTGAAATCATACTGTCGCGCGGTCTGGAACTCGAGAGAGATAATCTGCCAGTGGAAAGCGAGCCAGAGGATGAGTTGCGTGAGAGACGGCTCTCTGCAATGGATTGACCATCAAGATAATCGTCCATCGCACTCGCAATGTTGGAATAGTCTTGGGATTTCAAGCTGGTCTCAGAAAGAGCGGGGGAGATCATAGACAGAGGAAGTTCGCCTTGGAGAATTTTGATGGCCGGAGGCGGCTTCCTCACCGTGGAGGCTCGGGAAACCAGCTCTCTTGGGTCTAATGATGGGGTGGAGACAGTAGCCAGTGGGTTTGATGGTGGTGTATGGACTCTGGGGTCCAACGAGGGGGAACTGTTGCGGAAAGGGCCTTCTCCGAACGATAACGGCTCAACCGGGGACGGTTCAATCGATTCGTATACCCCGTCAGTAGATATGGATCCCGCTTCTCGCAGAGCCATTTCTGTTGAATCCATGGTAAAATTCTCAATGTCATAGAGCAAATCGTCAATGCGAGTCATTGTGGCAGACTTGCCTGGCCTGGTTTCCAACGAAGGCGTGACGTCTGCGCTAGCCAAGACCTCCTGGATATCGGCAATATCATCATCGGAGTCAAAAAGCATGTCATTTCGGGCCTGAGAGTCGGTGGTCGCCACCGAGCTACGGCTCACCTCTTTTGTTGCCACCAACTCGCTGTCATACGCGTGGTTCTCGCTTTCAAACGAGTAGCGACTGTCGGACAAACTCTCGGCGTCGTAGTCATAGGTGTTATAAGTGGCATTTTGGTCATAATCATCGTGTAGAGCCGAATTGGCATCCTGATCACCAGCTAATGCCGAATCGTCATCATAGCTGCCGTGTAACGCTGAGTTAAAATTCTTTTGGAAGTCATCTTTGGACTCCTCAGAGTGAGAAATATCGTACTCAGGGGTTTCCGATATAGTGCTCCCCATTCTATCCTCATCTAGCGAGAGAACAAGCTTAGCTGGAGGCTTTCTCGCCATGGTGGACGCCTTCGTCGGGGATGATTCCTCGGTTTCCACCAAATACGCGCCGGTGTTGTAGTAGGCTTCTTCGTCTGATTCCTCGTCAAAAGTGGAATGTGTTACAGGGATGACAGGAGACGAGTTGATATCGGGAATAGAGTCTGGCTGGGATGGATAAGCAGTATCGTGAACAGTGACATCGGATGTGTGTGTTGCGTCAGGACAAACATCTTCGTAATGTTCTACTTTAATACCAGGAATAGGAACAGAGGTACCATCGTATGAATCATCGTGACTAACATTGATAATTGGGACGGCCAAAACAGGGGTATCTGGAGCGACGGGAGCAGAAACCTCTGTTGTGTATTCAGAATGATTGGGTGTAACTGGAGGCACGGAATTGGACTCTTCTATCTCCTTCTCGCTGTGGTGATCTTCATCCTGATACTCCTCATCCTGATATTCTTCATCCTGATACTCTTCATCCTGATATTCTTTGTCAAAGTCGCTGTCACTTTCGTCAGACGTGTCCACTCTGCGGTTGCTCAAAATTCGTTTTTTGTTGAATGACAAAACCAACTTGGAGGGCTCTCGGTGGACTCCCTCGTCCGATTCAGTAGGCGTTGGCTCCCTAAAATCCGCTGGGGGCTCCGGAGCGGAGGTGAGCCTTGTATTTTCAGTTTCGGCTGAGTAAAGCAGGTCGTTATGGGCGCTAGCCACCTCAGACCGCGTGACCGGCAATTCGCTCTCATCGCTCATAAGCGCCTGTGAGTACTTGGCCATGTCTGGTAACGCTGGCATGTGTCTGGCCTTTGGCTCGGCGTCTGAATCCCATTCGTCTTCGGAGGAGCTTCCCCAATCATCATAATCGTAGGATGGCGCAGCCTTCACGTATCTGGTGGACTTTTGTCTCTCAATGCCGTCTTCTTTGCTTTCTGGCATAATAAAGAGTGGTGTGTAACAGTATTCTGGGGTGAAAGGGGCGGGGAATCAGAATGCGGTTATTTTTAGCCTGAAACAAAGGAGCGAGGCTGATCTGTTATCCGGTATTTAAAACTAACCACGTGCAATCAAGGTGACGTAATGCCATTAGCCGGGCTATGGAAGCTGTTGGTTCGAAATGACAAGCGAAAGAGCAACACAACTTTGGTTAATCTATTAACCTTGGATAGCTCTTAAAAAAATATAAAGAAACTTCATCGTAGTTTATTAATCTTTCGTTATCAGTACATTCACGTTTTCTGCTCGTCTGGATACGTTAACATGCTATATGCCACGTGACTTGATAAAACTGTCAGGTGGAATCATAGCCCTATCAGTATTCTCGATATCCCGGGTGTATGCGAACAATGAAATACATGAGATCCTAGACACTTAGTAACACATTCAGAGTATTGGGAAACCTTACCATGGGTATTCCCCTCGAAATCTAAACCAGATATATATGAAAGAAATGTTTTTTTGAATCAAGTACTTTCTCCCTTTCTTGGTCTGAAGCGTTTTCGCACGCCCTGTATGGCTTATAGGGCTGATCTACTGCCATTTTGCGGGGGTTAATTACGGGGTCTCTGCGGTTAAAAGAAATTTAATAAAACCACAAACAGCTGTAGATAAATTACCCAGAATAAATCCTTAGAAATTTAATTTTTGATATGTCGTGCCTCAGCCCCTGTACCATTTTTTTTTCATGCTTCCCAGTGAGCTAGACTCAGAATACTGATAAGGCGTCCTGTACACAACCTCCGACGATATTGGGCAGCGCACACCTGTGAAAAATATTCTACATCACTATACATTAACACCCTCATGCAACACAAAACTATCTCCCAACCATCCACACTATCATGTCTGAAATCGAAGCTAAATCTGTTGTTTACTGCGGCGTATGCACTTTTCCTCCTGAAGTAAGCAATTTCTCTACCCTCAATGTTCCATACTAACCTCCAGTACTGCGAGTTCGGCGGCTCGTTCAAAAGATGTAAGGAATGGCTCCTGGAGAACCACACAGAACTCTTTGAACAATTGTACAGCGAGGATGCGCTCGCCAATGCCACTTCTTCCTTGTCCTTAGAAACTGAGGCGAAGATCAACCAGGACTTGCAGAAGAAGCAGGCCAAGGAAGAAGCCAAGGCTGAACGCGAATTGAAGAAGAAGTTATCGTCTAAGGTGATTGTCAAGAGCATATCCAGAACCAAGAGAAAGCAAGTGGTTGCCATTTCTGGCTTAGAGGTGTTTGAGATTGATATGAAAAAGTTGGCCAAGACCTTTGCCTCTAAGTTCGCCACCGGTGCCAGTGTCACCAAGAACGCCGAAAAAAAAGAGGAAATCATCATCCAGGGAGACGTCGCGGATGAGGTCGAAGAGTATATCTCCAAGATGTTGGAAGAGAAGGGTTTGACAGATGTCAAGGTTGAACAGACCGAGGAGAAGAAGATCAAGAAGAAGGCCCCGGAAATTGCCCCTCAGTAGGTATTGGTTCTGTAATATAGGTTGATTTAAAATGTGGTTGTAATATTAGGCCTAAAAGGGTTATAGCGTAATGGGATAGCAGTTGAAATACAAGGTTCATACACCTCACTTAGTGATACAGGGCTTAAATGATTAATTTAAGACAGATAGGATGCACTGTCAGCCAAAGATAATGGCGGGGATGAAAGCCATTCCGGGTGTAGATTTGAGTAAATGTTACCTACGCATCTGCTATATCGATATATCCGTCTACAGTGATAATACAGCACAACAGCCAACTTCATAATTACGTGTAACCCCTATCTATTTTTAAGCTGTTAAATAAATATTAATTGAGGGGTGATATTAGGGGCAAGTACTAAGTATGTTAGAATTACCCAGCAAAATACAAAGTAAAAAAAAAAAAAAACCCCAACCAGTTTCCTTAATGGGTAGTGATACAATTATATGACATGGCGGTTCCTATATGAAATCCCTAGTGTTCATTCTATTCCATCTTGATATCTGTCATCCGTATTTGAGTTTCTCGCGAAATTCCTCCCACATTTCCGCTTGCGTGTGCGTCTGAAAACTTGAACATATCTCGATCTCCACGTATGTACAAATTCGTTTTCACGTATAACAGTCTCCCAGCTTCAACCCCACCATGCTAATCCAAGACCCAAGCGCAGATACCGCCAGTACGCTAGCCATCGGCGGGTGGCCAGCCTCCTCCGGCGAGGCGCTCGTCACAGTTGCCGACATTGACTTGCGCTTGCACCGGTTGCTCCAGGACGACTTGCGCGCGTTGTCTGACACAAGTATAGACCCCGATACCTTGCGCGGCTTAGTTGATGAATTGCAGCGCAGCTCCGAAGACGGCTCCAGCGCCTACCACCGCGTCGTCTTGGCCCATTTATACTGTCTCCTTAACGACTTTGACGGCGTCCAGGCGCTACTTGCCATCGACTTTGACTATACTGGTTCTGACTTTGACGTGTATCTTGCCATCCGTGCGCGTGCGGTGACCTGCTATGCGATGCGTGAAAGCTCCGAGCACGAGAGTGTTGCGCGCGACGCCTCTCGTGACGTCTCCCGCTTGCGTGTCCCCTCCGCTACCAACACCAGAGGTCGCCTCTGGTTGGACCGCGTGTTCCAAATTGCCCAGCCCCCCTCATCCCTCGAAAAACTCCAATCCACTTGTGAGCCCGACGTATGTCTCGCATTTGGTGCGTGGGCCGTCCAGAACGCGCGCACGGACAGCACGTTCGCTCATGATTTTGCTGCGTACGCGACGCTGCGCTCGCACGCGTTACAACAGCTCCGGTTCCCATCCGCAACAGAAACTAGCGCGGCTGCTGAGCAACTCATTGCTGGGCTCCATTACGCCTGGGATGCGGGTGTGCTTAGATCCGCGGCCTTCAAGCCGCTCATTGTGCAATCGCTCAGCGTTTCGTACCAGAGCACGTTGATTCTTGCGTCCTTTATCGATGTTCTGATTCGCTTGGGAGAGTGGAAGGAGGTGCTCGCCGCGTTCGAGACCTACGTGGAATACACCGATAAACATGAGATTCAGACCCACCAGATTGGCGATTTGCTTGAGATTGTACATGTGTATTCGCGGACGATTGGCACAATTGTCGGTGTGGATGCAATTGCAGTGGATGATGGAGCAAAACGGGGGCGTTTGGAGGCATTTGCGTCACAATTGGAGGGGTATCTTGAGATGGCATGTGCCCGCGGCGGGATAAGGTCTGCGGATGCGTGCGCGCAAGAGGGGCGCGAAGAGGTCAGCGACGACACCCGTGACATCTCGCGCGGCCTCGCGCGTATTTTGGCGGCCGGTTATGCTGCGCTCGCGCGTTACCACACATATGTCGCGCAGCACGCACACTCCGATGCCACCCTCCAATCTTCCCTCTCTCTCTCCCTCGCCCACTTCCACAAAGCCGTCAACCTCTTTCCCTCGCGCGAGCATATACTCCCTTACGCTATCCAACTCACCAAGACCAAAGCCTTCCCCGAAGTCATCCGCTTAATGAAGCTGGAGTTGCGCCGCGACCCCGCGGACGTGCAGTGCTGGCACTTGCTCGCGCTTTGCTACTCTACGGACGAAGCTACCGTGCCGACCGCGCTGAAACTCCTTGGTAACGCGGTAGCAATGGCAGAAACGCTTGCGGAAGGTTCCACGCTCTCTGTGGCGACCAAGACTCGCATCTTACAGATGAAAATGACCCTGGTCGCGCTTTGCGAGCTGCTCGATGGACTCGATGCCGCGATGGAGCTCCTTCCGGGGGTGTTTGCATTATACCATGTGTTGTTTGCGCGCGATATTGAGGAGAGAAAAATGACAGGGATGACGCCGGATGTTGAAAAGGAGAACAAATTAAAACGAATGTTGACAGGATCAAAGAAGCGTGAAAAGGTGGTGAGTGCAGAGAATGGCATGCCACGCGACGCAAACGCGCGCGATCTTTTGGCACGCATGTGGCTCTGGGCTGCGACGCTTTACATGAAAGCGGGAGCGTTGGAGGAAGCAGAATCGGCGATTGCGGACGCGGATGGGTGTGTTGGGAGCATAGGTACACATGCTGAAACGCGCGCAGATGCCCTTGCGGAAATCCTGGCCGCACGCGGCTTCCTCGCGGCGCTACGTGGCGACCACCACACTGCTGCGCGTGCCTTCGAAACCGGCTTGGAAACCGCCACCAGTCTCCACTGCACGCTCGGTTTGTCATCGCTTTTGCTCCAGGACGACGCATACCACTCGGCTGCCGCTACTAAGTACTTCAAATCACCAGTGGACAAGTCCAGTGCGCTAGTGCGCTTAAAGCTCGCATTAGAGACGTTGGCGCGCGACTACCGCTACTTCAACCAGAGCGAGATCTGGTGGTATCTCAGCAAGATCTACGAGATCTTTGATGACAAGGTGTTACTCCAGCAGGCATTGTGGAAATGCGTTGCGGCCGAGCAGGGCAAACCAGTGCGGGCATTCAGCGTGTGCGAGTAGTCGGTGTATATAATAGATTACCGTTAGGGAATTCAAAGCTAACAAGATATAAAAATATATTATAAAGAAATCTCAAACTTGGAAGATCGATAAAGATATATATTTTTATATTAGCGATATTTTTCTGATACATTTTATTCGAGAGTTATAAATATCTTACATTTTCAGCTTTATATTTGTTAACACTATATATACACGTACGTACCCAATTACCGGAATGAATATATATACATCTAAGCTTCGAATTCACTAATTATACGCTTTTTCACTTATGCTCGTGTGTAATTCTTATTACAGTTGACTTGTTAATTATACCAGTCACTATGTCAAGCCGACCCACCGCACTACACTACTTATAATGAAATTTTGATATAATACATGCCTCTCTCTAAAGCGACAACTTCTCCACGGAGTACAACGGAACCCTGCGGGTATCGCCTACAAGCCTGGTGGTGTCGTTCAACGTCAAGATTGACTCCAACTGCTCTTGCTGTCTTTCCTCAGCAACGTTGACCAAACTGCCGTTGGTACCCTTCTTCTTCTTCTTGACTGGCGTGGTGAGCACCAATGCCTGGTTGACCAAGGTCAAGTTCTGTGAGCTCTCTGCCAAGGATCTGACCTGAGCGTCGACATCCGCTAACAAACTGTCAATCAATTCGGTTGACCAGCCGAAAAGCCCACCAGCATCGATGAGCGACGGCATGATGCCCCACGCATTGAGCGTTTGCGCGCGCTGCACAATTCCCTCCAAGTTGGGGAGGGAAACAGCTGCAGCGGTGATCTGGACAGGAGAGAACTCTTCCTGCAAACGCGTTGCAGCATCGCCAAAAAGCTCGTCGTTGTCGTTGGCCAACTGGGAGGTAATCTCTGCACAAGTCAAGTTTGGGCACGTGACAAGCGCTTGTCTCAACAAGCGTGGATGGGCCGCCAACGCGCCCAACAAGCCGGCGGTGTAGGACACAGGGAACAACGGATGGGTCAAGAGGTAAATTATGGTGCTTTCCGGAACGAAAGTGCGACTCAACTTCATGTTGGAAGCCGGGCCAAAGATCATAGTTACGATCTGGAGGATGAGGTTGGCGTCCACGATGCGGTCCTTCTCGGCCTCAAACACGGAAAGTTCTGGGGCTTGGCTCTTTGCCCAGACGGCACCTTTCAAGTACGGAACGACCGCTTCCCAGGTTGCGACGTCGAGCTTCTTTAACTCGGAAATGATCTCCTTCGCTTCGGTCGCTTGCACCTTTGCACTCTTTGCAAGGTCAAACTTAGGGCCGCCCACCAACGCAGGAACGCCAGAAATGACCTGACCACCAGTATGAAGACCCTTGCCCAAGGATTCACTGAGATTCCCCAACCCGACATCCACAGGGATCATGACGACGTAGGCGGTATCGCGTTTGGCAATGGTCCCAATGGCGTGGGTCGCACTGGTCTTGAGCGACGCACCGGCAACAGCGCAACAGCTCATTAAACGCACGTCGCTCTTGAGTGCAAGTGTCGCTAACACCGCGTCGAACTTGTTGTTGAGCAAGAAGACAGACGTTTTGTCAGAAATGAGCACGCGATTTGGCGCTGGCGCGAGCAACGCTACGTTTGTGAACTCAGCACTGATCTTACCCTTTAATGACACTATATGCGTCTGTTGGTACGACGGGAGACTGTATGTGGTGAGAGTTTGTTTACTGTAGCGGAAGAGGTTTCCCGCACTGTATGCGAAGAGAGACTCGGTGTACTTCGCCTCAATGACATGCGAACTGACCTCCGCACCGCTGGCCAATGCTACCAAGCGTGCTTGCAACTTTTGACCGACCACCTCAACGATTAATAAGCCCGAATCTTCAACGAACTTGTGGTACACCACGCGGTTCTGCGCGGCCAAAGTCCACACGGCGGTCCCGGTCATGTCGTAAGCGCTTACCTCACCGCTAACCAAGACCGTGTAGGCTAGTTTCCCATCTGCTGAGAACTGAATCCCCACCACGCGGCTAGCAGTTTCGATATTGACCATGCTGGCATCCTCCTCTTGCTGGGCGATGAACTTGAGCGTGTGCTTCTTTCTCTCTGTCAAACCGACCGCAAATATCTTGCGTCCAGCGGAATGCGACGCAAGCGCGTTTACAACAGTGTTGGGAGACAAAGCGTACGACCACACAAGCTTAGGAGACGGGCGCGTGATGTAGCTTCCGATGATAGAGCCGCTGAGGCCAATGTCTAATGTGTGTGCCTGGGGGTCGGCTGTCTCACAGATGACAGCTCGTTCTGAGGAGTGCAAGTCCGCAACCCGTGGGAGAGTCGTGATGGTGTATGGATCTGACAAAGACGGCATGTTTGAGGGGGTAAAGCAATAAGGGGTGTGGTTTTTGCAAAAAAAGATTTTGATATTAGCTGCAGATACAGGAATTTTTTTCGTTATTTTTCAGTTCCGTGCAGGATAACCATTTTGAGGGTATTGAAAAAAGTGCCTCCAGCCAGATTCGAACTGACGATCTCCTCATTACTAGTGAGGTGCCTTACCAACTTGGCCATAGAGGCGCAGATATGCTCAAAAAGATGAACCGATGATATAAGAAACGGAAAAAGATGAGAATGCAACTTTAAGAAAGTATCAAGACCGAAAAGGGGAGGGTGGCATTATAGTATCTGAAAAAGGGATACTGTGACACGTTCACACAACTAAACTACTTGAATAAGGCGTATCCTTACTTTTTAATAGGAATAATGGAATGTTATTACGGCTATAACTGATGGTGGAGCTCGGAGACGGTTCCTACTATTTGTGAGGGGTAAGGCATAGCTCCTCTAGAAATAACGAATCTATTGGGGTTTACTCAACAAAGTAAAATGCGCTCACAAACACTACACTATTGATATAATAATTTCCATTAAAGATAACTGTTACCAATATATTATATTAAGAGAATTATGGACTAGAATGGGTTTTTGTATACATTACTACATGCCACTAACATTGGCATTCTCTTTTATACCAAGAGCATATCACATGGGTTTATATAGACCCGTGCATTTGAGATATAACACCAATTTTAACAAAGTTAATTTAAAGAAACAACCCAATTTTTCTAGATTACAAGGATGGAGTAACCATTTTATTTTATCTAATTATATAAACCGCTATTAAAACCACCCTCCGTGTTCCTGCATCCAGAGCAGTGCGGCTGACATGTGATCGTCACAGCATTTGTGGATTGCAAGCTTGGTCTTAGTAGCAATTCATCTCAGAATCAAATATACAATGACACCAATAGAGCTGGGCCATCATGATTTGAACTATCTCTTGTACCGAAACGTGAAGGCTGTCAAGGTAGGCCAAATTGAACGTTTCCATCTCACATATACCCCTGATGATGCCACACGCCCGCTCACGTCACTCTGGCTCAAGGTGAAGAATACGGAAATGTTAGCGCTTCGCGCGGCGTATCTTGCCGGCCCGTACACGCTCTATGTGGATGTGCGCAGCAGCGAGTACGACCAGGACCAAACCACATTTATCACGGCTGACCAGCCGATCTTCGAGCCAGAACTCACGGCCGGAAGAGCTTTCTACGCGGAGCTCTCGATGCGGACACTCAAGCCTCGATACGAGTGGATTGTGGATGTGATGAGCCAGGTGATTTTCAACCCCGCGACCAGTGTGAACTTTGAGATCCAGGTGGGCACCAGTCGCGAGGTTTTGAGCCACGGCTGGGAGTCGCACAAGATAGGCGGCCTCGACACGCGGCTCAGCGTCGTCAATCAGGACACGTTGGATCTTTGGAATATCCCCAAGCCGATCAAAGATAAACCGGTTCATCTTGTGGTGCTTACCCACGGGCTTCACTCGAACATCGGCACAGACATGTTCTATCTCAAGGAGGCCGTGGAGAAGCATACCCAATCAAACGTTATGGTGCGTGGCTTCCACGGAAACGCATGCAAGACCGAACGTGGAATCAAGTATCTCGGTAGCCGTGTGGCAGAGTTTGTGATGGAGGTTTATCTCCAAGAGCCTAGTATTACACAGGTCTCGTTTATAGGCCATTCGTTGGGAGGCGTGGTGCAGACCTTTGCCATTGCCTACTTGGAGAGTAATTTCCCCAGCTTCTTCAAACAGGTGCAACCAGTTAATTTCATCACCCTTGCATCCCCCATGTTGGGCATAGCCAGCGAGAACCCTGCCTTCATCACTATGGCGTTGACTGCTGGCGTGGTGGGCAAAACGGGCCACGACTTGGGTCTCAAGTACGTTGATGGGCATAAACCGTTGTTGTTATTGCTTCCAACAGGCCCAACACACAAGATCCTTAAGCGATTTGAGCGGCGCACGGTGTATGCGAATGCGTCGAACGACGGGATTGTTCCGATACGGACCTCCGCGTTGTTGTATTTGGATTATAAGGGACTAGCGGGAGTGGAAATGGTAGCAAAGAAGTATGCCTCGAAGGAGGAAGAAAGGGAAAATCATACTCATGCGATCGCTTCAGGCTCTGATATCGGCCAGATTCCCATCTCTGCCGAGTCTGGAATTGCCGCAACCACCAAATCGTTCTTCTCTGGAACCCCTCTACAAAATGCTCTATCTTTTTTTATGCCCCAGGCCCAGAAGCGACCGGCAAATAGTGGGTTTGCCAAGTTCCAGACCGTGGATAAAGAGGCAGACCCCACACAAAAAGCCGATTCCGACGAGGGGATTTCCGAGTCCTTATCCAAAACATCCATGATTGGTTCCGCTGCTGCGCTCATCTTGCCCCCAATGCCGTCGGTCAAGTTTATCAACGACCCCCAGAGCAGGGAACCGGTAATTTTCCATGACAGGGTCTATCAGTCGTCGGATCTTCCTCCCCAGGAAAAACGCGAGACTAGTTTCATCCAGTCGATAGATCCGTTTTACAGCATCGCCGCGATGGAGGAAGAAATTGCGCGGGCTTACCACAAGGAGATGGCTTGGAGAAAAGTGCTCGTTAATTTAAAGCCCGATGCTCATAATAACATCATTGTTAGAAGGCGATTTGCGAACGCCTATGGTTGGCCCGTTATAGATCACCTCATTGCCAACCACTTTGGGTCTGGGAATACTGAGCGAGCCTCTTCACTGCCTCGTTTTTCCCCTGACAGGTTCGGTCCTGTAAAGTCAACAGAATTCTCGTTTAAGGATCTCAGCCTCTTTAACGATATCCTCTCGCGCGACAGGATCATCGAGGAGAATGAAATGGAGGACGACCTTGGATCGCTTACGGACGTCGCTTCCACGGTTACATCCTTGCGCACAGCCGAGGATGACGAGCGGTGGATCAACTTCCTGGGAAACGCCGAATCGATCTTTGCCGTTGGCCCTACGGGTATGATTTCGAACGTGGGTGAGTTTGTGGAAAACTTCAGGACCAACCTTCAGAATTTTGCCACCAACAATGGGTTTACTGAGACGGAGGAGACTAGCGAGCAGAGGATTGGCGAAGGTGTGCCAGAATCTGAAGCGGTGTCGGAGAAGATTCTCATGGATGGGTTTTACTAAGTCAAGCTAAAAGGAATACTAAGTAATTGAATATATGAAGCTCTAACCACTAAAAGTATTTAGTTTTTGTTTATGATTCGAGTCTCGCTAGCACTTGCGTGATTTCTTTATTACTCACAAGCTCAAGTTCCTGGTGGGATCTCAATGTCTTGAACTCTCCTCCGTATAACCCCGATTCCTTCAAGGCAGCCAAGCTCTTAAACCCCATCTTGGTCAAACCTTCATCTGACACGCTCAACACACTGATAACCTGCTCTAGCTTTCTTCTCTCAAGGGTGAGAGGCAAGTCCAATCCCACGCATAACGCTTCCCAGTCAATAGCTAGCTGAGCAGCTCCAAACTTTCTGAAGTTGCTTGACCCAATGATATAGTCTGTAAACGTCAGCACCAAGTTCTCGGTAAATTCACTGAGAACAAACAAGCGATCGGTAAAGCTCACCGCGCGGGAAAACAAACCTAGCTCTCTAGACAAAATCTGAAGCGGCTGGCTAAGGGCCGGGGTGATGACATTTGCAGATGTCTCTGTCACCCTGGACCAGTGGCTTGACGCGAGATAGCCCTTGATACTGTTTTTCAATTCCTTGTTAAAGAAAGCCGTCAAGAGCTCAGATATCTGCGTGGAGAGTTCTCTGTATTGGCCAATCACGGTATCAAAGAACATATGCTTCATGGTTTCCAGATCGGCCAAAGGTTCAGTCTCGCTGTTGTGGCTAGATACCCGGGCCCACAATTGCAAAAACAACTTACTCTCGCTCCACTGTTCCATGCAGTTGATCATAAAGTGGAGGGAGCAGTAGAGACGGCACAACCGCTCAACCCCTTGAACCTCCTGGATTTTTTGGGCCTCGTCAGTGGTGCGATTATTAACCAATGAGAGTGAACTCTTGTGGAAAAGCTTTTTGAACGCCTGGAACCCTTCTAAAAGCCGGTCATAGTACAAATCCAAGATATGGAGCTGAATGTTGCTCAAAAACTTGAGCTGGTACTTGAGGATTCGGATGTTCGCATAGTGGGAGGTGATATTCTCAAAGAGCTTCTGCACATTGATGGCTGACACGGTGGGTTTGGTTTCACCAGCATCTACAAAGTCGTAGTCAATCTCAAAAGCGTTATCGGCTTCCATGATTTCTCTGAACCTTACTAACGCCAACTCCCGCTCGTTTTCTAGCCACCTCTGGAAGTAATCTTTGTTGCGCAACGTATCGCCCGTCAAACCCGACCACTGCTTCGCAGACGCCTCCAGGATGGGTTGGTGGGGGTTGAAGCCGTACTTGGACACCATTCTCGCGTCAAAGCTTTGTAATTCAAAGATGAGGTGCGAAAGCAACCTGGGATTGCTGTCAAGATTGTTCAAGGAGTCAATAAGGTAATGTTCCATTTTGATTCTGACCGGGGCTAATAAACTGGTCATTATTTCATAAACAAAGAATTGGTTGTGGTATGGTGTGTCTCTGAAAATGTCGCCGAAAAGGCTCCGCATCTTGGTGAGATGGTTATCCATAAAGGTTTCAAAGAACTGCAACGCCCATTCGGGTTTATCGGCTCTATTGGTTTCCTTGTTCCCCTCGAAGTGGTACATAAATCGGGTAGTGAAAGGACGGGTCAACGTGCTTAACGCCCAGAGAGGCTCTGGATAGACTGCAGCGTTACTATATCCTTGCAAGGTTAAAAGGTTGACAAGTGCCACTTTCAACGGACCCAACACAGCGGCCGGCACATCTGCCGATACCCAGTTGGATTCGTTCACTAGCACTGTAAGTTTCTCGTCGAGCTTCGGCTTCAAGCTAGAAACAATGACACTGTTCACCTTGGCCCTCAAGTTTTCAGCCAACGTGGCCTGTAGCTGGGACTCACTAAAAGATTTGGCGGCAAACGCATCAGTAGCAGCGGAGATAGCCTTTAAAGAGGTAAGAACGATATCTGAATCCACAGTAAGAGCTGAAAGGTTTTGAAGGATTACCTGGTATTCCACCAAAACAAGCCTGGTGCTGTGTGCCGCTTGCTGCTGGGAGACGGAGTTTCTTACCACCAACACCAGTTCAAGGGGGCCATATACTTCTAAGATGTCATTGAGAGAGGCAAGCTTGGCATCATAATCGGTGTTGGCCAAGGCAGCCTGAATCAGCTTCGTGATTTCTTGTACTGCTTCATGAAGTAACGAATTGTCATGCAAATCGTCATTGCTCTGGAGCTTGAGCTGGATGGCCGCTCGATCCTCCTGGACCCTACTTAGCTCAGCATCCAACTTGGTGTCGAGATCCCTCGATGACTGGAATGTGGTATTAAGGTACTGTCGCATTGAGCTTTGGATGTTCTCTGGAGAATTACGAGAGCTTCCCTGACACGAATTGTCTTCGGCGTCTGATATTGAAGATCCTGCGTCTAGCGCTTACATAGAGCGGTGGGTGCACTACCATGAACTGAATAGGCTTAGAAGCACTTACATTGATATAGAGTGAAGATTGGTGCTTTGTTTTATTGTTTTTTTTTTTAAGAAAAAAAGATATTTCAATATTATTGGACTAAAAATCAGTGGTATACTTGTGTTTCAGAAGTTTGGGAGTTTGTGGTCTAGCATCCAAGTGAAAGTGAGCCTGTCACATAACGATGGCGTTCTAACCGATACCACAACTTTTCAACCTTCAATAGCTATTATGGGCTTCAGATCGAAACATCGTAGAATAACCAAACAATAGCCGTTAAAGATGTTGATGGTACAGATTGTTTAAATTCAGCAAATTACCGAAGTGAAATTCTTGAGGTCCCCCCGTTGCAATTTTCTCCTGCATCAGAGCTATATATATTACAACCTTCCAGTCTTCCTTCCTCTCCATCTCTTCCCATCCAACCATGTCTATAGTTGCAGTAAAACTGGTGCGGAAGCCAAAACATACATATATTAAGGGTAAGGCACTTATACTTCTCCTTCTGACAGTTTACTAACGGACCAGAGAAAAAGGTCGGTGAGGGTACCTACGCGGTGGTGTACCTCGGAAAGCAGGAAGGCACCAAGCGTGACATTGCGATTAAAGAGATTAAAACATCCGCATTTAAAGACGGCTTGGACATGTCGGCCATCCGTGAGATGAAATTTCTTCAGGAGTTGAAGCATGTAAACATCATCGAGCTTGTGGATGTGTTTTCCACCTCCGACAACCTCAACCTCGTGCTCGAGTTCTTACCGGCAGACTTGGAAATGTTGATCAAAGATAAGGCGGTGATTTTTACTCCGGCAGATGTCAAAAGCTGGCTTCTCATGACGTTGCGTGGCGTCCACCACTGCCACCGAAACTCCATCTTGCACCGAGACTTGAAGCCCAATAACTTGTTGCTCGCCCCAGATGGTCAACTTAAGATTGCAGATTTTGGTCTTGCGCGGTCGCCAAACGCGCCACTGGACGAATTGACATCCAATGTTGTCACCAGATGGTACCGCGCGCCCGAGTTACTCTTGGGTACACGTTACTACACTGGTGCAGTGGACATCTGGTCCGTGGGTATCATTTTTGCGGAACTCATGTTGAGAACGCCGTACCTTCCAGGTCCGTCGGATGCTGAGCAGTTGGATGTCACGTTCAGAGCCCTAGGTACTGCCACTGAAGATACCTGGCCCGGGGTGTCATCACTTCCAGGCTACAACTCCTTGAAGATCTACCCCCCACCCTCCCGGAACGAGTTGCGGAACCGCTTTTTGGCCGCCACTGAGAAAGCCTTGGACTTGTTGATCTGGTTGACCACCATGGATCCGTCGAAGCGGTTTGACTCCAGCGAAGCCTTGTTGTCCGACTACTTCACCGAGATGCCTAGACCGACCGAGTGCAGCCATCTACCGAAAAAGAGCGGACAGGTGGACGAGGCTCTAAAAAGAAAGCGTGAGGATGAAGCCCAGGAGGAGGCGAAGAAGAAGGAGTTACAGACAGCCAAAAGGAGAAAGGCGTAGACCAGGAGTTTGGTATAACAAATACTATTTATTATTTTTGGCCCCCTTATGAAGTTATATCTAACGTCTTGCTTCGAGCTGTTCTAGATATATATCAACATCGATTATTCTGAGGTTTTAAATGAATAACACCCTGAAACATAAATCATGGAATGCATGCTTTTGATGCGAATATTTGTGCTATTGGGGTATATGTAGAAGAGATTAATGCTTACACTGATATCTTGTCCATATATCAAGCTCTCTAGCTCATTGAGATAAATAGATCACTATCTTCAACATATTTACAGTGGATTGAATTTGGCTTCACCTGTTTATTTATTATGGTTAAATCAATATATTCATTATTTACTGTGGTAGATCTCTCTAACGTATTTGGCAATTCCCATCGCGGAGGTCAATCCCGGACTTTCAATGCCCAAACAGTTTACAAACCCCTTGAAGCCCTCTTCCTCCTGAATTACGAAATCCTGAAATGCAGTCTCGTACTGGTCCGTGAGTTTGGGTCTGATCCCGCTGTACGATGGGGTTAGCGATTCTTTCGTCACGGCTGGGAAGTAGCGCTTAATTGCATGATAGGCCGCATCAAGATTCTTCAGAGAGACCTCAAAGTCCGAAGCAGAGTCGACCCACTCGATGTCGGGGCCGAATTTGATCTGTCCACCGAGATCTATTGTCAAATGGGTGCCTAACGACGCGACATTCTTGGTGGGGCACGGGTATATCTGTGATGTTAGTAATTGTGCCATTAAACCTTTTTGTACTTACCAATCTTCCAACTTTAGTCCCGGGCCTACTAAAGCTAAAGTAATTCCCTTTAGCATAGAAAGAATTGACCTTCCGTTCTAAGAGCATGTTGGATATATCTGAGGCATACAAGCCAGCGGAGTTAACTACGTTCTCGGTTTCAATCTCCACTTCTTCCCCAGATATATCGCTCACCACAACCGTAAATGTCTCGCCATTCTTAGTCAACCCCGTCACCTGCGATCCAATGGCGATTTCCCCGTTATTGGTCTGGAATATAGACTCAAGATAGTCCATAAAGGAGTGTGCAGATATTATTCCTGTGGTCGGGGAGCTCAATACCGCCTGGCCAACCTTAATTTCCGGTTCTAACGTCTGTGCTTCACTGGCAGAAATCATCTGAACCGGAACACCCAAGATTTTGGTAGCTATTTCGTGCATTTTGGTCAAATACTCTGTTTCTTGCTCAGTCTGGGCCACAATCCATTTTCCGCACTGTCTCATTTCCACCCCTGCTTTTGCAGCGTCACTATAGAGCAACGCTTTTCCCTCAATGCAGAATTTAGCCTTGAGGGAGTTTGGAGGATAGTAGAGCCCGGCGTGGATCACCTCAGAGTTTCTGGAGGTGGTTTCCTGACCTAGAGAGAGGTGCTTTTCGAGCAAAATGACTTTGTTGGAGGAGACTTTGGAGAGCTCGGCCGCGATGGCCAATCCCACGACACCCCCACCAATGACTACATGGGAGTAGTCAGCATGGGATACTGCGCCGACAGAAAAGCAGCGAGAGAAAGAACGAATTCCCGGAGATATCATTGTTGGGTTGGGGCTAATCTTAGGGGTACCAAGCTACTAAGGTTGGTTTTCTCTTTTTCATAGGGGCGTGTGTGGAGCGACCAAAATATGCAAGCTGCAAGCATAGACTGATAGGAAACGAGGGCCAAGATTATGGTATAATTATCTCTATACGATCATACTGTATATTCCATGCATGGAGAATACAAAGATGTCAAAAAGATGCCAAAAAGATTCCAAAAATCAAAATTATAAGACTAATAGAGCCTTTTCGAGCCTTTATAAGTGGAAATAGAGCTATTTGGAACCAAAGTTGAAAATGGAGAGAACAATGGTAGAAATATTGAAGATTTTAGAACTAGCACGTTTGTTATACCTTATCTAGAGTGAAGCTAGATTAGCAAAATATACTACTTGCCCTGGCTGGGATTATAAATTGATTAACCAAACGGCGTCGTAAAGATTGGGAGAACGGTACGAAAGTACGACCAGTATGTACATGCAAAGTTTAAAAGGGGGGCCATTATGCATGCTACGGAAACGGGGCTGTAAGGCTTAATCTATTCCTGCAAACGACGGAACGAGCTAGAAAAGCCATATTGGTTTCTTTAGGGTAAGTATAATAAGGGCCACGCTTCCCGTTTTCTTTAGCCAAGACGTCTGATTTTTCCATCAATTATAGTTCACATTCCAAACTATGAAAGACGTGAGTTCACAGCTACCTCTCTGGGTGATTCCAGAGGAAGACGAGATTCTGGATCTGCCGCACACCAAAGAACAACCTTCAGCAATGAGGAAAGCCACTACAGAAGTGGAGGAAAAGCCTAGCTTATGGCTCCTTGTTACCCTCTTTGCACTTTCGCTCTTGCTATTTTACGACCAGAAGCCGGATCACTCAAGACCCGCACTTTCAGAAGAGCGCGGCGATTCGAAGACCTCGTTAAGATTTGACACACAGGAGATTTGTCCAGTTTACAAGGTTATCAGACCAAAGTCATATATCCAAGACCCGAAACCTTTGCTCCGTATCCTTCGGGATCCCCTTTTCAGGAACGCTTCCGCTGAGAAACTTAGTGGCGCAGTGCAAATAGATACCACAGTGGGAGATGGTTGGCCAGACGTGCGCGACGATCCTAAACGGTGGGAATTCTTTTCTCTGTTTCACGTGTACTTGAAGCTGACATTTCCGCTTTTGCACGATACCCTCAGTTTGGAGAAGGTAAACACGTACGGGCTATTATACACCTGGCACGGATCAGACTCGATATTGAAGCCGGTAACCTTTATGGCACATCAGGACGTAGTGCCAGTTCAGAATTTCACCATATCTGATTGGACCTATCCACCCTTTTCGGGAAAAGTTGTCAATAACACAGCTGTGTGGGGCCGGGGGTCTTCTGATTGCAAGAACCTGTTGGTAGCTGTATTGGAAGCAGTGGAGCTATTAATTTCTCAGGGGTTCAAGCCTAGAAGAACGGTCCTATTGTCCTTTGGCTTTGACGAGGAAACTACTGGTGCAAATGGTGCCAAACAGTTGGCCAAGGTATTGACTGACCGGTATAATTCCTTGTACGCTATTATTGACGAAGGGGCTGGGCTCTTTCCCGTGCCTAACCCAAAGGACGGTACTAAGAAATGGTTTGCCATTCCTGGGACATCTGAAAAGGGATCCTTAGACGTGGCTATTGATTTAACCACAGAGGGGGGTCATTCATCAGTTCCTCCGGCTCATACATCTATTGGTATAATGGGCGAATTAGGATACTTGCTAGAGTTACATCCCTACGAGGCCTCATTATCAGATCCCAAGAACCCTATGCTTTTGTTGATGCAGTGCATGGGAAAGTACTCGCCGGAGAACTCGCTTCCTGAAAGTTTGCGGAGGGACATGATCCACGTGGGACACTCTGATACGGCAAGACAGCGGGTTTTGAAATTTCTCTCCTCCAACCCGGCGTATCTGAGCTTAGTGAAAACTACGCAAGCCCTTGTAGTCATCAATGGGGGTGAGAAGAATAATGCCTTGCCTGAGCATGTTCGTCTTGTCGTAAACCATCGCATTTCTACGGACGAGACGGTGGGTTCTACGATAGAACATCTCTTGGAAGTTGTACAAAGCATTGCCGACAAGTACCATTATCCCGTTTACTACGACAACAAAACAGTAAGTCTGCAAAAATTCCGCATTGAAAATGCCGACTATAAGTCCCTGGGGTCCTCATGGGGAGAATTTAACATTACAATCCTTGATTCCCTTGAACCAGCCCCGATCTCTCTGACAAGAGACGACGTTTGGAAAGTACTTGCTGGAACTACCAGACACGTCTTTGAGGATGCTGTCTTTAATGCTGATACTTTGTTTGGCTGTCTGATGACTACAGATTCAGTTATCGTGTCACCGGCATTGATGCCAGCCAACACTGACACACGGTACTACTGGAACCTTACTCCAAATATTTACCGCTTTACTCCCGGCACCTCTCTGTTCAATGAGGCAAACATACACAGCGTGGATGAGCATATGGATATCGATTCACATTTACAGCTTTTGGCTTGGTACTACGAATACATCCAGAATGTGGATGAAGCGGCCTAGATTGCTGTATTTTTGGATGTCAGACAGTTTAGGAAGCGTTTAGGAGACTTTTTTTCTTCTACTTTATATGTATAAGGAATGAACTAGGGGCGGCATAGGTAAGCAAATAGAAGTGGTATCGACTCAGAGACACATTTCTGAACGCGGAAATCCCGCCTTACGCTCTTCTGCATGCCGAACTAATAGACCAGATGAACCGTTTAGCTGGCACTAGTTTTAGCCTAGAATTAATGCAAAAATTCCATACCCATCGAGCTAGTGCCAACTGTCCTGCATGTATATGACCTTATTGGATGACTATTATAGCCTAGATCCCCAAACACGTGTGGTGTGTCCAGTAAGTAATGGATATTATTAGCTATCTGTGAAGAAATCCCCTCCTTTCGTAAAATATATGTAAACAGAGGAGGGGTTAAGGTCTTTATATACCGAAGGCCGAGTGCGCCACCGACATGGTTTGATAAAGATATGTCGTAGGATTAGCTTGAAGAAAGTAGCATACCAAAATACCGTACAACCGGTAATTGAAGAGAATACTGACTTGTCAGAGGTAAGAGGATATCTACTGACGACGTCTAGGAAACGTGTTGCATTAAAGGTGCGATATCAATTATGTCAAATTTTCAACCATATTACTTACAGTGATAGTTTAACTTTTGTACTCCCCTAGCCTATTTCATTCGCGTTTTCTAGGTTCACCGATCCATTCTACCTGCACATTTCATTAATTTGTTTGTACCTACCACATACTATCTTGAAGTTCTCAGCCTGTTCCTCAATCCCAGTGATCAGAATCTAATGGTACCGATTATCTAATCCCCGTATCTATCACACCTTTAGGCCATATGACTTAAGGATATGCTTCGTGGACTTCCTTGCTCCGAATCTTGCCACAGCAAGCTACACCATCTTGCATACCCACCGTGCATATCGTTTGTACGAATAACATCCAGTGTGCAGGGCTTCAGGCTCTGCGGCTGGTGCGGCTCTTGGCCCCCTTATACTTTAGACTCTAAGCAACCGAGCATCCTCCCCTCTTGAGCTGAGATAAATATCAGTAGAAATCTAACCCCCCTTTTCTAGACTCATACAAGTTTACACTTATTATTTTGTTTGCTCGTTCTATCTACCCATAATGTCAACTGATATGAAGTAAGTTATGCAGTTTCGCCGAAGATCGGCCTTTCACCCTCACTCCTTCGATACTAACCCTCAGAACTGTTTTGGTCACCGGAGGCACCGGCTTCATCGGGGCCCACATCGCTAACACGCTTCTTACACGTGGAATTCACGTGGTGCTCACCACGCGGTCGGTCAAGAAGGCCAAAGAATTTGTTAATGCCAGAACTCAATACGCTGATTTGATCAAGGTCTTCCTAATTGAAGATTTCTGTGGCGGTGACGCTGAGGGTAAACCTAACCCTTTTATCTTAGCTGCCAAAGGAGTGGATGGAATTATCCATGTTGCCAGTCCATTATCCTACGAGGTGAACAATGTAGAGAAGGAGTTGATCTTGCCTGCAATTTATGGGGTAAAGATGATCTTGGAAGCGGCAGCACAAACCCCTACCGTTAAAAGGTTGGTGCTCACCTCTTCGTTCGTCTCCGTATTGGATGTCTCCCGCGGTAGTGGACCCGGATTCACATACACAGGGGAGGACTGGAACCCGTTGAGCTACGAAGAAGCTGTCAGTGCCGACGCTGTCGTCGGGTACCGTGGCTCCAAGAAGTTTTCAGAGCTCGAGGCGTGGAACTTTGTGAAAACCCACTCCTCTGCCTTCGATTTGGTCACTTTCTGTCCTCCAGTGACCTTTGGGCCGATTGTCCACCCAATCGATAATGTCAAACTGTTGAACCTCTCCAACGCTGTGCTCTGGGGGGTTGCTTCCGGGGACGACCCACTTCCACAAACCAGAGTTCCTCTCTGGATTGACGTTCGTGACTTGGCCTTAGCTCATGTCGAGGGGCTAATACGTCCGGAAGCTGGAGGAAAGCGCTACATCCCATGCTCGCCATACAAGTTTTCATACGACTTGGCAGCCCAGATCCTCAAGGAAAACGGGCTCGGAGAGTTTGTCACCGACAATATCAATCAGGAGAATCTCCAGCCTCAGGGCTACGATGGTGACTATGAGACGGTGGAGAGGGATCTTGGGATCAAATTCCGTTCGTTTAAGGAAACGGTTCTCGATTCTATAAAGGAGTTCCGAACCTTACCACGTTAATGGCGTGAATCCCACGCATGGGTAATTCGAATAGATTCATTCACAGCGCTATCAATTATGTCTATCAGGATGAACTTTATCCGTATCAAGCTAGTAATTCACTCGTTCAACAGTAAACCTGGACATGAATGCCAAGGTAGACGTAGCGATAGAAATGTGTTATTGTACGTTTAGGACCTGGAATCCAGGATCACGAGATCTTGCTATTCTCCTCAATAGCTATCTGTGTCTGGAATTAATATTTGATCATGAGCTCCCTTTCTACAACGGTCTAGCTATTTTATATCGATTGTTGACGTCTGTGGGATGAGATAAATATCTCTTCTGTTAGCTCCGCTGTGCTTTGGGCTCGCGGTGTATATTCTACTGAACTAGATTACTTTAAGATATAAAGAATAGAAACTAGTTGGTGTGTAAATAAAACTCAGGCTTTTCGATATGATTAGATGAGGAAACCATTGCAGAATTGTTTGAAGGGCATATATGCGGCAAAGAAAGGGAAAAGGCTCGGTAAAGGAGTCACTTAAATTTGGGCTATCAGAGATGAAGCAACGGTAAAAGAGGATTCACTCACATTCGAACGCGAAGAGAAGAACCTTCCCTGGAGCGTAGCAGTAATCAAAAGTCTCAATGCCATGAAGAATTGATAAGAAAATAATTTGTAACCCTTCAACTACGCCATTTCCACATCTGACAAACCCCTCGTAGCACCATGGAAACTATGCAGCTTCTCGTTTGATGTATACCTCTCGCTCAATGTGAGCGGCACCGTTCCGCTTCGTACGGGAATTCGCACACTCATCGCTTTCGCATGGATCTCCCTGTAGCTGTCGATATCGCGCATGACATCTATCTTTTCCAGTTCAGTATTTTCCATACTTTCCACCTCGACATTTATCCTTTCGCTATTTTCAACTTTTCCCATGAACCAAATATGCCTTGATGCCTCTTCGACAGTCAACCTCTCGGCAGGATCGATCACCAAAAGGCGTGCTATCAAATCCAACGCAGGGTCTGCGATCTCATCCCAATACGGACTAAAAAATGCAAATTTACCTTCCAAGATCTGCTGCCGCATCGAGGGCGGTCCTAATTCATCACTGAAAGGTGGAAACCCACATAGACAGACATACAAAAGAACCCCTGCCGACCATAAGTCAACAGACTTGGAGTATTTGCGAGCCTCTGAGTGGCACAAGACCTCCGGGGCCACGTACGCCGGTGTGCCGCAAAGTGTCTGGGTAAAGTTCAACTCGCCAATACACTTTGCAAGACCAAAGTCTGCAATTTTCACCGTCACCACGAGTTCGTGCGCGTCCCAAGGGCTATGAGAACTATGATCCGTATCCGTCCGCGGAGTGATCTCCAACAAGATATTTTCGGGCTTGATATCGCGGTGGATGATGTCCTTGCTGTGTAAGTATGTGAGACCCTGGAGGAGCTGGCGGAAGATAGCGTTGGTTTCGTCCTGGCGCAATTTTCCCTTGCTGATTACGCGCTGGAACAATTCACCACCGTTGACCTTCTCCAACACGAGGTATTTCACTACCGATGAGCGGTTAACAGGCTCATTAAAGTTGTCTATCAATTGCACCACGTTTGGATGGTCCATGCTCATGAGGAGCTCTAATTCCTGGTTCAACTTAGCAAGCGTGCCAGATTGCGCCACCTGTGGCTGGAAAATCTTCACTGCGTGCACTGCACCGGTGCGCCGGTGACGTGCCTCGCGGACCTGCGCGTAATGGCCTGCGCCGAGCACCTCACCAAGCGTGTACAGGTCGAAGAAGGACGTTTGTAGGCCCTGGTAACGGAGAATGTAAGAGCCCGACTGTGCAAATGCAATTTTATCTCCGTTTTGCAAAACCCGTTGTTTCACGTTGCCAAGGAGCTCACCGTTGACAAAAGTGCCGTGCGAGGAAAGATCCGTGAGACTGAGATACTCGCGCCCGTCTGCGCGCACCACCGCGAAGTGGCAGTGCTTTCCAGAAATATCCGGACCCGAGAGCTTGATGTCACACTGAGAAGAGCGTCCGATGAGCGTGTTGTCGCGGGAGATAGTGAGGTCTGGGGAAGCGGTCATACTGAAGAGTGTCGCGAGGGGCGTGACGGGATTGGTAGGGATATTGGAGCGTTTTGGTGTGGAGACGTCACCGGAGATGTGGCGTTTTCGGTTCAACATGGTGAATAGTTCGAAAGATGTTACTAAAAGATTCCGTGCGTATTATGAAAGATTTGGAGAGGCGTTCAAAGGATTACTTCTGAAGATACGTGGCGAAGGAGGTAGTCTCAAGGGAGATAAATACGGAAACGTAATAATTTTAGGGGATACCTCTAAGGATTATGTCCAAAAGGAGGTTATGTTCAACCGATTCCGAGAAAATTAAAAATCTGAGAGGTAATTCGTTAAGAATAAAGGTTTCAAGATAGGGAGTAAGTCAAATGAACTTGTGCTGACAAAAAAATATTAACTTGGAGTATTCCCTGTAGTGGATTCGTTCGAGGTTGTAAGCAACTGTGGAAGTTGCTTTAAAGTCGAGATTCAGGTATGCCAGGTTTGTATTTTTCAGGAAACCTGCTAGATATGATATTTGCGCCACCTTAAGGTGTGTGAAACTGAATAATAATGCCTCGTGTTTGAATGTTGCCAAGAAGTGAAACCCGAAGATCATATTACGGATTTTTCAGTGTTTATCTTTCGCGTTAGATATCTTTGCACGTGACGGATAATCCTACGTGACCGAGGATGAGCCATTGTCCGGAATACCTAGCTCTAAACCAGATTCCTCATTGGCCTTTGGTATTAAACAAGCCCTCCATATAGAGTTTAAGATCAAAAAGATTTTAATTTTTAATCTATGCCCAACAATTACTCTCTCTCTATATAATGTTGTTCTTTTATATTCTTGTATTTTTATCCATATTTTGTTGAAAAATACAGGTCAATCAGTCACCGTTTCAAAGTTGAAGGTCTATGGCCTAATAACTTAGGCCGAGCTCGTGTTCGTTAGAAGAACACACCAAGATTCGCCAAAGAATATGGGTACCCCAAATTCTTCTTGTGAAACACAGAAATCAACAAGCTATAAGCAAAGAATATAGCCACACACACGGCCGCCGTCGCGGCAAACTCCGCCTTACGGTTCTTCAGCAACTTCTCGCTTCTTGGAAGCTTCTGTACCAACCCCACAAAGAATATGCTCAAAATTCCATAGATGAAGGAAACAATCTGAGTCTCGACCCCCAACTGCATCTGATGACCGGAAACAAAATAGATCGGGTTCTTATCGGCGTCATACCGCATATACTGAGTATCGCGGATCGAGTTGAACATGTAACCAGACACAAACATGAGCACGGTCAAAGTAGATGCGAGAGCCCACACATTCTTTCCCAGGAAGTTGCGCACCACCTTTGCCAGGTTGAGATAAACTACGTACGCACACACGGCTCCGAAAGTCACGGTCAATGCCGCACTAGCGTAGTCGGTGGGTGGCAGTGGGACGCTAAACTTGTGGTCTGGGAACTTGCTCAGCAACCAGTTGACGGTATTCTCGGCATGGCTGCCTTCCATGAACGGCATTTGCTCGAACCCCGCGGTGAGCGGCGTTGGCTTGGCGGTCTTCGGATAGTAGTACAACTTTGGCACATTCTGCAACTGCATCTGCTGGAAGATTGGTCTGGACTTCTCGTTAAAGTCAAGGAGAGCAAAGAACACGTTGCTCTTGCCCTGGGATGCCTTCGCATGCTCGCCCGCAATCGCAATGAAGGAGGGGTTGTACTCCGTGCAAAGGTGGCAGCCAACACGAGGATCAGTTGCGGTGATCAACAAGACCAAATCGTAGTCTCTTGGCCCGTTCATGATTGATTCGTAGTTTGTGTGCGTGATCCGCAAAACGTCCCCGCTCTTCTGCTTAGCCATGGTTTTGCGTAAGCTATCGGCAGTCGCCGCCTGGCACACCGCCGCAAATAGCGCGAAAAAGAGATAGATGAGCTTCATCGTAGATGTTAACGAGTGAGGATATAAAATTAATCTGCAATTGGTGATTGCAGTTGTTGATATAGCAGGTGTTGGCGCGGCAAAGTGGCCTGCTGTTCGTTCGAGGTGTCCTGCACAGTGAGCGGCGGTAACAAGACTCTAGTGGCTCATATTATACGTTCAATTCTTCATGAGCCTTTATTTGAATTGTTTATATTTGTGTTCGTTTATGCCAATTCACCATGGTTTTGGCTTTTGAGACGAGATACAATAGAAATACTGAGCTTGCTAGCTGCTGAACAGTCAGATGTAGATGAGGAAAGTGAGTGGAGGGCCGAATACAAACGCAGTGTATAATGATCAAACATGTTTTTATTCTCAAATGATTAAAGGATTCTAATATGTTAAGGTAATCTATTTTTTTGTAAATATACTTTGTGTATCTCGTGAATAACGCTGTAATATTATCATATGGGCACGCGCGGGTGACGTAACGTTGAGCCCTGAGTATTTGGGCTAACTATTTTGTTTGAACGCTTGGTCTGATATAAGCCCACATTATTCCATAATTTCTATTGTCTTTTGGTCAGTATCACCAGTACTTGAAGCTAATATTGATATTATTGGTGATAAATTCACGATCTTTGGTCATCTAAGTTGTAGGAACTGTCTATTTTTCCTTTTTTTTTCCAGATATATACGTTTCTGACCCCAATCAAACCATTTAATTTAGATATTCGGTCACTACTGACAAAGATCCTTCACATTCGCTCACAAACTTGATTCATCTGGTACCACTAACAATTCAGACAGTCCTGCCTGAAGTTCGAGTTTGTATCCGTGCTAGCGCTCTCGCTAGTTAGATATCCCACTTGCTCTTTGACTTCGTCTCGTGAACGTTAATTTTTCTCTTGCCCTCCTCTGGGACAAATCTTGGGGCAATAAAACCACCTTGCTTCGCCTTGGCCGCGGCCAACTTCACTGTTTCAATGGTATCACCCCTGGAGCTTAAAAACACATTGTATATTTCAAATGCGCCAGAATCCTCCCCCGCGCTTGCCTCAGCAGAGTCTCTTTTCTTTTGGAAAAAAACATGGATCGTAATGAGCGTTGCTTCAGCCTTCTCCCACAATTCCATCCGCACATAGCAGTCAAACAAGCCCATAAGAGCGGTACTATCGCGCAACTCTACGCCAAGCTTGAACCATTCCACTGCCTTGGCAAAGTTATTGTAATAGTTCATCTCAAGAAAGCCCAAGGCAGGGAAAGCCTCAATCAAGCCCTGACTTGCCCCAGCCTCATAGTGGTGGCGGGCAAGCAGCGGCTGAGCATGGGCGAGCTGACCAAGATAGAAGTGGCACTGGGCGACGTTCGCAGCTTCCCCGAACTTGATGGACTTTTCGAAATATCGCTGCAGCGCGAGCAAGTCTGGCTTCAGGAAGTTAATAAAGGCGAGGTTCTTGTAGACTTCTGAGGATGTTGCGGTATTGGGTTCTAACTCAAGGAAACGCGTGTACAAGGCCTCGGCTTGACCGACGTCTTTTTTTGCCCAAGCTAGATCACCGGAAAGCTTGAATGTCAACGGGTTTTCTAGCTTGAAAAGCTCGATAACAAGCTTTTTGGCATGGGCCATATCCTCAGGATTCCCTGGATCATTGATGGTCTCGAACGCGAGGGTCGCAACGGCATCGTTATTTCCCAATTCTGCAGCCTTCTCTACCAACTCGTTCTCCAACGCGAGCAAGTGCCGGTTGGTTGCATGTGTGCGCTTCCGGATGACGCCCAAGACTTCCCTCATCAACATTAAATCGGCGGATGTGGCGTAGTTGGGGAGCGTAAAGCCATCAGAGTCGATGGATCGATATACAGACTCATAAATGGGATAAAGATTTTTGAAGTTCAAGCGCGAGTCGTAGTCAAAAAGCAAGCGGTTCATGACGCGTTTAGAGGGGAAAATTGTGGAAAGCTCAGGCTTAGCTGCGGCGGCGTAGTAGCGGAGGCCAGTGGTGATGGCTATTGTTCTAGAAAGCATCAGTACAGAAGTGGGATACTTGAAATCTGATTTCTGGAGTTTTTTTCCGGGAAATGCTGGATGTATAAGCTGTAAACAGGCTTGCTTATCTTGATTAAATGATTAAGCCTGTGCAATAGGATATATGGTCAAATTCTGATATCGAGGACGAGAATGGGATAAAAGGTCAGCATATGGGTAAACTGCCTGGACGTCCACGTATCTTAAATATCAATTTAGACGATTTATACAGATATACGAATCCAGTGACGGAATCCTTGAAACGCCTCTGGAGGTGAAAATCTCAGACATCCGATCCTGTACGGAAGGGTTAGGTAGAGAACTGGCAAAGGTGAGCAAAAGATCTGAGAGTCCCTAATCTCACGGTTCATCCAAAAAGGCCATAGCTTCACATTGTATCGACGGACAACCTCTACCTTAAGCCTCAATGGATAGAACACTGTTTCCTGTGAATGACACGCACCCGGTGGAATTGGCAGTCCAGTCGATGCTTGGCCCAAACTTGGAAAAGCTCAACCGGCAGTTGGAGTCGTTGCACGAAAGTCAAGCCACACTTATCATGCGTCTCCAGATAATGCAAGCAGACTTGGATCAGTTTGACAAGCGATGTTTTGGCTCTGGCGTGGCATCGGAACAAGCCCAAATCGTCCAGCGTGTGACAGAGTTAAAGAAACGGTTGCGCGCGGTGAACAAAACGCTAGGCGTGGTGGCGGGGCGCATGCAGGCGCGGGTACCTGCGACCTAGCTAGAGACAAATACATAGGCGAAACCAGCTGACTCTAGCCAAATGGTTTGAAAGAGTGAGTCCGTATATGCATATTTTTATAGGTTGATTGCACCCCAAATTGATGAAACGCTGTCCTCTGGAAGGATGTTATTTCGTTTCTTGATATATTTTGTTATCTCAGGACCAACGGACTTGTATTTTTGAAAGGGCTGCTTGTGGATCTATTTTGAGGGATAAACTGAGGAATTTTCTTCCTTTTTTTCACAGGCTATGACCAGCTCTGCTGGCAAGGAGTTATCTGAATCCTCTTTGAGCAAGCTCATTTTATCTCAGGTGGTTAAGCGACTTCCATTCCTGAGCAGTCTCACCTCCCTATTCATGTCCACGTACACGCTACCACATTCTCTATGGACTATTATCCTGTCAGGCTAGTGGACCTGCCAACCTATGCTGTCTCCATCAAACAAATATTTTATGAGGTAGATCTAAAGGATTTACGTAATACCTGTAGTAAAGGTGCCATTTCACTAGACGGAAGTCGAGGTCCATTATCTCCTTGCCTCCGATAGACGGACACCTTGGCGTCGTACCCGCCTCAGTATATAAGGCCATCGACTACCATTTTCTTGTGTATATCTTATATATAAAGTTTATCCTCTTTTGGCTAGCTAACAGTATCCACTGTTACCCACTAGATATACCACAACTCCCATCGATGATTAAATGCCATATATATATGGGCAGGAATAGATAATGATGTATTTGTAGCTATTTATTCACTGGCTACAACCTGTTGTGATACATTCCTACAAATAGCAAATTCTTATTTTATTCCTCAACTTGGTAAAACTCAAGAAAACCATATAACACAGCTGAATTTGAATTCCTGATGTACCTTTATATAACCCAAAAAAATTGCGACCCCCCTTCCCCCGATGGCTAACGCTCTATTAATAGCAAACCCCCATAATTAAACTACAAGAGTTCTGGTAGAATACAAATGAACCTCGAAATCAGATTGGCGGCATCCGTCAATCATCGAATGTTCCGATGGAGTTTTCGCATTTGTTTAAAAGGATTTGAGGGAATGAGGATATAATCGAGAAAAGTCTATTGAACTCGAAGTTTATAATGGAACTTTCTAAAATTCTCATCCAATATTCGGTAATTGTAAAAGAAATACCTGGAACGTGACAGCTGTCCCCCCTTTACGGATTCTCGAAAGTATACCAATATGCCTGCCCAACGTATAAAGATGTCTCGTATCCCGTATTGAATACGGTAGTTACGTTCAGCCCTTTGTTTTATCCCGTGACCTCGCCCTTAGCAACAGACCTTGAGCTGACTTCACTCTTAAACCCACCACGTGATCAACTCCCCTGTCCTGTATCCACTGCCGACGCGCTCTGAAATTTCACAGATCAACGCTATATGCCGGACCAATTCTTCTATACTTTGCCTAATCGGGATATACCGTTTCCCAACCATCACTAATATTATCGCAGAATGGGGAGGCCAGTCTTGATCAGTTAAGGCAAGATGTAAAAATTCCAGCATTGTTAATCATGCGGATTGTTCTTCCCTTTGTTCCCGTAGTTTCGCCTTCTGTGGCGCGTAGCCCGGAATGCAAAATTTTGGCTTTTTGGTTTTTCTAACTAAATGTCTAGCCTCGCCCGTAACTTGCGACTGTTCTTGGGGCAAACCTGGCGTCCGGCTGTTCGCCCCTGCCCCTCGCGGTGGCACCGCTAAATAATCCGCACCGCCACGAAGATGTAGAACGTAATTGAATATAAGCAACACTACAGTTGTAGCAGACGTTACGTATCAGCTACTCAGAATATTTACTACCGTAACTGGACGAACTCACCGGCCAATTGCAAGACTTCATACGAGCCAAAAAAAAAATTCACCCAATCCCAGTGGCAACTAGCTCTAGTAACTTCTCAAGTTATACAGCGCTTTCCGAAGCTGAGCATTATTACCGGCGAGATAGCACTCGGATTTCCAAGGACCCCTAAACGAGGCAAAGACAGAGGCTACCATATCCTCCCCTTTGCCATACCCACCCAAACACTTTACTCATTGCCATGCTGGTCCCTGAATCCTCGGACGCCCCCAAAATGATGTCCATATCATCTATTCTATCGAATCCCGCTCCAGCGGACGACTCTGGCCACAAGAACCCAACTCTCGATATGCTCCTTGACGACTCCAAGACGTCTTCGTTCAAGATCGGACGAGTGCTCAACGGTACCAAGGCCGAGTTCCAAACCAAGACGGCGACTCATTTGGATAATATCGAAACCGTGTACAGGCTCCATGAGCAAACGGAAGCGTTTGCTGGCTCGCGCGTGAGCGAATTCAGATTTTTGAGCGAGACGTTCGAGACAAAGCCACCGCCTAGCCTGGACGACGCCCTTGATGACGACAAGAAACGCCGGCTGCGTTCCAACGGGAGTATAGGCGCAATGGCCCTGAAGAAAAAGCGCGGGAGACGTAAGGAAGACCCAGAGGCCGAGGAGCAGGCCAAACCTGTAACGATCTCCCCAGCTGAGACTGCGGCGAGCTTTCCCCCAGTGAAAGTTCTTTCCCAGGCGACCGCTCCTGGTGAGGCGACCGAACTTGCGGCAGAGACTCCCGTCTCGCCGCCAAAAAAGCGCATGCGTGGCAAGAGCAAGAAGACGCTTGAGCGCGAGCGGTTGGCAGCGTTGGCCGAAAAAGAGGCCGCTGATAACTTCATCACGGCGACGACAGAGAGTTTTACCTCAGAGGGGCAACTGGAGTTCCAGGTGGAAGCCCCCAAAAAGAAGGCAGTGTACGTGCCAACAGTGATCATCAACGAGCTCGGCGAAAAAATCATGTTGAAGAAAGACGGAACGCCGATGAAGAAGCGTGGCGGACGGCGCAAGAAGGCCGAAGACGAGCCGGAAGAAGATGATAAAAAGCGCCGGGCCGAGGATGAGGACGAAGATGAGATCGACGGTGACGGCAAGCCCAAACGGCGGAAGAGACGCACGAAGGAGGAAATCGAGGAAGACAATGCGGCAGCGGCACGTGAGAAGCTCGAGAGGGCGGCTGTGCGCGCGGCGAAGAAAACAGGGCCAGAAGCAGCGTCGAGACCGGAGGCAGAGTCAGAGGCAAGACCGGAGGCAGAGGCAGAGACAGAGACGAGGCTAGAGACGACGCCCGAGGACGACACGCCGCGCATCCGCTCTCTCCGGCTTACCATTCGCCCCAAGGCCACCACCAAGGAGGCACGTGCGTTGGAGAAGCAGTACGACAATATATACCTCTCGGTGTGGAAGGACATGTCGCGCAAGGACGGGCCAAAGGTATCGCGGCTCCTCCAACAAGCGCTGCAGGCAAAGCTCGTGAACTTGCGCAAGACCGCGATCCTTGCGGCGCGCGAGGCCAAGCGCTGGCAGGTCAAGACGAACAAGTCGCAGAAAGACCTCACGACCAAGGCGCGACGCGCGATGCGTGAGATGCTCAATTTCTGGAAGCGCAATGAACGTGAAGAGAAGGAGTTGCGTAAGCGTGCAGAGAAGGAATTGGTCGACAAGGCCAAGCGCGAGGAGGACGCGCGTGAGGCCAAGCGCCAGTCACGCAAGTTGAACTTTTTGATCACCCAGACGGAGTTGTACTCACACTTTATCGGGAAGAAGATCAGAACAGATGAAATTGAGAACGCAGGTGAGCACGGACCAGTGGCGCTGACCCACGGACTCAAGTCTGGGTATGATATAGAAGCCCCGTCAGAGGCGGTGCACACCGATTTACATAGCATTGATTTTGAAAATGAGAAGGATGAGGATTTGGTGCGGCAAGCGGCGGCGAACGCGCAGTCCGCGTTGCTCGCGACGCAGGGGAAGGCGCGTGCGTTCAACGGGGATGCAGCGAACGGTGCGCGTGCGGACGCGAACGGATCGCGTACGACCCCCGATGACGATGACGATCTTAACTTCCAAAACCCTACTTCCCTCGGAGACATCTCCATCGAACAACCAAAACTCCTTTCGTGCACCCTCAAGGAATACCAGGTCAAGGGCCTTAACTGGCTTGCAAACCTCTACGACCAGGGGATCAACGGGATTCTCGCGGACGAGATGGGGCTTGGTAAAACCGTCCAGAGTATCGCCGTTTTGGCCTACCTTGCTGAAACCCACGGTATCTGGGGCCCGTTCCTTGTGGTTTCACCGGCCTCCACGCTCCACAACTGGCAGCAGGAGATTGCGAAGTTTGTGCCCGACTTCAAGGTCCTTCCATACTGGGGAACTGGCAAGGACCGTAAGGTGTTACGTAAGTTCTGGGACCGCAAGAACCCGACGTACGCCAAAGATGCTCCCTTCCATGTGATGGTGACGTCCTACCAGATGGTGGTCGCGGATGCGCAGTACTTTCAGCGGATGAAATGGCAGTATATGATTTTGGATGAAGCTCAGGCAATCAAATCTTCTTCCTCCTCCAGATGGAAGAGCCTCTTGTCGTTCCAGTGCCGCAACCGTTTACTTCTCACCGGGACGCCGATCCAGAACAACATGCAGGAGTTGTGGGCGTTGTTGCACTTCATCATGCCCTCGCTCTTCGACTCTCATGACGAGTTCAGCGACTGGTTTGCAAAGGACATCGAGTCGCACGCGACTAGCGGTGCGCAATTAAATGAGCAGCAGTTGCGTCGTTTGCACGTGATTCTCAAGCCATTTATGCTTCGCCGTATCAAGAAGAACGTGCAGAGCGAGTTGGGCGACAAGATCGAGATCGACGTGTACTGCGGTATGACCAACCGCCAGAAGAAGTTGTACCACATGTTGAAGTCGCAGATCTCCGTACGTGACTTGATCGAACGCGCGCGTGGCGAGGACGGCGCGCAGAGCTTGATGAACCTTGTCATGCAGTTCCGTAAGGTGTGCAACCACCCGGATTTGTTTGAGCGCGCCGATACCAGCTCGCCGTTTTCGTTCGCGACATTTGCGTCGACCGCATCCTTTGTGCGCGAGGCCGCGCTTCCACAGTTGGATGTGCAGTATACTGCCGTGAACCAGATCGCTTACCGTGTGCCCAAGGTTGTCTACCGTGAGATGCTCCTGCCGCACTGGAATAACACCATCGGTCTGAAGCAGAAGGTATTGGAAATGATGAGTGTGTACCGGGAGGAGAATATGGCAAAGGAGACGCGAGGATGGTTAGGGTTGGTTGATTGCACGACCCAGGAGTTTACTCAACTTGCGAAGCAAGATGAACTTGCCAGGAGCATTCGTGGTAACCGCATTACTCACAGCCAGATTGAGGATGGGCTTATAGAGGAGCTTTACGGCTATGCTAGTCCGCATAAACGCCTTTTGATCACCCATGAGAGCGGCGGGAAGTCATCCCTGACAGCGGGCCAAAAGGTTATTCAAGAGGTTAACCTCGTTGATGGCCTGTCCACTGACTCTGACTCTGACCTCTCCTCGGTATCAAACCTGAGCTCATTATTCAATGTCCAATCCAACACTTACACCGCCATGCACCTCAACACCCTCGACCCCGCGGCGATTTCACCCGCCTCTGCCCCACCTGTGGACATTATCTGTAGCGACGCGAGCTTTGCGCCGCAGCGCGATGACACCTTATTCAACCGTGAGCTTCGCCTGGCACTCATGCCGATGCCGCTCTCCATGGAGCTCGGCTTGATGGAGCAGAAGGTCCCTCTACTGGACTATCCACCAGCTAACATGCTTCCACAGCCGCTCAACGCAAAAACTGGCCACGCTTCGATCCAGATGCCGTCAATGGAACGATTCATCACCGAATCTGGGAAGCTTTCCAAGTTGGACGAATTGCTTGTGGACTTGAAGGCTAATGACCACCGTGTGTTGCTCTACTTCCAAATGACGAAGATGATGGATCTCATGGAGGAGTACCTTACGTACAAGCTGTACAAATATATCCGTCTAGACGGTTCTTCCAAACTCGGCGATAGACGTGACTTGGTGCACGACTGGCAAACCAAGCCCGAAATCTTCATCTTCATCCTATCCACCAGAGCCGGTGGGCTAGGGATCAACTTGACAGCTGCCGATACTGTCATCTTCTACGATAGTGATTGGAACCCGACGATTGACTCTCAGGCCATGGACAGAGCCCATAGATTGGGCCAAACGCGCCAAGTGACGGTGTATCGGTTGTTGGTCAAGGGGACAATTGAGGAGCGGATGAGAGACCGTGCGAAACAGAAGGAGCATGTCCAACAAGTGGTGATGGAAGGGAAGGCCGCCCCTGCGCCGTCCGCAAAGGACGACAAGCGTGAGGTCGCAATGTGGCTCTTGGACAACGATGAAGATGCGGATGAGGTTTTGGGTGCGAGCGAGCCGTCTAATAAGCGGATTCGTGAGATCTCTGGCAAGGCGAGAAATTCCAAGTTGGAGGATATGTACCATGAGGGTGAGGGCGAGTTCGACGACGGGTCAAGCGCTGCACCATCGCGCATGGACTCTCCAAGGAATTAGTGTAGATTAATAGAAAATGACTATGTTTTCAAAGAGTAAGAGTAATTTAAGATGCAAAACAGTGAGGGTTGGTATGTTATATGGAATGAAAAATGGAGTGCGATAATCATATGTGAAAGTGATTCAGAGTAGGTAGATTCATAACCCTGAGATGAAGTAGATAAGCTAGAGGCTATGGGCTACATCGATTGTGAGACAGAAACCTCTAATATGTTTGAAACTACGTAAAGATGAAGAAATTATGAAATTTTCGGTTTAGGTGTTGCATACGAACCTATTCCCTGTAATTTCTCAGGTAGGGTGATTACCTAGTTATACGAGTAAGTAGAGCATTAAGATAAGGAGCGTGAAATCATAAATATCAACCAATCGACACGGAGAAGGAAAGCATGATCGAATTGTTATCCTTAATATTAATTCAGTTTTACAAATATTAACTATTCAAACATAGTATACATAACATTGATATACAGGATTCTAATTAACAGGAATGGCGTGCTCCACGGCATCGGTCAACTTCTCAATAAACAACGCCACAATCTCGGAGTCTGTGGCATCTAAACGGGACTTGAGGCTAGCGAACGCAGTGAAAAGTGCATCACCAGAGCCGTCGCCATGCTTCAAGAACTGGAGCCACGATTCCCTTGTGACCTTATTGATGCAAATTCCGCTATATGAAAGAACATACGACACAGCAAGATTCACCACGAGCATCAAGTTCTTATTACCCACCAGCAGATTTTCAGATGCACACACGTGGTCCATCTGCTTCAAAAAGTACAAAAGCACCTTCTCATAGCCAACAGTGTCCGCGAGCAACGGCACCAAGCTCGGGTCAAATGCCGGGAGCGAGTGGTTCGTCAGACACCAGCCAAGAAGCTGGTGGAACTGCGTTCCTAACATGTAGATGGGCGTATTAACGGAAGTTGACTGACCGAGATACTCCATCAAGTACGAACGAGTCTGGTGAGGATTGCCGTCAAGACTAAGCCGCTCGATAAGGGGGCTGCACTCGGCAATAAGCAGCGGCTGGGCTGTTTTGAACTCCGTGAGCGCCGCCGCAAGGTCTGTCCCAACAATCTGAAGGACTACTTTGTGCACGAGCTTGCTCTCGCCTGCAAGTTCGTCCTCACTGGAGAGAATCCCGACAATGCTCAAGAGGAGCTGTGCACGCGCGTCGTCGTTGGCCCCGGGCGACGCAAGCGCCCAGAACGCGTGCCTGAGCAGCCGGAAGATACCAATGATCGTTACAAGCAAGAACGGCTGTAAAAAGTACTCCAAGCCGCTCTTTAACACCTCAAGGTCAATGATCTGACGCTCGCACGCCGACACTGCCTGTTGGAAGAGGAGAGGGATGAGCTCGTAGCACTCTTTGGCAGTGGTCTGGCCCATTAAGTCATCTGAGATGGCACCAGACTCGAATAATGCGGCTATCCAGCCGCCCAAGAGTTCATTGAGCTTGTCATCAGAGGAGATATCACTGAGTGGTACAGGAACATCGCAGAGAGACGCATAGCGCGCGGCTCCCAAATTGGCAAGGTAATCACGGGTGAAACCAGCGGTATGGCTACCGTCAGAAACATCAGTGAGGCTAGACCCATCGTCGAGGCCTATAACCAGGCTAACCCCCCCGCCTTCGCTGCTGTCATCACTTGGGCTCGTCTGATACCTCTTACACACAAAAATCACCAACAATAATACACATCCAAAGTCTGTGTACGTATCCTGAAAGTTCATATCCTCTGCATCAGCATTCCATGAATCTACCACCCTTACAAGCGGTACAAGAAGCGCGCGTGGCGACTGCAAAGCTACGACAATGTCCAACACTTCAGGCACAGTTGCAAGACCCAAACATAAACGGTGGAGTGCCACAAGGCTAGAATCTTTCACCAACTGCCCAATCGTCGTGAGAAGTACCTCCACGAATTCATTCTGGGTGCCTAGTGGCGCACGTGGGATGCCCTGGAGGAACTCGGTGAGCATGGAATCCTCGAAGGAGACGAGCTCCGCGTTGACGTTCAACGTGCGCGCAAACTCTGCCGCTAGGTCCATTGGCGGCGAGGCGCTCCAGTTATCATCGTCTAGCGCCACGTCAAGATGTTTCTCCTGGGCAAGGCGTCTGAACACGTCGCGCAGCATAAGTCCAAGCTGCGCGCACGCGACAACAAAGTCGTGACGAATGTCGCGGCTGGTGGACGGGAAGCTGTTGAATTCATCGTCATCAAGAAGACTGTCGTCAGTGTTAAGGTTCATGAAGTCATCATTGGCGTCTGCGGCCTTTTTCAAGACCTTCACAACCTTTGGGTCCAATGCGGCAAGCGTTCCAACGATAGTGGTTTCTGCGCCATGGATTCCGAGCTCACGGATGAGCAACGGTAACTTCTTGGTCACAAAGAGGCGCCAGTTTTGCTCCGCAAGCGTTGCGAGAGTTGTACGGTTACTAAGGCGTGTGATGGCATAGCCGTCGAATGCGGCCGCAACGAGCTCGGTCACGAGCAAGAATGGTGACTGGATCTTGAGCGCATTTTCAAACGCAACAAGGAAGTTTTTGGCGGCAGTTTGCCACTGGTGGACCATCGGGCTGAGCCAGAGGAGGCGCCGCGCTTTCGCCGCGGAGTTTGCGGAGCTAGACGTGGGCGCCTTGGGCACAGCGCTCTTGAGCGAGCCTTGGGTGGAGTATGAGCTTTGAGCACTTTGTTGAAGAGCGGCATATTTTGCAGTGAGGATGCGTGCGGTATGGGGGTCGCGCGTTCGGAGTGCACTGCTGACGCGCGCGACAGCGTCACAGAGGCGCGCGGTCGCGTCAGGGAACGGGCCCGCACGCTCGTCAAGCATTGCGTGCAATGCAAGCAAAAAGTTTGCGCACACACCGAGGACGGCCTCGTCCGCCGTCTCAAGGTATCCCGCAAGAGCTGCCATCACGTCGCCCGCCGCGTAGACGGTCCCGAGGCCCGCGTCCGCAAAGCGTCTCAGGAGACCCGTGAGAACGAGCGTCTGAGTCACGGGCGGGGAACGCGCAAGGCTGCGAAGCATGTCAAGCAAGTTGCCACAGGTGCCGTAGCTGTGGAGTGCGAGCGCGAGCACGTAGCGTGCGCGGAGGCCCTCATCACCGTCCGTGGCGCGTAAGAAGTCAGCATAATCAGCCGCGCTCACCGGATGTTTCGCGTTAAGCTGGTGGAACAACTGAAGGAACGCCAGAGGCGAGATCCTTTTCTGTATCGCCGCCGAAGCGAGCATCCGTAAGTTTGGATCGGTCATGATGAGGAAGAAGAGGGGGCGGAGGTTTGACGGTGAATGTGTTTTTGAAGGGTTGCCAGTGGTCACGTGTGCAGAATACATATCTGCCATACTCTTGGTAACCTCAGTATAAAATGTTTAGGGAATTAAAGATGGGCCGACCAGGAAATAGTATTCCAGATAATTGGTGGATAAAAATGATTATGCGGAGAATATCAGTTAATGGCTTGCTAACTATGAGAACAGAGCTAATAATACACCAAGCATTGACAGTACATACTGGCATGGTGTGGAACTGTAATAGGCTCCCACTTTTATCAAAAAGAATCTAGACTTCTGTATCCCTTCAGAAAATCCCTTCTCTATAATTTCTACCTGGTTTCATTAACTTTTCCAAAAATTACATCCCCCAAGTTTATCGTAGCACGGCTAGCTACTAATCGGCTGATGCTCCGCGGGCTCCGCAGTGGGTACAATATCTGGCATTTCAGGAATTCCCGAAATCTTCGTCAAATACTATTACTAAATAATCATTTACCGGGAATTTTGTAAACTTTTACGGCTTTAGGGTTTTATTTCCTGTGTTTTTAGCGGAGCAAGCAATTCTGGAGCTCATTTCAGCCTGTACCGCAGTTAAATTGCTTTCGTCAAGATGGTACCCAAATACTCCCACCGTATTATAGTTGCAAAATCTATAGAATCTTATTGACACAAATTCTGGCCGCTGCCACTTTTAACCCGTTGCCGTTTTAAGACTTCTAATCACATTAATAGTCCTGAATCACTATCCCCTATTTGACATCTGGTCATGCGCTGTTCTCACGTGTCTCATCACGTGCCACTTTTCTCTTTCTTTTCGTCGATTTTTCATGGGCGCGACCACGCAAGCGATCGGGGCTAAACACTGACTTGAATACACGGGTAAAATCGTCTTTGCCAGATACGTCGTATACACCAGAGTGCAGCCACATAAATGTCATACTACAACAACGCGGGGCCAGGCCGTGCCAAGTTACCGCAAATATCTCAGCAGGGGTACCAGTTGCCAACCACCCAGGTGGGTCAACAACCAAATCCCCAAACTGGTCAACATTTGAGTTCTCAGGCGGGTCAACACCTGAATCCCCAAGCTGGTCAGCATTCGAATTCTCAGGCGGGTCAACACCCGAATCAACTGAACCCTCATCAACCTCCCGTCCAAAGTCCTACGGCCGCGTTCCAGTACCAGTTTGCGGAAGTAGAGAAGGCCGTCACAAACCTCTCCAAGAGCCAGTACACCAACAGCTATGGGCCGAACTTGCATTTGAATCGGTACAGTAACAACAACAATAATAACAACAGCCACAACCGCCGTAGCCAGAATTTTAACAACGGCAGCAGCTTTAACGACCTGAGATTCGGGTCGCAGCAGTTCACACCTCCACCAATCTCGACCAACTCGCAGATCAACCACCAGCAGATCGAGCAGTTGAAGAAGTACAACCATGATTTGTTGTCCCGCTACAACCAGGATTCAAATACTCGGTTTGAGGGTAACCGCTACCCGCAAGAGCAGGGCCGCTACTCGGAACCACCGAGTAGCCGTTATTCGGAACTGGTAAACAACCGTTTCTCACAAGATCCGGCGATGAATCGCTACTCAGAGCCAGCCCGCTCGGATCAAACTCGCTACTCTCAGCCAATTCAGCAACCGGCTGCCTTCTCTGGTGCTTACCAACAGCCAGCTTTGTTGGGTACGCAAACCAACGGGTCCTTGGCCCAGCCTCAGGCATTTGACCCGTTCAAGTATGGGGCCCAAGGATATCCTCAGGTTACTCCTCCGGTTGGCCAGACCCCCGGGTATACCCAGACCTATCCAGGTACGCCTCCAGTGAGACCCCAAGTTTCCGGTGACTACTCAAGACCTAACTCCTCCTCGTCCTCCACTGCCTCCACTAACATCAACACGTTGCCCTCCTCGCTCGTCATGGGCGCTGACGACGATGAGGAAGACGATAATAAGTTACTTTCCTCCATCCACAGTACCGGTGGCTTCGATATGACCGGTACGTCTCCTTGGGGCAAGGTCTGGGGCGACTCACAACAAGGCTCGTCTGTGACTGAGAACCACAACGGCCTTATTCTCGGGAGTAGCCGGAGTAAGCCCTCGTCCACCGCTGCATCTGTTTGGGCTTAGATCTAGGTCTATCGGTTTGCGTTTTTTTTTCTATTTCTGCCATTAACGACTTTCTCTTTCTGTCGCTAACGGCTTGGTTTTGCGGCGGCATTACAGCTGGTAATTATTCTTTGTTTTCGGTCTACATTGGTGTTACAAACAATCTATGGGAAAAAATCATTATTTTTGAAAAAGAAAAAAAAAAGAAAAGGAAAAGTTAAAAAAAACAAAAAAAACATAAAAAACAAAAAAAATTCTCTTGGTCCCTCTTTTCATTGGTGGCCCTTTATGACTGGTTATACCTTTTAGGTTGTCCGAACAATGTCCCTTGCTTAGTATAGAGTTGGCATAATTTGTGACTAATTCTACGCATTTTTTTCTTCACCCTTTTTTTTCTTCGGCTCTCGAGCCAGGGCGGTTTTTGGTTGTGATTATATTATTGCATATTTATATAGGAAAAGTTGAATATAATGCATCTACTTTGACGTACGGTTTAGGCCTGGTGTCGTGTTACATCGTTCAAACATAAGCATGTTACAGAGAAGTAGTCTATTTAGCATTGCTTGTTGAGTATGTTTGCTGAGCTTTAAGGTCTCAATAACAAAAAGATATTGCTGGTTTCCCACAACAAAGAAATGAATCACAGAATTCAACTCGATTGGAAGATCTATAAATATTGATTTCTAGAGTCTTGTATAACTATTTACCTTGGTTTTATTCTCTCGAGTAGACTCATTTCCTTCACAATTTTACCTTGGTAGTCTCCTCCGTCTGTGCGGCTTACGTAAGACACTTTTTCGCACATGCCTCGGTCCGTTTCGCGGGGAAAACGTAATCCGGCGGACATTCATCGCTTCCCCATCTCTTCCAGACCAATCACTTTTATTCACGCCTATTATATAACGTATTTCGTATCACACCACATTTATCATTTATCAACGATTCTTCGCCTCCTATTATGAGAGAAGACTTGATTCAGAGTGCCATCGCGTTTTTAAAGGACCCGCAGGTGGCGGGGTCGCCGTTGACCAAGAAGATCGAGTTCATCGAAAGCAAGGGTTTGACCCAAGAAGAGGTCCAAGAGGTATTGCGAAGAAGTAACGAAACTCCGGCTAGCTCGATTCCTCGGACGTTGAGCGCACCGGTCGCCGCTCCTGTGACAGCCCCGGTGGAATACTACAACGCTCCGCCTATCGTGCCAGAAAGAGACTGGAAAGACTATTTCATCATGGCCACCACCAGTGTGGGTGTGGCCTACGGATTGTACCAGGTCGTGAAGCGCTATGTGGTGCCAAACATCATCCCACCATCGAAGTCAGATATCGAACAGGACAAGCAGAGCATTGATGAAGAGTTTTTGCGGATCGACGTGGTTTTAAAAGAAATCAGTGACCAAAACGCGAAAACTACGCAGCAGAGTGCGGAAAAATTGGAAGAGGTGGGCCAGTTGTCGTCCAAAATTAGCGAATTTCTCGGCTCCACTTCCAACTTGGCGTCCCAGTCCAAGGAAGATGTCAAGATGCTCAAGCTTGAGTTGGAGAATTTGAAACGCGAGGTCACTTCGGGCTTATCTGTGCAGAATAACCGCGTTGACAGCGAACTTTCCTCCATCCAGCTGGAGTTGGCATCGTTGAAGCAGTTGATTTTGTCCAGAAGCAAGACCCAAGAGACCCCGAGCACCGAGTCCCCGGCGCCGTCTATTTTGACCCGCAAGGTTCCGCCAATCTCTTCCATCCCGTCTGCCAAGGATATCTTGGCCAAGGAGCAGTTAAAGAAACAAGTCACGCCGCCCGTCGAGCCAGAGGCACAAGAAGTAGCCAAAACAGAAGTCAAGGAGGAAGTCAAGGTTGAGGTAAAGGCTGACACCGGCATCCCGGCCTGGCAGCAGGCTGCTAACAAGAAGACACCTGGTGACGACGGGATTCCAGCGTGGCAGAAGGCTTCCAATGCGTAATCAATCTATCGTTAATGTTCACTAATATATATGTTTGGCTTTAAAAAAAAAGCAATTCGGAGTTTACCCAATAGGGTTACGTGAAAGAGAAATCTCTGTGATTTACTGTTCAAGATGTATCTAGTCTGAATTATATCTGCTGCTGTTTCGCTAAGTGATTGATATCACATGATTATCTAACTCCCTCACTCGCCACCATGACCCGTGAGTGACCAGTAAATTGACCTCCTGCGAGTTGACCGAATTAGACTTCGGCATATCAAGGAATTCTTAAGTTGCCTAATAAACACTTACTGAAAGTGATACATTGTTAAACAATAGTACCTTCAATCTGTTTCTCGTAAAAATTGTATATCACATTGCGGTTTGAGATACACCCTGTCAAGTTTCTTTAAAAATTGACCAAAAGTGACTTATATTGACGAAGATGATGTACGAGTTCTGGTTCGACACTATAGAGGTTAACTTTGATTGACAAGTCTCCTGTTCCATAGTCCGTAAATTTAAATAAGAATTGTTTATCCAGATTTCGGCAGGCTCCGAGGTGAAATTATCGTGTTGGAGAATTTACACCATTTGAATTTAAATGAAACAACGCTTTCTTTTTTGAATATTAAAAATTATCACATATAATCGTGATAATTAGCGATAACTATATTAAAGTCTTGGTTTTCAATCTTTATTTTCTTCCTTTTCTCCTTTTTGACTTCCTACGAGTATACATGTATATTTGGTAGTAGTATTAGCGTTTAATTTATATTAAAGTGAGGATCCGAAGATAAGTAAAGTGCGAGCCTGTACATTTCAAACTAGTTTACTAGTTTCAGATTTAGTTAGATAGAGAATATATACAGGATAAAAATTAGCGTGTCAGATCCAATTGCTAGCAGGCTTGTTGGGTCAATGGTCCAACCCCAGCCTGGCCCGGCGGGAATTTTGCCGGGTCAGGGGTTCCTAGCATGATAGATCCAATAACCTCTGCTCATGGTATATGCCTTCTGGCTGGCAAATCTGAGTTTGGCTGTACGACCAAGTTCCCCCGGTCGAACAATTTCCCCGCAATAATTTAGACGGGCAATCGAATCTAGTCAGACTGAGACTAGTAATAGATTGGGTAGTCTAACCGAACCCGAGATATTTTTGTAACCGAGCAGTTTGTATTATTCTCCCATCTTCTCTCATCGATTTTAGCCTCTAAGACCATTATTCCTTCGAAACTTTTTTAGACTATTGGGAACACTTATGCTATATTCTATAGTTTTAGTAACACAGCATCGTTAAGTATGATAAAGGAATTCTTACTCTAACAATATACATCAGGCACATTCTCCGAAATCCCGAATCGTGTATAGGCGGACTTTGTCCGTAGCGGACGTGCATAAACGTACCCCTGGTATCCGGCATCATCCTGAAAAGTGGAATGTCGTAAGATACTGGGATATATAAACACTCCCTTTTTCCTAGAATAGCACTCATATCCAAACTGGAATCTCGTTATACATAATGTCAAACGATGAATGTGTAATTGTCGGGTACGTGCATAGTTTCCATAAAAAAAGCCTGAGACTAACATAGCAGTGCTGGTATCATCGGCGTGTACACTGCCTACTCCCTCATCACCTACGCCAAAGTCCCCGCCTCGAAAATCACCATTGCGGCAGAGTTCCAACCAGGTGACGAATCCATCAGATACACCAGTCCGTATGCTGGGGGCAACTTCAGTTGCATCTCACCAGATGACGCCCCGACGAGAAACTACGACCGATTCACCTACACCCAGCTCGACAAGTTGAGAGCACTTTTGAGCGCGAGAAACCCGGAGTTTGGCTTGGACATCTATGAGTGCTCCGATTACTGGGACTATATCCCAGGAAAGGCCAAGATTGCCTCTCTCAGCTCATACTTGCGTGACTACAAAGTCATTGAGCAGCTGCAGCTTCCAGAAGGGGCCAAGTTTGGAATCAACTACTTTACCTGGAACTTCAACTGTCCAAAGTTCCTCAAGGCTGTGTTGGAATACTTGAAGGCAGAGGGTGTTGTAGTCCTCCGCCAGAAGTTCGACCACATCGAGGATGCCTTATCTGTGGCCCCAAATGCCTCCTACGTGTTCAACTGCACAGGTTTAGGCTCCCGTGAGTTGGGCGGAGTCAACGACAAGAAGACCTACCCGGCACGTGGCCAGGTTGTAGTTATTAAGACCGGAAAGAAGGAACTCAAACAGAATTTTATGAGATGGGGTAAAAACGACACCGCCACCTACATTATTCCAAGACCACACTCCAACGGGCAGGTCGTCTTGGGGGGATTTTTGCAAAAATACAGATGGGAGCCAGCTACCTTCGAGGCCGAGTCTAGGGATATCATCCAGAGGGTTTCAAAGTTGTGTCCGCAGTTGTTGACCGAGTACGCATCCTCAAAACACGAGGTGGATGGCTTTGGTAAGCTCGATGTGATCAGAGTGGTGTCAGGCTGGAGACCTTCCAGGGAGGGCGGGGTGAGAATTGAGCGTGAGAACTTTGTGAAGAACGCCAAGGAGAGGGTTCTCGTGCACAACTATGGTGCCGGAGGGTATGGCTATCAATCGGGATTGGGAATGAGCTTCAAGGCTGTGACCTTAGCTTTCCCGAGGGCCGGTGATTTCAGTGATTACTTTAACGAAGCCTCACAGAGCAAGTTATAGATTTATCGTCAGTACTTGTTAGATATAATCAACTCCTAACGAGAGCTAAGAGTCATTCCTTGCGTAGAGTGGTGATTTTGAAGCCTCTTACAGTATATCCTTTTCCGACATAGTGTTATGGTCAACACGGTTTTCTATACTTTGTAACCTCGGGGTTGGACTCCTGGTATTAGAGTAGCTTTGCGGTAGGTGAAAGGCTTATTTATATATACGTATATACACAATATTCTCCTCATCACTTCGTTTCGCACAAAGTTTGTGATCCCTTCCAGGCCCATACCTTCATCCGTACAACGGTAGCTTTTATTTCATTCTGGTAGAGTACAGATGTGCAAAGATTTACCAAATTTATGTTAATTACTTAACCCACTTGGTTTCAATATTAATAAAGGATATCGATAATTTATACAATGCAAGAGAAACGAAAATGAAAAACGAAAAAAAAATGAAATGAAATGACACTGACCGTACCTCAACGGTCCCGTAATTAATTAATTACACCAGAAGTTAAAAATCTTCTTCCAGACTGGCAAGGCCTTAAGACGGGCCTGCTCTTCTACCATTTCTAACGCAAGAAGTTCCAAATCAACTTCACGGCGACCGGTCTTGATATCCATATCTTCGACCTTGATATACAAGCTGAAATCTCTTTTGACCACCTTGTAGCCAAGGTACATGATGATGAAGATGATGATCCCCAAGTAGTTCTGGAAAAAGGAGATGACATTAGCAGTGTTAGAACCAACTGGCCACAATGCAATCCAGAATTGAAGAATCAAAACCACAATCCAAAACGTCCCAGCAAGGTAGGAGCCGATGATACCGCTACCAGAACTGAACTCCAAGTTCTCGACAAGTTCACCATTGTGCTTCAAAGCAGCTCTCCACCTGATGTGAATCATACAAATAGTTAACCACGAGAAGATCAAGGCCAAACCAGATAGAGAAAGGAGCCAGTTGAAGACAGTTTCTTGCTGATCAGAAGCAGCAATGAACGACAACAAACCGAAAATGAAAATGGCTACAAGACCAACCAACGGTCTGCCAGACTTGTCAATGTAACCAAAAATCTTCGGAGCTAAACCCTGTTCTGCTAATGTACAGACAGTTCTAGAGAAGGCGTATACAGCAGAGTTACCGACAGACAAGACGGAGAACAAGATAACTGTGTTCACAACGGATGGTAATCCTCTGACAGCACCATTTTCAATAGCAATGACGAATGGAGACGCGTGGGTAGCACCGCCACCAGAACCCATCAACTTATCGGAGTTATATGGAACCAAGAACCCAACAATGATTAATGAGGTGACGAAGAAGATGACAATCTTCCAGAAGATGAGTTTAGTAGCCTTAGGGAAAGAAATTCTAGGCTGAGCGGTTTCACTGGCGGTTACACCGGTGATTTCAGTACCACCCAAGGAGAAACTGGCAGTAACGAAAACGGAACAGACACCCTTGAAGCCGTGGGAGAAAGCACCAGGGTCATGCCAGTATCTACCACCAATAAAGGTTTGGGTTGGGCCACCGCCACAATTTAACACAATCCCCAAGATACAGAACCCAGAAATGGTCAAGACTTTCAAGGAGGAGAAAATAAATTCAGCCTCGGCGTAACCTCTAGCACCAAATAAGTTGATAGCAATGAGGATAACGTAGAAGATTACAACCCAGGCATCGGAGTTGATAGTATCGTTCCAGTACTTGATAGTGATAGAGGCCGTGACCAATTCCAAGGGCAAGTTGACCAACCATTGTAAACAACAGTTCCAGCCCACTGCAAAACCCCAGGCAGGATCAATAAATCTGTTGGCGAGAGTGGTGAAAGAACCAGCAACTGGTAAGGCAACAGCCAATTCACCCAAAGAATGAACAGTAGCGAAAAGAGCAGTACCAACTAAAGAGTAGGCAATAACGAGCGCTGCCGGACCACCGTTGTGAAGAGACTTACCGGAACCGACAAACAAGCCGGAACCGATACCACCACCGATGGCGATCATACGGAGGTGTCTGGTTTTCAAAGATTTCTTCAAAGGGGAGTTGGCCGATCTTATAGCATTTTTCCGGGCTTCAGAAAAGCTTTCATCAATGACAAGCTGCTCCTTTCTACGGAAAGAATCGACAAAGCCGGCGAACCCAGTTGGGCTACTTGAGGCATGTTCGCTATGAGATAAAGAAGAGCCGGATACGTTGGCCTCACTCTGAATAGTGGTGATTTTTTCTTCTGACATTGTGATGTAATTGAGAATGGATGTGCAGTAGGTTCTGCGTACCAAAAGGAATGTGCCTAAGGAGAAGAGTCAAAAGGGGACGAGTCACTGCGGTAGGCGATGACTTTATTCTGGGATCAGAGTCGGCAAGGAATGCAAAGGAGTCAAGAGGTGCACAAGCAGGCTCAAATAAAAGTTAAGTGAAGTTGAGGTCGTATTCACTCTTTGTTTTTTGTAGAAGGTCAATAAACTTTTGGGGTTAGACTTCTTTATATGGAGCAAGATGCACTATCTAAGAAGAGAGCGGTTCAATAGATGTCAGCAAGACACCAGAGGTTGGATACACCCCGCCGGGACAGTGGACTTTGCCTCCACTGTCGGCTTGAAATTTTTTTTCATCCCGTGGTCATTTGGTTATCTGCGGCGAGATAAAAGATTTACAAGCATTCCGTCCCAACAAACGTGCAATATTTCCTCATGTGCAGGTTAAAGCGAGCACCCAGCCTGAATATGGTATGTGGGACGGTGGAGTAGGCCGTGCTAACGGCATGGATACACCATTTGGGATGAACTCTAGGCCAGCGGTAGCAAATGGCCAATGTAACATATACGATAGGGTACCGACGTGCGTATGCATGTCCACCAGTACCGAAAATATGACAAAGTGCCGTATGAAGGTACTTATTTTACCTGCATAACGGCATGGCGCGCATATTCTTATGTCACTTTTGCACCGCACCACTTTCCCGGGCCGTCAGTACGAAGTACCCCTCTGAGGAGTCAACTGTGGCGTATTAAGGTAATTCGATCGCAACTGGGGGGAAAATTAGGGGGAGTCAATCACCTAGTTGGTTCTGAATTCACATTCCTTCTCCCAAGCTCTGTATTTAAACGGTCTTATTTGCTCTAGTACTAGCCTTGACTAGAAACTGCGCTTTCAGGGACTGGGCGGTCCAGGGTAAGTGCCCTCCTGGGCGGCAGTTTCCGAGACACCTGCATCTTTTTTTTCTTTTCCCGCTGTACTTACTTTTATTAGTCATGACGGCTACATGAAAAAAAAAAAGCTATCAAGTGCAAGGCAGGGGTCGGCTACCGATGGAAGGCTGAAGGGAGAGTGGGGAATAAGTACTTGCCAGGTTAACAAATATACCCCACTAGAGGGGAAGGTCATGGAACGGGGTTTTATGTGCGAAAGATTAACCCTACAGGAATATATGTTTCCAAGACCTCCGCCATCGACCTAGGCGTCGCTGGGGTTTCTTTTTGCCGCAAGGATGTGCTGTCGCTGCTGCAAAAATGACAGGCAGTGTTACCCGATTTCCACCGGTATACAGGGCTAGGCAATTGATACACCTCCCGCTTTAGATATCTTTCCTAGGTGTACCTACTTGGTACGGTAGTCGAGGTTACATGGAGAGAATTTTTGTCTTCATGTTTTGGTGTAGATCTCTCGGAAAGTGGGGTGGGCCAGCCTAGCCAGGTACTCCTGAATTATAGCTTCGAAGGTGCCGGTTCCGGGAACAACAATACGCGTCATAAATGCATCTTCAGTGCACTGACGTATTACTACGCCATGTCTCGTGTGTCACCAAACATCACAGGTCAATCTCTACGAGCCTTATCTAGTTTCCTAGCCTTAGGTTTTCTGTAATAATCCACAAATCATTTTGGTTGTTCATTATTACTACTACCGGTGTTTTGACTTGATATTGCACTCTCTTGAACCCTATCCAACCACTTCTAATAAAGTAGAATTGACAAGGGTCCTGCAAAATTGGCAAGGCTAAAAGTATCCGAAAAATAAATTTATCTCAACTCGTTCATCTCGGCTGTACATGCCGTTTCAAGTTTCCCGAATATGTTACAAATGTACCTAACCACACCCTTTTCCAGGTGTAGCAACCGGGATGGAATATACAACTCTCATATTCAAAACTATGATGGAAGTACTATAGTAACTACCATAGCACCACGATTTTTTACATGACCGTAAACAATGGCCCCAACAAGCCTGAGTTGATTTGGAGCCAGTAGAGGAATGAAACATGCTAATACCATAGGCCAAGGAAACGCCGTAGAACTTCTTGCTTAACACTAACCGTCCCAGTACCACATGCGTAACTATGCATGCGATCGCTTATCATATACTTCTGTGAATGTTGCTCCAATATATTAGCCTAATCTTTAGTATACAGATTCACGGGAAAAGACCAGATA